AAGCTTTGACAAGCTGCTAAGACCAAAGCCTTGGGACCATACTATTAAACTCATCCCAAACATGAACACCAATCTGGACTGTAAGACATATCCACTTGGCAACAATGAACAACAGGAGCTGGATAAGTTTCTAGATGAAAACTTGTCCAGTGGGCATATCAGACCCTCCAAGTCCCCTATGGCATTGCCATTCTTTTTTGTTAAAAAGAAGGATGGTAAGCTCCAGCCAGTCTAAGACTACCAGAAACTTAATGAAATGACCATTAAAAATCGATATCCCCTTCCATTAATCTCCAAATTAATGGACAAACTTCGAGAAGCCAAATACTACACAAAACTCAATGTTTGATGGGGGTACAACAATGTTCGCATCAAGGAGGGAGATGAGTGGAAGGCTGCCTTTAGAACTAACTAAGGACTGTTTGAACCAACAGTCATGTTCTTCAGCCTTACCAACTCTCCAGCCACATTCCAGTGGATGATGAATGACATTTTTAAGGACCCCATCACCACTGAAAAGGTCACCATCTATCTTGATGACATCCTCATCATGTCCAAAACAAAAGAGGAGCATAGGAGGTTGATATGACAAGTACTAGCCCTTATGAGAAAACACAAACTATTTCTCAAAGCTGAGAAATGCAAGTTTGAGGTATTCGAAATGGAGTACCTAGGAGTCATCATCTCTGAAGGGAGCATTCAGATGGACCCCATTAAGATCACAGGGGTAACAGAGTGGCCAGAGCTGACCAAGAAGAAGGAGTTACAATCATTCCTCAGATTCGTGAACTTCTACCAATGCTTCATCCAGGATTATAGCAAAATAGTCTGTCCAATGACACAACTCACTGGTAATGCCCTCTGGACATGGGGACTCTCTCAGCAGGCCACCTTTGACAACTTGAAATGACAACTAGCTGAGGATGTTGTCCTCACCATTCTGACCCAAGAAGAGAAGTTCTGAGTCAAGGCAGACTCCAGCAAAGGGGCAATTGGGGCCATACTGTCCCAAGAGCAAGATAGTAAATGGTGACCAGTTGCATTCCTATCAAAAGCACTCACTATCATGGAATGGAACTATGAAATATATGACAAGGAGCTCCTCACCATCATGCTCATCCTGGAAGAATGGTGACATTACTTGATCAGAGCAACAGAAGTCTTCAAAATCTGGACCGATCATCAGAATCTCTGGTATTTCCAACAACCCCAAAAGCTAAATCACCAGCAGGCAAGATGGGTCACAGAATTGAGCCAATATCAGTACACACTTCATCATAAGGTGGATACCACCAATAAAAAGGCTGACCTCCTCAGTCAGAGGGTAGATCACAATCAAGAAGAAACCGACAATAAAGGGGTGACATTATTGTGTCCCAAACACTTCAGAGCTATGATAATGCCAACAGAGGAGGAAATTCATAAGTGCATAAAGAGCATGACTCACAACAGTTACAAGTGGGACCAATGAGTAGCCCTCTCCCTTAATCATGAATGAGGCATGACAAAAGAAAGAGGGCTGATCTGTTATGATAGATGAATTTACATCTCAAGGGACCAAGCACTCCAAGGCAAAATCATCACCACCTGCCATGATCACACCACAGTCAGCCACCCCAGCATTGCTAAAACTAAAGAACTGGTATTACGGGAATATTGATGGCCTAAAATAGGTAATGATATCACTACCTATGTTAAAGCCTGTGAAGTCTGCCAATGGGAAAAGTCATTGACCCAGGCAAGACCCACTCCTCTACATCTGAATGAAGTCCCATCTGCACTATGGACACACATTTCCATCAACATGATCACCAGACTACCAGACTGCAATGGGTATGACACTATTATCATTATAGTAGATCACTTCTCAAAAGTGATCATCCTGATCGCCTGCTCAACAGAATTAATGTCAGAGAGATGGGCAAAAATCCTGTGGGACAAAGTATATGTGAAATACAGCATGCCACAGATCATCATTTCAGACAGGGGATCACAATTTGTTTTTAAATTCCTAGATGACCTCTATCGACTACTACATATTAAGCACAATGCATCCATAGCCTACCACTCCCAGACTAATGGACAGATAGAGTGAGTGAACCAAGAAGTTGAAAAATACCTTCGACTTTTCATTAACTACCAACAAGATGACTGGGTGGAATGGTTAGCTCTTGCAGCCTTTCAACATAATAACTGAATCCACTCAGCAATAGGGAAAATGCCATTCTTCATCAATTATGGCTGCCACCTAAATGTCACCCAAATAGAATGACACCAGACAACAACACCTGCATCAACAGACTTTACCTCCACAATGGCACAAATTCACTTGGAAACCAAAACAGCACTAGAAAAGGCTGCCACCTCTGTGAAAGTGCAGTATGATAAACACCACTGCCTAGCCCACCATTATTCCATTAATGATAAGGTATGGCTGGACATGACCAACCTCCATCTCCCACATTCCAAACAAAAGCTTGAAGATAAACGAATGAGCCCCTTTTCAGTTCTCTCCAAAATTGGGGAAAGTGCCTATAAATTGTACTTATCACCCTCCTGGAAAATTCACGATGTCTTTAATGAGACACTATTATCCCCATATATAACACTGGCATTCCTCAATCAGGAGAAACCCCCACCACCACCATCAGATCTGATCAACAATGAGGAACATTACAAAATCGATCAAGTCCTCAATCACAAACTATGCAAAATTAAGGCAAAGGGCAGAGAAACAACAACTACAGTTGACTATCTCATCAGCTGGAAAGGATACAGCCCTGAATCCAATCAATGGGTCAATGAAAAACTTATGAACACAGCAGAGGCAATTTATGACTATAAATTATCCCTAAATTAAGCCATTGGGATGATGGTCTTAAGGAGGGAGGAATATTATGATTTTTCCTTCCTTTTCGAACATAAACTCCTATTTATGCTTAGTCAAGGCATCAAGAACAAGCACTTAGGACTATAGGAGCAGCTTAGTCATCACAACAAGCTGACTTCATCATAGTTTTCCAATGCTACCAATGTCTGACAATGAATACACAATCAACCTTTTATGTACAGTAACAATGCTCAAGGACAATGGGCATCCAGAACCAAGAAACACACAATAAGTACAAAGTAATAATAGTGAATCATGTACAGTATTTAAGAGGGCTAGCTCTTGCTGGAAAACCTCAGCTTCAAGCTAAAGTTTATACACACCATTCTACCCTCAAGCCTATTTCTTGGCCTTGTGACACATCACATGGAAACACATCAGTGGACTCAGACAACTACTCAAAGTGCAAGGTAGCTTCTGTTTATCATGTGGTTCTGCTCATATGACACTTGGATCTAACACAATTGAATGCCAAACTATAAATAGAACTAGCTCTCATACTCAAGCAGACAGATGGGATCAACATAGTTGATTGCCTTCTGTCATACACATAGTGTAATACTCTACAAAAAGAAAAAAAAAGCTTATCTCTTACTAGGTTAATGCTCTTATCAGTGGTAAGATCTAGTGGTTCATCATTTCCACATTACAATAGTATATGTTGATACCCTGATATATCTCAGCAAGCTAAAAACTTCAATGATGAAGGGACACTGATAGTAACCAGGAGAGAATCACTTGCCTTCATGTGGCACAAGAAGTGGTTAACTTGATGCTTGACCACACTGTCTGAGATGCGGTGTCGAAAGGTAGCTTGGAATCCTGCTAGCATGATGCCCTTCAGTAGAACAAGAAGCATTGTATACATGTCCTGAACCATCAGAAATGAGGGCCTCATCGACAGGTTGGCCACAGTCAATGCTTCAGCCACCATCACATCCTACCAATCCGGAGAGGTCACAGACTTAAAGGGGCAATGCTCGACTGAATCTATCTCATATGTGCACACTCGCCTTCCATATACAAAAGCAGTTCCCACGCTGAGAGACGTTTGAATTCAACTTCCCGTTTCGATCCCATATTTCTCCGAGATGATTCCTCGGGGAATATTGCAAAAGCGGACCTGCAGCTGTGGCGTCGATTCCCTCAATCTCGTGCATAATGCAATGTGCCAGATAGGTAGACATAAACGGTTCCAATTTTCTCGCGATGAATCATACCTCGAGAACATGAGGTTTCTATCTGTTCTCCTCGAGGTGAAATGCAACAACTGATAAATCGGTAACCTCTTAGTAGGATCTGAATAACAACAACGTGGCTAAGGCAGCTCAGAGCGCCCGTCCCGTTGACTCTTTCAGGAGCGACAGACGTGCCTATGAACTCGCGAGAGGTTTTTGTCATCCTAAACGCTGCAAAAGTCAAAGAACGGTAACAGTAGTCGCCATACTACTGATAAGAAGCAATTGTGGAGCAGGTTCTTTTGTCAAAGCTCGACAAGACTCGACTCGCTGTACCTAAGACTCCGAACTGCTGGGAAATTGAGAAAAGATGGTAATAGACTGCCGCATACCGGCAATCGTGCATGAAAAGGCCCGATAGAACCATAGCCAGTATTCGGGAGAATAGAATATTGTGTCGCAAGGGAACAGGATAGACAATAACGGCCCGTCGCTGCGTTGTTGCAGAATTTAGAAACCATTCCGCAAACGATGACGAGCAGCAAAAACTTCATACAGTAACCCTGACAAAGGTATAGATACTCATCAGTCCTTGGGGCCCGGAAACGGCCAAAACCTATTTACTCACAGTCTGCCTCAGTCTGAACTCCCAAGTATTTATCCAAGGCGGCCGAAGAAAACGTAAAGCGCTGAAGTGAAGATTTCAAGAGTGCACTGTTGTTCTGAGCAGAATACCGATGGATCCTCGTGTAAAGCCACGCCTTTACTATCTTCTGCTGAAACGTGTTGTCCAGCAACAAGGTACTGAGAAACAAGATGGGAGTTACGGTGTGAGGGTAGTCAGGGGACAACCTTCTATTTTGGGAGTTTTCATTTATTTTGAAAAATCTAATTTAACTTGTCGCTGGCACGCCGGCCCAATCGCCACTTTACTTCTTGTCTCGGTATTCATCTGTGTCTGGAATGACACTATTCCTCCCTCTGGAGGATTCTGCGTCTATACCAGCCGTTCCGTCGTTTCTTACGGAATCTTGGGATCCTAGAACGCAACTTGCGAATGCAGTAAAAGCAATTTTGAAGGCCAGGCGGATAATAGTTATTAGTGGTGAGATTCGTCCGTCTTTCAGTGTCTAGTACCATTGTAACACCCCTATGAAGGCGCAGGGATTTCTGTACAGGCAGGAATTCCCGATTTTCGCTCTCCCGGCGGGTTATTCCAGTCTTTGAAACGAGATCATCCACGGGACTCAATGGTGTCAGGGAAGGATCTGTTTGATGCCTCTGTCTTCAAGGTGCGTAATCGACCAGGGAAACGCATGTCACCCATGTGGACCCAATTTTCTTCTCAGTTTAACGAGGTCTCTACAGTCTGAACACACTACATCTCTCTTCTGCCAAATGATCGCCCGGTTGTCTGAGCTTTCCAAGGCTGCGGAACCCACACCATTTCATAGGCTGCTACAATCTCTCGACGATACAGGAAAATTACTACGTGTATACACGCAAAACATCGACGCCATCGAGACTAAATGCGGCCTTTCCTTCGGAGTTCCCGAATTCGAGGAGAAGAGGGCGAAATCCGCGTATAAACCATCGCATGTCGAAGAGCCATGTAACTCACGCCTTCTGACTCCACCCAGGGAGACGCCAAGGTGCATTCCTCTTCACGGAACTCTGCAGATGATCCATTGTCAAATATGCAACCACTCCTTCCCTCTTGATGACTACGTGACTTCGCTTCTTGCTGGGGTCCCTCCGCATTGTCCAGAATGTACAGCTTTGGAACGAACACGAGAGGTCATCGGAAAACGATCTCGTGGAATTGGCAAGCTTCGTCCGAGTGTCGTGCTGTATAACGAGGCACACAAAGACGGTGAAGGCGTGGGCGAGGTGGTCCGGAGAGATTTAGTAGGATCTTCAAAGGGAAAAGGTCGTAGCGGCGCGGACTTGTTACTTGTTGTTGGAACCAGTCTCAGGGTACCGGGGACGAAGAGGATGGTGCGGGAGTTTTCCAAGGCAGTTCGTTGTCGGCAATCAAGTCCAATACCAAGCACCGAGGAAGAGCCAACATTCAAGTCGATATACCTGAATCTAGATTTTCCGGTGCCAACACGAGAATGGGAAGGCGTGTTTGATACCTGGATACAGGGCGACGCGCAAGAATTTGCTGAATTAGTGCAGGAGGAGCTGGATAGGGAGGTTCAAGCGAAAGAAGCGAGCAAGAGGAGGAAGGAAGAGAAGCTAGCGAGTCCAAAAACTCCATCGAAGAAGCGGAAAGCTGAATCTGAGCCATCGACACTGACGAAACGGCGAAAAACAGCAAAACCACCGACTCCCAAGTCGACTCCTCTGCGGAAACCCAGTTCATTGATACTACCTACACCCGTGACGCCTATTAAGAAGAACATCATACGTATTCCGCCACGTCCGCATTGCGTCCCACCAATGTCATCATCAACACGAGAATTCTTCCCGTTCGGTCTTTCCACGCCAGCACAGACACCGCCTCGTCATGCTAAACACGATTCTGAGGAGCCATATTCGCCAACTCCTGCTTCCCGTGGTGTGAAGGCCGCGCGGGTTTCTGCCTCTCGCAAGAAACGGGACTATGAAGAGCAGTTGGCCTTTAGTCGGACATCTGTTCTGCCTCGCGCAACATTCGAACCTGACTCAGTGCAGCCGAGTATATCTTCGGCAGCCCTTCACCCGTCACCAGACCCTGGTGGTCAGCAGCTGGCAGGGATAGTTAGTTAAGTACGGACAGAGGGTAGTATGGACAGCAGTTTGTACTGTACATGTATCTATTCATTAATTTATATCTACATTAACTCACTTCTAGTGTACACATTTTGGCAACCATAATTTTAAACAATCCTGCACATCTTGTTCAAAGCAGTTTTCATACTATCACTTTTCAGCACACCATGGATCCTCAATGCACAGCGTGAGGCAACAACTTTACACCCGAAGCCCATGAAACTCACGCCCCGGATTCAATAACCGAAACAACTCCGCAACACGGACAGTCCTCCAACTTTCTACACACCAGCCTCACGAACCTCGCCCCATAATACGACGGACACACAAAACACAGCTTCCTCAAATCACCAAACTGATTCCGCGCTAGAACCACCGCGAGAAGATCCCAATCCAGGAAATTATGTATCCAGGATCTGTTGGCCAAATACTTCTTCCCTCCCGTCGGTCGATGCGGAAGAGCAAATGTGGTACACTCAAAGTACACTTCTTCCAACAGAGGGGACCGTATTTGCGAGAGCAGACGCGGGATGGCCTTTCGGTACGCCCCAGGCACTATATCTATAGAGATGTCACACAACCTCAGACTCCGTAGCTGGGTGAGGCGAGAGAAGTCGGGAAGATTCTGAGATGATGGTGCAAAGTCTAGATGGCATAGCTTCATCAGAGGAAAAAACGAAACGAAGAGGATCGGCCATACCTGATTGCCTGGAAATGTACTGATCAAGGAAGGAAATCTCCAACACGGTCAGGCGGGACCCAATCTGTGATAGAAGCATCCCCCGTAAAAAAGGAAGCCTATCGTCAGCGACCAGAGTCGCTGAAAGCGTGTCCATGCACATGGTTTTCTCATCATGCTCATGCAGAAAGAACCACTCATATACGCAACCCGGGACATCGTCTAGCACCACAGTATGCAATGCGCTTGTTTGTACCACTGAATCCACACCACAACCGCGAAGATGATCGGTGGTGTCATCACCATCAACGAACGTGACCTTGGAGCAGGTCCATTTCGTCGCCGACGGGAAGGATTGGGCGCAGTACATCATGTGGGCGCTGTTTTTGAATCGGATGCGCTTGAATGTTATGGATTGAACGTTTGTGAAGGTTCGAGAGATGGCTTCGATTCCGAAGGAGAATGACAGGCATGTCTTGGTGGTATCGAAGTGGTCAAGAACCAATGAGCTTGCGTGAGATAGAGCCCTACAGAGACCAGGGACGGTCAGAATTGAATGTACGCTAGCAGCGACATCAGGATACTCCGACGTCCATTCCAGAGGTAAAATCCGCGCTGAAATGACGAGAGTACCAATATGAATCGTACAGTGGGACGATGAAATAAGCTGCAAGAACTTGTTGATTCTCCTTAGTTTGATTAGCTCCAAGCGCACAGTGGAAAATAAATGAAATCGACTCCTGGGAAGCCAGAGTCTGCAAACGAGACTTGTGCGCTTAAGACTGAGAGGATCAGAGGACAGAAAATCGATGATATTGTCCGTAAGTTCGGGTGAAATCCATGGAAAATCGGGTTCAGTTGGCGAATTCAGGAAGGTTATCGAACTCTGTCATAGACAATCAGCGAGCTTTGGAGAATGAAGGCCAAACCCTGCTTACCTTTTTGTATGGGAGGTCGCTGCAGGACCCATCGAGTTTCGGTAGTTGAGATGTTTTGAAATGGCTCATCGGTAGTCAGGATAAAGGTAAGCAGGAACGGATGTTGCCGCCTGCGACTGGTGACCAAATAATAAATTCTAGCTGTAATGATTACGATACAAATTCGTCCCTCATGCAGCAATCAAACCGGCCAGCTGTCCCGAGCTCTGCAGTTTAATTGTATCATCGCATCCACCAATATGCTGCTGATCTGTCGACAAGGTCATTGTGTACACTCAGATGAGAATGAAAAAAGCAAACTCACTGATGAATATATTGGGAACTGTACCCTGTCCAGTCTTCTGGCGAAGGTATTCTTGGATGTCGCTTCCGTCATCGCGTTCATCAAGCCTAACAACAAAATAAGAAATGTCATCACAAACTAGATTTGCTGAAAAGCGCACTCAACAACACCAATATCCACGTCGGGATACCCGTCCTTGAGTAAGGTCTTTGCACGCCGACAGTAAGGACAGTAGGACTTGGAAAATACGGTTATCTTGTGCGAAGTGATGGTATCCTATAAGAAAAACATGTCAAATAGGTCCCCTTCCCTTCCAGATGAACGACAAACTTCAACAAAATTCTTGATGGACATGTTGGAAGAGTTCTGTACAGCAGCAGAGGAGGTGAAATAGCGGGAAATTGCTGAAAGACGGGAAAGCATCGACGCTGGCTTTAAAGGTGCACTCAATGGCGTTATTGATTTGGCATCCCGATGATGGATAATGCACGTGATTCCCCGATGTAATGACGTCATCGCTTTCGGGCCTCCGTTCGTCCTGCTGTTAGAAACGTGTTGGAAGAGAATATATCAGCTTCGAACTTTATTTTCGAGAGCATAAATATAGGATCATTATAATGGTTTAATTATGCAGGAGATGCCAGTCTTCCGTAAGTCACCTTCCTCAGAAATAATCAAGAATTCATCCAAGTTCAGAACACATATCTCATACTTTGCATCCACATGACAACACTAGGGAATCCAAAATCCAAACCAAGATCAAGTTCCGTCACCCATTGCATCTCCGAGAGTTCTCAGGTGTAAAAAGAGCAAACAAAGGTACTAATTCATACAACGAAGAAGGGTATAGCCAACTATATAAACACAGTAATGAACAAATAACAAAGGTAACTAAACGTCACCAATTTTTAGAATGCGTAGGGTATGTCGTAAATCGTAGGCGCATTCGTAAGTGATCTATAATTCATCTCGTCGCAAAAAAAAAAGAACCGTGACTGACATCAAGAGAAGAACAAAGTAGAAAAGGCGTAACAAATAGACATCGGTGGGCAGGCATGGGGGCATAAACATTATTCGTGCCGAGTGATGAGTTCAACTGCTCTCATCGATCGCGGCGTGATGTTACATTTGAATGGGGCAGGATGGCTGCCTCGTGTAATGAGTTAATTGTTCACACTGAAGATGCCAACATACCTGACACTCCCATTCGAAGGATTGAACACAGGTTCATCTCCCTTGACCTTAGAAATATTGAAGGTAGAAAGGGCCATGGCACACACGATGTACGTCGTGGCTTGCGCAAGGAGACGTCCTAACAGAGGAAAGAGAAGCGTCAAAAATAGATTCCCCGGAAAATACCCCCATTTGCCGTACCTGGACAGCTCCTGGAAAACACACCATTTGTCAATGAATAAATCGTTATTGATATCAATCTTTGTGACATACCGTCTGCCAAATCCAAAGCAGATTTCCCGTGGATCTTGTTCAGGAGTGGGACCAAGGAAGCGTCCAGGGTTGAATGTGTCCGGATCTTTGTAAACCTCAGGATCGTGTGCCATTGCCCTAAGAAAAGCGACGTTACGAAATGGATGAATATACATAAGATGCCAACTTACCATATGTTAGGGAAAACAACCGATCCCTTCGGAATGAAATGCCCTTCAAACACATCGTCTTCCAGCGTCGCGTGTGGAATAGCTATCGAGAATTAGTCAGTGGAATACGGGCGCTATTGTCAAACCACGAACCAATGGGAGCTACAGGATAAAATCGAACTAGCTCTTTACATAGAGCATTCACATACGGTAGAACATCTCGATCGTCAAATGTAGGCAGCCTATCCCCACCAAGTACCGAATCCAACTCGCTTTGGGCCTTCTTTTGAACATCCGGATAGAGCATCATGAGAAGAAAGAATGTGTCCAGCACTGCGACAGTCTGAAGGAATTAGCGCAAGCAATCCCATCATTCCATCTCGAACCTACCGTATCGGCCCCCGCTGAGAGTGTGGCGTTAGTGGCTGATCGCAGTTATTTGAAAATAGGAACGTACCTGCATAGATAGCTCCAGCTGCCCACTTCAAGTCATGTTCGGGAACAGATCCACCCTCTTGAAGGAGATTGGACACGAAGCAGTCCGGCGCCTCACCTCTGGCCTGCGAAAACGCACGCGTGTCAGAAACATGCCAGGAAGGGTATCAGGTACGAACTGCCTGCCGCTTAACCATCTCATAGGGTATATTTATCATGTTGCGCAGATCTTGTGCCCATTGTTTCGCTTTGAGCCGAAATCCTGCTCCAGGAAACCATTCTGGGACATGGCGCACTATGACATGAAGGTTAGAAACATAGCATCGAGATTAAAGGCGACGGACATAGTGGGATAATATCGACTAGAAACTGTCCAGGCGTTGAAGCAATCGACAGTTCCTCCATGGCACGATTCACCAGCGCGACCATATCGTCCTCTTCCTTTTCAACTTCATAACCATAAGTAATACGTAATACTAAGGCTGCGACGTCCCTGAAAGCAGATCATCAACGTTTTTCTTATTCACGGCCGGCAAGAAAGATTCCGCGACGTACTGAGATATATGTGAGTGCAACCTTTCGGGGGAATCCAGCAAGCGTTTCATCAGACTCTGTGCCTCCTGTTCTTCCATAGGGTAGAACGTTCGAATCGCGGACTTGCTGCCAAGAACTGAATGCAGGAGTTTTCTGTGGGCCCTGAAAGTTTCGCCGTAGGGAGCTAGGCCTATGATGTCGTTCCAACCCATCAGGTCTCCTGCCATGACCAACTTGGGTCTTTCAGAATATATGACGCTTCGTTTATCGAGAAGCGCGTATGCTGCCCGGTGAGAGTTGAGCACGATAAATGTTCGCCTGAACATAGAAACGGAGCACACGTCGCCTGGCGCGTCGAATTATGTCACTAGTCATTCGTGTGAAAGAGACTTGTGCGACATACCCCAGATTTCACCCCATCGAGTGAAGGTGAGCCAAGGGCGGTCTGTAGGCATGTCGAGAACATTGCCGATGATAGGATAACCACGAGGACCAGGCGGTAGTGGAGAACGTCGTTTAGAGAGGAGACGTCGAACGAAGTAAATACCAGCAACGAAGAGAAAGAAGTCCAAAAAGCAGAGAAAAGACATGACCTCCCGGGGGGGAGAGAAGTGAAATGGAAGACGGGAAGGGCTGGGTCAGACTTATATCACGGTTCCGGGGGGAGCGAAATAATGGACATCTATTGTGCTTCTCGGACCGGGTAATCAGGGCCGTCCAAATCTGCAAAGCTGGCGAAAGGAAATTAAAAACTGGTGAATTGGAAATGGCCGATTCCCGTACTGGTATAGTTTACATTGCCGGTCCTTAGGCGAGTCAGATAGGATTTAGGCGTGGAATGAACAGAAGCATAGCGGCTTCCTGGAGGCTAGGTAAAATTGAACGGATCCCGAGGATAGACCTATCGGATCCGTCTTTTACCTTCTCATTCGTGTTAGATGAGACTTGCGGTCGATTAGGATACAATTTCTGAATCGGCATCTGCCACAATAAACCCTCCTCATGTCTGTTCTCACGTGAATGAGACAGCTGAGGCAGATTTTAATATTAACAATGATACCACTGGATGCTGAACTTACCGAGTAAGTGAGATTCCATCTACGAATGAACGTGTTAAGAACTGTTGAGAAGGGTGGAACGGATGGGAAACCGAAAAAATGTAGACGGCGCCGTCCCGTCAGTCGGATCCGGTGGCGGTTGCTAATATTGGCGAAACCTTCTATCCTTAAATCAGCTTTGACTTCAATGTTTGAAGTCACTTGAAAGGCCGGAATATTTGGGGAAAGTATTCAAGCCATGCGAATGGACGGCACCGCTGTCCAAGGAAAACCTCGTGCCCATCAACGTGCCCTGCGCAAACCTTGGCATTGGGAAAGGACGGCTCCGTATATGCCTTAAAGTAGTGAAGACTGCATTTAGCAGGTCTAAAAGTGTAGATAAGAGGGCCTGGGGTAAGTACACGATGGATTAGCGAAGGTTGGCGAGGCTCGCGCTGAGGATCTCCAGGTACCGGTGTCCAAAGATGATCGGCAACGTAGGCTTCGATACCGGATTACCGGGAGGGAGCGCTTCCGTGGCGTTGTTGCGGCTCCTCATCCACGAAGGAGCTGTATACCCCTCCTCTAAAGCAGTCACGAGCATAAAGAATCGTCAAGAGTGCTTCTCAAATCTCGGAGATCACCCTTTTCCCTTCCACATGCCATGACCAGTAGTTGTGGACAAATTTCTCGACCTAAAGGACACAACAAGCAAAGGGTGTGACCAGCAAAGGGTAAACGTTCACGCGAAGATAGTGTATCCGGAGATGGTGGCCAGCGTGAGATGATTGATAAGGTAATGACGGCAGGAATTCGTAGTATCGACAGCCTGCAAGCCTTGAAGAGCGTGGGTCGAGGCCATACGCTACAGAAGCAGGACCGACATTTTGTGTTAACAGTGTCTGGATGAAGACGTTCCATAACGTACATACCATGCCTCATGTACAGATATATTTGGAAACTACATCCGAGTTGCTAGTCACCTTTGCCTGAATGTATACTCCATTCTTCATAGCGAACGTATTTTGTTTTCACGAGCATCTATCAACGCTGACGTCGACACTCATTATTGAAAAATAAGACAATACTCACTTGTTAGCCTAGATTGAACATCACCAGCGAAGTCATATCTGAGCAATAATGAGGTAAAGAGAGGCGAATAATTCAGCAACCACGTCGACGGAAAATCTTGTCAGAATGTCGTGGTCGTTAGGGTTGGAGGTTCGTCTTCCGACTCTTCGTTGACACCACAGCGTGCTTGAATCCCAGCACGTGCTATTACGTAACCCTACTCGTTTGGGCACGCGTACTGTATAAGGTCGCCATTGTGACAAGTCCTTGGCTATCTCCGCAATTTCTTCAACAAATGTTGGGTCTCTGAGGTGAACGCTGGGTGTAGATGGCACCAGATACTTGGAAAAGACGAGCCAAGGTGTTTAATTACCCCCCTTTCTTGATGCACTCGGAGGACTGACTTTTCTTCGCAAGCGTTGAGTATTGTTTTGTTATTGGTTGTAGACCGGCCATTTTCCTAGCTTTGACAACCAGGAAATGATCTTAGTTCCCCCATCTTCACCGCAATATTCGACAAAGGGGGAAAAACGGCCTCGCATTGTTAGATATGACAGCCCGGTTACCGTTGCAGCATACGGTAAAGGAAGCATGAGAACGAAACAGTCTTTCATTCGGAGATACGTCCTTTCATTTATGAGCTCGGAACGGCTACCATAGGCTCTGCGGAACGAACATCCGTGCTTCCCATTTCCCTCTTTTTTTTTGGCATTTTTGTTGATTAACCAGGATTAGCCATGACAGGTTAAGCCCACTGCTAAGTTTCAGCTCATAAGAAGGCCGCTTGATGTCGTGGGCCGTGGTGTACTTCTCTGTCCTCCGTAGCGGGTGCGTGTCATTACAACGGGGTTCCGTGTATATCACAACGTCGTCATCAAACAGATTCACTTGGTTGCTGGCGGCCACCCTAACTGCTGAAGGTTGAGGCAAAATGCAAGTCACGTCTTGGAGATGGAACTGCAATTGTTCCTTGGCGTTGTATCCGAATGCGCTCACTGTCGCTTGATTTCAATTCGGATGATTTTACGGTGCCAAACCGTGTCTTCATCCATTTGTCTCACTTTTGTTGGCCCGCGTGTTTTGTAATTTGCCTGAGAGATGCGCTTCCCAGTCTCAATTCCCTATCAAGCATATTCTCTGGGGCGCAAGACCTACTAGTTAAGTAATTATTGCCGCATTCATGCGGCGGTCCTGATTCCACATCAAAAAGATCGCAAAAACGAAAAACTTGAAAGTGAGGAAGCAACCTGGTCCAGGAACATTGTTATAACAATCACCGTCCAGATGAAACAGCAAAGGTTATATGTGTACCTCGTATGTGGTACATAACAAGGCATCGTGCACTCTGGGGCCATCCATGGAGTAAGCACCGGCCGTTCGTTGAGTTTCAGAAAGGATTTGATACCGTGACGATCATCAATGATCTCACCAGAGTAAGGTATTCAGAATTTAGCGACTTCCCTTCGCCGCCTGTGATGATCAGCACCGATGCAAGGAGGGAAAGAACTTTCAGTCTTACGAAGTTCCAGAACCTCCTCCTGTTCACATTCTGATAGAACTGATGGGTCGTGGAGAGCTAGAACCTCATTCTAAGAGGCAATGAGTATCATCCCGACATACTCTTCTATTATGGCTAAGTGGCGTAACTAGATTCTTAGTATTAAGGCAACTCATTGTTTATATCGTTCAAATCTCATCCATGGACCCATACCCAAGGCCAGGCCATGGGTTATATGCGTCGTGTGGCGGCCCTTGTCCTACCTTCGCCAATAATGCTACTCATCCTAGTTCAAGATCAATGAAACCCGCGGGGTATCCGCCAGGCTCAGAGCTGCGAATGATTCGTTTTTACCCAGGTCTTATTTCTGTTCCCTTGGGCTGACGGATAATGTGGAACCGGATCAGTTATGGTTCGGAACTTTGGAATACACAGCGACAATCTGCTATTGGAGGGTATAAGGTATAGCTTCTCAGAATTACTTGGATCAGGCTTGGCGCGATACAAGGTCTGATGAATGCAGCACCGTGGAAGTGAGCGGAAAATCTGGGAGTATTTCATACTGTAGATATGATTTTTGAAACCCCCGTGGTACGCTAGAATACTTGGACGTCCTAGGCCTTCATTTCATGTCCATTTACTAATACAATGAACATGAATGCGATCTCTTTACAATGGATCCAAAAACGCCATCTCTGCAACTCTTCGACTCTCGATATCCGTTATCTGATCAGCCTCGATCGCGAGGCTTGCGCGACTATGTATAGTGACCTGAATCGGTTTCCTTATACGAGATACAGGATCCGGGACAGGATCAATAGGCACAGATGCCCGACGCTCCCAATCAACACCTATAGGAGGTAAATCTTTATTGCGTCGCTGGGACAGAGAGAGATGAACTGGAGTTGGAGGCGCAGAGCGGGCGACAAATGCCACGGGCGGACTTGCTCCCTTGGGCAGGGGCGGTGGAAAGGACGATGATGATGACCTCGTATCGCTACGATTTCGAGGCCCAAGAGGTCGAGGTTTCCTAGGGGACACGGAAGAGGAAGAACTCGATAGTCGCTTTGTACTGGACCTTTGGATCGACACATCGGGTGGCGAGGGACGACTTTGAGGTGGAAAATCATCTTGGACTGAGATGTGCTCAATGAATCGGCTCTGGTGAGGTTTTGACGGTCCAGCCTCGCTTTTTGATTGCTCCCACTGCTTCTTGACAAGTTCAGCAGCTGTAGGGCCTTGCTGAGATGATGCATTCTCACTCGCCATGCGAACTTCTGCAATGAGCGCCGTAGCATCCCATTCTGAGCTTGATGGCGGAGATTCCGGTGAACTTGCTACCGTCAGAGGTGGTAAAAGCCCTCTTTCCCGAAGAGCCTCTTCTCTTCGTCGTTGGGCGAGGACGGGTGAAGCGTCCGAAGAAGAATCGGCAGAAGATGGACTAAAAGCGTCTGACAAGCGCCGTAGAAATGACTTGGACCTGGATTTAGATAATACATGAACGGGTGGACGTTCACTTAATAAATCATAATGAATCATAATTATCAGCATGGAAAAATAGAGAAACTTACTTTGCTTCACCTGAAGAGCCAGAATCTTGACTACGCTTTCGTATGTGCGCTATGACTGGCCTGGGAGAATGTCAATGGTTGCCCAATGCAGCGACGAAGCGATGAGATAGCGTACATATATATTCACCTTGACTAGAGGGACGAGACGAGAGAATTGATGGGCAGATGGTGTTAAGTCGCGCTAATTCGTACAATGAACAACTTTAAGGGACAGAAACTACGGGCAGTGCAGGGCTCTCTGATAAGGCAACAGCCTTTATATCCCATGCGAAGAGCCACAGATGCCCTTTTCATGTATGATTGGTCGCAGCTGATCAGTGATGCTTCCTTCTACTTGATTTACATGTTGTCCATATTCATTCCAGTGACATTATGATAGTGATGACCCATCACCTCGGACAAGTTTGAACCTCGAGGAACAGCTGGACCATGATTTTGGGATCCAGGAAAGCGGTACTTCCGACAGAGATGGAGGGATCGGACGCTTTACTGCATGATTGATATGGAGGCGATGTAGTAGTAGTATGTGAATACGAGTACCTGTCTCGAGAAAGACGCGCCGATGATTCTCAGAATTTCTGACCTAGCTGATCCTGTTGACTAGCAAAGATGATGATTCAGTGGCAGTGCTCGAAACTTTTGCTGGAATACAGCAGAGAATATTGCTCGGTGATCGAAGTCGACGGCTCTTTGGTGGTAGGGAAAAACCTTGGAAATTCCACGCTGGTAACCGGCAACCTTTGAAATGATCCGTGAATGAATAGCATGCGTTTATGAAATACAAGGTAGCATTACACCAATGACGACAGAAAGTCCAAGAGAAGCTACAGAGAAGGAATTTTTAACCGTGGCCACGTATCGTACGTAGTACAAGACGTATACATAACCTATACAAGCAGGACTAACAAAAAGACGACAGAAAGGAATACGGTATAAATACCTGTAGCGTTCAAAGTAGAAAACACAATGAAGTGAACAACTCGTTAGGACATAAAGCTAAAACCATGACCGTTTTCCAAAACTACTTGCCATTCATCACCGAACTCGTGTTCCCATTAGGCTGATACATATATTGATGCTGTACTGGGGGTCCCATAAGAGGCTTGGAAGATGTGTCCGTCGGCCGTGGGCGGTAATACGGACGATCATGAGACGACGAGGTCACCACAGGCGAAGGTGTGTTGACGGCCACTGTAGGCATCGGCCACGGCAATGACACTTTAGACGTAGATGCGGAAGGTTTGGGCTGATTCTGCATCGACGGCGATGCCCCAGGAGTTGACTGTCCATGGCTGGCAGACGGTGACGGGTTCGTATTGGCCGGATTGGCAGATGTAGGAGACGTCGTCTCGGCAGGAACGGGCGGACTCGCAGTCTCACCGTCCGTCTCTCGGCGCCGTTTTACCCCCCGTGAATTTACGGCTCGTGTGCTGCTCTCTTTTAGACCAAGCTGAGTAGCTTTGATCAGAATTTGATGCCTGAAGAGGGGATCGCATCAAATAAACATCAAGATACGGATTCAACACGTACCGTGTACGATCATGCCCAAATCGACTTACCACCCAGTCCCATTCCATTTCTCCCGTACTATTTTGTGACTTGCTTTCCTCTGCAAGGGCCTTTAATCTTTCAGTTTCTTCGTCTGACCATGCTCCTTGATTGCCACCAACCCCCGGCATTGTTGTTGAGACTGTAGGGGTTGGCACTGCTGCTGTCTGCTGTTGCTGTTGCTGTGGTTGCTGCTGTGGTTGTTGCTGTTGCAGCTGCTGTTGCTGAGGTGGCTGAGGCAGGGGCTGCTGAGGCGGAGGCGGGGGCGGAGGCGGAGGCGGAGGTGCGCCGTAGTATTGCGGGCCTGGCACGTAAGGTGGGTATTGATAGTAGGGAGCTGCAGGGTATTGACCAGGCGGCGGAGCATACATAGGATACTGGGGTCCGCCCATAGACACAACGAATGACTGAGGCTGGTTTATGACGGCAGCCGGAGCGACATTAGACGTGGTCGCTATTCCAGCTGGTGGCACAGTGGGTTGAGGAGGCTGGTACAGAGTCGGTATAACTGGATACATGGGTGGTGGTGGTGTTGTTATGAGGCGAGATGGGTTCGCTAGCTATAATATCGTTAGAACGAGTGCCATTCAAAGTAGATACACTTCGAGAGACCAGTACGAGGAGATGGAACTTTACTGAGCATCATGCTTCCCGTTCTTTTATCAGGCATGAGAGCCAGGGTTCGTACCCGTCTTAAGCCTTAAAAAAATTAACGAAAAACAAGAGCGATCCGCAGCGCTACTTTTCATCTTCTCGTACCGGCCTCTAGAGAGAAACACGTACTAGAGTATCGCAAATACGCTTGGCCTCGTTCAGCATGACCAAGGGATCGACCTTGTTTCCTGGCGAGGAATGATAGCACTGGGCAACAACCAATGGGTTCGCGCCTTTCTGTGTACACTCTTTCAGAAGATGACTTTGAAGGGCATATCCTACGAACCACCAGTTCTTCCGCGGCATTGTAGAACTCTGCACACAGATTCAAGACGCGCCATTGGAATTCGTAGTATTGCTGGTTCTGGGCATTCACGTCTGGATGTTGGGGTGGTGCCGTTCCGGGGCCATTAGGGTGTAAAGGCGGATGGGAATACTGAGTCACTGGTTTGCTCGGCGGTTGGCTGGAGCGGTTGCGTCGATTCTTGGACCCGCGCGGCCGACCTGGCCTTCGCTTTTGCTCCGGTTCGTATTGATGTATGATTGGTTCATCCTGCTGCTGTGTCGGTGCACTATAGAAACATGAAAGGGACTCTTGGAATCGACAGTATCATATAGCTCACCTCGTTGTCTTCATAACTGGACTCGACGTGCTACTTGCTTGGGTTTCTTCTGACCGGTTGAGTTGCTGGGCCACGACCTCGTCGTCGTCGTCGTCGTCGTCGTCGTCATGTCGTAGCTTGGAATTATAGCCTGTCTGTGTATACGCAGCGGGGGCTTGGGCACCTACGGGGAGGTGCAGGGCGTGGGACAAAGGCTGGTAATGCTGAGGATTATCCATACACTCCGACCAGCTGGACTGTTCACGTTACGGAACAAAGGAAGGCATAGCAGCCGCCCCTCAGCGTATGCAAGGACAAAGTCGAAATCATAGACGAACAGTATATAATTCTCGATCTGGACGCCTCCTGCTGGACGTCAAAGTAAAAAGCAGATATTCAAAACCGGAGTGTGACGTTCCCTACACCGCCGATATGGATAAACATACCACAAAATAAAATAGAAATGGTCAAACGGACCTTGCAGATACGGATATTCGGCCTCCTGGCCTCCAAATAATCCTTTCAAAATATTATTAGGAGAAAATACAAGTAATTTTCCGATATGAAGAAAGGGATAACGTCGAGTTCGCTGCCAGCGACGATGAGTAGGGGGTGAGATATCTCTTGCCCCCAATTTCCGAAGAGTTTATTATTCAAACTCCGACAAAATTCCTTTTCGGTAAGTAGCGGCCAAGCCCTGCCGCGGTTGAACATCCATGCAGACGTTCGTACCAGCAAACGAAACGCCATTTCGGGTTACTCTGACGGCCTTGTTCGTTTCGCCACCGGGGAGATAGTCCAGGGTTGTACCGTGTTTTACCTCTTGCAAGGGTTCAGCCACCTTCTTCCGTTAATATCGCAGTTCATCATTTGCTTCTGATACTTTGGATGCCTCGGCGTAGCACCGCATCCTGTTGGGTTCATCCAGTGATCATCGATGAAGACGTTAAGCTGTCTTTGTATGATTGTTCTTTACTATTTTTCCGGGCAGTCGTCTGCGGGCCAAAAGTATTATTTATGCTTGGACACAACTTGTGGTTAGCGCCAGATATCTCCTAGTATCATATGAATCGTCTGAACTGATGGTATCATTGACACAAAATATGTGAGAAACGTTGCAAAAAGTCCGAAGGCCGAGCAAAGCAATTTGTATCATTCAAATCGAAAACCTGATCGACTAACCCTCTATCACTAAATCTCAGGGATTCAAATATTCAAATTTTCGATCAGCAGCAACGATGGCGTGTCGACATACGCGATCACGCGTAAAGCATGTGACAGGAAAACGGGGCAATCGAGATACCGGCGTCATCATTTTATTTCAATATTTGTCCGTTTCGTGTCTCATCGAATCCCGGTGTTGAAGGAAATGTGGTCACCGACGTCACATCATTAATTGACCTGATCCGATCCCTCCTACCTCATCCACGCACCACCAACATGGCAGTATTCTCTCGTCTGCTTCCCTCGCTTGCTAGTGCGTATGCATTGCAAACTTGTACGTTTATCCTTACTAGCGTATCAGCAAACACTTATCAGTTACTAGTATTTGCCTTGGCCTTTGTACCCCAGCAGAACGAGACATACTTTGACTTGGGGGGTTCTCTCGGATTTCTATCAACGACATATATCTCGCTCTATTACCCGGCACTGAAGGCCAAGTTCTGGGATGGCCTGTCGACACACCTGCCAGCCTTGTCATCCTTTGCTCCTCGACAGCTTATCCTCAGCGCAGCCGTTGGAATATGGGCGTCACGAATGGGTATCTTCTTGGTTTCTGTGAGGTTTCGTTTCTATGTTTCCGTCATTGATCACTAACCCGCTCAATTTCAGAGGGCGATCAAAGCTGGCGGAGATTCTAGATTCGACGAAATCAAGCGCAAGCCAGGGGTGTTCAGTTGCTACTGGTTCGGTCAAGGTGCAGCCATTTCTTCCCCGCCTTGATTCATAGCCAAAGACATTGCACATAGCCTCTTGGGTCTTCCTCACCGGACTGCCTGTTTATCTGTGCAACACCCTTCCATCACACCTTCACCCGGCGCTCAGGATGCAAGACTACGCCGCACTTGGTCTCATTGCCGGGTCTTTCCTATTCGAAGTGATAGCAGACTACCAAAAATCTTCTTGGCGACACAAGAAGAATAGCAAACAACATGACGAGAAGTTCATTACAGGCGGCTTATGGAGCATCAGCAGACATCCCAATTATCTCGGTGAACTCGGTATCTGGACAGGCATCTGGGCGCTGTCTTCCTCGGCGCTACGAACCCCATATTTCCCTAGGGGCACAATCCTTTTGGCTTCGCTCAGTCCAGCGATGACGTATTTCCTCCTTCGAAAGGTACGTGCACCTGTTGTTCCTCGCCCGATAAACGCTAAATGGAATCAGCTTTCTGGTGTACCACCTCTCGAACGTCAAGCTCAGAAGCGCTGGGGAGACGATTCCCAATGGAAAGAATACAAGAAGTAGGTTTAGCATTCAAACCATGGATTTGATGTGTCTAATTCTCCTTGACCAGCTCTGTTCCTGTCTTCTGGCCTTGGTACAAGGAAGCCTAATGGATATACAACGTCTTCCACAGTGTTTGTTTTGTACTTCCGCTGATAAGAGACAATTCCGCATTCTGAATCAAAACTGAATCAAAGAGTGCCATACTGCCCTACGAATTTAAAAGGCTAGGTATCAGAACCCAAGAGCAGCTATCGTCTGAGTGAAGCCTTCTGCGATGAAAAACTGTCGCGCGTCCAGCATCCTGTACAACACAATGCGGGTGAGTTCTCCACTTCCATCGTTACGACCCAGCACTCACATGATGTGAACAAGTTCGACTGAGTTCGGAAGCGTGGTGTTCAATGTCGAAGTAGCAGCAGCGACCTGGGGATCGAGTTCCGCGAACATCGACACCCTGGAGGGGACTGTCACATTTGTCAAACCAGAGAGGCCCGAAGCGACTTGTCTGTATCATGATGCTGAGATGAGCAAATGCCTAACCACTGGAAGTAAAGTTGGACCTACGACAGAATGGTCGCGAATGTGATACTGATATCATCGTTCGTAGGCATTACAGTCGTAGAGCCCGCGCTGACGGGGATGTTGCTTAGGTCCTCCGCTGCGACCTGGAAGACGGTGACAAGGTCGTTGATCTGTTCTCCAACGGTGGTATCGTTAGCTTGGTGCGAAGCTTGAAGGGTGACTAAATATTCAGAGTCAGCTAAGGCATCTCTAGATGGATATTGGCCTATACTGATGTTGGGAATGTTGATGTGGGTACTTTCATCGAGAGCATCAACGACCTGATTTATGGCTACGTTGGTATTGTTAGCCTGGCGACCCTGGAGAGGGGATGCCAGGGCGGTCGATGCAACGACGAGACTGAGGAGGGATGCGAAAAACATTATGAGACCTTTTCCCAACCTCTGGACCTTTCACTGAGCATTTAAAGAACATTCACTACCGATGGGAACGTCCAAACGAGCGGTTTTCCGCGCTAGTTTAAACTTGAGAAGAGCAGTTTTGGCTTGCCCGCGTCCGTGTCGTTGGGTATACTGGATTTAGGTGGGATGCTCCTGGTTTGCGATAGCCGGAGGTTGAGGTGATTGTCGCATGAGAGTCGATAGGGCTCAATTTGGAAGGTTCGCACTCACCACGCATGGGAATGAGAACCATGAGAACCATGACAGGGCCGTTTTGCTCCTCTCTCTATTCACTTGCATCGTGGTAGGTCGCCATTCAAGTTACGTTGCTGGAAACAGCGGTTTGCTTTGAACGAAGGTGAGCAGACAGGGTGTGTCAGGAATATGAATTTACTCCTAATTCCCAATTGAATCCCACACCAAGCCCTTAGCAAGATGTGGTCATATTGTCTTCTCCCCCGCCTTTCGCTTCCGTGCGAGTCTCACAGAAAAATCGCAACCGCTTACTAGTCCATGGGACTCCGAAGGGGTAACTCTGTGGGCCAATTTTAATTCGGTAATAATTCAAGTTCTTGTGTTTGTTGATTTTCCCGTCCTCCTGCAGAGGGTGATCATGAATACAACAGATGATTTTTGAAGGTTCGAATATGAGAGCTCTACGAGCCGGACGGGCTGGCGAGTAAGTGTGAGGACATAATTGGAAATCGGTGGCCCAGTGAGCTGAGCAAAATACAAAACTGTCAAAATCTGATCTAATTTTACGCTATGACTGAATAGTGGCTTAGCAACACTCAAGAAGACAATCCCCTCGCCTTTTACTAGGGGATTCCGTGTGTGTTGCTAATGTACGCCACATATCTCAATTTTTCAGGACTCAGCTTGATCTGAGAATTTATTTTTGTTTGCTTTCTTACTTATTTGTACGCCAAGTGACTGCTGCATGACGCCGGGAAGGGTTCAAGAATCAAGATGGCTGGTGCTAACTATATGGGAGGCAAAATGTGTGTCGTCGTCTACTCTTCGTTTTCTTTTCCAAACTTTTTCGTCAGAAATGCTGCCAAGGTCCGCTCCAGAGATGAAGCAGGTCGCCAACAGAAACGATTCTTCGGTCGCCAACGCCTGAATCTCTTGTCCAAGGGCCTTCCTCAGCAGTCACGCCGCTCCATCACTTCTCGAATATCGAGGAATCAGCCCCAGCCCACCATCTCGCTGGCACATTCAAAGCAGAACTCGACCTTGTCACCTCAAGGTTACATTCCCAGTCCGAGCAAGCCTCCAAAATTCAAACGAGATGGTCCCAGCTTCGCGAGCAGCAGTTCAAAAGTCCCTGAGGCCCTAGATACATCAGAGCGTACGCTCCCCGCACTTTCTCCCACTGCTTGTCACTCAGTTTAGCTTAGCTATATTTTTGCGAGCTGCCATGAATCAGATTCTCTCCCTACCGGACCTGGCTGGGTTATCCACCTACAAGAAGCGAAAACGGACCTCGGATACGTCTTCGTCCAAGGTGAGTTTTCCTATGGCAATATTGGAGTGAAACCCTGACGCTCGCTTAGAGGGTCAAATCAGAACGGTCGCCAGAGAAGGATGAGGAGCTGTCGTTTGGATCCCAACATGAGCGATTGTGCCACAGCCCCCTTCGGGACATATATCATAATTCAGACGGCAACGAGTACGATGACGAACTGGACGACCCGTTCATTCAACCCCATCATCTTGGTTCTCACACGACCTCGAGCATAAGCAGCAAGCTTTTCCCCAGTTCGGCTCCTTCGCAGAGAAAGTCGCATATACCCATCCCCAATGACTCAACCTCTTCCCTTGAGACACTTCCTGTCACATCTTCACTCCAAACGTCGTTTTCAGGAAACATCTTTGACTATGATGATCCTTGGACAGCCATGGGAGTCATACTCGGGCTGAAATCTGCTCCCAGTACTCCCGTGCAGGACATGGATAATACGTCAGCCTTGGCAGAGCATCCCCGACCTCCAGCTCTGGGTCATCAGAGGCGCCGAGTCAGGCTAATTGCTTATTCGCCAGTTTCTTCCTCTGAAGGGATTCCCGTTGCGAGCAGCCATTCCTCAGATAACATTCCTCCTCCTATTGTAGACCACGATGATCAGTCTGACGACTTTCATTTTTCCGAAGACGACAATAATCATGATTTTGAAGACCAGTACACTCATGATATCCCTTCTTACTTACACCAAAACTTTTCGCCCTCTCTGCTGCATCCCGAATCAAATCCATCGTCTGCCCATTTTGCTTCCTCTGACAACTATTTCAACAATTCAGTGCGTTCACCTGTAGTCCGTGAAGAGAGAAATGACCTTCAACCTTCATTCAACTATGATTCTTTTTTTGACGGCTCTACCTCCGAGCATCATTCACGACTTATTGTGAAGGACCACGCTAATCCCGAGGACCCTGATGACTACTCTCTCTATGAGACAACGTCTTCGGCGATCCCTGACGCTGATCAGTGCATTGAAGAACCGATTCCTGTCATCTATAGTTCACAGTCGCGATCTCCCATTATCGAGCACCCTTCACTTAACTTTCCTAATAGACAAGACACTATCACCACAAAAAAAGCGCCTGGTGTTTCGCCTCATTATAACATGACCAGAGACATCCTTCATACGGCCCAATATGTTTCATCCAATGCTCCTGCTTGCTCCTCACGAAATCCTAAGGTGGATGGATCCCCGCGTACTTCCGATCATCCGCCTACGAATGCTCCTCTCTACCTTCTCGATAACACTCCACACGACACTGCATGCCAGTTGCCTCCTTTACTTATCACTATCGAAAGTTTGGACTCTCATCACGTTCTTGCTCGCGATTCTCAAGACTCGGAACCTGCTGTCGAATATTCACTGACACTTGAACAGTCTCACTCCTTTGCTGATGAACTGCTGCTCCATTTGCCAACCGATGACAAGCCTGTGTTCGAGCCTGAAGGCGCTTTTCCTTTGGCTTTTACCGGTTTCAACTTATTTTCAAAAGATGATTTCTTGGAGGAATCAGATAGTGACTAATGAGCACTTTTAGCAGGCGACAAAGCTAGTTCGATTATGCCTTTCAGTATTCGCTCGCATCTGTCTTTAGAATCAAGCAGCTCTGAACAGCCGTTGTTTGTAACGTCCTATGTAATTTCGCCTCGAGTAATTGCTATAAATTCCTGCCAGTACGCTTTTGCTGGACTCTCCAACATACTTATTCTTTTGCTGACCATACCCTCCTTCTGCTCAATCGGCGCTGGACTTGTGCTCGAGCCTAAAGACACTGTTGCTTAGGCTTTTGTGAGATGGCGCAAAAGAGTAGCGCCAAAACTCTTCGTCGTCCGAGCAGTTGCATGAGGACCTTGGGGGATGGGGGAAGCCTAGTTCGTTATTACAGGTTTTATATACTTGGTACTTGGCCAGGTAATCTGTTTAGTCTCCAGCATTCCGTGTCCTCGGCTTCATGTGCTTATCTGCCTACCCGTCCTGCTTGCCTGCCGTGCCGTGCCATGTCCCTACTTTAGCGGAGCCTTTCAAATCAATTTTAATTTTCTTCGGAGAGATAAGATAACTCTCCCGTAACTTCTACATCGCCCATTTTTGCGTGACTACCAACTTATCTAGTCACTTCAGCTTTTGCAGAATGCGTAGGTGTCTATTCTTATATTACTTACACCGATCTTACACTTAATACGAAGGTGTTGGCTATGATGCATCAAAGTATTATGGCACCCGCGGAGGTTCCGATACGCTCGTGCTCGCCTTGCTTCGTTCTTTCACTCAACCTTCGGAGTTCCTATTCCGAAAGACAATGTCATTGTTTAAGCGTGATTGCGGGAACACGGAAGTTAATGCGCCCAACTTAAATAATAAGTCACAGAAAAGTTGAAAATCGTGGGCTGCGAGAGTACGCATTTTCGCTTCTTCCACAGCAGCCATGTCTGAAAAGGCGTCGGTTGATAGCGAGACCAAGTCCGAAAAAACTTTTACAGAACAGAACGGCCATCCCCGCCGAGCACGGTAAGGCAACTGCTGGTTGAATTATTCAATATCAATATCAATATCACTCTTATCCTTGAATTCTTAGATGGCAGCGCATACCATTTCTTTCAGTGTCTGCACATCCGCCAAAAGCATCCATCCAAGAAGCTGAACTTCTGCCCGAGGTCCAAGCGAACTGGTTCGATATCCTCACCTTTGGCTGGATTACTGCCCTGCTCACTCTCGGCTATGCACGTCCACTGGAGGCTCCGGATCTCTACAAGCTGCAAGACAGCCGCGGAGCAGCATTCATCGGTGACCGGATCACCGCGTCCTTTGAAAAAAGGTGTTCGGCCGCGGAGGCATACAACCGTCGGCTGCTGAACGGTGAGATCAAGCCCGGCATGAAAGCGTTGTGGTGGACCCTTCGAGGCAACCGCACCGAGCGGGAGAGAAAATGGAGAGAAACTGATGGTCAGCGCAAGCCCAGTCTGGTCCTTGCTATAAACGACAGCATAAAATGGTGGTTCTGGTCTGCCGGTATCTTGAAGGTGCTCGGAGACACAGCTCAGTTTACGAGCCCCCTTCTCCTCAAGGTAAATCGCCTCCTCATCGTGCCAATCCTTTTGATCCCTCACTTCCGCAGGCCATCATCAATTTCGCAAAAGATTCTTATACCGCTCATCAGACGGGTGACTATGCCTCCATCCCACCAATCGGGAAAGGCATTGGCTTGACTTTTGGTTTGCTGGGACTGCTAATCGTTTCGTCACTATGCACACACCACTTCTTTTACCGATCTACGTCTACAGGAGTTCTCATACGTGGTGGTCTAATCAGCGCGATTTATGTTCGTTCTCTTCGACTAAGCTCTCGCGCACGATCGAAGCTCCCGAATGGTCTGATAATGAACCATATCTCAACGGACGTATCACGAATCGATTTTTGTGCAGGCTTTTTCCATATGGTGCGGGTTTGGCTTGAAACATGTGTATGGACTGTTCGTTTACTTGTTTTTGTCACAGGCTTGGACCGCACCGATTCAACTGGCCATATGTCTCGTACTTCTTCTGCTGAACCTGGGCCCTAGTGCTCTGGTCGGTTTTGCGTTTTTCGTGGTCGCGGCACCGATTCAGACAAAGGTTATGAAGAACATGTTTGCGTTCCGGGAGAGTGGCATGAGATGGACCGATAAGCGTGCCAAACTTCTCCAGGAATTGCTTGGAGGCATGAAGGTGGTCAAGTTTTTTGCATGGGAAATTCCGTTGGCGAAGAGAATAAAGGAGTTTCGACAAAAGGAGATGTCGTGAGTACTTTCTCACCTCATAAGACTACTATATTTTGATGTTATGGGAAGCTTCGTCCGCTCGATACTCCTCGTGAAGGCTGCCAACATTGCCGTGGCTCTATCTATGCCTGCATTATCGTCAGTGGTGGCCTTTCTTACGTACTCCGCTACTGGACACCAGCTTGAAGTATCTGTCGTCTTTCCTTCTCTCACCCTCTTCCAGCTTCTCCGTTTGCCTCTAATGTTCTTCCGTAAGTGGCTTTCGATCATTTGTTTACCTTATGTGCTTAAACTATGTTCACAGCCGCATCTCTTTCCGCCATTGCCGATGCCGAGAATGCTATTCAGCGTCTTTATGGCATCTTTGAAGCAGAAACACTCGAGGAGACATTTGATCGTGAAGACGATCTTCATGTTGCCGTTGAGGTCAAGAATATTTCCTTCACTTGGGATGCGCCACCTCCAGAATCAGCCGAGGGAAAGAAGGGGAAGAAGGACAAGAAGAAGGGAAAGCCCGAAGTTGACCCATCATCGGCGGGTGCGGTTTTCGAGCTGAAGGACGTCTCTCTTAGTATAGCCCGCGGACAGCTTGTTGCTATTGTTGGCACCGTAGGTGCCGGAAAGACCTCTTTGCTTCAGGGTATGGTTGGTGAGATGAGGCGGGTTCCGAATATAAATGGGGATAAAGGCACGATCAAGTTCGGCGGGAGTGTTGGATACTGCCCTCAGAGTGCATGGATCCAAGTGAGTCCCTCATTTTTCTCTTCATTCTTATATTCAATGAGGTGTAGAACGCGACGATTCGGGACAATATTTGCTTTGGTCGTCCCTTCAAGGAAGACAAATATTGGCAGGCTGTTCAGAACTCCTGTTTAGAGCGTGATCTTGACATGCTACCTAACGGTGACATGACTGAAGTTGGTGAAAAGGTTAGTGCTATTAATTAGTCCCAGAATCGGTAATGCTGACAAAATCCAGGGCATCTCTTTATCAGGGGGTCAGAAACAACGTCTGAATATCTGTCGTGCCATCTACTGCGACACAGAGATCCAGATCTTTGATGTAAATCGACTTATATGTCAGTGAGGATATAGATCTGATGATTTAACAGGATCCTCTGTCCGCTCTCGATGCTCATGTAGGAAAGATGGTATTCCAGAACGTCCTACGGAACGCTGCACCTGGAAAGACGCGTATATTAGTTACTCACGCATTACACTTTCTTCCTCAGGTGGACTACATCTTCACCATTGCAGATGGACGTATAGCAGAGCAAGGCACGTACGATGAGCTCATGCAGAAAGACGGGGAGTTTTCAAAATTCTACAGAGAGTTTGGGAGTCAAGAGGAGAAGGAAGAGGAGGAGGTAGAGGAGGAGGAGGAAGCTATTGAGAGCATCGTGAAGGAGACAGAGACTGAAGGTGATCTTCGGACGAAGGTTACTCCAGGACCAGGGTTGATGCAAGAGGAGGAGCGGAATACTGGGGCCATTAGTTTGTCCGTGTATAAGCGGTTTTTGGATGCTGGCAGAGGGCGTGTCGTTTTACCCATCCTGTTTGCCTCCATTGTCTTTGTCCAGACTGCGATCGTGATGGGGTCTTATTGGTTGGTGTACTGGCAGGAAGAGTGGGTTTTGTTCTTTCTTTTGAATGTCCGAGATATGCTGATTTTGTGCCAATTGTTAGTAAATGGGCTCGCCCACAAGGGTTCTACGTGAGTTTACCTGTGATTTTAAGCAGTGAAAGATGGCTGACGCAGTTGGTGTAGATGGGCATATACGCAATGCTGGGCGTCGCGCAAGCCTTTGCATTCTTCGTTATGGGAAGCATGTTTGCTTTATTGACATATTTTGCAAGTCAGAATTTGCATAGTGTAAGTCATTGGTCTGCGGTTCATGGGAACCATTGAGACTTATGGTGTTCCTATAGCTAGCCGTTGACCGTATTGTGCACGCGCCCATGTCGTTCTTCGAGACTACGCCACTTGGTCGGATCATGAACCGATTTTCGAAAGGTATGCTCATTTCTCCTCTCATTGGATACAACTGAAGATCGTGTAGACATCGATACGATTGACAATATATTGGCAGGTGAGCGTCCTCACCCCATGAGAAATCCTAGATTTTGACGTACTTCTTCAAGATTCCATGCGAATGTTTGCGGCGCCGGCTTCATCGGTCATTGGTGCCATCATTTTGATAGCGATTATCTTGCCGTGGTTCTTGATCGCTGTCTTTGTCGTTCTCATCGTCTACTTGTATGGGGCCGCCTTTTATCGAGCGAGTGCCCGGGAGTTGAAAGTACGTGACTATGATTCACTATCTGACAAAAAGCTGCTGATGATACATTGTCTATAGCGCCTTGGTATTCTTTCTGACGTCTGTTTCTTTCGAATATGTACTAATTGTTTACAACACAGATGCTGTACTGAGATCGTCACTATACTCTCATTTTTCTGAGTCACTTTCAGGCCTGGCAACAATCCGTGCGTATGGCGAGTCTGAGCGCTTCGTCAAGGAAAACGAGGAACGGATTGATGTGGAAAATCGAGCTTACTGGCTGACTGTCACCAACCAGGTTTGGAGGTCTTTTATTAGAGTGACGTTTAATTGACGCCTATTGCTTATTGCATTTAGCGTTGGCTGGGTATACGCATAGACCTCTTGGGCAGTCTTCTAACTTTTGCTGTTGCGATGCTGACCGTCGGGACGAGATTCAGCATTTCTCCGGCGCAAACAGGTCTTGCACTCGCATACATTTTGAATGTTCAGCAAGCGTAAGTCCTTAAAGTTATAGAACAAGCTTTGTTCGGTATTAAACCCCGAAATTAATCTTCTTGACAGGTTTGGATGGCTTGTACGGCAAAGCGCAGAAGTCGAAAATGATATGAATTCGGTGGAACGAATAGTACATTATGCCACTGAAATTGAGCAGGAGGCTCCGCATGTGGTACCTGATAGCAAAGTTCCTGAATCTTGGCCGTCTGTGGGCCGTGTAGAATTGAAGGACGTAGTACTGAGCTACAGGCCTGGACTTCCTGCCGTCCTCAAGGGTGAGTTTTTATCCTTCATGTCGTTCTCCGAATATATATCTTCGGTTCTTAGGTATATCCATGACCATCAAAGCTGGAGAAAAAATTGGTATCGTTGGAAGGTAAGGAAAGGTGTCCGTATGTTCTTGCTGCTAAATTGATTTGCATCTTGTAGGACCGGAGCAGGCAAAAGTTCTATCATGACTGCCCTGTATCGGCTGGTCGAGCTGTCCTCAGGATCGATTTGCATTGACGGCGTTGACATATCCACTCTTGGGTTGACGCAGTTGCGGAAAAGCTTGTCAATCATTCCTCAAGATGCACTATTGTGTGCGTCGTGTTTTCCCATACACGTGTACTTATGCTCTTACTAACGCTAATGCCCTCACAGTCTCTGGAACTCTCCGGTCTAACCTTGATCCTTTTAATACACATGACGATGCGAAACTATGGGACGCGTTGAAGCGATCGTACCTTGTGGACTCGCCGGCAAAGGCGGTCACAGACGAGAACAGTGATTTGTCTACCCCAATTAACAAATTCAGTCTTGATACTGTCATTGAAGATGAGGGCGTAAATCTATCAATTGGCCAGGTAAAGCTATTAAAACCAAGTTCACGGGTATGACGGAGCGGAAAAGCTGATTGCCCTCATATCAGCGATCGTTGGTGTCACTTGCGAGAGCCCTGGTCAGGGACTCCAAAATTCTCATACTCGACGAGGCTACGGGTGCGTTGTCTTTCTGATCGCGTTTTTCCTAGGCTAATGTCATCGGCCATACAGCGTCTGTTGACTATGAGACTGACAGAAATATACAAGACACTATTACCCGCGAATTTCAAGATCGCACAATTCTATGCATAGCTCGTGAGCCTGCTCGTTTTCTAGCGGAAAGGTTTCAAGCTAACGTTCGTGATCCTTAGATCGCTTGCGCACGATCATTTCATACGATCGTATATGTGTTCTTGATGCTGGAGAGATTGCTGTAAGCTGTTCGTTCTGTTTAATCTAGTCGGCTCACAAGAGCGTCAGGAATTTGACACCCCCTCAAAATTATACGAAATGACCAGTGGGATTTTCAGGGCAATGTGTGATCGGTCATCGATCACACTAGATGACATCAGGCTTGCTTCTAACCAGAAAGTTAACTGATTAATACAGTTTTCGATTAGAATTTAGACTGTAGAAATATAATCCAGCGGATTCACGGCTGGTACTCGGTGATTACATGCACATACCGTCGACGTTATACGAATAAGTAATGCTTGCATTCAGTTCACCATCATTTGCAGAACTTCCTAAATATGCGCTTGAAAAGACTCTGACGAAATGCACCATTCTGCTTGTTCGTCAATCGGTGATGAACCTCTGTTCGAGTCTAAAGATGTTCCTTCGTCAACTTGTATTCAAAAGATGGTTTTTTGGAGGAGCCAGATAGTGACGGATGAGTACTCTTAGCAGGCGGCAAAGCCGGTTTGTTTATGTTGGCTGCGACACATGTAACTTCGCTCGATAAGCAGATTTGGGAGCGAACGCCTCGGCGGAATGAGTCATGACTATGGATCATCTAATAAGGCGAACACGTAACACTAGTTACGGAACTAACTGGTCGTCTACGACTACAGCAAAGCAAGAAAACTACACTACAGAAAACAAACGACAAGACACGAAAGCTAAACCAGATTCAAGCTATACATGCAGCGACATCCAAGACAAGAAACGGAACAAGTTCATACCAACAGTAAGTTCTTGTTCGCCAGAGCCCGCCTCCAAGGGACCGGGTCCTGCTTCCCGCTCAGCTCTGCACACACCTGCTCCAACAATTCCAGAACCGCAGCACAATTGCCGACACTCCCTTCCCTCCTTAGCTGGTCACACAAAATCCCCCTCAGCTCCTCGTCATTCGTCAGACACCCGCACACGAAGAACGCAAATACCGTGCTCCTCACCACCGCGTTATCCGCCTTCGCCATCAGTTGTACCGCCTCCTGCACAGCCTTCTCCATATCTTCTGCACCTGGGAAATCCCCATTTACGACGGAGAGCAAATAGACCTTCGCGGCCATCCGGAACACCTCCGAACACAGGTTTCGCGAACCAGGGTGATGGTGATATGCGCTCAGCAGTTCGTTGAGGCATTGGAAGATGGGCTCAGCTCGCTGGACTAGCCGTATGATGCTCAGCCTGCCTTGATCGATTTCTTGCTGTTTCCAAGCAGAAAGCGCGGATACTTCTGCCAATGCCCACAGAACGCGGCTCTCGCATCCCATGACGGTCATCATGTCGCCATCGGGAGCGTTGATCTCTGACACGCCACTCGCATACGGGGAGAACAGCTCCCTTGTGACCTGGAGGAAGCTAGGCTCTGTCTGAGTTGTCACAGATGCGAGAACGTCAAACCAAATGGACGCTTTGATGAGGAAAGCCTGCTTTTTGCTACATGCCATGAGAGCATGTTGGGGAGATGCATATTTGCTGAGCAGAATATGTGCATGTTTGGACACCATGTTCAGCCAATGCTGCCATTCGCCCATTCCGCCATCGAAGAGGAGAGTGGAAATCATGGTCAGGGAAGCCATCGCTTGGTCGTCATCGTAAGAATGGGGGTCGTTGAGAGTTTTCTGGAGGTCGGAATAACGTGATTGGGCAAAGTCATCCTGTAGAGCGATAGACAAGGGAGATGTGTGGCGCCGTTCATGAATGAAAGCCAGCAAGCGAGTCGAAGCTTGATGCCGTCCGGGACTCTGAATGGAGCGCAGAAGTTCAGAGCGCGTCTCCTCGTCGGAAAATTGGTACTGCATGGCAACAACTATGTCGGTATAGCGTTTGTCGAGCTGGGCATCGGAGAGCCTAGATTCGACATCCATGACGCTGAAGGACGGTAGAACTAGAATTCATTTTCAGATCAAGAACTAAAGTGAAAAGGTGGCACTTACGGGTAAAGAAATCGGTAGGATACAAGTCGAAGGGTATTATCGATTGGGAGGTGGTATGAAAGGGTGATGGGGACTGGGGTAACAAGAGATCTGAATAAAATGGATCAATTATTATACGTGTACTTGGGAGTAATGAAGCGGCTCACTTCCTCGGCTCCAAGGGGTTAGTAAGCCTTCCAACTCGACTGGGCCAAAGTTGTCGAGAAGGAAGTCTTCACAGAGAGGTGGGCCGACGTCGCTTGGAAAAGAGGCGACCTCCAAGTCACCATCCCACAAAATCAGGTACGAAGGATCGCGACCAGGCAGAACAGAGCCGCCGGCAATGAAATGCTTAATTTTTGATAGAATTTCATCACATTTCGACTGTAATTTAGACGGTCAGCGCCACAATAACGAAAACGAAAATGGAGGGATAAAGCACCCTTGTGAGCCATGTCGGTCGCTTGTCTCCAAATCCAAGGCATTGTACCTTGAGACGAACGCAGGTGTTGCAATGGCCGTTATGATCGCGAGCTTCATCGCATTTCTGGGTTGCGCCACATACACAGGATACGGTCAAAAATTGCAAATAATGGACAGAAAGGGAACGAACTGAGTTGAATCCATGATATCAAAGCAAAGCGCCTACCTTGCGCCGGATCCTGCAAGTATAACAGCCTGACTTTGCGCGCGTTCCTTTAGGCTTAAGCGCCCCAGGGCCTGTCTCACCGTTCCGTACCCGAGGCATGATGGTACAAGAGAAAGCTAGAACAAAAGCGAAACAGTATGGATAGTAAAACGAACGCGAACAGGTAGCAACAAAGGGAAGAGGAGAAGAAGGAAACAAGGCAGCGCCCAACCAGTGCCTTGACCTTGTTCCCTTATTTGTTATTGTGCCGGAGGTGGCGTTGTGCCCTTTGCTTTGCTTCTTTCATTACTTGTGACCTCTCATAGCCACTGGTATTATGTAATACTCAGCGCACCGCTTGCGATAGCAGAGTTGGGCGACGAACGAAAACTGTTGCCGGCTCCCACGAGGACGGCAGTGAAGATACAGAAATCGAATGTCTAACCCCCGAGCAATCCTCACAATGGCTCAGAATCTGATAAACACGAAATCACATTACTCGCTAACGCTTTGTTGTCTTTGCGGCATCTCAACTTGTGCGTAGGCATCCTTCTCGACCTCCGAGTCCCGACGATCGTGGTGACAAAACTCGGCCATCTCGGCTACTCAAAAGTGGTTCATAATGACGTCTTCAAGTCTTGCACTTCAAGTTCTATCCTCTTCGACTGTATAATGGGAGGCGTCCCGTCGAGAAACTTCAACCCTGTGGAGGATCTTCCTAGCCTAGCTGGGAAAGTGGTATTAGTAACTGGCTCCAGGTATGGTTACTTTCCCTCTTTTCAGCCAAGCTCACAAGCTCACAATCTCACAGTAGAGGAATCGGCTTTGCCATATTGCAGCACTTTGTGAGCATGGGCGCAAAGGCAATTTTTTACCACATAAAGTTGAAAATACTTGACATCCTAACGCGACTTATCAGGTGTATATGGCTGCCCGAGACGAGACCAGAGCGAAAGAAGCCATCGACCGACTCGATAAAGGCGGTCGCGATCCTGGTCTTGGCCAAGTCATCTGGCATGCACTCGACCTCAGAGATTCTCGTTCTGCAAAGGAATCGGCAGAGCGCTTCGTTGCTCGGGAAAAGAGACTGGACATCTTGGGTTTGTCCACAAATTTATTCGTTGGTCGCATCGCTGATATCATTACTCAGTAAACAACGCTGCACTGTTCGTGGGCCATCTTCTCACTTCAATTACAACACTGATGGCTATCTACTCTAGGATTACCGACCTTGGAAAGCTTCAAGAGAATTCAGATGGAATTTTGGAGAGTATGGCGGTCAAGTTTGCTCTTTGTTCGCTTTGTTAGCTTTGGTTGCTCTACTTATCCTATTTCTCAGCTACTTAGGACCTTATATATTTACAAGAACACTTCTCCAGCTCCTCGAATCAACAACCTTGCTGGATGGGGCCGACGTGCGAATTATCAATGTGAGCCATGCGTACTCCCTTCCATTTATGCGACTTGGTTCACTCGAGTACATAGGTTGGATCCAGTGGCCATAGCTTTGTGAAATACCTGGAATACGGTTCCAAAGACGCGTGGAACCACCCATTTAAATGGTATCTAATCCCAAATTTCGAGCGTTATAGTAAGGCGCTTCATTTTCAAGTCATCTGTACCCAGGTAAAGTGTTTGCAGAATACTCGAAACTTGCAATGCACCTATGGACGAACGACCTAGCCCGGCGTCTTTCTGAGCAACAATCCAAGGTGATGGTACTGATCACACAGCCAGGGGCCATTCTAAGCGTTCGTTCTTCTTTCCCGCCTGCCTGCTAGACAACGGATGACTTACAACTTTTCTAAGGATGGCGTTATCCATTCTCTGAGCCGCCTCCCTTATCCTCCGCTTTGGATCTGGTTGGCAGGGTTAGTAATGCACCCTCAGACTCTGGGAGCATATACGTCAGTTTTTGCAGCTTGCGCACCCCGCGATAATCCCGAAATATCCCAGGGTGCCTATATCTACCCCCCAAATGTTGCAGTAGCGCAAGCTCCGGCCGCTTTGGATGAGGTTAGGCAAAGACAACTGGCCGAGTTCACTGAGGAGTTCTTGCAGAGCATTGGGGTGTAGTCATGATGTCTCTCATGCACCCTTTCCTATTGATATATATTTTCCCGGCCTTCCCCCCCCCCCTGCAACTGCTTCCTATCGCTACCTCATTTAAGATAGTACGATAAAGACCATGACAGTCGCTATGTCCATCCCGACCTCGATTAATTCCACTCATACATAAGGGAAATTAGAATGATAGATGTAACTGGCTGTCGGTACTTATAAGAAAGAGGCTCATGTACACTTGGGGGTCCAGGTACAAGCTACTTACTACACACCGACACTTTGTAATAATGCTTCTGTAAAGTCTTTTAGTTATCGCGGCTTGCTTTCGTCTAAGGCTGCAGGCGCTTGCACGACTGCGACATTTGGAGGAAATATATAAGCCCTGTGCGATATCTCAGGGTTGTCTCGCGGTGTGCACGCTGCAAAGACGGACGTATAGGCTCCACGAGTCTGAGAATGCATTCTCAGACCGAACAGCCATATCCAAAAAGGTGGATACGGCAGTCTTCAATGACCGAATGGCGCTGTCCTAAACACACACAAAGTTAAAGGCTCGTTACTCAGTATGGTTGAGATAGACGCACGCTCAGGATAGCACCGGGATGGGCAATCAATACCATTACTTTGGATTTTTCTGTGGAAAGTCGCAGTACCAAATCGTTTGTCCATAGATGGACTGCGAGCTTTGAATATTCTGCCAACAAGTGAGCGATTAACGGCATAGTAGAAAAATCAGACCCACTATAGCGGGACATGGTGGGAAGTAGAGACCATCTGAATTTATGGTTCCACGCATTTTTGGAGCTATAGTCCAGGTATCGGACATCTTTATGACCGTCCGATCCGACCTGCAAAACATTTGCGTTGAGCGGCAGGTCAGTCAGCATTTGCCCTTCAGCAAGTTCACATTAACTATCCGTATATCCGTGCGTCGGCCCCGTCGAGAGAGGCTGTCGATTCAAGAAGAGGAAGAAGCATCGTCGTGAACACAAAAGGACCCAGATAGCTATGCAAAAGAACCACCGAAGTCAATATCACTCTGCGAAAAACATCCTGAGAAACGTACTTGATCGTCATATTATACTGAATTCCGTCAACGTTCATCTGAGGGTTTCCAAGGTCGGTTATCCTAGAAAGATTAAATATATGCGATATTGGGAAAAGTCGTGATCATGGACTTACTGAGCTGCGTTGTTAACTATTCGGCGCAATGATGAAAGAAGTGTATGCATACAAACTTAGAATATCAAGTCTGGTCTCAGGTCCAGCTCATGCCAAATGAGTTTCCAAGACCAGGGGCGCGTCCTTCCTGTTCTACTCTCTCTAGAGCTTCCCTGGTCATGCCTTCGTCCGGTACCGCCATATACACCTTGAACAGCCACGACAAGAGCCCAAGCCATTCATACACGCGCCCTAGGAAAAGATGTGTCAAAATACCTTTGCTCCCATCCTTGACAAGTGTTGTAAACTGGCAAACCTGTTCTGGCAGAAAACGTAACCTACCCTAGAGCCAGTTACAATCACAAGGAGCTGCGCCCATGAGACTTGAGAGCAATTGTACTAGAGATGGATGATGAAGCGCATGGTAGGAACTGATTACCAAATCCCGTATTCACTGCATCACTATTCCAAGGCACGAAAATACAACCGGCCTCGGCTGATTTTCCTCGATTTTTCCCAAGAAAATGCAGCCACGGAGCAGTGACCTGAGTCGTGTCGGATGCCTATTCATAGCTGACGGCAATTGGCACCGCTCCTGGATCTCAGGCTACGTACCGCCGTGACATGGTACGGCAAGCTTCCTACCATTCAATGAACATGAACGTCAGCCGGGACCCAATACTGTGGCAGAATTTACTGCTTGGGTAGTGATGCAATAATGGCACTGGTATCTTGACAAAAGAGTACTTATACAGTGGTAGGTGCTCATTCTAATTTCTCTCAGGCTCCGGCTTGGTTGCGCGTTGATCTCGCTTGACGTTAGTCATCTGTTTCAAGCTATGGTATATTGAAGAAAAGTTATAAGCTATTCGAGTGAAGGACCCTTTTTGCATTCTTCCCAGTAGTACTTTGTATATTGACTTCCAAAATCATGTCGACAGCGCAGACCGGGCAATCTACTACCCTTCCAGCTTTCGACAATACCTTGGGGGCTCTCTATATCGGGTCTAGTCTCGCTACAGCGTGCGTACTCTTTCTTTTTCTCAAACTGTCACATGGGCTCTAATGCGATTTGACCAAGTCTGTACGGGGCCATTTGCATCCAGACATTTTTATACGTCACTTCCAACCGAACTCGATTTGACAGCTGGCCGATGAAGTTGCTTGTCTTCATTCTTTTGTAAGTTGAACGACTCTGGACTAGCAACCTGAGTAGTAGGACTTATATCAGCTGTAGTGTGAATTCTTCAATTCCTGTCTTTTCGAGTACACTCTCATCGTATTCATATATAGGGACTAGATACAGCACACCAGTTCCTGATGTTAGCAGGGATGTATCACTTTCTGATTACTGACTATGCCAATCCGGTTGCGCTTCCAACAGGAGGATCGACTAGCAGTGAAGCGTGAGTGTGCCATGACTTTCCTACACTCATTTGTGGCTCTCATCGATAGATGATCAGGCCGGTTATATACGTGAGTCCAAATAGTTTTTTTGTACTATTGTGGCTTGAACGCGAAGCATTTGACAGGACAAAGGAATTGTTGGAGTAAGTTACCATTCTTTTCCTGCCTTTTTGATAGTGTTTAATGAACCAGATTAGCACCATTCTTCTAGTACAGCTGTAAGGAAACATCCTATTGGACGGGGGTCAAAATGACATTGGTTCAAAGGTTTTTCTGATGGCGTATATGGACTTTCAGCGCCTCTTCCCCCGCATCTACATATGCGAATTGCTTATATCGTTATTGCGGTGAGCACTTCTGTTGTACGCATCTTGTGACCTCCTTAACACTGGTCATAGGTCTCGTTGGCGTTCCTTAACTTTGGTCAGTGGGACGAGGCTGCCGTTTCCTCAGGCTTATGGGCTTCACGTTTCAATTTGAATAGCCTCAACATCGGTGCGCCTTTACATTCAGGTCGGCTCAACAGTACTAATAATACCTTGCAGCTCTATCTATCTTTAACTACAGGCACCGCTTTTTAACTGCCAATACACATGACTTTACCGTAGGGCACACCCATTCATAACAAGCGCTTTTTCTCTCCATAGTTATATGGGCGATGATGATCTTATATGACCATTTTGAAGCTCTGAATCTTTACCGTTCCCGATCAGGAATGAAAGGGTGCGTAGTTGGCTTTTGCTTTGATCCTCTTATATCACGGAAGCAGGAGTAACCATGTCATCACTATGGACCTCATATTATTTACCGTCAACACAAATCTCATCACAACGTCAGCTTTTTTCCGCCCGATCTTTATGACTCTATTACTGACAGCTACAACAGGTTTCTTTCACTGGGATCACTAGTGACTCTGAGACAACTCTACTGCGTCGGTTCAAGTCCTCACTTGACGAATCTTCCATAGTACCTGGTACTCCCTGATGCAACGATATACGGAGGAATCTCATTCATTTTTTCTAAATGTACAGTTCATCTGTTGAACAGGCCGCCTTCCCAGTGATTAATGAAAAGCTTCGCTCTTCTAGCATATCTCATCTCGTTTCTAGTAATGTTAATCTGTTCTTCATTCATGATTCAAGTGGATCTTACAACATCCTTGTTGTCCTAGTCTCAACTCCCGAGAATTCCTTCGATTCGAGAGAAGGTGGATTACCACTCACAGCCAAGGCTATCCTCCATTCCAGATTTTTCTGGTCCAAGTGTATGCGCCGAGTACCATCTCAATATTTTGCATCGAATTGACAATTCGCTCAGATTACTGATGCCACATCGACCGCCGGGGAGCAGTTTGAGCTGTCGTTGATCGCTGTTGTCGCCAATAGTTCAGCATCCAAAGTATGACATGTTTCATTCTGGATTCTGCACCTAACTAGTTATCGTCATTATTTATCTCACAAGGTGACCGTCTTTGGGTAGAATCCCCTAAAATCGTTACATAACCTGAAGTTGGGTGATTTAGATAATTTCCTCGCGACATTTCCCGTCCGAGTTTATTTGTTATACTCCAATACTCCGCAACAATTCCTCTGTAAACTTGGATAGCTGACGTTGCCTACTCTCATCCAAAGCAGCCGGTGCTTGCGCCACTGCCACATTCGGAGGGAATATATAGGCACCGTGAGATATGTTGGGGTTGTCGCGCGGCATGCAAGCTGCGAAGACAGACGTGTACGCTCCCCTAGTCTGAGGATGTAAAAAAAAACCTAGCAACCAGATCCAAAAGGGAGGGAAAGGAAGGGAATTCAGTGCGCGGATAGCACCGTCCTATAAATTCATGAGCCGTTGTCAAAACAATGGAAGGAGGGACGAACACTTAGTATAGCACCTGGATGCGTGATCAGTACCATTACTTTGGATTGTTCTTCGGAAAGACGCCGTGCTAAGTCATTCGTCCACAAATGTACGGCGAGTTTTGAGTATTCTGACAAGAATTAATCTTGTAAAGTGATGTAAAGAGTGAAGTACTCACTGTAACGCTCCATGCTTGGGAGCAAAGACCATCTGAACGGATGATTCCATGCCTCCTTGGAACCATAATCTAAGTATTTTACACGGCTGTGACCGTCCGATCCAACCTATATAGCGAGGATATCAACAATCGAACAGTGGGAAGAAGATAAATTACATTGACTATTCGCACATCCGTGCTGGCCAGCGATGCTGTGGACTCAAGGAGTGGAAGTAACGTTCTCGTAAACACGTAGGGTCCCAAGTAGCTGAAATGTGGGATAAGAATATAATTGGAAGTGAAGGAGATGAAGAAAACAGCAAACTTGATCGCCATGCTCTCTCCAATGCCATCTGAGTTCATTTGAACATTTCCAAGACCCGCTATCCTGAAGGAAACGATGATCAACATTTAAACTAAGAGATCACAATGATCACGAACAGTCCCGCGTTGTTAACTGAACACGTATATCAGCTGCATAAATTATGGTTGGATAATGAACAAACCCAAGATATCAAGTCTGTTTTCCCTAGCGATGAAACGCTCCGCCGACTCCTTAGCAGAACGAGGAACTTTAAGATCAAGTTCATGCCAAATGACTTCTCCGAGACCAGGTTCGCGACCATCTTTTTCCAGTCGTTCCATAGCTTCTTTCGCTCTACCTTCATCGCGTACGGCCATATAGACCTAAAATGACATGTCAGAATACTCAAAGAATTTACGTATATTCAAAAATGAAATGCCTTTGCACCCATTCTAGAAAAGTGCTGGAGAGTAGCGAAGCCTATGCCTCTGCTGTGAGAGTGCGAGTGAGTTCAAGCCATGTTTCAAGGACATTAAGGGTACCTGGAGCCAGTTACTATCACCACTTTCCCAGCTAGGCTGGGAAGGTCCTCCACAGGATTGAAAGTTGTCGATGGAGCGACGCCCATGAAGTCTAAATAGCTAAGTAGTCGAGGACAAGGGGCGAATCTATTATAGGACGCTCCTGAGTGTCCGAGATCACCGAAGAGCGTCACCTGCGATTCCGAATCAAGCCTTATGAATGATGCAACTGGAGTCTTTCCAAGCACGTCTTCACCTTCCTACCTTCAACCAATATTGACGGAAGTCACACTATATGAAGTTGGGAGACGAGTGTGCAAGGAATGCTTTACAGAGCAGTCAGATGCATCATGAGGCCTGAGGCAGCGGAGTTGTTAGGCGCCTTTCCTGAGTAGATGGCCTAAAGGGTTACGCTGGACGCTTGTAAATTGCAAAGGAAAGAGGCAACTTGAATGTATGAAGCGGGAAAATATTCCGGGCATTTACGAATCGGACCGCATGGGTTAGCTAGAGGCCGATTCAAAAGCGATACGCATACATAGCCGTCCAACACTGAGCGCTATGACCTCAACAAAGGCGTCCTTCCCGTTTTCAAATCTAGGGGAAAGATTTAGAATTGAAGAAAAAAAATAAAGTTAAAGAGTCTTACACAGCATCAAACAGGATCGGTTCTCCATTAATGATGGGAGCATCGAGACAAGCCCTGGTAGCCGCCTCTTGAAGTTCCGGCGCCAATCTAGTGCATTTATTTCAGAAAGATGCTACGGCTTGAGTAAATCAATAACGAACCGGCCTATGATGCATTTGCGAGGCAAACAAGTGAGTGTAAAAAATCGCTCGTTCTGTCAAGAAACAGTGAGCATGATGGTGGGAGTTCGCAGTGAGAAGCCAATCTCACAGCATAAGTAATCAAACCATGATCCACATCTTCTGTTTCGAAGATGGCCACAGGGGATAGTTCACTCATGCGCTGGTAGCGCTGCTGCATCACCTTAAGCTCAAAGGTCCGATCTCGCACCTGTTTCTCGAGTCCGTGCCTCTGTTTCAGCGCATGGAGTCGGGTTCTAACACGGTTAAGCAACTCGGACGAGGTGAACGGCTACACAGAGTTATACTTCAGTTATTGAGGTTCGCATAACAAAGACTGTTCAACTAACTTTCAGTAGGAAATCCACAGCGCCTAAATACACTATCGGATCGATCCTCAGACCCAGTACGAGCGCTGAGGACTATGACAGGGATAGCCTGAATATCGGGATCTGGGTCCTCTGCTAATTTCTGAAGCAATTCAGTTCCGGTCACCCGTGGCACTGGCCAGGCAGTGAGAATGATGGCGATGAAGCAGCAGATAAAACAAACTAACTCATGATGTCAGTCACTATGAGATCTGGCCGCTCCTGCGTATGAATGTAATCAAGTGCAGCCTGACCATCAGAGACATCGACAACATCTTGAACAGCGTTCAGGAGAATCGATTTATGTAAGATCAAGCATCCTACAAAAGCCAATGACAATATTCCGAAATATCCTACGGCATTGTCCTCCGCCAATAGAACAGTGAACCGTTCGGGCGCCATAGTGACATCCATTGAAGAGGCATGACTCAACTGCGACGACGTATCTGAGTCTTCACCCAACCAAGCTGCCGATTCTTCGACAATACCGGCTGTATATGAGCTAGTTCCAGCGAGTGCCATATCAAAGTGGTCGACATCTTTCTCCCGTTGATGGCCACATCCGAGCGGTATTCTTACAGTAAAAACGCTGCCATGACCCTTTATGCTCTGGACGGTGATCGTGCCTTGATGAATCTTGACCAGCTCAGTGGTCAGGGCAAGGCCGATTCCAGTTCCTGATCCAAGAGCATGAAATGACATGGTATACATATTATTTTTGTTTGTTCTCACCTTCAATAGCTCTTCCATCCGAAGACTCTACGCGATGAAATCGCAAAAGGATTTTATCCAACTCATCTTCCAGGATGCCATAGCCCGTATCCATCGCTCATCAGCACTGTTGATGTTATAATCTGATGGGAAATCAGCCAGTGTGTTCCAAAGAAACTAAGATACGCACCGATCCCTACTTTTTCAATAGCAGACCGAAACAGAGAAGTCATATCGGCTGTTGCTGGACCTAACCTGACCGGACAAAAGTGCGCCTAAGAGAAATATTCAGCGATTCTGTTTGACAGCGTAAATAGAACGAATTACATGCAATCTCCTTGCCTCGGCGCTTGAGAAGAGCATGAGCGAATTGACTAGCCGAAGTAATCGTCCGCTAGCGTGGTATATTAGCTTGAATCGAGTTCTGTTGACAGCCTTCAGAGCATCATCACATGGCCCGCGAATGAGAGTGAGAGGACTATGACACGACAGATTAACGGCATATGACACTCAGCTAAAAACCAACGGACGTTCGTAATTCATGAGAGACGTTCTGAAAGAGAATGTCGTTTTCGCTCGATCAAGAGCACACAGCTTGTCGCCCCGCTGAATCTCTTGCTCAAAGCTTTGTGTAGCTGAGAGGGCCATGCTCAAATTTCTGACAATTGTGTGATGAAAAACAGTGGTTGTCGTCGTACTGGCCGCGGGATAAGGAGGTCTGGAAGTATTGGCGGAACTGGTCTCGGTAGGCATGCGCAATAGTTCAAAGATACCGATCCGGTACTCAAAGAGGTGCATTTAGGAAGGCGCGGCGTTTCATTTCTTCATTGAGGCGAGGAAGGCCCCTGATGTTCCATCTACTGGTGCTATTAGTCCGAGGCAGATTTCAGCAACAAGGGCTCTGCCGGGAACCTTGAGCAATGTCGCGCTCAATGAGACTGCAGGCATGCGGAGGTTGACAGAGATTATTGAGAGCATTGAAGTGGAGGGTATACCACATTGATTAATTGTTCCGTTTGCATTTTCATTCTGGGTTTCGGGCTATTTGGCGGTTTACATTTGGTGTATATTTTGAATCTTGTCATTCGCTCATTGACATGGAGGGGAGGCCATGCCAATCCATACTTTCAATCCTTGTGCTTGCACTTTTATTTGCTTTCAGAGAGTACTGCATAGGTACCATACCGTGTACATTGTATCATCCATTGTAAATGTACAAATACAGCTATACGGCATCGTAGGACATCACACCCACAATTCCTTTTGACTAAGTTTACATGGACTCTGATCAGATAGGCAAGCAAGATACATTCAATTGACAAAGGCTAAGTGCTGCTTATAATGGTGGCCTGGGTTATTTGATTTTTAATCACACAACACGCAATCGAGGAGGCAAACCATTGCCTTTCTCTGAAACCCAGTCAGGTATGTGCTACAGAACGGAAAAAATGAAACATACCGAAGCGAGTTATAGCCATCGTATTCCAAATTTTGGACGACGAATGACCGTTAAACACTGCGGTCGCGATTAAACCTTGTTACTACTTAGTAAAGAAAGGGATACAAAATGAGGAGGCGCACGCCGAGAGTGTTCCTATTACGGCGACAGCCTCATTAGCTGTAACCGGTGCTAACTAGCTACCAAAGGGTTGGATAAAGGAACAGATGAGAGAATAGATACTTACCGTGAAACGCTGGCTCGCTACAACGACCAAGGGTGACCCCGATCTGAGAGATGTTCAGCTTTCGCCAAGTAGATTGAAACGAACGAGAAGGGCGCACCGAGGGAGTTCCACGTTTGTGGTTGCTGAAGAGCAAGAAAAAGGTCCGCGGCAGTAGATCGATGTCAACTTTAGGGCAGGCAAGGAAAAGATCGGCCCACCGGCCGCACGGACACTTTTCATAGCGGCACAATCTTAGTTCACACACATTCATTTCTTACCATTATAGAAATCACTTCAGTATATATGTCGAAATTGACTCAAAGCAGTATTCAGTGACATTTCCTTGTCTATACATGCCAAGTACGCTACTTCAAATCTTCGGCCTGTGGTATTTGATTTTCAGGGCTTCACCTACCTGAAAATATGTGGTGATTATTAGCGCTCACACTGACGAACTCACAGAAACATAAAAAAAACGTACGCATGCAGGTGCGGGTTGATGACGTTGCGTCGAAATTCCGTGTCTGTATGATAAGGAACACCGTCGAACCAAGTGACGGAGGTACTAACTCACGTAAAGCACGTGGAACCTATGCAACCAGCGATCTGATGGTGCTCTGAGTCTTGAACGATAACTGCAAGTAATGGAAAGCCCACAGCTGGTGCTCGATGTCATCCGGAGGAAGACACCTAAGACCAAGACTGTATAATGCGCTAGTCAAACAATGATGATAGTGATAAATTTGTTGTACCACTTACCTTTGGTCCGATACAACGATCTCGACGATCTGAAGTAGAATTGTTATTCCATATATGGGGTAGACGGTCAGAGATATGTACATACCGAGGGGACCTATCCACTGCTATGAACGTTGTAGTCAGATGAGCATCTTGCGTGGGAGGATCCAGAATGTGGGAACTTGAGGGCAAGCCTCGGTCGAGGACCTTCTGAGCGCATATGGTAGCATTTGTCGATGTGAATTCACGAACAACTTCGGACAGAAATTATGCAGCATGTCCCTACATGATTTGGCTGTTGAGACTGGGAAAACGATGCCAAAAGTTGGAGACAAACGACAATAGCGGCTTATTGATGGACGGCCAGACACAGGAACACAGGTATCCTCAGCAAACCAAAGAAAGCGTGGTCATGAGGCAAGTACCCAAATTGTAAAGGCTACGGAGTTTCGGTATCGAAACCTTCCGCACAACCATTCATAACGGGTTTATCACTGGAACCCGGCGCATTGTACATAGCCCATACGAATTGTGAGATTCTTGGGTATGTTGCACAGCTGGTAAGTTGAATTGGACCCAGTGATGGTAGATATTCCAGAATCAGTGTCTCTTCAACAAGTTTCCCTTACCTGCCACGGAGCGGTGGAAGCGGTCCCAATAAGAAGTTTTGCAACTGCGGGAAAGGTGAACGATCGAGAGTGGATCAAGTTCACAAAACACATAACAAGTAGGAAGTCGACATTCGATCAGGAACAAAGGAATACTCACGATCAGGGGCTGGCGAAAGGGCCATTGGAAAATGTAATTATTGTAGCGGAGATGAAGGCTGAGCTGGAGTCAACCGATGGGAATGTAACGGAGCATTAATGATGTACCAGTTTCATAAAATAGTCGAAAGACCGTATTTTGATGTCAGGCTTAGCGAAGACGCACTGTCGAGAGCTGTTTAATCGGTGTCTTCTGATGCTCTGCGCTACCTCACTCACCTGCAACGTTAACGTTCAAAAATTTCCGCCCCTTGGCTACACTTTTCCTAGAGCAATGGCTCGACCCATTTCCTGGCATATAACCGGTCTCTGTTTCAGCATACCAGTGTCTTAATGAGGCCGCCAAGCTTGAAGGGCACCACTAAAAGTTCTCAATAGACGACTATTTGTCAAGGAAACGATATCTCCTTCAGTTTTGTTCGTGGCCCGGTGGGGGATGTGGATCAAAGCTCGTTTGATCATGGGTTTGTCCCTGAACCTCTTCTCACGTTATGATCTGGACGTAGATCCAGCTGTTAGCAAGTCGTCCTCGTTACACGATCTCGTCGTGTTCGCTGATCAGTTCCATTCTGACAGGAAACGGTCTTTCCGGCTCTCTGAAATTCGCCAGCGAGATACCTGATGATGTGATTTTTGAAGTTGCAAGGCATGCATCTCCTTATATCGTCCTCCAAATGTGTTTGGCGGTACGCTGGATCATCGTTCGGTATTCAATCATACGGAAGCTAACACCCTCTCACAGAATTATGCCACATATAACTTGCTCAAACCCATTCTGTTCTCCTCAGTAGACCTGAATTCTACCGAGTCCTGCCGAACGTCCTTGAAGCTGTTCTCTCAACGTCCCGATATCATTCTGTGGATCCGGGAACTCATTCTAAGACCCAGTCGCGCATCGGGATGGGCACAGTTCTCCGAAAGAGAGGTGGATGAGGACTGGGTGTCGTCTGTAGTCGAAGAAATCATATCTAAAGGACAGCTGTGTGGTCTAACCTCCTTTCTATGGGACGGAATGGAGAGTCATAGAGATTCATTGTGGACGGTGTTACGACTCGGGCATAAATCTATCTAAACGTTATTATTAATTATATACTCACTCTTTCCGTAGCTGTCCGCATCTTCGAACTCTAGGCTCGAGTGTCAGTCCAAGAACCCAGGTTGTGAATCCAAATAGCGATGTATGTTTTCTCTCTTCGTACCGCTATAGTGGGACAATCGTGTTCACGGACTCTCAGATGTTTAACTTCAAGGATCTCAAGGGATTCTCTCTTTTTACCCAGCAGATACAGCGCTGGACAAGTGAGTTATTGGTTTTAATCATTCATCAGCGAAACGCCCGACTAACATGCTAGGTTACACTGCACAACAGAAGCTCCTTGTTCGAATGTGGAACATGCTCCTTATTCATAGTCCCCGACTACAGGCCCTACACATCGATGGCACCTGTCATCTTTCTCAACTCTGGGAAGTCCGACCTATGATAACAGGCCGCTGGGATCAGCTCCGAAGCTTTGCAGCAGGAAACGTATTCCCGGTCAATGGTCCTATTCAGGAGAGCGCCGCTCTGATGACAGATTTTCTAGAGAATCATCCCACACTAGAGAACGTCGCCGCTTTGGGGTTCATGTCATTTTCACACTAATCGCTGATAGCTCTTTCGAAACTTCCTAAATGGCACTCATATAGAGGCGAGCTACTTCAGTTGAAGAACGTACCCTTTGAATGTTCCCTGAGAAAGGTCGTGTTAACGGTACGCTGCCTTTTCGCTGATTAGTCCGTGGGATTCATCAATAATGCGTAACAATAAGGATTGGCTCAGTCCTACGGTCAAGTTAAACGACATTCCCATCCTAGCTTCAATCACTTGTCTATCCATCTGCCCCAACTTTTTGGACGGGAACAAAGAACGGCCGAATTTTTTCTACCGTCTCTTCCACACTTGTCGGGAGCTGCAGCACTTAGATGTCTCTTGTGCTTCGTCGGTGCTACTCGTGCGTCCTCAAGCCGTGTTTCATTGGCAGCTGTTCTTACTTCTCTACTCAGACCGACTTCCTTGGTTCCCTCTGTGTCGCACCTCGGCTGCATTCGTTCGTGCTCACTAGGCCTCGAAAAGTGAATGAAGGCGATTTCACAAAGGCCGCGATGCGTGCGGCGAGAATGCATCATGACTTGCGCGAGTTCACATTCCGGGATGTGAATCCTTGGGACCATTGGGACTATCTGACTATCTTAACGGGACATTCAGGACGAAGAGCATAGGAACCTACGTCGTTGTGCGCGACGGTATTTCGCTACCATTTGTTCACGCATGAGAGGCGGGCATCAATGCTATGGGTCGACGCTATACGCGTACATTCAATCGCAATCTTTCGGCGGGTCCGATGTTTCCTGTAGGTTGAAGGTCGCTACTATCATTATAGTTAGTCGTATACACACGACCAATACATGTCTATTACTTGATGAGAGAGGGGTGGACGACGCATGAAGCAAATGCATACTAGCAAGTAATATTACAGTTACAAGCACCATGAGTACCTATAATGCCGGCTCGCTAGGCTAGGCTAGTAGTGACTCCGCAGACTAGGCCCCTCTGGCCCTCGCGTACCGTGTGATTAGACGCGTAAATTTCAAGTCATCTGTTGTTCATTTCTTGCTACCACCATCATCGCTGGTTTACCAGGCTCCAGCTTAAACGACCGTACTGCGGCAAACAAGGTACCAATTTCTAGTTTCTCTACAGCCGTAGTCTGACTATCCTTTAGATGTCTTGGGCTCACTGCGAAAAATGCAATTGCCTAAATCACGATTTGCCAACGGGCTACAGCGCCGTTGAGTCACCGGCAATTCAAAAGCAAGCATGTAAATAACGGTACCCCGGCTGGTCGGGGACCGTTCCCTTCTGATCTTTTGGATTTCTTTGCAGTTGCGACAAATTTGGAAACGTGTTGCCGAGCTTGAAGTGGGCAATACAGATGTATGGCTTGCCCAACACCGCTCTGGAACCTATCCTGTCTTATGTCGTCGACTGCATTCACTAATTCTACCATCGTCGTCTTCGAAGGATCACACAACTAGAAATGCAATGAAGCAGTTCTTCGATGGACTGATCCTTCCAGTTATCTCTTCGATCAAGACTGTTTGTCTAGTCGGACACCCAGAGAGGGAAGGAGAAGCCGTATTTACTTCTTTGCGACAGCTTCTCGAGTGTTCTCAGTCTCCCCTCACAACATTACACTTTACGCACGGGGGTGTACTCCCCGACGACCTCCTCCATATCCTACGCATCACACTTACCCTAGAAGACTTGCGTCTCTTAGACATCGGCCCCGGGACGATCACAGGCCAGATCCTCGACGATCTAAACGCCAGCAAGGAAAGCTGCGTCGCGCCGCATCTACACACACTTCATCTGAGTGGTGAGCTGGATTTCCCGCCGAAGACGTTTGTCGAGATGGTGGAATCACGCTGGACGTTGGTGGAAAACAGTTTACAGCACATCTATCTTTGTCTATTCACTGAAAATGGTATACCTAATGTGGAAGAGGTGGCGCGTTTGGAGTCGTTGTCTGTGCTGCATCAAAACTGCGCACAAGGAATGTCGTTCACTTGCAAATTCCGTTCATTAGTCGACGGCCATCCTCGACAACATACACATCCACGATGACTACTGACTCCGTGAGCTGGATGATTTTAGCTGTTGAGATGGTAGACTCTCGGTGGAAGGAGAATCTTTCTTTCGCCAAACGAGGAAGAGGTGGCGTGCTGTCTGGCCTAGACAAATAGTAGGACAAGGAATGTCACTGACAATCCCATCATTGGTAGAGTGAGAAACTTGAACAGGATATAGTATTGGTATATTTCTACATAGATGCCTCTGTCCTCAACCGATTTTGAAACGTCCATATAAAGGGTATCCATATCTTGGTAAAATGAAACGAGAATTCAGAATTTCTTTTGCTAGACACCAAACAATGAATACCATATCAATGCCAGTGTCATTGGGAGAACGCTTACTCGATGGGTAACATTGTACAGCTTCTCATCCAGTCCTTGCGTCTTTCCACTGATATTCTCAGTCCGGATATTCTGCGAATCCAACTCTTGGCCCATAGCCATGCCAAGGGCCTTCAACCTCTTCGTCGCACCTCCAATCTCATCTAAGTTATCATCGAGTTCATTCTCCAGCTCATCGTCAGATGCAGTGGCCTCGAACTGGTACCGCGAGTACTGGGCTTTACGCTCGTTCAGCTGAGGTGCAGTCTTGAATCGGCCACCCCCGATAAGCTCCTCCTCATCGTCGTTGGCCCGACCGTACGTCTGTGCTCGACCGAGACGATTCTGGCTGTCCCGGATGTCCCTCATCGCCTTCTCGCGTTCCAGACGTTCCTCTTCGTAACGAGCTTGCACCTTGGCTGCCTCGGCTGCACGCTTAGCGTCCTTGTTCCAGGTAATCGCTGGGCGGAAGATGGAACGATTGAGTTTTTTCAGTTCATCTGTTTTGTCACTGGCTCGGCCAGAGTGTCCCTTGGCAACGTCAAGATGCATCTCGGTGTTTGCGAGTTTCTCTGTAAACAGATGGTACTTGGTATGGCAAGAATAAAAAGTCAAGGATAGAACAGACCTGACTGATCACCAAGCTTTCCTAGAGTACCTCTGGCAACATCTTCTGCTTCCCGTGCCAGGCGCAGGGCATTCCGCGAAGAATTGACACTCTCCTGCTTCACAAACCTTGTCTGCTGCTTGATGCCTTCGATATCTTCATCGTTCTCTTCTCCTGGAGGGACATCCCTATTCTCTGCTCCATCGAAGAAACGGCTAGATCCTCCTGACTTTGCTGGATTATAGCCTGCAAATAACTCATTGCGATCTTGGTCTAGTTGGGCGTCACCGCGAGAGTAAATGTCTCCAACGCCGTTACTGCGACTGTATTTGTCTCGATAGTCATCCTCTGGAGGTGTATGGTCGCCATTGCTGCGGATACTTTTCTCGTACAGATCACCGTCTCTACTTTGGACGTAGGTGGTAGCATTAGAGCGATAGCTTGATAGTGAAGAGGGCGACGATTTGCCTGACTGTCTTTCAGACTCAAGAGGCGGGATGAGTGGCTTGTTGTTATTGCGCTTTAACAAAGGCATGGAAGTAGATGGAAGAGAAATGGTGGTTGGCTGTGCGTTACCTGCTCAGCCTCCATCGGTAGACACCGGTAACTCGGCCGGCCGACGGTAAACCACCGGTTACTTGGCCTTGCATAGGATTGTGGCATTAGACCAAGAAAAGGCAAGCCACCTGTATATTGGTATTGGTACAGAATCACACTATATGCAAAAACTTGGATCCCTGAGTCAATGATCTCTCCTAAGGGACATGTTTCTCTGACCGAGAGGCCACGGGTTGTTAGGATTAACATGGATAGTCGCTGGACATCGCACTCTAGTGACACTTTCTTGATACTCCTTTTACAATGAAAGTGTATGGCAAGTCGCATTGTCACATAATCCATATTAAATGCACATTGTGATACCTCATCATTATGCAGAAATACCTTGATTAGTTCTAGACCCCATAGAATTCACAAGCTTCTCCTGAAGCTGGGTTCTGTACTCACCGATCCAAAACAGAGGCGGACACTCTGCCTATCCGCAGGGATTTTGGGCCGACGAAATAGGGTATATAGCTTTGATGTCGCGCCATGGGGTCCGCCCCGATACACAATAATTTTGAATCAAAAAAAAAAGAAAAAAAAGTAAGCGCTGAGTATATTAGTTCATCAATACCCTAAATGGGTCCGAACCCCCACCCTCCAGTCCACCCAACACACCCTGCCTCACCGTAGCCAAATAGTCACCCAATCGCCGCCCGTCCTCATTGACAAAGTCGCTGTATAGCTTGTACCTTGAATCAGCGACAATGTTGACGAGCTCCAGAGTTTGCCTCATGTTCCTAGCGAGAGAACAGTTCAGTAGGCGGAATGAAAGAGGATGGGGCCACATACTCGGGGAACAACTGTCGTGAATTGAATAACAGATAATGCAGCCGTATGATCAGCTCAGGAATATATATCTGGCGAATCCGTATGAGATCCTTCTTACGCTGGTCTACGTTGGACAAGTCGTTCTCCGACACAAGCCACTCCGAAGTCAACAATTTCATGATGAGAAACTTTGCTTGATCGATCGACGACTGAAATCAAATCAACGAGTTTCCCACAAAGTCGACTAACATCATACCTTGTAATCCACCAGCCAATCATTTCTCGAATCCTTACTCATCTGCAACACTTCCATAGCTTGGATCTCGACCACCCTCTCCAGCGCCTCCCATATCACAAAGAACTGCCGGTAGTATAGGTACTCCGTCGCTTGTTCCTCCGGTTCACTGATAGATGCCAAGTCCAAGGGTAGCATCCCAAGGAGCTGTTGCGCGACTTGCACTCTTCCAGATGCTACATATAAAATGTTCAGCATTATGAAGACCGACAATAAGATGAGCATACCCAAGAAATAACGAAGAATCACATTCGCTTGCTCCAGAGCTGTATCGTATGTCGATTCCATGAACGTTGTCCACTCAATCGACCTCAATAGTAGCAGCTGTGCATCAGTGGGCGATGTCTGCAAAGTAGCAAGCGAAGGCAAAGATCCTCTGACGAGAGGCAGAAGCTGCACGTCGTTAGCAAAACAGAAAAATCACTAAAAAAATGGAGAACCACGAACATCGAAGGCCTTGACGATAGTCTGCTCAGCAGTGGCGACTGCCACTCGATCCACATCGAGTCCATGTTCCCGCGCCCGTGTTAAAGCCTGCCGTCTCTCAGCAGGATCCGCGGTCAGGTCTAGTGAGACTAGGAAGACTGCATATCTGTTGATAGCGTTATCTCCCAAAGCACCCGCGTACATCGCAATGAGGTCTCTTTGACCGGCAGCCTAAAATCAGTCAACCTCACAGTCACTGATATGTGAGACAAATATACCTCAAGAACTTGGAGATACGCTTCCAGAATCGTCTGTACAGCAGCAGGCGGGACAGCGATTTCTATCATTTGCAAAAAGAGACATAGGTGGGCGAAAAATCGGCACATTGGGGCATATCTGCTCTCGGAAATAAGATGCTTGAACAAGAAAATGACAAAAACACTCACTCCAATGACGATCTCTGGTACAAGCCTTGTTTCAAACCGTCAGAGAATGTAGTCAAAAGCACACTCGTCCGATCCAGTATTATGTGCAGCTGGGAGAAATGTAACGGATGGCCGGCACTGGGTCTAAAAAGACAAATAGTCAGATCGCGAGCGGTGAAAAGAAAACTCCCTTACCCATCTTCCACAGGTACAGTACGTAGTCCTTCTAGCACCTGACAAACCTCTTTCTGCCACTCCTCCTCCTCCTCTTCCTGTTTGTCTTCGGAGATCACCGCAACACCTTTTTCCACAGCAGTCTTCCCACCTTCCCAGAAACATCCGCCGAGTTTGTTCATCTCCATCGACTCCTTCTCTTCACACATAATACTGACATGCGCCCATAGGTAGTCCTCCCACGTGCGACACGCCGATTTCAGTACACCGAAAGTTTGCGGCGAAGGCGCAAGCGCGGCATATAGCACTCTTTCGTGTTCTGGTAGGTTGGTATTTAGGGCGGCTCGTGTACACGTTGTTTTCCACAACCGGCGATTCCGATTTCCTATCCACATATCAGGATCATCCTCATCAGACTCGTCACCAGCTGTTTCATTCGCTGGGAGAAGGGTGAAGGTCAGGAATAAGGGCTCTCCGAACCAAGCGAGTTCTTACATAGTAAACGCCACTGAAACAATCGTGACCCACGTATACTAGCTGCCCTCCAGGGTTGGTGCGCCTTTCTACATAGTTCAATTGCCTCTTCCAGCCGGCCTGCCCGAACGAACGAATACAATGCTTGAGTGAGATTTTTTTCAAAGTTCTATTGACATGAGTTTGTGTTAGAGACAAGGCCGAACATAGCTCACCGCATCATCCGAAGCCAAAGCCCTTCCATCTCCTCGATTCAAGGCATCTGGATCCAGCTCCTTGACAAGACCGCCCCTGGCCCCGGCTGCCGTTCGAGCAGCTTGGACGACGTTATGTTTCGTAAATGTCCAATACCCAGTGGTGGCTTCAGGATGTTGTGGCGCAGGTGCCGTCTCTTGCAGCCATTCGCGTATCACAATAAGTTCAGAGAGGAGTGGCGAGGCATTCATGATAGCCTGTGCGACGGTCGACGTCGGCGTGTAGGGATTTTCTTGCAGTAAATCGCGTGCAGAGTCGAATTGAGGAAATTCTGTCTTTCGGGCGCTGTTATCAATCAGATTTGGACTGAAATTTAGAGGGAATGGGCGCACGGCATCACAGCTTGAAGCAATCCCCAAGTATTCTCCTCTAACCGCAAGAGGTCCAATATACTGCCAGCTACGTGGTCGGGGGTTTGCTCCTCGTACTCTGCTATCCTGTAGATTCGAGTCAATTATCAGAAATAAATTCGATTCGATTAAATGATGATTACAGGTTTCGACAGATTGCTCTTAACTGAGGCGCAAATCCTGTTTCGGGGTCGAGGATGGCCGCCAAGTCATCTTGCATTGACTGGAAGAGAGATAGAACATCTGCGCAAGCCTCGTAGACGTTGTCCGCCATTGGGACGGAAATATCAGCCCAAAAACTGCAGCTGTGGGGGTAGACAGCAACAAGTCTGGCTGAATAAAAAGTCGCGTTCGTCGCGGCGCACGTGACTACCCATTATGTCGTTTTATTTGATATTTCTCTCTCTTCTTCCGCTACCACTAAGTCTCGAATGTCTAATCCAGACTGGGTTTCTATATCTGATGCATCTGACTGGCCACCCGAAGTAACTTCCTTGTCGCGCCTTCTGGCTTCCAGGATTCCCTTAGAGCTTGCCGATGGAACATGCAACTTGGCTTCGCTAAGGTCCTCTGAATTGCTCGGAGAGCTCGCCACGCTATTCGAGAGCTCACCAGGAGTCTTCAGTGACACCCATTGCAACTCGCAGGTCTTGTCAGTGTTGGACTTGATACTTTCCACTGTTGCATCACTCCGCGCCCTTTCTGAGATGTCGATATATGACGTCGCACGTCCAACCACACCTTTTTGGACATTGTTGCTCCGGTCGCTTCTTATTAACTGCTATGACAAATCATATATCCTGTGAGTATCCGTCGTCACGAGTATAAGCTGTATTTTTCACTACTAAATCTACAGGGAAAATGTGTCGTTTGCTTTACCCAAACTACCAGAGTCCAAGTGCGTCGTGCTGGATGGTCAAGCTTCTCTTCTCGCGTCTCATCTTGCAAATACGTTTCAGCCGCTAAGTGATGAGATTGCCAGCCAAATCACAGACGATCCGTCTCCTATGACAGAGGATGGCGAAGAGTCACATCATGACGGGAGCGGCTGCAGTCTTTCAGATGGAGAGGAGTCACTATCAGAACAATCTGATGAAGATTCCTGCTACGGGAGCACGGACATTTCGACAGAGCCGACATCGGCGCCACTGTCGAATATCCCGGTGGAAGCTCATGTGCTCTCGCATTGGCTGCGACCTGATTGTGCCGCCCTCCCATTTCTTTGTGTTGCTGATAGGAGGAATATCATACCGCTGATCCAGAGCACAGTTTATCAGCGGTATACTTGGGGAATATCTGAGCCCGTAGTGGGGGTCATCTTGTCAGAAACAGGATGCATTGGCCGCGTGGTGATGGGTTGGATTGAACAGCACGGCGATGCGGACCATCTTCTGGTAAGTTACTGCTTCTTGTCACTAGATGATTTCTTATTGGTTATTTCAGAAGCCCAGAGTCACGGTTGCATACTCCGACCAGCATCGTCCAAACTCTTCTTTGGGAATCTATGATTTAACGGACCCAGTGTCTACTATTCAACTGGCACAATTCGTTCTCAGCCTTCGTCAGCACGTCGAAAGTATTGTCTCGGAATCCCTGAACCCGACATTCAAGCCCATTTTATGGCGATCCGACTCAATTCAGCTGGATGAAGATCAATCCGATTTGGGAGAACAAGGTGAAAGAAGGATCCGCATTTGGTTGTGCGGTGTTCCTTCACCCCAGGATGGCTCGTATGTTTTAATCGATAGATGCTGGATTTAAAACCTCAGTCCCTTTGCTGTGCAGGGCATCGGAATCCATCGATCCTTTCCCAACCTCTGAAATTGCTAAGATGTCTGTGCCTTCTAAGTCTAGCAAACGAGCAGCCTCAGCCAAAATGTCGTCGCAGAGCAGCCTGAACCCCCCGGTCGAAGGAAAGCAACGGCATACGTCGCAGTACGTTCATTGTTGTCCCGTTGAGTGGTAGCACTAAAATTACACATAGTGGTACATCGACCATGAGTGGGTGAGTGAGCATTGGCATCCTCTCATGATCGTTGTTAAGTCATTCTATTAGGGCATCCACTCGCGCTAAGGCAGCCTCAGCGTCAGTTCACTTCCACTTGTTGCTTTTGTGCTACCATAGCCTGACATTGTTATGAAGAATGGCGAAAGTTCCTGAAGCTGGAATAGCGGACGGTGATCCTTTGAGTATTGGCAGCTTCCTCTACGACCGACACGCGTTCAGCGTCGCCCGCCTACCTCTAACGGACGCTACGGCGATGGATGTAAGAAGATCCATGGAGAAGGAAGATGGACCTACGCTTTCGTATAAGGATAACGATACCGTCATTACCGCGGCCCAGAACGAAGAGGTCACCGCCATGGTCAGGATCTACGATGATCTGACTGAATATCAAAAGCCGTCGTGGGTGAGCATTATCCAGCATCGTGGAAGACGGAATTCTGATACGTATTACCAGGTTACTCCTCCGTCTGTCGATAAGGCTGTAAAGCCGATTCTTGACCTGATCATGCGTCAGGTTGTGGATATGGATGTAAGTGGAATCCTCTGTCAGTAGCTGGTGCTTATCACACACTATTCAAATCAAAGTCAACAGCGCCTGAATACTCTACGCTCGATCCTTCCCTGATGAAGATTGTCACCGAATCACTCTCTTTCCTTTTATGCGTCTCCGTCGGAGGGTTTGGGAAAGGCCTTGACTACAAGCCCAACGAGACCGAAGCTAGACATTGCTGGGATTTTCTTCTTTACATCTCTTTCGTTGTCCAGGGTGATATTATCTCACAACGAGTTTTGTATGTGCATGTTGTTTGTCTTTCGCTTCTGTCGGCTCATTGCTATGCAGGTTGGAAAAATTATTGGCACTTTCGAGAAACATTGCCCTTGACTTGGCGTCAGGCACAACTAACGCTGACTCGAGTGCCGAGGAGCAAGCGAATGTCTTTGTGCAACTTTGTTCACGAGCCTTTAAGATTGCTGAATCTCGGTACGGAATTAGGGACCCCGTTTGTACGCAAGCCGCAGATGCCTTGGCAGATGCATTTCACTACCGACAGCAGGTAGTGGATCTGATGACGGCTCCGAACGTTGCTGAGATCATCAAGGAGCGTGCGAAGGATGAACCCGATAACGCCAAATGTGATGCTTTCTTGGCCTTCCCACTCTCCATCCCTAAATCCATTCCGAAACACAACCGACCAATAGATCTGGTGTGTGGTTGGCATAGGCTCAAGCCCCCATCACCAGCCGATCAGGACCCTCAGACAAATCTGCCGCCCAGGGTTGAGGAAAGACACCCCGAGACTCCTCGTACCGAAGCAGGGAGGCAACAAACGAAAAGCCCATTCTTCACGAATGCCTCGGAGACAAAAGCTTTCAAGATCACCCAGAAGGACCTCGAAAGGATCGTAGAGAATCTTCTTGGAAAGCATCTCCTTTCTGTCTTTGTTGGCGAGTACAAGAGACCCGAGGAGGAGGCAGGAAAGGCTGTAAACCAATGCAAGATATATCTTGTCAGTGCGGTAATGCATCTCAAGAGCCTCGGAATAACCAGGTATCCTGTGTTTGGTTTGGCAACTAATGGTGCATCGGGTGCGCTCATGTGCTGTTGGTATTCGCAAAGATTGGATGTATGTTTTCACTGCCTGCATATGATGATGTTTTAATTGATAAGTATTCCAGCGTGTTTTCATTATGGACCGGAACATCCGGATTTTTGATATCTCTTCCCCGATTCAAACATACCATTTTATGACGTTCCTTCTCCGTTTACGACGGTGGAGTGACGAGCAGCTGCAGAAGCACCAAGATAGGATTTCGGTGAATCCTGATGCATTTCAGCCTGACCACTTCTGGACTCGAAATGCACAGAACGGTCCAGCTAAGAAAGGGTCGTCGTCAGACGTACATGTGTCTGGGATAGATGAAATTGATGAGGATGCAGAAGGCATGGCTAGAACATTTGCGAAGATGAAGGTGTAGACATTACATTTGAATTCAAATCTTTTGTTGTTGCTACAAGTCGTGTCCCAATCTATCCTGTTTCGAATGTTTATCCTCTCCTCACCCAGCACTTGGCAGGACCTTGCAGCAAGTGGTTTAGGTAATCCTGGCTATTTTCTATCCACCAAGCTGTTAAAAATTTGAACAATATATTGCGACAACATAACACCTAAGAGACCAAACTTCTATCATCCCTCCTTTCGCTGCGATTTCACGATTTTCACCCCAGCCAAAGATACTCGCTTTTTAACTTCTACCTGCTTAGGCACCAGCATCGGCTTTTCTGGTAGCTTCGCAGTGACTGGAATTTCTATGACCATGGATTTCGCATCAGACATAGACACAGCCTGCAAGGAGCTTTCATCTGGCTTCATGGGCAGTGAATTTATCGGAGCAGGAGGTTTTGCGGGCAGCGAGGGATGATGCGGTATAGCATGTTCAATACCTTCCATTTGACGAAGCTTGGCTTCCATCATAGCAATCTTGTCTTGCGTCCTATGAAAGTAAATCAGTCCGGTCGACAAGAGATCTACAACAGAATGAAAGACGCACTTGTCCTTATGTCGTCCTTTGATCATGCTCAATGTCGTGGGACGTCCACTCTCCATCATCGACTTCCGTTTCACCCCCAAGCCACCGGCTTGATCTAGGGGTGCTTGATGAGCGTATGTTACGACAAGGGAGCGACCGCGAAGAGGTTTATCGTGCGCTGATGCGAGAGCTTTAGCAGCATCCTGGATATGCAAAAAAGTCAGTCCTCCATCCTCTGCAGCTACCCCCGGGTCTTTTAATACGAAGATTGGTAGTAATCGTTGACGGAAAAAGCATGAAAGAAAGAATGACCCGGGTCAGAAACAAGGAATCTTAATGACAGCAAGTCACTCACGTTGGCGTTCTCATACTCCACGAATGCATAACCTCGAGGTTTGCCCTTGTGCGGACCAGCCTTGTGAAAGAGAAAGTCCAATTTAGAGATTTTGCCAAATTTCGAGAAGGCTTGAAGAAGAGAGTATCTGTGGACCATTAGTGCCAGCGCGGTCTCAAGCTGATGGACCCGCTCACTCGTCGATAGATGGGTGTAAGTTTCCAACGTAGATTCTATCCTTCAGTATCCTTTCTTTCGCTGGCGTTGCAGTGGAAGTTGACGAAGATGGTTCTGGAGCTGGATAAGAGAGATGTTCCGAGGCCATGCAGTCCTTTTTCGCTAGAAAAAGGTATTCGAGAGGGGCGAACGGCGGTTTCGTTACCAACAGACGATGCGTGACGCCTCATAATTGTCCTAAGATGCTCCCTATTTTGGAAACAATCTAGACAATATCGTGGGAATATTGTGGCGCATTGCCACTTGTCGCGGATGAGAGTCGACTCTTGACTTGGCACTTGACCACCATCATACGTTCTTCAGTGTTTCTATCTCCCTCAATTTCTGCCACCACGGAGGCCCGATAATCCTTAAAAACAACATGTTTTCAAGTCCAACCCCCGCCCCTGGCACTCTTGCGTCGACTACGCTCCGAAAAGCAGGACTTATCGACGGAGACGCCACCATGCGGGATGTCACAGACAAACCAGGAGGTCGAAAGGGTTCTTCCAAGATTCGGTCGCATAGAACGCGTGCCATAGAAGCACATTTGGGACCTTCACGAACGGTAATTGTCCCTCTACTCATCTTTTTAGCAGCGCAGGGATGACGCTTTCATTTCCGTCGCTGGACTTTGTAATCTTGCAACTTACGCTCGCTCGCAGTCTTCTCTGGCTACGCGCATGGCACCGTCATCATCATCATCATCACCCTTGACACCGGCAGCTTTGTCCATCCGTGGCGCATCCATGAGGCGGGCGGGTGACCGGCGCCGTTCTGCTGCAATAGTTCCGGGGTTGGTGTCCAGTAGTCGAAAGAGCGCAATAGAACCGTGGAAAGAGTTCGTTAAGAGGCGTTATAATCCCGAGTTACAACTGCTCAACCTTTCCGTATGTTTTGTTCTTTGTTGCTGTGTGTCTGTTCCTTAGCTGTGTGTCTGTTCTAGAACATGATCGAAGATGAAGTCGTCAAGAAACACAACTTGACACCACCAGGTCATGGTGGGTCCGCGAGAGAGGCGGGCGTCATCTTCAAGCTGGCGAAGCTGCTCCAGCCTCCAGTACGTTATTGATCCATTTCCTAATTTAAGGTCTCACCTTAGAGCTAGGTGTTGAAACTTGATCTCAGCCATAATCATCTTTCCGGCGCACACCTCAGCCTTCTCTCCCATTACCTGGGAGACATTGAGGCGCTTTCACTGCAGAGCAACAACATCAGAAATTACAAGGACCTTGACATCCTCACCGGCAGGGCTGGCAAAGTGCAGATGCTACGACTTCAAGAGCTTATGTTGTCCGGCAATCCGTTACAAGTCAGCGAGTATGAAAAAGGTCGCGCGGAGTTCTATAAGAGGTACGAGGCTCTCCTTACCTAGGCTTTTGGTCTCTCAAGGTCGTTGCAGCGAGGTTACCCGACGCTTTCCTACAATCACACTACTAGATCAGGAACCCATTGTTCGAATAGCTTTCGACATTCCTCAAGCGTCCTCGTCTTCATCGTCCGTTCCTAAGCCCTTCGCCACTTCTTTCCCCTTTGACATGGGTCCTTCCATGATTAACGGTGCAAGTCCGGATCTCGTGAATTCGTTCCTCTTTCGTTACCTCGACACATTCGACAAGAGCCGCGCGTCACTTTTAGATGCTTATGATCCCGCTTGCACTTTTTCCTATTGCGTTAACACCTCCATACCAGAGCGTGCTCGACTTCAGGGTCTTCACAGTAGACTGCCTAATCAAAAGAAACTTGATTGGAATAACTGGTTGGACGTTAAAGATGGTGGTTCCAGAAACCTGTCGAGAATGCGGTCTTGGGCAGATAAGCAGGATACAAGACTGAATGTAGGGGCCGAGGCGACCATCAAGGCACTCCTGTCACTCCCACAGACGCATCACGACATAGCAGGTCCAGGAGAAAACTTTTGTGTAGACGGGATGATAGTGCCTCATGGGAGTGATGTTGCCTTGATGGTCATGATTCATGGACAGTTCGCAGAAAGTAAGTCGCCATTGAAACAACACTCTCATCTCTGATCGATGTCTTGTAGTGCCAGCAGAAGGCCTGAGGTCTTTCGATAGAACATTCATATTAACGCCAGCTGCTGCGGGGACCAGGTAAGTGGTCATCGTAGGCTTGCCAAGTCATGTCTAATGGAAGTGAGGGTTTAGGGCCAAAATGAACGGTTGGGATGTTGTTATCGTGTCGGATCAGTGGACAATACGTGGCTACTCAAGTCCGGAGGCATGGAAGCCAGGTCCCATGCTCGTCCATGCTCAGAAGCGAATGCCGAAGAAAGCGCAGGATTCGTCAACGCCTGTTCAACAGACGCCACAGCAGCAACTTGGTCAGGAACAGCTTCTCCAGCAGATTGTATGTCTATCCGCCGTCTGAGACGAAGCAAATCTCAATGAATATTGTAGGAGGAGCCTGCACGCTCTGTTGTCCTGCAAATATGCCAGCGAACTGGAATGACTGTTCCGTTTGGCTACGACTGTCTGTCAAGAAACAATTGGAATTTGGAGGCTGCCATTGCGAATTTTGAAGCAGTGAAGGTTCATGTATTTATCCTGGATTTCATTTGTTGTATCACTGACACTCCGTGATCGCAGGGAACATTAGGCAGGGAGGCATTTGTCTAAAGTGAGGGTGTCAACAAGCGTTCCGGGATGTTCATCAATCGCCTCATGGGTTCCTGAGCCTTCACAATTTCCCTTCATTATGTTTTATCTCGCGTTTTCACTGTGCTTTCTCGTTTTCATCTACTCATAAAAGCAATCACAATTATATATCATGAACCTGCGCATCCTCTATGAACCGTCATTGTATATTTACCAACGCATCTCATCACTATACGTATGAATATTTGAATGTCTTTACTAAGCTTGTGGCTGGAAGGGATTTGTGTATCGAATTATCAAAGGTTGAAGAAGGGATATTTGTGAGTACGATGGACTTTGTGCAGTTCCCAGAGGCGCAGCCGGCAGCATCGGGTGAAATTTCTGCCTGGTCGACGTCGGGTCCGACGGGCAGACTCCTCCCCTGAAGAGGGATGATTACATCCGGTTAGTCTGTAAATACCGGCAACTGGACAGATCCAAGTAGGTAACCCTTCAGATTACCAAAACAGGCACACCCACCCTCAAAATTCGCCGGTCCGTACGTCAGCTGCAAAAAATTACAACCAGAGGGTCTAAAACGCATGTTGTCCGGGGACCTTGAGCCGGGACTTGCCTCGTGTGACCAATTTGTATCTGGCCATATTATGTGCGCACAACTTGCCCAAAATGTGTCCCGTCCTCAAGGGAAGATTCTGATGCCTCGCCTCCTTATATAACTAACTCATGCTTCTCTCCATCCCCTTCGTGTGCACCGATTTAAAAAAATTACACAAAAACAGCTCTTGACTTGGTTTCTCTTCGCGCGCTCTATCCTTCTTTTTGCTTCCCCCCCCCTCCCCCCTCTCTCTTTTCCCTGGTCGATGGCTCAACATTCTTTTGAACACTCTGGTTTGCATCGGGCTGCATTGGCGGGCGACGAAGAGGGTGTCCGTCGCGCTCTCGAAGACGGGGCCAACGTGAATGCCCTCGACTCGCTTGGGAGGACTGCGATAATGTGTGCCGTAGCAGGGGAACAGTGAGTGTGTGCTTTGGTCCACACCGAGTATGATTTTACTGAAATCAATCATCAGCTGGGATAACATGGACGTCTCACCCGAGACCCTAATGACTGCCGGCCGCCTGGATGTCATCAGGATTCTTCTTGGGCGTCCCGAGATTTCCCTGTATAACCTCAATGCCCCACAAGAGGCATTCAATGGCGTCACTCCCATCGGTATGGCGGCATGGCTGAACATGTACGACGTCGTCCGTCTCCTTTTAGAGGGCAGTCTCCACACCGTCTCCGTCGACGGCATGGACACCCATGGGGCCACGTCACTTATGTGTACGGACGCGTCGTTTTCACGTTTCTCGCGTTTTGACATGGGTTCTTTCGTAGATGCCGCCCGGGATGGCAATTTACGCGTCGTCCAACTTTTAGTAAGTTCTCACCTGGCGTTAAAAAAAAAAATTGCCATCGGTGTCTGACCTTGCTGTTTTTAGCTGCATCATGGTGCCCGGCCAGATTTCAGGGATCGGAACCATCGTACATCCGTACAATTTGCCATGGCACATCCGCAGGTACTCTATCTCTGTGAAGAGATTCTGCGCCGTCATCGTTGGCGTGAAGCTAAGGTAATTGTTCCCTCTCCCCCCCCCCCCTCTCCACTGTTATCACCGCAACAATTGAGCGGTCTGTTATAGTCCGCTTCTGGAAGCAGGTTATTGTTGAATTCGGCCTGTACCTTCGAACTTTCATGTGGTCAAGATGGATCTGATCCTCCAGTTCCAGCCACTATTTCTCCTTCATTCACATCAAAATTAACTCGTGCAATCATTCGCTCAGTCACATCCTCTGATTTGACATGTCTACATTCACTACTGACTCCACTGTTTTCGTGTACAAGTTCTCACTCATCGCATCTTCTCGTTAATGCCCCTGATCCCAAAGGCTGGAGCCCCATCCATCATTGCGCCGCCGTCCGGAGTCCTTCATTGGAAATTCTGGATGCACTGTACTACGCAGGAGCCGACGTTTCTCTATTCACCTCGCATGAACATTTTACCCCGCTTCATTGTCTTTCCAGTTCTGCATACGTTTTCCAGGACGATGACCGTGTTTCTTCTTTGGTCCACTTCGTTTCACGCCTCGTTTGGGATTTTAAAGCTCCCTTGGCAGCCAGAACCAAGGAGGACGAGACATGCATTCACATCGCTGCCGAACATGGCTGTTGTATCAATCTGCTGATGGTTCTCTTGGACTATGACCAAACTGGCGCAGTCCGTGGACTACGAAATTCTCGGGGGTACGTCAGTCATTACTTCCGCCGCCATACTCGCGACTAACGGGCCCCATTCTTCCAGACTCACAGCCCTTGAAGTGGCAAAGCCAGAATTTCGAGTAGCATTTGGAGAAGATGCGGAAAGCCTACGACCCGCTTCATCGCTATCAATGCGCACAATTCGACCCCTTACGTCTTCCATCCCTTCCTTCTCATCCTTCTCGGACCTGCGAGCAATGTATGCTCAGGACCGCCTATCTTCTTCTTCTCTTGACTTGGACATGCCCACCGCGGCGCATCAGCTCATTAATAACCTCCGCCTTACATCCCTCACCTCTCGGCACGACATGCACCCTTCCTACCTCGACTACCTCGATCGCCTCCTTTCTGATCTCACTCGGCTTTCTGCCTCTCTCATGCAGCACTTTCGCGCACGCGTCGGGGAAGTATCCGACGAACTTGCCGCAGTGTCTTCTGCAGCCGGAGGGCTTTCGAAGCTCCTTGACGTAGTCGCTCGAGATGCAGGCAAGCTGATCCAGGAGCGCGGGATCGAGCCTATCAATCCCAGCAGGAAGGACAAGAGGGAATCTGAAGATTCTCAGAAGACGGCCGTCGCAGTGTCGTTATCGCTGACGGATTCTGAGCCCCCTACACCTTCTAAGAGTAGCAGCAGGCCGCCTACTCCCTCGAATATCCCTGCGCCTGACGTGTCACCTTCTTCCAGAAAGAAGAAAGGCCCTCCAAGCGAAGAGGAAAAATCTCGACCGGCCTCCAAGTGGAAAGCCTGGTTCAAGCGAGTGGTATCGGACTGGTCTTCCAACACGGATATTCAATCGGGCGTAACCGAAGACGTGGAGGTAGATTCCGGCAAGCCCCCTACGCCCCGTGGCATAGCCATCGATAACGCATTACGGACGTCATACGTCGTCCTTGCTGCCGCACAGCGCGATCTGAACAGTATCGCAGATGCCATTGCATGTGTAAGTTTCCCACCCACCCTTTCTGTTCGCCGCCAAAGGCCAAGTTTTCTTTTATCTTGCAGGCCCAGCATATCACCCTGAAAACAACACAATCGATTTCTCGTGCGGAAAGAATCATATGTAGGGCAGTCAAAGTCAGTCCTTCCTTCCCCGCCTTTTCCTCATAGCCGAAACCCACCCCCCCTTTACAGAAAAGAAGGGCTATGATCTCGGATTACCGACAAGCCCTAGAAGAAAACGAAGGCGGCGTTAAAGGTTCGCCAGGATATTCTCAGCTTCTCTCAACACGCGTCAGCAATGCGTCCTTATTGTCATTGGCGTCACATGTATCCTCTACCCTTTCTGTGGCGGAAACCATAGTCGAAAATGACAACGAAGAGACACGTGCTATTCGTCGTCTGCTTTTACGAAAGATAGAAGCAGGAATCGGTGGCGCACTAGACGATCTTGACACAGTCGTCAGCTGGCTTCGTATTGTCAAAGAAGCTGTGCGTAGTGTAAAAAGGAGGGCATACCTCTAACATGCAGGTGTACTCTCACATGTGCAAAAAAAAAAAAGTACTGTATTTATATAGTAGAAGTTACAAAGTAGATGAAGTGTAATCTAGCTGTTGTATTGGTATATAGTAGTAACACTGTTGTACAAATGATTATCATCCGAACTGTTCATACATGTCAGTCCCTGTGAATGAAATAGATGTTCCAACAAGCTACCGCCTCGTCTCACTCAAACGACGGGAAAAAGCTTCACGGCACTGATAGTGCGTAACTTCACCTCTGAAGCTTCATGTCAGCGCTGAAAAAAAAAAAAGAGGGGAACCGAAAGTCCTGTAATTACCTAGGCGAATGCACAGCGATGACGCTATTCCCCAGCCGCTTATGACATTGTGGACATCTGCAAGTGATAAGCATCTAAGAATGTCTTCTGAGCCACAAATGAGGCAGACATACATGCGACTATCCGTAACTTTGACGCGCTTGGTTTGCAGGATCATCAACTTACGCGATAGTTGGTCATTCCGCGATTTACTGATACCCCGCACAACGCGGTTGTTAAAAATCGGAACTCGCATTGCATCGACCAAGAAGGTGCGAATGTCTTCAGCAGTGACAAGTGGAGGAAGGAGTTTAAGCGTTTCGACGGCATCGAGCCGAGGGCTGTGGCGACTGATCAGGTCCAATGCAGGATGCAGATAGTCTTGTGTATCTTTGACCGTGGGCCGAAGGTATATACGCAACAGGGTAAGATAAATGTTGCTCGTTTCGCCCTCCGACTGATAATATCGTTTGCAATACCTACAAATATCAGTTATAGAACAGCTATATAATTAAGGAACTCACTCTTCTGCCTTCATGTAATCATGTAACCTATAGACGTAGAGCTCGAGAGCTTGGTCGTGCCGTCCCAATCGGCCAAGCAGAATTGCGCGGGCTTGGAAAAGATCTGATCCAGAGTAAGGCTGACAAGGCGACGATAAATCTGAAGTCCAGCCGTACCTTCGGACGAAAGTATTCCGTACAGATGGTCAACGTTGTAATAGCTCGTCGAATCAATAAACTGTAAGAGCTTTGCGTGCAGCTCCTGGTGCAAGTCTGGAAAGTCGATATGAATAATTGTGATAGAGCATTCTCATCAAATACCACTTGCCACTGTCACCCCTCTTTCTGGCGACGAGCGTCATAGACAAATATAACTCTGCCAAACGATCGTGAAAATCTGTAGATTCCTCCTTCCTCTCTTCGATTAGATATTCCAGATATTTTGCACAAAGGGATGGCTCGATTCCTTCTAAATAGTCGGCCACTTCCGTTCGAGGGAGCTCAACATCTTCGGAGGTAAAGATCTAGTAAAATTAGAACACTAAAAAAATGCAATGAGGACACGGCCCCACCTCAAAAGCCATATTCCGGTCCGCGTCGAATATCCAGCGCGAGGCCATGAAAATCAGATCCAGATACTCCGGACCAAGCCTCTGGAGATAGAAAATTGATGGTCGTAACTTGTCCAGCATGTCTTCCTCTTCGTCGCTGAGCCTAAAGGAACGGAATATCAGCTCAGGTATGTTCTATGAGATGGAGCTAATCCGCGCACTGTTTCAAAAGTTCCAGTGCTTTGTCATGCATTTTCTTCCCTTTATATAGATCAATAAGCTCTCCGAATTTCTGGAGAAGGAACATCAATGACACTTTATGCCCGCACTGAATACAGGGATACTCACACGATGAGCCCGAAGTTCCTCCTCAACTTCGGAGACTTCACACCAGTTAGGTACTCGGCACAAAGGACCCAACAAACCCGGACGAATGATCAGATACGACTTGAAAAGTGCAGTGTACACGACTTGAGCAAAACGAAGCAACTGCTCAGGTGTTAATGCTGACAAGGGAGCATCAGGCAGAGCGAACAGATCGTCGACAGAGGTCTCGTTGAGAGACGGGGTCTTGTGAGACTGGCGTGCAGGTGTTATACCCATGGCAGCCAACGCTGCATCGACCTTGGGCCGGCGGTCCGACAGGTACCTAACCAAGGTTTCAACCGACCGCTTAAAATTATCTTTGGAAAGCGTAAGAATTTAACATAATCGAAGTCGAGAGTCTTACCGGGAACAGTGCGCTTTGTTTTGCTACGTATAGAAGCTGAATCATCGTCTCTGGGCGGCGTTGGGGTCATCAAAGCCGTAAGTCCAGTCCTGAACCTGCCCCTAATACTCCCAGTTGGAGGGAAGGCAGCCAACTGTTCAACAACGTCAACAGAGACTTTGTCCTGGCTATCATTTTTTGAATCGTCGCTGGAAGGCGTTGCAGGCGCATCGTCGGGAGGGATTGGTCCACCAAACAGAGGTATCCACCGGTCCGGAGCAACGGATAATCGCCCCGCCACAGCATCAGGATAAAGCGCGACAACTTTTGCAGGATTAATATTTAGTTCAGTAAAGGTGTCGACAGCTGCATCGAATTTTGACGTCCGGAACAGGGAGACAGCATGAAGAGCACGTATTCTCGTCTTCCTCGCATCCTGCAACGGTCGTTGGAATAAATCAATCGACTGTCAATGCTTTCCATACCTTGTCGGGAAGTATCTTTACGTCAATCGTGTCCACAAGAGTCAGCGCATCATCATATTGACAGTTTAGAATTAGCTCGTCGATCTGCTCAGACCAAGGCTTCATGCAGAACTGCCATATCGCGCTGCCCTCGGCTGCAGCGGCAGTCCGGTCCGTTGGTGTCGTAACGAGATATAACGGAGATTTGGACGCAGGGCTGGCAGTAAGCAAGCGAACCGACGCATTCTGTGGCGTGGGGCCGGTGGGAGCTACAGGAGGGATGAACGGATAAGAAATGGTCTGAGTCGGCCGTAAAGTCAACGACGATCGGATCTGAAGGACAGTCGTCGGATAAAAACTTGGATTTTGATGCTGGTCGGACGTTGGCTCAGGAGCTGGAACTGTCCCTGCCGGGAGTACAGAAAATATGTAAGGTTTGACAAATTCTGCCCATGCATAAGAATAAATTCGCGGAAAACGCCTAAATTATGAAATGACATGCCTATTTCTTCTGGTGGCGCTGGCCACTCGATAGAACTTGTTCTAGAGGGTCTCCCATCGTGTCCGATGAAGTAACCTTCGTCTAAAAGAGCCTAACATTAGATTCATCAATCAAGGAACTAAGAGGTGAAAACCTACGGTCTTTTAGAATAAGAGTATCGGCCTCGTTTATTTGTGCAACGGATGGCTTTGCCTTGGCTCCAAGACCAAGGGTCATATACCCCGTGAGACCAGAAAATGCACCCATACCAGACACCGTGGTGGATGTGGTTACTGGCATCGTGACATCGACAGCTGTCATAGAGGACATGTTGAAGACGGCATATTCTGTTGGGGAATATGCAAAGCAAATGCCTTCGTTGGTCATGAATGTCATGGCTCTGGGTGAATGTGCTAATGGCGCTTCCTAAAATAACGCAGAGTCAATGCATAATTCGACCAAAAGCGCGTGTTCCGCACCTTGACCTCTTGTGCTTCACCATCTTTCCATGTGTAAATGACCACTTTACGTCGGCAGCCCACAACAAGGTATGTGAACAATGTTGGGATAGTCTTGGCATCCGGCTGGCTTGGTTTTCCTTCTGCATCAAAGTGTTGCGTAAAACTGTGGATAGTGAACGAATAGGCCGCCTTTGCCTGAGTAAGAACTGTTGACGGGGAGAGAGTGGGCAAAGGAAAGAGCGTTGTCGTCATCTCTACTCAATGCTTAGCCAGAAAGGATGGTGAATTTCGGGACGCATACCCGACAGTACGACCAATGAGTTGATGTCCCGAATGAACCCCATTTGCTCGATGGCCTTTCGTGTCAAATTCTTCTTCACTTCGACCAAGGATGCAATTTCGCTGTCATTTTCTGTTCCAGTAGTTCAGTCCAATAACCATCCAAGAGTCTAGTTCCGATTTCTCTCACCAGCATGTTCATCAATGCCATATATCCGCAAGTTTCCTAGTGCCGTACCCACATATAACCTATCACCTAACCAAGAATAAGTCGAACTATCCAATCGAAAATACTGGAATACACGCCTTGGACAGTAATAGACTCGACCCTTTCCTTTATGCCTGTGATGACAGTCTTGGGGTCAGAAAAAGGGGCCATTCCAGACGTCGTGGAGGAGTTGGGGTGCAAGTCGAGCGCCGCGCTATTGACGGATGTTGTGTTGCAGGTCCATCGGCACCTCGGTCCGGACCAGAAGACGCCGGCGTCTGGCAGAGAACTTCGCCATCATCTACGGTGAATTTTTGTCTCCGTTTACCTTCCATTACTACCTCATCACCTTGACGACAGTATTGAAGAGCGGTCTTTGCTAACGCCGAAAATTTTCGCGGAAGTTCGACAGCCATTCACTGCGGCAGCATATCTGTAGATATCCAATGAAGACCCTTCCACGCTTTTTTACATACAGTCATTTTCGCTGATCAATGACAAGCAGACCCGAGAGTCATGTATACACTATGCTTGATATCTTCTACTGAACAAAGGCGCCCATCTATTGCGTGACATATTCATCAATAACACTCACCGGCGGGTTAAACTTCCCAAGTGGCTTGTAGTCAACATCAATCCCGAAGGCTCTCGGCCCTCCAATCTCTATACCCCTCGGTATCGCAGTCCACTTATCCGACGCTTGTATCCCAATAACCACAACCAACAGCCCATACTTATACTCTGGCGTGCCGATTGCACCACCATTCGCCGCATCGCACACGCATATCAAATCTGGTACAGCTGCGACGATCTCCTCCGCCCCATCCTCCGCTACAGTCTTCGCAACGAGATTCTCGTTCTTGAACGGGATCTTCATACTCCCGGTGAATTCCTCTCCCATATTTCCGCTCCCGCTGACGTCTGCGGCTTTAATGACGATCTCCCCAAACAGGTGCCCTTTGATGGTGCGACGTTCGACTTGTACGATTTTACCTTTGAAAAGCACTTTGGCGGACTCGGGCCCTCCGGCTTCAGAGATGATTGCTTCGGACACATAGTCGATCTCGTTTTTGGCTCGACAGAGGGCGACTGCGCGTCCTATTCGCCACGAAAGGGAGATCGTGTGTTGGACAGCGAATGCTTTGGTCTTTGCTCCAGTGATAGGCCCTCTAGCACAGGCAACGTGACTGCCCATCTCAGAGAGTGCAGCGCGAAAAGCGCGTTCAACCAATTTCTCCGTTGTACCCTCGAGGAAAATCTAATAAACAGGCTTAAAAACCGTAAATAGAAAGACGTAAGCATGGAATAAGGTTACCATAGTGTTTCCGTTGCCATCACAAATTACTTGTGGGATAAATTGCGGTTTGTCACCTCCCCATACAACAGGTGTAATCTGCCACCCGACTGGATATGCACGCCCCATCCAGTCGCCGTCAACCGTGGGGAGATTCATATTGCAAGAGGCGCCCAAAAACAGACCTGCAGAAAAACAACGATGAAGACTTGATGACATGATACACAAGTACCCATACCTTGTAATCCATTCCCACCTCCAATTTCCAGCGCAATGGTAACGGTAGGTTGATATCCAACTTGAGCATACAACACCCTCTGGGATTGCATCATTCTACCCCAATCATCAGTGAGGGGTGACAGTGAAAATTAGAAAAAAAGACACACTCATCTCCAGATAACTTCTCAATGCCAACAGCTGGGCTACCCTTCCCCCCTCCAGTAGCAACCACTGCATCATCCGGCAAGTCATCCGGCGATGTGACCCTCATCACGGCTCCCTTCCTCAGCAGCTCCCGACACTTAATAAAGTGAGGATATGGGGTCCCACCACCGCCAGTGCCCAAGATATAACATCCAATCGATATCCACTCCAGATCAACCTCGGATATAATCCACTCTCTTGAAGAGGTCACCGTTGGTTTGTATGCTATTATTTCAGCTGCCGTTATAGCTTGGACGGAAGAGCCGCCTCGGAGAGGTTTTTTGTCCGCAATAGTGTCTTCACCGTCGTCGTCGTCATCGTCCATCAGAGAAAGGGATGTGCTCTTAGAAGTGACGGAGAAGTCGAAGTCGCCAATGGCTTTGACGATAATTCGGGATTTATTTGCTATGTACTATCAGAACGTATTAACGATACAATTCCACACTCTAAACAAGAAGCAGCGTACCGGGAGCGGGATATCGTCTATTTCTGCAATGCTGACCGTTTCTCGAAGAGAACCACTGGCAACAGCTCTCTCGATGGCAGCTTTGGACACCTCCTCCATTACAGCGTGGCTTGACTTGTCTAAAGTGCTCACAACGGTGTCAACAACTCCCGAAACCCTCGCAATAGCTGGAGGAGGACAACATGAATAAATTTTAGGCTATAGCCAAAATATCAGAGAGCTAACCTGCACCAATGGCGTTGGCTACGGCAGCATACTCTGGTTTCTCCACAGTACTCGCACCATCAAGTTTATCGGGAGCAAGAATGGCACCTCCACCAACGAGAAGTACGGGAATGTCTTCAGCGCTCGTCTTCATCGTGTCAATGATTCGCTCCAGCATGCTCTTAATAACGACTTGATACTCCTTTACCTCGTCTGTATCAAGCACTCGGAGAGACAAGGCGGCATCCCCAATCGTGATAAGGTTTTGTGAAGCGACCGCGTAATCCGTGGCCGTACGGACCTTACCACCAAAGACAAGAGCTTCCTGTTGGATACGATGACCAACAGAATCAGGACCGATGGTCAACGGGGAGGATGTGGCCGACTTGCGGACGATAGAACCACCGCCAAGACCGATACTGCAAACTGCGTATTTGATGATAAAGCAGTAAGAAATAGAAACTAGACGGACCTCTTCACGTCCGGGCAGGAAAAGTTCAATCTTACGCCAGACACCTCTGTCACTGAAGCGGCTTGCCGAGGGAGGCCGCTCGGAAGAAGCATGCCACAATCAGTGGTGGTACCTCCAATATCAACGACCAGCATGCTTTCTTTGTGATGACGGCCCTGAAGAAGGAAAGCTGCGCCACACATTGAGTTGGTAGGACCGCTAGAAAAGGTACGGATGGGTAATCTGGCTGCAAGAGGTGCGGGCAGGATCGTGCCATCATTCTGAGTGATGAAAACAGGACAGTGGAGATTGAGTCTGTGAATCGCTTTTTGGAATGACAAGATAGTTTTTCGCGCAAAAGAGAGGATCGAAGCATTGAGGATGGCCGCATTCTCTCGCTCCAAGTATCCGAGGTTTGCGACTAGAAACGCAATATTCAAATTATGATTACAATCTAATAATCAAACGAACCTTCTTTAGACAAGACAACATCCGCTTCTGGATAATATTTCTTCACCCAGTCACGGACTGTTTCCTCCTGGTTCTCAATCATATCCAAGGGTGAGAAAATGCCGTTAATTACGATCGACTTGATGTGCTTTTGCTTGATCTTTGCACATTCTTCGGCAATCTGGATCTCTTTGATACCGCAGATGAGCTGACCATCAAGTTCGAGTCCACCATCAACGAAGCCGCAATACGTGCATATCATGTCCCGCAGATCCGGAGGCCAATCTATACCCGGCGGCACATCTCGTGAGAATGGACCGCACAGACGGATGACAGCGACAGGTTTCAGGCGGTTTTGGTCTTTCTCCACTACAGCATTAATGAAATGCTACAAATGACGGGCGGTTAGATATCCGAAAGCAGAGGAGCAGATTGGCGTACTGTTGTACCAATAGTGACACTGGCCACACTATTAACGTCCACTTTTGCATCGCGCAGAAGAGTCGTGATGACATTCTCGATACCTTGGCTGGGATTGGGCGTCGTGGGGTGTTTATTCCTGAGACACAATGATCAGCATAAAGCAAATAGCCTAAACCAAAGGATACTACCAAGCAAGAATCCCTCGATTGGAAGTAGCGTTGGCTAACGGGTCGAGAAGAACACCATCTGTATTCGTTCCCCCGACGTCGACGCCGATCCGAAAACCTTTGCTCATGTTGGATTTCAAGAATTAGAGATAAGGAAGACTTACCTGGCTGGTAAAAAGTCCTTGTAGTTATCGTCGTGATTCTGATTCGCTATTCCATCATTTCTCTATCTTGCCTAATTTCCAACATTATGGAGCCGGCCGCGACGGAAGGCAAACTTTTGAGTTGCGAATTAGAACGTAAGTAAACTTGCATGAGACCGGTACGTACAGAAAATAATATACGAAGGTATCCCAGACGGTAAAGACAACGTAAAGTAGCAGCAGGTTATCAGTGGTGGTTGAGAATGAAGGGGAAAATCAATCTGGCAGACGGAAGCCGCCGGCAGTTTGAGCCGGACCGTAAAACCGCGAGATAGTACTCCGTACAGAAAAGTACGGTTAATGGATTGGAACTTGGCCGGTATTTACACAAGCTACCTGTAGCTGACATACCTGACTACAATTTAAATAATCCCTCGATTTCTTCAGTCCGAAAGAGAGTCTCAAATGATGGCCATCTTCGCCGTTGCAGATGGAATCGAAACAGGCATCGTGTTATGCAAGTGTATCGACAACAGAGACGCCGAGTGCAGTGATCACGAGGGTTGAAGAGAAATTAGAAACACGGTGGCGCCCAGGAATGTATGCACGCTAGAAGCTCACATTAGTACTAGATGGGTTCCAACAAAACCGTCACTTGTCCGTAAGCACTCTGCGGAAGCTAGTTTGCTGCCGTTTGTCTTCGAGATGCCGCTATTAGAGTGAGGGGAGAACAGAAAAGACAATTCTTCCGAAATCCCAAGGACCAGGCCGCTACGATCTATAGTCCGAAGCAGCCGGTTCGGATGCTTCAACTCTTCGCAGGCTACAGATAGAACAAAAGACAGCGAAGTTCTTTCATTTGCTGTGAGAACGGATTTACGCGTACACCGTTCGATCCCCATGGAGTTCGCAATGAACAGTGCAGGGGAGGGGGGGGGGCAGAAAAGGGCCAGAATGTGGCAGTGCTTCGCTTTGGCACTGCCCTGGTCACCAGTCGAATCAAACAACCGCCGCTCCATGTTCCAACTCTTCATCTTCGAACTAATGTGATGAACTGCGGGCAGCGCCTGCTACGGCCTTTACATAGAGCATGGGTCACCTGTTTCACACTTCTTCTGACGCTTGTCTCTTCATCAAAGGATATTGTCACAGGTGCAGTACTTATTAACCGAAGCTTGCTTGAATCCTACTAAGCACACGTAAAGACTTTCAGGATCCACAGGCCCATCGATCGACGGTCCCGGAGATTATATCAATTCCGCACCTTTAGCTCAACTTTTCTTCAATCAGCCCGCCAGGATAGGGAGATCTCTAGGCCTTCTCCCATCGTTTCATCTGTTATGCCAGACCACACAAGGAATGTTACTGGGGTAATCCTCTTAAACGGTAACAAGCGTAGTAGATTCGAAGATCCGGGGATCATTACCGACCTCCGATTCCGGCAATCTCCACGCAGGCCTCTTTCCCCAGTTCTTGAGGCCTCCTCTCCTAAAGCGATTACAAGGTCGCTATGTTGACTGTCTGGTATATCATGTCTCAGGAGATCCTGCATCCATCCTCTTTCGGTATGTTGTATCTTGTTCGAATTTGTCTTGCCGAGTTGTCGTGCACGTTCTCTCCAACTCGTATTTGACTCGTAATGGATAGCGTGCATACCCTACATGCCCACTTGATAATCAGCCTGTCTTTGAAACCCGTGTTTCTAGCTCCAAGCTTCAAGCTGTACTCAATGCGTGGACCGGCGAGACTCTTCTAGTCTGTCTGGTCTTACAACGTGCTCAGCGTCCCACCTCGTGTCGGGTCCTCCGACGACGGTACAAGCTCTCGTCCACGTTCTGGTTCATGGAATGATAACGGATCAGATTCAGGTTCAAACACACCGGGTCGGGATCTCGGTCTGGAATCAGCAGCGGGTGCAACTCATGATCAGGGTCAGGGCGTTAGCTCAGGTCGTGGTGCCGGGAGCGATTCTGGTCCATTTGTAGCCCAACGGTAGCAGTGGAAGACCGGAGCAGAGCGACTGTCGTCCCCCACGACTACACGTGTATATGGCCTTTGGCGGTTGTCAACGTCGACAGTAAGCTTCTGCGACCATTTCATTGTTTTACGAGATACGACTTCTTTCTGTACACTGTCATGCAGGCTTTGGCGTCGGGCTGTGCTTTGGCCCGAAACAGTACGGAATCTTGTCACATCTGGGTTTTGCCTGTTGAGCGCCCATCATGCCTGCCGTTCGTCTTCACAGCACACTGAGACAGCAATGTAAAGCCGGGCATCGACGGAACTGACCTGCAGTCTGCATGTCCTATATGTATCCTCACTGATGTCGGCGGTCAAATTCAGCCTAACCGCGGAATCATGCAGCGATGGTTACTGTCTTGAATGATCCTGTCATAATCCTTGGTTCTATTTTCATATCTTGCTTCGAGAGGGTACTTGTACTATTATATCAACCCAATTCATGAACAAGGCTAAATTGTATAATCACCGTATTTTTTCCATCGCTCTGGACAAATAGAGTCATTCGATGATAAGAACACTAGTTGTGCGCGTGAAAAAACAAAGACGGCCGGGCTAATTCTAATTCAGTTATCAGTACAGGCACCCATCCGTACCTATCTATGTACCTATATCATCATTAACTGCATGTCGCTCTCTCTCAATGCCCCAGAACACCACCCATGATCTCATGCCCACCGACATGCGGGTCAAGGGATCTGTTCGGATCTGTAGGCAATGTAATTAAATTAAGAGCGTCCGCGGGACTATTTTGTTCGCCTCAGAGCTAATCCTTCTACGGTCAGCTGAAGAGTGCGGTGGGATTCGTATCTGTGCACCAGAACCCGCTTCCGTCGAACCGGCCCAAAGTAAAAATCGGACCGTCGTCGCCATCATGTAATCGATTGTACTTTATGATCAACAAGCCCAAAAGAAGACGCTTGAATGAATAGAAGGTATCGCAGTTAAGCAGCGGACAAGGTGCCCCACACGAATGGTCGAGAGATCCGAATGTCGTGAGGACAAGTGAATGGAACTTTGGAATTGATCGGAACACGTTGAACGCGTGAGGACGGGGATATCACGTGATTTTCCGAAAGTGTATAAGACGCGGGACCCTAATCTTGATGATGTTTTACATACATCAGCCTCCACCATCGTTGGATTTGCCAGCAGACGTCACCGCCGCCGTCGCTGTTCCCGCCATTGCCCAGCCCGCTCTCGCTGTGGTCGCCACCGCCGCCGTCGTCGTTCGCACAGCTGCATTTCATCGGTGGTAGTGCCCGTGATTGTCGCCTAATCGTTCACCCTAGGCTAATTGTCAAGAATCCCTTTTCAAAGGTCCCTGCAATCAATCTTCATCATGTTTCCAGTTCCCAGCACCTCTGATTCACACTCTGCCAGCATGCAGCCGCCCTCTAACAAGCGAAAACTTACCCTTTTCACTTCTTCGTGCAAGCGCCCCAGCCGTTTGTCATCTTTATTATCATCTTCTCCTTCTTGCTCGAGCTCGAGAAAGTCTGCTCCCACGTGCACGATCTCGCTCGAAAATGTTACCATTAATTGTTCCGAGTCGTATTGTGTTTACAGTTCGTCGTCTGATGTCAACTTCATCCCCTTCCCCACCACCACCGCCACCTCCGACTCTGACTGCGAGCTTGAGCCTCGGCCCGAGGTTGGGGTCAAGGTTCGTCGACGGTCTATGCAAGCGACGACGCCTCGCTCCAACGAACGCGTACGCCGGGATTCTCAATCACGCCGTCGCAAAGCCCCCTCTACTCGCCACCACGCTCTCTTATCACCAGCATCTCATGTTACTCCCCCACCAAAACGCTTCAAAGGCAAACACTCCGACCTCCGGTTTCTCGCCGTCGTATGGAGGAGTGTCAATGTCAGTTTGCAGACGCGAATGGACGTCGATGGTCAGGGAGACCTCGATGCGCAGGACAGGGTGCTTTCAGAGCGGCTCGGGGCGTATCTCATCGAGCGTGGGTACTCGTCAAGGAATGAAGAGCACGAAAATGTCCTTTCGCCGTCGCAGCTTGTCGCTGCAGCGACCCTTCGGCGAAAGGATCGCACCGTAGTCCGCCCAACAAGGAACAGTGCCGAGCAGCGTAGACGCTCTCCCCTGGCATTAGCTCAGTCATCATCGCTATTATTAATGGTTGATGATCCATAGTCTTCTCCGGCAGCAGACCTTTTTTTTCTGGTCAGAATTCGCATGGCATCTCATCACGGCATTGTATAGTTATAATCACATCAGAATCTTTTTGCATGGAACGGAATCATTATCATCGACGACTGCTCACGGGCCTGTTGCTTACCTTGTGTATCTCCTTTTATCCGCACCACCTCATCGCTTTAATCATAATCTGATTAAAAAATTTGCCTTCCTCTTTAATCGTAATGGTTGAGGATACCCTGCCCTCTTTTTTATAACAAGTAATCTTTATTACATTTGCATTCTTTTAATACCACGTTCCTTTCATCGTCTGTTTGATTTAGCTTTAGCCCAGACCTACTTATCAATAGTGCAGCGAGTCTGGAGTCTGGAGTCTGGACCTCTCCGTCAAACATGAGTCATCCCCTGCGAGCGTGACCAAAGCACGGTGTAACACGTGCACGTGATGGGGTCACGCGTTCGCCACGTACGTGTTTTCCCTGAGTTCACCGTCCCCTGCTGACGTTTAGAATGTCTACAGGCTTCCTTAGGGACTTTTTACGCCTTCTGAAAATCTATTTCGACGCAGCTGACTCATCCTTGTGCCATTAATATCTGCTGCTCCCACACCATCTGGAGGAAGGCCGCTTCCACACAGTACACCATCTATTTTGAGGAGCTACGCTCTCATAGCGTCCAATGTTTTCCCATTAACCGCAGTATATAACTTCTCTAAAATATTTCTTACCACTGTGCCATCATGATTGCACCCTTGATACTCGGGGTTCTGCTCGCTGCTGGCCCAGTACGCTCCTCTCTTGACGTACAACTCCCTTCTGGTACTTTCACGGGACAAACCATCAATGGCTTGGATCAATGGCTGGGGATACCGTTTGCTCTTCCGCCGGTAGGCGGCCTAAGGTTCAAAGCTCCGGTCCCTGTTTCTACGAATTCCTCCGGAGTCCAACACGATGCCACGACCTTTGGGAATGCTTGTCCCCAACCCCCCGGTGATCTTGGTGCCAGTATTAGCGAGGACTGTCTTTTTCTCAATGTGCGTGGTTTCGATCGCTATGATCGTGATTCTGGGATGAACCGTACCGGTAGATCTGGAGACCAGAGGGGGTGAGTAGTAATGAGGGCCTTCCGGTTTTGTTTTGGATTCATGTGCGTCTAGGATCACCTCGCTTGTATTGTTGTTATTCATGGCTTGTATTTAGGGCGGCCAATATACTACTGGGTGTGTCTACTTGTCCTTGTGACCTACGCCACATATAGAAAAAAATCTACTTAGCGCAGCATCAAGTCCTTCTTATGACCCTACCCGTACGTGACTCGCAATGGCTCATATCCAGTGTCTAAGGTAGTTCCAGGTATTCTGAACCGAAGTATCGAAATCGGAAAGCCCATTGTGTTCGTCTCTACGTTAGTACCCAAACCGTGTTACTCTCGCACGCCAGCAGCTTATTGTTACCCAGCAATTACCGCCTCAACACTTTTGGCTTTGTACGTCAGACGTTTCTGCCAATATGACTGACAGATCCTGAGAGGCGAGAAAGCTCTCCAGCGCCAACGTTCCTCCGGGGGACCTCAACGCGGGTTTGTTGGATCAACGACAAGCTCTGACATTTGTTCAAGAAAATATACGCGCATTCGGCGGTGATCCAGCCAAGGCAAGTCTCATGATCCCCGTCTTTAATACCTACTTGCATTTCATTTGACATCACGGGGATTATGAACAGGTCACAATTTGGGGACAGGTACGCTGAGCTGAGCCCTTCTTCAAATGAGTCACGAGGGTCGATTCTCCTCCCTAGTCCGCTGGTGCCGGAAGTGTCGAAGCCCACTTTGTATTCCCTGCCTCTCTCACGCTCTTCCGTGCTGGAATCACGGACTCATCAACGGGACCCTTGTTCGTTAACGTTATTTTCATGATTTCCCTGTGTAACTCTCTCATTCTCAAACGTTACAGCAAAAACTCCCCCAATGCCAGCACATATGACAAGCCAGGGAAACCATTTGACAGATTGCTCATGCAGACGGGTTGTGCCGTCGGTCCAGGATCGGTAGACTGTCTAAGGAATGTTCCTTTCGAGGTGACTGGGTTTTTCGGCCCTATGTGCATATATACAATATTTAATATCTTCTCTTATCAGACTTTGATCGATATCAGTAACACGCTGATTGACAATACGCTCAATGACCAATTATGGCAACCCTCCGTCGGCCCTCCAGGTAGTTTTGTGCCAGAGCGAGCCTCAGCTAGGATTGAAAGGGGCGACTTCCTACATCTACCTTACGTTGGTGGTACAAATGTAAGTATAGCGTGAAATCGGCTTTTGAGTCCCTCCTTATACTTCTCTCAGGTGAACGAAGGAACCGTTTTCAGCACGAGCTTACTCGGCCTCGATGTTCCCCCCAGCGAGGAAGATGCAGCTTTTGACAATTTCGTGAATCATCTTGTTATTGACAACAGCACTCTCACCCCAAATCTGTTCGCCAAGTTCCACCAACTATGGCCGGCGAATGATTCTTCCCTCGGAGCGCCATTCAACACAGGAGACTCTCTTTTTGACAGAGCGGAGGCGTGGTATACCGATGAAATGTTCTTGTCCCCAAGGAGATTATTTTTTGAGCACGCGAGTTCATTGCAGCCGATGTATGCTTATTACTTCAGAGAGTTCATACCAGGGAACAATCCGGAATTTGGCGGTTAGTAATATTGTTTCTCCTCACATCCAAATACTGAACGGCTCGGAAACCAAGTGTCTCATGGATCGGAATTGTCCTTGCTTTTCGGACCCGTACCCACGGACGTGGAGGATGAGTTCGCCAATCAAATGCTAGACTTTTATGTCAATTTTATTTGGGATCTCAATCCCGGAAGTGAGCGAGCGTGTTTCCAAACTATCGAACTTGGGGTGCTTACGGCCCTTGACAGGTGCCTGGGATCGGTATGTACCGACGTCAAAAAATGTCTTGCAGCTCCTGCGAGACAACATCACCATGATTCCGGATGGTATGCCATCGTTGTTAATGTCACTCCTCGAAAAGGCTAAGGCTTTTCCTTAGACTGGGACGTGGACAAGACGGACTTTTTGAATACGCATTTTGTTTTGAATGAGTTTGAGAAATGAGGTTCTGATTGTTCAGGATCATCCTACCCGGTTGATGGCGGATAGCTCTTTCGATTATATTTGTAAATGCAATCAAACTCGTACAGCCGCGCGCTGCTCGTGGTCCTGGTGCTGGCTTCAGTCTACCCTAGTCGAGGCTTGACGTTTAGTACGCGAATAAGGTCTCCAAGTCGTCCTTAGATAGTAATTGCATACGTGCAATATATTGTCTCGAACCGGGATGTGCCATAAGGTGCCCTGGAAATATGTGGCTTTCCTAAAAAGGCTTCAACGCCTAGCAACACATCATATGGATTTCTGATACGTATAAGTAATGATGATCGCTGATCTCTTAGGAGTATGGAGCAGATCCGAGCCCTTCCGTAAGCGCTGAGAAAAAACCTGTGCTGAATTCGAAGTCTACAAGTGGCTGGTATGAACAGCCAGGAATCCCATAAAATCGACGTAGATGAATGTGGTAGTATACAGCGAAAGAAATGTACATCCTTCGAAAGGCCGTTCGAGATGGTGATCCCTCCGCGCGACCAGGGACCCTGGTATACAATCTAAAAAAAAAAGTGATAGTCGAACCACAAAATGCTCAGGTAGTAATGACATGCGAGACGTGGACATCGCTGAAGAGGTTCTTCGTACCCGCCACCTCCCCCATATGACTGCCGCTACTGTTATTGCGCGCCCGTTCCCTCAAAAGCCCCCACTCAACCCACCAGTTATCCGCATCGTCCTCCGCGTCATACCCAAATACCTCCTTGATATCCACCCATTCCGGTGGCTCTTCGAGATCACCCGTAGCATCAAGGATACCAACACCAGCCTGGTGTTTCGCCCGCATCATATCGTCACGAGCACATTGGAACTCTCCAGGTTCGGCAGTCATGTAATGGATGATACCCGCCTCCTTGCTATGTACAGCTGCACAACGCGGCTGCCGCAGATCTTGGAAAGCCCACAAGAAACTTTTGATCTGGTCTTTAGAGTGAAGGTGCGAGAATAATTTTGCGAGGACAGCCCCGTCTTCCACCGTTAGTGCGCACTCTTGGATGGATCCGGGCTAGCTGCATATGAATAAAGGATCTAGTATAAAGAAGGGATAGCTTACGGGCATAGGATGGACAGCAGCTCCCATGACGACCATGAACCCGTCTACCCAATCTTCAAGAGGTGCCTTACCATCCACGTGAACACAAGCCGTATTTGTGGCTAGTTTGCTAAGTCTGAGCAGCCTGGTTGATGTTGCATTAAAGGCAAGACTTATAGCGACTCGACAACGAGTTTACCTTGGTTCACTGGATGCAAGCATACCACGTAGACCAGCAAGAGGGGCGGGTTCTTGCCAGGATCCTTCATACTTGTCCTGCGGACCATACGCACACAATCCAAACTCAGGATTCCTTCCACCCTTAGGACGCGTTAGATTGACTGCTCGCATTCAGATTGATGCACGTTACCAGCGGTATTCCAAGCACAGCATGTTTATCGCCAAACCACGTGTACATTGTGGGCTGCGAACAGTGAGCGACGTGAAGTCCTCAGAATAGGATGGTGCGCACAATTTTATGGTCGTATAACTCTTTCAGTCGAGGATCCTTCATGATTAAAGATTTGGGTATCGTTGTACTGAAATGCGTTGCGTTAGTGAAGCATAGGAAACGATAGGTAAAGAGAGTACTCACCAGTACATGCTCATGTTTATCGGCACCTCATCTTCATCCTCTTCTTGTTCTATCAGTAACACCTGCCTGGTTACGCCGGAGGGCCCATCACAGCCGACAATGACATCTCCTTTGAGGACTTCTCCCGTGACTAGGGTCACTGTTTGAGCGTCGGGGTTTACTGTTCTGACCCGCGAGCCCAATCTAATATTTGCTCCTACTGCCAGAGCGGTATCGTATAAGAGCCGTCGCAAGTCACCAATCTTATCGTTGTTGAGTCAGATCGATCATAGGAGACTAAAGACAAAATTGATCGGCGTACATGAGCTAGGGAAGGTAAGGGATGAGAAAGCTGATAGTTCATACGTTTGGCGTCATAACGCACCGAATATAAACTCCCCTCGGGTTTCCCTCAGTACTTCTTCATCCCAAATGTGCGTTCCAAGTAGCTCTCCGGTATTTTCTTGAGATGGTATAAGATGAATAACAAGGATACCATGGAAACACTCACGAATACCAATATATATAGCTCCAGATACGACACCTATCTTCCTCAACTCGTCTTGGAGACCCCAATGATAAAGAATTTTGCTGAGGTTTGGGGGCATCCGACATGGACCCGACATCTACAAGAGATCTTTAGTATATTTGAACAATTCGAGAGTACATTTAACGAACCGGTGGAAATGTTGAATCTTGCTCGAGGACAAGTACACGGTGACCTACTCGTCGTAGGGCTATGGCACACGCGAGGCCTGCGATACCACCGCCAACAATCAAGAAGTCTATAGGTAACGCCGCTTGTTTCGGCCGGTTGTTAAATCCCTTTGTCAAAAGGAAAGTTAATAGAATGAGGGAGAGGACAGGCAGAATACTCACCGGGATTCGCGCCATTCTGATTAGCGGAAGCTGTCGCGAAAGGTCTGTTCACGACGACGTGATGATGTATTTAATAGGAAGAGTAGAGCATTTGAAATATTGCGGTTGAGGTCCCAACGTGTAGAAAAATGGTAAAAACATAATTGCAGAGAGATCCGATCGACGCCACCGAATCTGGAAAAGAATCTAGCCCTCTTTGAAGGCCCGGGTTTCCCCCCCAGAACTGAATTTCGAAATGTTGGATGAAGCTCTGAGCGCGCTGTAAGGCACATGTCGGCTATTCTCCCGATTTTGCGGATTCTGTACGTCTATTCATAAAAGAAGCGGTCAGTCTCCAGCCTCATGTTTTAGATACTATCACTGCCATACCATCAAATTTTAGTATTCCATGTGACGAGTGGCAATAATGATGTTTAGCAACCCGCAACCGACCTATCACTTTATCCCATTTGTTTCAAAGCAATGCCTGGCTTAGGAGCTGTTCTCAGCGAAGAAAATGTGACACCAGTCCCTAATACATACCTTGCTTATCGAATGATCTTGCGCTAGGCTACAGTAAACTCCAGGTCCCATGGATTGTGGATATGTATCCGTGCGATACACATTATATTGCAGCCCCCAAAGACCCTTGGCGGATGTTGCATCTAGATACGAAGGAAAATTCCTGGAAAAGGCGCAGCGACAGCTAAAGGGATTGAATGTTCAAGGCGCGACGATAAGGCTCGGCCGACCAAGGACAGGGTCATAGTCGGTGATTGCCGTGCTTATTTCCGTTTTCAGCTCTGGATAACGGACCGTAGCTCAATTCTTTGGTCAAGTTCTCTAGTGGCAACATTTTCAGTGCCATCCACGACATCCGTGACACTATCCGGGTCAGCGTCGACCATGAAAGACCAAGGAAATGTCCACTTTAAGGCCGGACTACTAGAAGAGTACGTTCAACTCCACTCTTGTATTGTTGTAAAAATAATTTCCAACGCCATGATTCTTTACCAGAGCTGCGAAATGGTATGGAAAGGTTCGTACCATCCCTAATGGCGCAACTCTCGACAGTCTGACTTGTCACAAAGGCCGAGAAATTGGAACGACACAACGCGATTTATCCCTCAAATCTCAGTGCTGCTTACTATGAGTTAGGAGACTATCCCCAGGCCTACCATGCTATTTGTCGCTCAGCAAAAAATCATGTTGGCTAGTGAGCCAAACCCCGCCCTTTCCCTCAAGCTGGTTACACGACTTTCGAAAGCCCTAAGTTGCGGTGTTCAGAGTGGCGCAATAACGTTCAAGGGTCTTGAAGTCAACCTGTCAACCATCAATGAACTTCGCGTCATTGCCGAGTACGTGGGATGAATGGAAACGTGTCGCTTAAGACTTCGAAACGGTTAAGAACGGGGCTCAAGACGCATCGTCAAGACTTGCCGCTCTTCCCTTTGGGCGAAAAATTGTGTACGTATGTATCGATCAACTTTATTTACGTTTACTAACGCTTCTTTACCAGGGATACCGGTCTGGGGGACTATACTGTACGCAGCGCCGAAATTGACATACAGGTTTACCCTCAAAGGATTCACAGGTCGCTAAAGCCTCTTCCGTAGGACGACATGTTCCAAGTTCAACAATTGGGCTTCATCAAGCTTTCACAAAACTTAATGGAAAGAAGCGCAAGGCGCTCAATGTCCACTTTACTCTTAATGACTTGCGTCCTAGGGCTTTGGCGCTCGACCTTTGTCTCTTGTTCCTGATCGAAGACCTCATACTAACGCGATCTCAAGAAGAGAACAAAGTTAAAGAAGCCGAGATTAAAGCTACCATCCTTTACACGTGGACAGATTTCATTATGCCTGCTTACTGCCAGACGTGGTACGTCACTATCAAGTCCACAGCCTTCGAATGTTCACTCAGACCTTCTAGATTCGAGAAAATCGTGAAACCTTTGCTCAAACGCCCCCAAGAGTCGCCACCGAATCTAACCCGCCTGGATCTACGTCACTGAAAAGTCCATCCCAGGGTTGTCGGCGCGCTCAAGTATTGGGACGCAAAGATATTTCACAAGAACATAAAGGATATGCTTCGCCACTTGGCTAGAACAGTTAGGACTCCTGTTGAGCGTTCCCAGTTCTTTAACAGTCTCGGCATGGCATCAAACTTTCTCGAGACCTACCACAAACGGCAAGAAGAGTAATGGGAACAACTCAAGGGTTTTGTGGACGCAGGATTATCTGAGGAGCAGGTAATCGACATGGCGAGTAAAATTATGCCACATCCCATACCCAGAGATCCCCAGCGGCGCAGGAAATGGCTAGTCGACGGACGCGCGGCTGTAGTTGACCTCCTGTTGGAAGATAAAGGAGACCGACACGCAAAAGCCCACCAACACAACGAATTCATTCTCGAGGAGAACTGGTATCAACTGACCTAGTGTTTTGTACCGCCGACTATCTTGAGATCGAGGCATGACGGCTTCGATGAATTCTGGTACGTATTTACAGCAGAGGGAAAAGGCAAGAATCATATCCCAGACAGCTTGGACGATAAGGGACTATTCCTTACTCGCTGCGAAATTCCGTGTTGAATGTTCAGGTTCGCAGATACATAGAGACTACTTGGAAGCCTAATCCATCGCTCTTTGTGCGTACCCTACACCCTCAAGGCTCCACGCGCGCTCTGTTGAAGACTCATATCTATATAGGACCCTCGCCAGGCACCAAACCGATCTATTAGTATCGCCGCAATGGGATATCCGATAATCGAAATCCTTTTCACATGGTATCCCTCATAGAGCCTTTCAATGAGCGAACGCGCCTCGTCAAGGGTAGGAACATGAATGCACGAATTAACCAAGATTGCCCTGCATATCCGGTTATCTCCGTCTTCTCCGACGCCGTCGTTGTCGAGGCTCTCATCGCCTTGAAGGGACGGATTCTGCTCGAACTTATTCAGGATGACATCTCTTCTGCGCTAGTGAAGGTGGGGATTGGACTCGATGTTTCTAGGCCCGCCCATTTCCGAAGGACATTTAGTCGTATACGGCTTAGCAACGTCCCGTAGGTCCGAAGATGATTCCTCCTTCCCTGAGGCTGATCCTCATCTCCACAATGATTCTACACACGGGCCATTGAATACCGCCGTCTATATTATGCCAAACTTGGAGTGCAAATCTTACGCCGCGTCAGCTTTTAGTTGCATGTTCAATAGCGGAGTCTAGCAAAATGGCGACCACTTGTGCACAAGTGAGAACTTTCGACGAATACTTGCATCTGTCTTGCTTTACATAGCTACACACTTCTCAGCGTGAAGGACTATGCACGTTTCTTCGGCTGTCGTGTCCTATCCATGGATCCTGCCAGGGGGTGCCACGGAGTTTGCACCTGAGCCTCTGCCTCGTCCGTTCTCGTCCCCTTCCTTCTCGAGAAGAACTGACTACCTGGCTAACACGCGGGTCTCCTGGCCACGATCTTTCCTCCCGCTTTCGCTAATCCCATGCAACAAATGCTCCATGTCCGTTACCCCGGCAACCTAGTCGCCTTCATCATCATATTGACTCTCTGAGTACCTACAAACGATTCTTTCCGATTCATTAGTACACCGTCCCCCTGTCAGAGCTCAGCCGACGAGGACCCACCCGCAGGCGACTAAACGTCGACCCTTGGAGGGTCGAATTCGAGAATGTCCTCGCCGTATCGTACGAAGCTGTCTGCCATTCCCAATGAACGCTTCCGTCAGATTTCGCGCGGTGTCAGGACGAGATCGGGATCTTCGAGGCTCTACGGCAACGTCCATGGGTATGACACCGCAGTACGAGCCAGTGCTTTCGCTTGTTTTTTCTATAAGCAGGGTTTGTCTCCTGTGTCTCGTGGTGTGAAGCAAGCGATGTTGCGGCAAACCGCGGAGGGTGAGCTCGTGAAGAAGGGTGACTTGTATATCTTGACCTCGGTCGAGACCTTGGGTGTGGGTGCAAAGGTTGTGAGATGGAGGATGCCTAAAGCAAGAGTTCAAGCCATGAAAGCAGCGAAATGGGGTTTTGTTGCACATAGGTTTGATTCTGATGCGGACGATGAATATCAATGTGCCATCTTTACCAATTTAAGAGCTGATTGTCGTGTTGTTAGGCATACCGGTTTCATCCCAGGAATGGATAGAAGTCAACCCGATGCGGACGAAGCCGTTGGCCTGATTTCCTATCATTCATATACGTGTCGCATATTGATAATATATACATACCTTTCTTGCTTGTCCTAATGTAGATTGTTTGTTTCTTGACTCCTTCTGTTGGGGGTCGCCTGATCCAGAAGAGATTGCATGGATACATCACATCGACTGGGCAGTGTGCTATCTTTGCATAGAAGCCATTCGAACAAGCGGATATCAGTGTGGCTTTGGTTCGAAGCTGTGGTCAAGGAGATCCGAAGCTTCCATTGCTTGAGTACTTCACTAGAACGATGTTCCTGCGTCCAAGTAGCGCCGGAGAAAAACGGTATCCGTATACTTCAGTTGCGCAGGCAGGCGGTCCGTTTTAACGCCTCGAGCTCTGTAAATTCGCGCAAGTTTCGCCTTTTGAGTTGATGGCGGCGTGTCGTCATGCTATGAGGGGTTTTTTTAAATTTCTTGCAAGTTTCTCAAGGCACCCGCATCTTTTGATGGCCGGGTCAGACGGATAGGGCGTATCGGGGACGGAAAGGGACGGAAGCCAGTAACTTTGGTGACATGTGTAGGGAAGGGGGGGGGAAACGACGGGCATCGTTGTCTCTACGTTGCCGCCGCCATTGGACCTCTAGACTCTGTCGAGCGCCTCGATCTCCTCACTGAAGCGGCCTTCGCGCGTCCCTATATCCCAACAAGTCAATCATCGCCTCCACGAATAAAGCGGACTGCTGTGAGGTACAAACCGGATTTAGTATGATACGAAAAGGAGACAACAAACGCCCTGTCTTCTTTCCCTACAAGAAATCTGCGGGTGTTGATCGCGCGTAGAATTGCTCTTGCCGCCTCAACTCCGTCCCCCCGCTCCGTGCCTCCAGAACGCAATTTTTTACAGCGAAACAGCAAAGACGGATAAACTTGTGGATAGGTCACAAACGACAGATTCTCAGGATCCGATCCACCCCAAGTTCGTCTCTCAAAGACAAATATACGTAAGCAATCGCTGCATTCGAGGTTGTCCTACAATCTATGTATTAGTCTTGTTTTACAGTAGTTTTGCGCTGTCGTAAGGACAAGGCAATGTCGTTGCCCAACCTATACATAGTCAAGCTGGATATTGTGCACCAGACGCTAGAAATTGATCGCATGTTACGTTAGTGGCGTGGCGCAGGGAAGGATGAAGCAGACTCACATGTTTGGACATATCCAGTAAGCAAAAACGTCCACAAAGTCATTGTGCCCTATAGCGCACCATCCGCAATAGTACTCTTGCGCCAAATAGAGGATTGTCTTGGCCAGAGTCATCGTAGCACCGGTGTAGCCAAACAGCGGCGCAATGTCAGACTTGAAGGCATATACAAGGACGAGATACGTTATCTTGATAGGGGGTGTTGAACAGAAGGGGGTTGTTCCGATGAATGAAGCTACGTACCGTGGCAAAGTTTTCGAGAAGGTTGAGAATAGCTGGTGGCGCGCACAACAGAAGTGAGAAGAAGGTGAAAACATGAATCGAATGTGGCAACAGCGTACCTGCGGCGTTAGCGAACCCATCGCCATCCTCAAACGCTTTCACACCGTAGACCTGTATTGAAAGGGGTAAAATATTTAATGGCAGGTTCTAAACTAGAAGGATACAACCGGCGCACCTTGTCTATCTGTCCGTAAAAATCGTACAACTTCCATGCCCAGTGCAAGTCGCCGCCGACCATTGAACGAGGTCTGGAGATGCAAGGCGATGAGCAGAAATACAGCTGGCCAGCGAAGATACTCGCACCTCATGAGACAGTATCCAGCATCCCATATCATAAGCGGAGCAGTGAGCATAAACCAAAGGGTTATCCAAGTGTACACCTTGGGAGCCATTGAAAGGGGGAGAGCAGAGACCTATGCGGAAAGGAGCGTAGCGGTCTTTAAACCTATCAAAACGAACACTTTTTGAAAGAGAAGAGCTCCTCGCCTGCTTCCTGGAGTTTAATTAACAGCCTTTTAAACGGATCTGACGCGGTTTACGTACAAACCTGGACCGTTGCATAGGCCCTTCCATGTTGAAAATGAAAGCCAAGTCATTCGAATCCGCGACGTTATGATCCTGTTATGTTCAAACGAATAAACGACCGGGCCATGCTTGTCCCTCAAATGTTCCCCGTTTTATTGGTCAAATAGAAAAATTTTACCTCTTTGCTCGCGCGCGTGGGCGAAGATTCCCATCGTCAGCTTGAAACTGCAGTATTTCGGCTCGAGCCTGATGCCAAGGTGATGCAAAAAACACATGGAGAGACAACTGAACATGAATTCAAGACAACCGCTTAATAAGTCTCTTGATTCCCAGCGTCCTTTCCAGGGGGGGGGGGGGGGGGGATTCTTACTTACACCGATCAGAACATATCGTCGCCACGGAGGAATACTGGAGATACGATCACCTAACCGGCCCATCGGTCCTGGCTTGTTCGCCCCCAATACTGTGCGTGTTATCCTCCGCGAAACATACCATGACACAGAATCTTCAAAATGATCGGCCCCAATGCAATCCGACCTCATGACGTGTCCCAAGATTTCCACCATTTTGGCTTGTTAGCCATCACCAGCATTTACCGATTTCGAAATTTTACACAGGCACCAACGTTTGTCGACGTCGAAGTACAAATTCGTCCCTTCGCCGCTTTTCGAGGATCTTCGCGAGACGCGTGGATCAGGTCCGTACGCCGGGGCACGGTCGAGACTCGAGAACTACTGGGCCGACAACCAATAGAATCGTTGCGGTCTTCCAGCAACCATGTGAAGCTGCCCAACTCAGTCCCCTTGTTGCATATCCAAGTATCCCATCACTGTCAGGGCCGAAGCGGTTTGTGCTGGCTGGAAGTGTGGGCGCATGGTGACGATTATATCTCAGATCTCACTGCATCTCCAGCAGCCACTAGCCGCAGGTCGACGACCCTATACGCGGTCCTTCGAGCACTGAAGCATTCACCCCTAGGTCTGAAGACTCGCTGTCTGGTGTGGCAAAAGAAGCCAGAATAGCAAATACATATCCAGCGCCCCCATACTTCCCTCTCGGCTATCAAAGAGCAAGCATGGTGCCTTGGAAGCAAGTGCACCCAACTACAAGGCAATTTTATTAAGTCGCAAAAGTCCAGTTCTTGGCATAGAGGTGTCCAATCAACAGGCCCAGTTTGACACCTCCTCAAAACAGGGCGCTGTATTTGAAGTCATCAACGTGTCATCAACGTTGAGTAAGGGCCGGTAGAGGTACGCGATGCCGCAACGTCATTGGTTCATTAAACTCGAAAGAATATCTCCAAGCTGCAAGTAATGAGTCAGTTATCTCCAGCTGGTCGAATGTGCCCCCCCTGCAGGGCTTTGAACCTGTTGACAAGCTATCGTAAGTTAAACCCCCCCTTAGATCTTATTCAAAAAGGTCAAGAAGATAAAGCGCCCTAAAATACTCATACAAGGATAGTCGAGAGAAAATTTATATTGATGCAGGGTATAAAACCAGAAGCATTGGAACCACACGATAGCACGACAGGAAAATGACCAGAAATATACAATCCACCTGTCAGCCATCAATCAGAAAGCTCTTGCGGCTTAATACCGAGCATGAATTTTCACACCTTGTGCCAGCTCCCCCTTCAGCGCGCAAGATACTGTGACATCTAAGTTCAGCGGTCATCTGGCAGTAGAATCTTCGTACGTCATCGAATCGATAGATCACAGTAAACCTTTCAAACTGCGGTGTATCGATCGTCATCTTGGCCATTAAACCCTCAAGATCCTGGTTGATATGCATCGCCGGCGACGTAGGCGTCACTATTCTAAGACTCACGAGGGACGCCACAAAATAACACAAGCATCGTTCCTGCGTACCCAGTCAGAACAACACCGAACTAGTCGTACGAAACCACCTACCACATCATCATCGAAAAAATACCGAATCAGTCCAAAACCCAAAACCCGAACACGCCGCGCAGCCAGCGGCATAAAGTAGCGAGCGGGGTAGTCTGCACGTACTTATATGGCAGCCGCACCATCTCCACAGGACACGTAGTCCTAAGCAGCACATACAGAGCGCGGATCGGAGGAGATGTGAAATGTATCCCCGCCACCCGACGTCCCGGCAAGAGACTATCCACCCACAACGCCGCAGCATTCAATCTTACAACCCTCGGCAATGACCTATTCCTAACCGCCAGATGGAGAGGCAGCGAGTGCGCGCACGTTACATCTCGCACTTGTAATCAAGAAACGCAATCAGGTCCTCATCCGTGAAAAAGTCGACTTGAACGAGAAACAGCCTGAACGCGTCTCAACTATCATTCCTTGCACAGGATGTATAGCTTCAAGTGGCGCAGATTACGGAGCCCTGCGCTATGAGGGCCAGGTACCCTCTCTTCCTCGAATAATCATGCCGCCACCGAGCATCGGGGTCAACTCTAAAAGGCCGTCCGTTCCGCGAGACTTCAGAGACGGGAAAAGCTTCCGTTTGCACTGGGATGCCGTATACACAGTACGGCAAAATTCCTTTGCAACAAAGACTGAGAGCGCGCAAGTCCTGGAGCGAAAAATAGTGAAGGATCTCCAAGAACGTGTCAGCTGGTATGGAGGCGAGCATGGCTAAGTGGGTCTAATGAAGTATTGAATTGAATGTTTTTATGTATGCATGGCAAGAATCTGTAACATCTTACTCATCGCCCTGATTAACATAATATTATTTTGCGGCTACGCAAGAATTGTTTGGAGGCGAAGACATGCGCATGCATTTGCCCGTCCCTGGAATTGAGTCCGTGAAACATATGGAGCAGCGGTGGTGCCAAGATCTACTAGTGAGCGTAAACGAGATGGCATCAGCGTCCAAAATAAAAAAAAAGTCTACTCGCTCATTTTCCCGACAGTATTACGCCCATAAGCGTCCCATCACAGAACCTTCCCGAGTTTAACGCCTAACTTTGAAGTTTGCAGGTGAACGTGCGCAGTCAAAATTGAAAGACGGTGCCACATCTGTCAAGCGTAGTCAAAGAGCATGAACAGGTAAGTACACACATGCAATGTGTTCTGTAATACCTTTTCTATTACCCGCCTATACAGCGCTTCCAGTCCGATAGAACACAGAAAAGGTGTCAAACTGCGGCACCTCTGTCGCCACAATCGAAATAAGCTCGTCCAGGTCCTCTTCGCCGTCCCAAGACGTCACGATTTGTAACCGACACCAATCGTTTCACGCACCCCAAAGGCGTCACCATGCCCCTCAGATGCTGTCGCCTCGACAGCCTATCGTCGTATAGATTCTATGTAGTCGTGTGCATTAGTTACACGCTCAATTCAAAAAACGCCTAAAGTCCACTCACATCGATGTCATCCGAATACACCTAATCTATCCACAACTCGCGCATGGCACCAAGACAACGGTACAACATCGCAACCTCTTTGTTCCTCAAATAACTATATGGCAACCACACCGTCTCCGCAGGACAGGCAGCCCTACGCAACGCGTCCCGCCATAAACCGGGGAAGACGTGAAATGCACCTGCCACTTGACGGCTCGGTAGTAAGCTATCAACATAGATTAATCCACAGTGGCGCAGCAGCGAGCCTTGCAAGCTTTGGCCCTCAAATAGCTCGGAAGCCCATGCACAATACTCAGCTCTTCGATTTCTGGCTGGGGTGGAGAAACGCAATGAGATCTTCGTCAGGATATATCCCTACTTCGCGTAAATACAACTTCAACGCGTTTCGGCAACGGGCAACCGTCCATGCACATGAGTGATCTTCCACTCAAAGGTGCGGATTGTGTGTAGCAGAGTGTAAGAAATGCCTCAGCTGCATTGGGATGCCTGAGCTATCCGTACATAGCGCCCTGCGGTCCGAAATAAAACATTTGTAGCAACAGACAAGAGCCCACAAATCTTGAAGATCCAGGCGAATGATTTCCAAGGTGTCGACTACATAGGAATGCCAAAGAGTCGACACGCTGTTCACAGAAAATATAACAACTTACCGTTGTGATAAATATCATGGAAGTAAAACAGGGAGGGGGGAACTGACGTACCTTCAAGAATCAAGCAGCAATCTCATAGTGCTGACGTCTGACGAGATGGAGAGAGATGTCAACAATCAAAGTGATAATTATCAAACATGTGTGCATTCGCTTTCTATCACAGGACCTTGTGTAAAGCCTGACAATTGTTCATGCCACTGACGATTACTCTAGAGTCTAAATCCTTTTCAAAACCCGGGGGTGAAGTCGACTTGCCGGGTATCGTGACACTGATGCCATGATCGGGCGGAATCACGAGTCCAAGCGCAAGCCTGCTGAGGTGCTCGACCCAAGGCTTAGTTAGCCCCATTCACAGAGGTTAGCATGAAAACTGTCGATTGCGGCTGAGCTGGCGATATCTGAGATGCAGAATATGGGACTCAAGCTCGGCAACAGTTTCGTCAGGGAAAGGACGCTTCGTGACACTGACAAAGGGCGGCGGAAGTAGAATTGGGGAGGGACAGTCCGCCAGATGAAGGGCAACTAGACGAGGTTGCTCAGGGAGAATAGGGGAGTTTTCAGGTCGGCTAATAGTAGCATCTCCGGAGAGAGAGTAGTGTGACGAAAGGCCTAAGCCTAGACCAACTGCTCCTCCAAAAGGTATTCCCTAAGTGGGAAGATAGTGGCTGAGGACCAGGAAGAAACACGAAAAACAAATGCCGTACCTGGGCAGTAACTCGTCGAGCACCAAAACCCATCCGACCCTCGCGTTTCTTGGTATAAATGTTGGTCGGAATCAATGACGGCGATTTGATACGCTCATCTGGCTCCGCATCATCTCCTAAATCATCGTCCGACAAGGGCAAAGGCGTCATTTCCTCGTCAGGACGATTCCTAGCAGTTGAATGGGGCTGGAACGAGACCTGCTCACAAGCAAATTCGACTTTACAGACTCGCTCGGATGTGGATGATTCACTGGTACATCCAGAAAGCGACGAGGAACAGTCCGTATGAGAATCCGACAACTTCCTATGCTCGCATAGAGATGGCTTTGCGCGCAATGAAGCAGATGAGCTCGAGAGTGCCAGATTCAGCGACATAATAAGGATAGTAAAATGAGATGAAGGCTAGGAAATGTGGAGGAGAGGTAGAGGTAGAGTAGAAATCTGTTTCCTTGCTGGTTTGATATCGGAGTTTAAAAGTTCGGTGCGACTGCGCCGTGCCAATTACAAAACCAAAATATTACATTTTCTACCACTTCGCATACGGTAAGAATTTACCACTAAGGGGATAATATTAATGTCTGACCCACAAAAAGGTAGAACACAAAGCATACTCGAACGTCAAAACGACGCGATCCCCTTTAGGATCCGGTTTCTTCGCTATGTTGATCTTGCAGTCAATCATAGACATAATACCATCTCCAAACTGTCGTGGAATGCATTGGAAACTCGTGAGAAGGTAAAGGGTACATATGGCGTACTTTCTCATGTATAATGGCCTTCAATCCATCCGCTGTGAGAGGAAAGTTGCATAATTGTGCCGGATAACGTACCTTGATCGCATGACCATATACCAAGACGCTCTGGTAGTAACGAAGGCAATCAAGACCCGGATAATCTCGATTGAATGATTACTCACCTCATACAACCGATAAATAACAGGGTCAGTGGGAGGCATGGGACCTAGTCCACGGTTGGGCCACCAATGATCACCCAGGCCAGCAACCAGGTCACTACGCGGAATATCAAGCGTCTCGGCTACCTTCTGTAGCTCTTCCGGAGTGAACTTTGCCTGTCGATAATTGAGATTCGAATTCTGCGGTTATTGAAATGGTGAACCTGGCCATAGAACGCAGCAGCAACCCAGACTTCATCCTTCCCGACAGCTTGAGCAATTTGATCGAAAGTCAGGCCTGTATATTCAATGCTCTGAATTCTCTGTTGAAGAAGAAACATCTGTCTCAACCTTTCTTTGCCTTGGCTTCGAACAGCTTCGAGTTAACGGAAGGGAGATCAGTATAGGGCGAGTTATGTGCGGGAATCGTCTGTTCCGTAAGAAATGAGCCATCTGTAAGAAGAAGAAGATGATCATATGGTTTACCGCTGTTTGAGCCATGGTGCACTGGTAGTGGTTCGAGACGGAGTGGGATGACAGTCACACATGATCTTATATCGACTCGATAACGTGACAACCGTCCTAAACTTGAGCCACCGACATTCACCGAAAGATAGAATGTAGAATCATGTTACATGGGGTCTAAATTGAGGTGATATAAGTAAGGTCGGTCATTGTAATGAGACCGCACGCTTACTGTGGTACAAAGTAGAACAGAATAACTATATTGTGAGCCAGCAAGATCACTGCTCCCTCGGATCCTTGGGTCCTTCATCCTCGATAGAATTCCACGCATCCTTAGTAGCATTTTTCAGTTCATAAAGTTGCCCAAGTTGCTCCGCAGACATCTACCACCGACATGCGTGTCAGTTACGAATCCGAGGACGAATAGGATCATTCACTTTTTCAATCAACTGAGGACCCAATTTCTGTCCAGTAAACTTCTCCGGCTCTGAGTCTCTGGGCATCTTGTCCAAGTATGCCTTCCACTGCGACAGGAAACCAATAATATGCAAGGGGTTTGTCACCTCTCGATGACGACGAAATTCTGTTGCATATGCTGCCCTCAGCTCACTTTTGAGCTGTCACTAAAGACTCACGCACCAGCTTTCACATATTCGTCTCCCAAAGAACGCATACCCTCCGGTAGAGAACGATGAGCTCTCAAAAGATGTCGGTATAGCCTGCGCAAGAATTTAGATAACAGCTTCATCTCTTAATAGTCCGAAATCAGACTTGCACGATTGGAGGCAGCAGCGACGCGCTGGCCTGTTGCAGCTTCAGTGGTCTCGTCCCAACGGATGTGGCGAGCCTCTTTACCGATGGGTGCATTTTCGAGGGACTTGGGACTCAACGTTCCGGAAGAAACCGTAAAATTCGCCACGTGGAGGCGGAGACACTCGGCGATCACCTGTAATGCGAACTTCGTCTTTCACACAAAACATCAAAGGGAGCATCTTTGATTTTTTTGTTCAGCATCTTTCTGGAAAGTTAAAGGAAAGTAGTTGAATTTTTCATTTCAGGGTCTGTCGCTGCTTCGTCCCGACTCGGCCGACTATCGCTTTCCGTTTTTCCCGGCTCATGGCATTGGTGGCGTCGAGCAATTATCTATCGAGGTTCTTGCTTCCACCTGCCGAGCTCGTGAATTTGATTAAATACGCTGACTGTTCTCTCTTGGTCTACACATACCTTAGATCATCACTTCTGGAAGATCTAGTATGACTTTCATGGCTGGCGCTCTGGTCCTAAGCAAGCGACTCCTATTGCTTGCGCCGCAGAATATTCTTCATACATATCGTATCAAGATTGTAGCTGTGACCCTGAAGAACCGCTGAGATTTCGTTTATGGATGTGAAACAAACTTCCTGACTCGTCACTCGTGAGCTAATCAAACTAGGATTCCTGTAGCATAGTACGTACATCAATTCAGATCATTTTTCGGGTACTGTTAGGTTAGCCACCTTCGCTAATTGACTACCAGGTGGACTTGAACCTTGAACTTACGGCCAAAATCAAATACACAAGTTAAATGCGAATAAGAAAGATGTGAAGCGAAGGTCTTTTTGGCTGTGTGGAAGCTCTAGCCCCTGCGAACGGCATCACAAACTGTACAACGGAAAGATGTCATTTTCACTACACCGCAGGATCCCATCGAGCCGGTGCGAAGTCTGCAAACTTGATTTTGAGCTGAATGCCATCGTGGTCGGAAATTCCACACTCTTTCTGTACACTTCCGGGACAGTCCAAGAGGCTTAAAGATAATCCTAACAAGGCCGAGTCTGGACACATAATGGACTTCCTCGCTTGTATATTCTTCATTACCACCGTCTCCGGGCGACTTCTGCTCGCCCCAGGGAATAAAGACTGACACTTAATACCGCGGCTTAGAGAGGACGCAAGAGAATTTCTCCACTGATTTATATTAGGTCGGCAAGGATAGCCTTTACGCTTTAATATTCAGCGCGGACCTAACATGTACGAACGCAGGTTTTAGGCATCGCGCACAATCTTCCCTCCCCCCCCCCCTCCCGGCGGGTGATCGTATTCAATATGGCAGCTTTGGAACTGGAGATGATTATCATGTAACTCGGCACTGGTACAGCTCTGATGTCTGCCGAGGTTTTCGCAATGGACGTGATAAAGTGCTATTCCAAGAGGGAATTAAGAGCGCTAGTGGTTTGCAGACGCGACTCATTTTGCCGTATCTCCTCTCTTGGTCCTATTCAAGGGGTCTCGTCCGTGGATCTAACTCGTCGGCCGTGCGGGTGATCCTCGTCTTTAGCAATGACCTGGAACCCAGCTAATTTCATCGCGGAAACGGTGTCTTGACTAACGAGATCGTTCTATACCTTTTGGCCATTCGTTCTCTGATCATTCGGCCCATTGCGAGTGCCGCCCATGAAAAAGGTACGAACTCCCACCTTCAAGAGCAACGGTGATAGAGGGGATATACATTCCAAAGTTCATCAAATCGCTTCTTACAAGCGTCTACCTGTTACTTGTAAGTCTTTGGCGCCTCTAGTCACAATACGATGTGTTCAAATGATGATGAATTGATATCAGCCGGTCTTTATTAATCGAAATATTTGACACTTTGCGCCATTTCATGACTTTCTCTTCGTTTGCGCCGGTGGCCCGGGAGCAGTGAGAGGTTGCAGAAGCACCAGGACAAGATTTCTGAAGCTTGTCATCAGACCGCTCCCGGTGGGTTTGAAAAGCCCAGAAAGACGTAGTCAAGAAAGAACCGTCAGATACGACGATGTCTAGGATGCCGACGACATGTCCGCGCCTCTTACGGAGAAGTTTCAGTGGTGGGATGACAGTGATGTGCATTGTCAATTCCTCCACACGATTACTGCATTCAATGTTAGGAATTTGCCGTCGAAGTAATGAAGAAACAGACATCTTAGGTTCAAGACGAGAATTTCCCTGAAGAAGAAATGGCGACGACGCCAGCGAAACGAGAAGGTCGTGGTAGAAGGTTAAGTCAGAGTTAACTGGTCATATGGTCTGTGCTATCTTAAGTGCGGCAAGCTATTCCGAGTCTAAATCTCCATGATACCATGATACCTTGCTCTGGCTGCGATGTGGGCTTTCCTCGACACTATTTCTGGTTCCCACATTCTTCTAGGCTTCTCGGATATTTGCGATCTCTGCTGTAGTACTGCTTATCATTTTCAAGCTTCAGTTAATGATGCACGTCATGATTAGTACTGCCTGCATTGACTGCCTTTTGGTCAGCAATATACCTGATAATATCTAATTGTTCCCACAGTATGGCCTACATAGTACATAGTACAGCCGCGGTCCCGCTTTATTGAATCCATTTTCAATGTGGTCGAAGGTATACATTTCCAATTCATTCATAGATCAACAATGGCTCATCTCTGAATATACTGACAACTCCTGTAGTAGTATCATGGCCGACATCCCCGAGATCCATTTCGTCGCCAGGGAGTCAATAGACACGAACGCCACCAAAATAACGGCTAACCGTCATTATCATCAGTCTGCATAACAGGACGGCTCCACTTACACAAGCTCCTGAACCTTCCAGCTTTCGATTTATGGGCACATTATCTCTCGACGCTCCCGACCGGCATTATCTCCGTCGCACTATTCGGAGTGCAACAATGTCAGTTCTCAACGCCTCTCTTTGAACTGCTACCTTGTTGCTGTCCGCCACTAAAACTCTACTGTCCATGTCTAACTCTGATCCTATAGGATTAATCTGTGGAGTTCTGGCGGGTAGTATCTTTCGAATAAGCTAGTTCAAAAGCCCTTTAAGTACAGTAGCTTGCTTCGGACTCGGACTCAAACTTTATTCTTTTTTCTCCTTCCCAAGATCCTAAGAGTTTGTCTTGCCATGACGGGTCCGGTTCTTCTCAGTCATGGTGTGATTCTTTCCTTCCCTCCCTATGTCTTTCGCTCAGCTACCGCCGTCACTAGACATTTCGGTACGAACTCAAACGACGATATTTAACAGTATCCTGGTCATCAGTCTGGTCCTTCTGACAGCTGTGCTGTTGCCTGCGTTGATCTCGAGGCATGTATATAGGATGCGAATATGGTATGCGTTAATATGCTCAGCGATAGTGTATTGCGTGTCGTTTTTCCTTCTCGTTGGATACCAGATGGGTCCTGGAGAACCGCCATTTGGACTATGCGTAGCTCAGACAGTGATGATTTATGCTGCCCCTGTTTTGTGGGTGGATCTACTTCGAACTTTCTGAGGACGATTGACCGAATTTCAACACAAGAGTCGTCTCATACGCCTTATCCTTGTCCATGGAGGTACGTTTGCAATCCCCTTCCGTCAAATACAACGATCTTGATGAGGTGTGGGCAGCTGCTCCTCAGAATATAGGCTTATTCACGACGGGAGGAAATGAAATCTAGCACACATTCAATTGTAAGTTTCGCTACTGCATAAAGTACAACATACTGATTACTTACGATAGCTAATAATATTCCCTCTTTTCGTATATGTCGCAATTATCATTGAGGGCTTGGTAGTGCGTCCCGTCTCGTCTCAATATCTTGTTACCCCAGCGATCCCCGTTGAAATTCATCTCTAGCTGGCCCTTACAAACAAGAACCAGGTTGAACGGGATCCGACAATGTTTTACTGTCATGTACGCTCGAGTGCGCCGTCAGTGTCATTCCAAGTACCCTTATTTTCATTATAGGACTGACAGACACATCCAACTACTGTGCCCTGATTAGCGCTGTTGTCATTACTGTTGAAGCTGGAATAATGATCATTGTCGAAGGTGGGTGGCGCCGGCGTGCCAGTCTCGCGGAACGACGTGGTTTCTTTCTACAGTGATCACAGGAATCTTACTCTATCAACACGAGAGACAGCTGAGGCGTAGAAACTCAGTGATCGTATTTGACACTCCCTTTCCAATCAGTCTTTTTATAAGAAAGATTGTCTACACCATGAATATCGGATTCGCATTAGGGTGCATGGGTGTAATTTATATCAAGTTACCATGACAAGCTAACCCATCTGGTTTCACAGGCTGTATGCATTTATCTTGGCTAATCCGAACAAGTCGAGCGCCGAATGGTCTTTGCTTTTGACAGGACGTGAGTGAACACTGTTGAATAGAGTAACAATTGAAATGCGACTGACGCGTAAACCTCGGCAGTTCCTCTGGTAACTGCGCTGATATTTGGACCTCATCGCGTACGTCTCCTAGGTACTCCATGTTGCACCTTGATTTGATACACTTCCCATCCAGGACATAATCCGATTCTGGGTCTGTCGACGACCGAATATGACGGAAAGCAGCGGCTCCGTCAGCGACTCTGATCATGACTTGATGGTACACAACTTCAAGTTGGACAAAATGCGGGGCAAGACTCCAGTCCTTTGCCGCCATACGAACCCACGATGAGAACTGACGTGTAATACCGTCATGAACAATCTGTGTGATAGACGCTTGGACGATAGAACCAAGACACGAAACCTGTGTATCACACATCCCTTCATATATACTATATAGGACATCCTCTGCTCCATGACTACGTAGCCAAGAGTTGGTCACTGGGAGGAGTATGGAGGCTGTGATTGATTGCGAAGCGAAAGGGAGTGCCCTGGCATTCATTGAGCACGGGTAAAGAATAGGAAAAGGACGCGTGTCCCCCATGCAGAGGAGTTACGAGAGTAACCTGGTGTCGACATGTGCCAGAGTGATGTCGTTTTTGCATTGCCTCCACGTGTCTGTGATCTCCCACTGGCTGAGATTGGATGGAATGTCCCAAGGAAATGTCTTAGTGAGCTACGCGTCGTCACCGAACGATAGCAATGTTTTGCTCTTCGCAGCCTTCTTCGCTTTCTTCTTCGATGGAGCTTTCGATGAAAGGCTAGCATCCTCCAAGCCCCCAATTCGCTTCCGTTTCGACGCTGAGGACTTTGTTGCAGCAGCTTTCGATGAAGAAAAAGAAAGGCTAGGTGCTGACTTTTTGCCTTTGGCAATGGCACTCTCTTTGGGCGTGGGATCGACAGCATGAACCTCGGTGTCAACCGTGGAATCAGGAGGCAGTGGGGACAGTCCTTTTTCTTTAGTTGTAGTCAGTAACCAGGGGTCCATGAGAGAATAGCACACAATACCTTGCCGTCTAACATTTTCAGCCTCCCTCTCCGTCAAATGTTTCCCTTCTTTCAAGACCACGACTTGGGGCTTCTCATCTCTATCATCCTCATCTTCGCTTCCAGGCTGGCTCTCAGGGCGCTCTGGGATTGCGGGTCGTCGTGGTATCGGCGGACGCCCTGAACCATCATACTCCCACTCGTCGTCATCTTCGTGGTCAGAGTCCGGTATTCCGGCAATTCGATTCTGGAGTTTCTGCAGAAACGCCGGCGTATGCTGGCTGTAGGATAGCCGTGAAGAGAGCTGTGCGCGCGTTGGCTCCTTGGGTGCCATCGTGGTTGACGTTTGGCCGTACGAGCAAATATTCCCACGGTTCTTAGAGATATCCCGGATCCGCAAAACTATCTGAACCTCTCTTGCTCTTTCTTATTTATCTTCTTCAGGGTACCATTTTCTGTGCAAAATTTTGGCCAGTCTGTGGTACGAGATGAACGATACACAACCTGCAAGGTGGTCAAACATTTTGGTGACAATGTGATTATGGGTGACGGGATGAAGACTCGTCGGAAACGTCAGAAGAGAAAAAATATTTTCGCTCTAAGCTTTTCAACACGTGTAGGATCAAGGTATAAAATGGCTCTTGCAAGACTTCGACTCACTTGGACCAGCGTCACCCTTTTAATGCCGACGACTGGAAGAACTAGGCGAACTACGGAGAACCAAATCTCCGCATACTTGATTGAAACAAATGCGTGGTTCCTGTATACGACTCGATTTTGTTTACTTTATGGCATACTCTTGGTCCTCAGGGAGGTAGATTCAGCCTCAACCCATGACCCTTTGCTTTCTAATTTACACTGTGGATATGCAGGAATCTCTCCGGGAATTTTCCATTCATATCCAGCGGCGTACAGGCTGACAATATTATCTATTCATATTGTCCTATTCGCACGCTTAATTGGGAGGTTCAGGAAGATGTGGTTCAATCCAAGAATGGATACGATTTCAGGGTATTTATTGCGTCTGTACTGCCGCTTCCTGTTTTTAATCAAAAACCAATGCCTATATTGGCGCCTAGGTCTACACCACTCGTTTTCGCTGTCAAAGCTATGCATAACGACGATGACGATGGCGAAATTTATGAGGGGTGTACTCAGTGGCGTGTAATGAGCGCTTCATTGAATGAGGCCTGGGCCTGAGTGCTCCACGCACGAGAGGCGCTACAGCGAAAAGTCCACAGGATGATGCGAGCCAGTATGTAACCGTTCATTATATTGTTTACATAGCAAAATGTGACCAATCCAAGAACATTTCGTGATCCTCAAAAAATTCTCAACCGCATAAAAGAACCCTAATATAAAGCTTATGAATAGTCACTTATGAGTCACAATTTTTAGGAAACTCGTGAAGCTATTATTGGTCGACAGTGGATTGATGGACAACACAAAGGCTCGGAAAAGATCCGCTTAACAGCATGAGGCTATGGTGAGGTTTCAAACCATGTTTCGAGGTACTGCCGCAGAATAAGGCTCTTGCACAGGTGCCTATGGAGGATGAGTTCATTGCTATGCTCTTCGCCCAATACTCCTATAGTTCAGAGCGGTCGAATATGCAGCGAGTTGACAATCTGCTAGGTGTATACTCCGATCGATTGTCACTCATTGACGAGGGGAAATGCTTAAGTCTATTGGTGATGGGAAGCAATAGAATCCAGGAAGACGGACCTGAGGATCAGGACCGCCACCTTGCCTTCATTTGAATTGAAAAATTTCTAACTGCATGTCCTCAAGTCCCCAGGCGCCGCTCAAAGAAAGAAATGAAAGCGATGTACCTAGTGTTATTGTGGTAGCGATTAACATCTACAAGCTGCGAAAATAAATTCGAACGAGCGGATGCGTAACAACTACAAGGCGTGGAATTCGAAGACGCGTCGACACAAGTACCCGGGCTTCGCTCCTCATGTATCAAGCCTAGTCCTCCGGTGGAAGAGGCCAGTTTTTCATGCCATACGGAGGGACATGACCGTGAAGATTATGAGATCGGGGGTGTCGGTGATCGGATATTGAATAATCGACGAAGAGCTTCACAGAAGATCATGGTAGCAGAAGGGTTAGTTAAACTGGTCCAAGATAACGAAAGCCTGGGGAGCTCTTGATATAAAGGAGAGAGCACGTACACGACCATCTTGGTAACAAGGCGGAGAATCCAAATCTGACGATGAGACAGACGAGAGCAATGTCAGATACGCTAGCGAACCTGATTGGTCGGTGAATGACAACCCAAACTCCAGGCCCTAGGTGAAAATAAGCAAACATAGGTCCGGACGAATCGCATCAGAGAAAGTAGCTTATGCGAAAGACCGGGTCCACGGAGATTCTATTCATTGGAAATCGCATTGACCGTTCAAGCGCCAGTATTATTATTGTGTCAACCAAAGTGGTGGTTAAGACCGCGACACCGGCTGCTCAAGCCCCAGACCGACTAATAAATAATGAATGAAAAAAATGAATACGTAGCATTCAAACATACTTGAATATTATGCAGTGATGGAATTACACACCGATCATTTTCTGACACATGAATAAGCTTACACGGCCAAGGCAGTGGTCGAAAAGCAGGAGAAACACTTTGAGGAAATGCCGGCCAGGCATTTGGTCCGAAGCAGTTGGGCATCTAGATAAGATTTATGAAAATGCGCACTGACATAGTAGACAATTATCTGCGTTGCGAGTCCCCATGGAAATTTCTCGAATGAGATCCCTCATGGAGAGGCAAAGGAGCCAAATTCACGTTCCGCTTTCCTCGTGGTGATGTACCTATCGTGTAGGACGGACCAACCCAGAGAAGCATTTGGTTCCGAGTCTGCAGGTTCTGGAGAGCAATGTCTGGATGTAAGTACCTACTTGTGCGCGCAGGAACAGCAGCTCGTTAGCGTAAAAGGAGGCTGCAGTAATGAAAGCGAAGCCATAGCAATTGACGGTATTCCCCTAATTTTCTAAGATGAAGGTTTAAAGAACCATGTGGTGCGAGATGAAAAAAGGAACCTTCGGACCGGGTACGGGAACAAGTTTACGCAGGCTGTAGTTCGGGACTAGGAAATCTACGCGACAGAACTGGCGCTGATGAATGTAACGGAATGACTGAAGGTTATCAAAACGAGTTCACACGTGCACATGCTGTATTACTTACTCGAATCTCCAGCAGTGTAATAACTCCCCAAGGATATGTTTTACTGAGGAGTCGAAGCACGTTACAAGGTGACTTGAGACCTCAAGGTTCAACGAGCTCTGGGTTAGCATGCTCAATCCTGCTGGCACTAGCTCTGGAACCGTGTAAATCAAAAAAAAAACAACAGACACGATGATCCAGATGCCTCACATAAGGGTATGGGTCCAATTAGAACCGATCTTTGGCGTGTGCCGGGGACTCAGATTGATGGCGGAATATCCTTTGTAGTACCGGATATGTAACTGTAAGTGAAAGCCTTGACACCATATGAAAATTCCGGATGTCGATCCGAGCGCGTCGAACAAATTGTCGAACTCGGGACAGTCTGAGTCTGTGGCAGTGCAGGGATTTCTCTGGGTTACAGTCACGTGAAAAAACGCGCCAGGTCACGCGAACTTGTTGATCACCTTTTGTTTTGGACCACAACGTCGAGCTTCATCCTTGCCATTGTCGCGCCACCTCTGCCTTAGCTTTACCGAAGGTACAGAAGTATTTGAGAGGGGATTATATCTACGTGCATCGCTACGCCTCCGGCAGGGATCTCAGCTGACTTTATCTCACTGCCAGTACTTCGCGATGCAGCGCCTGCAAGAGATTAGCTTACGACACCTCCCAGACGTCTCTGGTTCTACATTTTCATTGGAAGATACATCCTTCCAGATACCGGTCCTCAACGAAGATGGAGAAGACCTGCTCAACGACAGCGATAACGACTTTTTCCGTGGTATAGATGCGCGTTCGAGTTTGGCAACTCCAGCACCGGCAAGAAGACAGGTGCATGACGACCTGACGGTCAGCCAACTGACTCCGCGGAGACTCAACCTCTCACCTTCACCGTCGAAATCTAAAGCCACTTTTCCTGCCAACCCACGGCTACGGTCCGACTCGCCCTCCAAAGCTACGCCCAAAGTCTGTTTTGATCCGAGGGCGGTGCGTCAGGCCAAAGCAGATACTCCCTCACGTCGGTCCGACTCCCCACCAAAATCAACGACTTATGAACCAACACTCTCATCTACGCCTGTGAAAAGGCATATATCGCTCACCGCGGAAGATCCATTCACGCCACGGAGATTTGAGAACCTGCAAGCCGAGGTGGCTACTCTCACGTCGATGAATTTCAGGGACGGTCTCGTGTCGACAAAACCCAGGGACGTGCCGGCTATCTCTGTGTTGAAGGTGTGTCTATTTTTTCATTCTTCTTTTTTGTATTGACATGAATCAGCCTGTGAACGCCAATGTCAGTGTGATTGACGAGAGTTTTGATACAGATGGAGCTGCAGGGCGACTGTTGATGTATGGGAGCACGCTTGCAGGGTGCGTTCTTTGTTTCTTCCCTTTGAAACCTGGCTTACATGATATTCTTAGCTTCGAAAACGTTGCGCCAACCTCATCCATTCCTCCACGCCAAGAGAGTTTGACAGTCTCGAAAATTTCTCCCCAGAAAAATGTTACTGTCACGCGCCAGGTTTCCCCCGTGCTAGCGGGAATGAAGCGGCCGGCGTCCTCGACAGACGACGGACCACGAAAGCGCGAGAAGAAGTCTCAACCGCAAGCGAAACCTCCCATCATCACAAAACCGACATCTTCGCGCAGTAAGGCCTCGACCAACTCATCAAAGCCTCGCCCACAACCGCCTCCTTCACGGCAACCAACTACGACTACCGTTTCTCTGGGTCTGTCGCGCTCACGCTTCACTTCAGCGCATAGCCGAAACGAGTCTAGTTTGGCGGCCGAAGCATCTGGGACAAGCACATCTAAGAGTAAGGTACGTTTGATGATCTTCGATCAGCTTCACATGCCTTTTTTTTTTTTTTCCGTTTCCTTTCGTCTCTGGAGTTAATGGGGAATTATTGTTGACTGGTATTTTCTAGGGTCCGCCTGTAAACGCCCAACCGACCGCGAGTACGAACAAGACATTATCATCCTCTTCGCGGCGTTATGCAATTCCTGATTTTAAGGCACTCCATGCAGCTGAAGAGGCAAGATTGGCAGCTCGGAAGGAACTTATCATTCCTGTGAAGCCGATAGCAAAGGAGTTTAATACGGATGAAAGAATTAAAGAGCGACGTATGTTTGATGAGCGAATTAAAGAAAAGGAGGCGGAGATGGAACGGGCGTTGGAGGAACGCAGGAAACAGAGGGAGGAAGAGGAAGAAAGGCAGGTCAGAGAGCTGCGGAGAAAGGCGGTGCCCAAAGCTCATGAAGTGCCGGAATGGTATAAGGATGCACCTAAGCGTGTACGGCCGACGGAGTAGGTGTGTCTTAGTCATATTTTTCTTTTGTTGTCCCTTGGTTTATAATTATTTTGATTCAACTGTCCTCATTATCTGTTGTGAAGGTCTACTCGCTTCTGAACGTACGTGTGATGATAGGCCGAGACCCGTTCCGAGTATAGCGGCGCTTTCCCTGTATGAGCAACGCGACTGATGATTCCTATTTGTACGACGATTCTATGATGTGGGTTCTAATTGTGAATACACTAACTATACTTACACCCGTTCTCATCATCATTAGGTCAGGAACTGAATCTCCTACGGGTTCTACACTGTTTCCAATTTCTAAAGCCAAGCTCAAGCTATTGTTCTTTGATGATCGGACGACTCGGACTCGGAGGAACGCGTTCGCGCGTCTCTTCGGTGTCTTGTTCCGAGCTCGTGTCTCTACAACTTGATTCACGACCTACAGTCAAATTCAAACAGGTCACCGGCCTCGTGTTGAACACACAGCCAGTTTCCCGGAAGCCTTTCGGAGTCGAGGGCATTGTTATCTTGATCGGGCTAGACACCCTATTAAGAAGTGGTCCCGGGCGCATCTGGATCTCGATTGTGACAAAAAAAAAAGATTTTTTTTGAGAAACTTTGATAGTTAAGCGCCACCAAGAGACGGTTAAAAGGCAGGAGATTATGGAGGAGCTGTCTTAAGTCAAGCCCCCGCTTCGTACCCTGCATCCTACTAACTCTTGCACTTCCCCGCTACTAACCATCCTAAACACCAATATGTGTTACTTATCTTCGTGTTCATCTTCATCCTCCGCCATGGTCTGCTACCAGACCGGCGCCGAATCCTCGTCCAAGTCGTTCGTCCAGGGGGTGACGACTCCTGTCAATGAGGACGGCGGATCCGCCCCTCAGTGCTGCCACTGCGGCTGGCGTGGAGCCCATGCTCCCAACTGCCCGTTCAAGTAGATTCAAGGTCTCGTGAGCCTGTGTGTTCAGTTTCTTTTGTTCTCCCTTGTTGTCGCTCACTATGTCTCCCCCTTGCCGGCAGATCACTTTTCCTTTAACACACGTTTGGCGCCGTTTCCATCGTGTCATCATAAAGTTTCATCGCTTTTGCTGTCTTTCTGTTTCTTACCCGCACCCGCTTTCTTGTTTCGTCCTAGCCATGCTTGTCTATCTTACCATCAGCTACTCGTCGTTATATTTATTCACATATGTTACATATACGAGGAGGAGATGGCGGTGTACAAAGTAATAGTCCTGGTCGTCAATAATTGTATGCAATCCCTGTTTCCGCATTCCGTGTTCCGTCGCCAAGATATGAATTTCATTATTTATGGATTGTCTGTGGAGTGGGAGTGGTTTCGTCATGGCTACCCCTGCTGTGCCTGGACCCCGCTTCCGTCATTGAGGAGAACACGAGGTCCATGTGTATTCCATGTCGCTTCCCTGTATATGACAAAGTTAACAACGACACTGGATTCGAGGATACAAGTCTTCTCACACTTATACGGGGATATCAGCGCCACTGATATTCTTAACCTGCGTGCTTACTTCGTTCGACTTCCATTCATTCACTTTTAATCATTCCCATCCTTCTCCGGCGGTAATACACTAATTCCACACCGGCATCACCGAAACTTCAAGGCGGGTAGTACGACAGGTAACCGCTGTAGTCTTTGATGTCGAAACAATGTGTCGGCGCAAAACAGAACGCCGGGGAGAAGAGTAAACCTGCGCCAGAACAACCATCACCTATTTCTGCTGGAATTTGACCAACCGTCGCTGAGGATGTCTTATCATTATTGGTATTATCTTGTCGCAGCGCAGCATAGTCAGATGGGACTAGGATTTGGCTTATCATTACGCTCTATTCGGAGCCACATTCAGCGAAATGTAATGTGCCTTGTCGACATGGCGTAACTCTTTCTGACTCGAGAGCCACGGGAACTCCACGGGGTCAGTTTTTTTCTCAAAACGACTCTTAATCTTTCCTAACAATGGTTACAGAAAGCCATAAAGATTTGAAATACAAGCATGCTATCATACCGGACAATGATGTTCTGGAGCACGCAACGAGCACGTTCGTTCTCAGCTATCTACCGGAGCTTGCAGCCCAATGTCCTATCTTCGAAAACCGTTATTCGGCGTTTCAACAGGTCAAAGGCGTATTATCCACAGGCAGGGTAGAGAGGTACATCGAGGGTATGGTGAGACAATAGAATACACCAGAATACATAATCCCGCAAGACTGAGTCCATTCCATGTCAAACTTCAAAAGCTCCTCCGTCGTCCACTCACACCGAGAGAATTCCGCACAAGCCTCCTATAGTCTTTCCTCAGTACTGCTATCCGTAGACATGTCAAAATCATGCGTACGCTGTTTCTTAGCCGATACTAGACTTGAAACTGGCATTGTTTTGATTGCCTGCGTCAGCAACACCTCATTTCCTCAACGGGCCTTGTCGACGGCCGAACAGCGTTTGCGGGAACGCAAAGTGCGATACGAATCCCATTGGGGAGACTTGCCGGAAGACATTCCACTCAAGTCCGACTCTTTCAAGGACTGAAACTGAATCGTACCGTTCATACTGACGCTGCGGAGACTACCGCTTGAAGGAAACGCAGAGGCGTACATTCCAAAATCGAATAGATCTGGATAAGGAAGGAGACTGAGGCATCGCGGGAAATTCGAAAGATATTGACGATGTGGCGGGCTGCTTGAGTAAAGAGGCAACGGCATACAGTGACCTTCATCGTTTTTCGCTGGACTAGGATCCCAAAGATAGCCAGATATTGCCAAAACGGCTCTAGTTGCGTAGGCAGCGAGAGGGCGAGCTTTCGAAATTCCAGCAAGAGAAGTAACAGAAGCAGTTTGGCCGGAAGGCTCCTCAAGATTGATCATGATGTTTTCCTTGGTGTTTCCCGTAGCAACACCTGATTTCTGATAGTCCCCGTTGTTTTCGCTACTGTTGTAGTGAAGCCCAGAAGATGACGAATTCGACGAAAGCGGGTTAGCCGATGGTTGTTCATAGTTCTTAGCAGCTGCAGACAGAGGACCGGAGTCATTGTTGGAACTCTCTGGGGGAGATGGATGCGTAAACGTAGGAAAAGGTGTCAGACAATTGGAGGTGGCGGCTACGGGCGAAAGAGATGTCGATGGCTCCCTGGAAAGGCTCGACGGTGAATTTAATGAAGAATGCACGCTGGATCAGGTGGGATAGTAGATGACGTCGGGATGTACAAATCAGCCACGATGATTCCAACGGTGTTCCAATCTTGAACACATATCTCCGGCGGTCGTGAGTGAGTATATGTCTGGCACGAGAATGAGTCTTTTCAGCCTTTCCGGAGACGGACGTCTGATTTGTTCGCTTCTCGGGAAGTCGCGAGACCGCAATAACTGGGAGGTTATGTCAATTATCGAATCTATCAGACATTAAGCATAACTACGGTTTATATCCGTGTCTTGGGTGAGTTTTTCAGCTTTTGGCGGTAGAGGTGGCGTATGCCTAGGCTGTGTCAGTGATTGTTGCCGACTGGGAGGCTGGGGTTCGGGTTTGACGGGTGTAGTAGTATGGGTAGGAAGTATCGGTCGTATGCCAAAATGGCGGAATACCAGAATGTAAGGTGCCATAGTAATGTATTAAAGACAGTGGACGACGACGAACGTGATGGTTGGAAGATGAAACTTGCCGCGGCCAACCGGCGCGGACATCCGACTATGAAGAAGAATCCCTTTCTTTCGAGGAGGGCTAGCATTTTCCCTAAGGAGACGTCTGGTTATCTTCAGAAAAGCGCCAACTAATCATTTCATAGCAGCATACAAAAGCTAGTGGTATCTGGCAGTAATAAATTTATACATAGATACGAATGCTTGAAGGAATTTTGAAAAACAAAATTCAGACCGACGATCCGGGCCCCATCACAGTCGGCTTAGTCTTGGAAAGCTGCGCGATAGTGGCATCATCGAAGTCCAGATGCGCCTTTACCAAGTCCGGTGGAGTCAATGCCAGCCACTTGGGGATTCGGTCAGTTACAACTAATTCAAAATGATACGATATTTGTATATGGCCCACCTGATTCAGACTGATATCCTCAAACCGATCTACAAAATCATAAGCTTCGAAGCTTATCGTTCCGTCGCTATCAACACGTACCCGAGTTGAAGATTTCCAGGTATTTCATCGTCGTGTTTCCGGTATTTTCAACGTAGTGTCCTACTCTGGGTGTCAACAATGAACTATTCCTGTTTCAGTCTTCTTACCCATGGAAGCGGGAACATAACCTAATGATCCGTCAGTCGAACCTGAATCTAGGCGTATAATAAACATACCGATGTCACCAGGCTGGTAGTTGAACGTCCTAGCCGTGCCTTGGGACGCAAATATCGTCATCCTCCCCTCTCCCTCACTGGAAATTCGAATTCAGCCATGATTCAAAGAGACCCCTTGAGACTCACATGAAAAGGCTCCATTCGTCCTGGGTTGGATGCCAGTGCAACTCACTGCGCTATAAATATCAGTAGAAAAACGATACGGTCAACCCTCGACTCGTACCGGATAGCCCCAGGTTCAACCGTGACCTCAGCCATAGCGATAGTAGTCGAAACCGTAAAAGTCGTAGAATCCACGACTTTGACGGACCCGCCTGACAGTTGGGTGGCGTTTGCCTTGGACAGTGCAAAAGAAAAGGGATTTGGTACCGTCCCTTGCGGGCTTACAGGATCAGATGCATCATCGGCAGGAGGAGCTAAGACAGAATCAGTATCGGGACGCTCGGGGCAACAAATTAACAAACTGCTCGGGAAAATGTAGAGCTCCTGAGCCGGAATGTGTGCAAAAGCCTCAGAGTTGTTGAAGAGGAAGTTCCTTTCGAGGACTACAGAGGAAGTAACATTTTTAGTTACGGTTCCACTTAAGCTTATAAAACACACCTTCCATTGGAACATGAGCAAGCCAGTCAGTCAACTTCGATCGAGAGTCAGTAGTTTACCGAAACAGAAGGAACAGGCCTTTACTCACCAAAAACGTAGAGTCCTCGCTGAATGCTCCATCGTCGAAGATCTATGATCACACCGTCAAGATTCGACAAAATTCCAAAGAGACAAGAACATATATACCAGGATGAATTCGGAACCATCTGGGTCGTCAGCAGTAGCTTGGAGAGAGTGCGGAATACCAGGAGGGAAGTACCACAAGTCACCAGCGCCCTAGTACCGTACGTGTACCCTTGTAGATTAGATTCAAGGATCGTGACTTACCACCGTAGCGATGAAGTTTCGACCTTCGGTATCAACAGCGGTCACCTGTGTGGAACCCTTGGTAAAGGAAATGACGGTCAAAGTTACAGAGCTGTTGGTATTGAAGTTACTCACCTTCAAAACATAGGCCCACTGAAGAGGGTCAGTCCACAAGTTCAGGAAAACCCGGGTCACTTACTTCCGAAGTCTTGTGCCAATGCAGCTCACTAAAATTCAGTGTGAGCTACATGCTGATCGATGCCAATGTTTACGAAACAACTTGCCGAATGGCTCCGGCTTCCAATCTCATATCGACGCTGGCCATTTCTAGAAAGAAAAGCGTTAGTTTTGTATCAATGGATTATTTTCATACTTACGGGTCGCGATTGGCATCACCCCAACTGTTAAGCACACAAGGGTGAGCAGTAATATGGAATTAAATAGAACCTAATCCTACTGTTCTCTTGACGAGCCCAGCCGCCTGTCTGCAAACGGTTGTGGCTAAAAGAAAAAGGCCATTTCGCGTTTGAACTGAAATTTCAATGGAGTCCAAGTTCTGGAACTGCGAGCAAGGACACGGGCGACTTACATTGTCCCAGAGTCCGTGGTTGGAGGGGCCAATGTGTCGGGATTTTGGAGGTCAAGAGGAATGTTGTCTGGGCCAAGGACGGATGCTCCAAGCTTGCCGCGTTCCGCAGAGACCACTGAGGGACTACTGGTCTCGTTCCAAAGCACCTCATTTGGGTCCAAACTAGCGAAAGGAACGGTCGCAGTCGATGACGCTGCCGTGTCCGTCGACGACACGGTGACCGTCTGATCTATGGTACTAGCAGACGCAGAAGTTTCCGAGTCAGACGCAGTCACGTTAGAAGAACGTTTTCCTGGTGCAGCGTCGATGAGTGGCGCGAGGAGAATGATAACTACCAAGGCAGCAGAGATTTGGACCATCACGATTGAGAGCTTGGTTGATTGCTGAACGAATTGTAGGTGAAATATCAAGAGTCTCTTATACGTTTCTAAGAGATGTGACTGATGTCCCGTTGAATGTCTCGTAGGATAGCTCGGGTTATCGTTGCCCCCAGTACGGACGAATTAGAAAGAAAAGGTCACCAGAAGGAGAGAGAAGTAAGTTGCTCCCATAGCAGTGGTGCGTGAAACACAGGTACTGTGCAGAAGGGGTGTTATTAATACGCCTACTGCATTGAGGAGACAACTGCATGCGCGTAAGATGTAGACTATGCAAGAATAGGCTGAGGTTACGCGAAAGGATGATCTTATGACGTGCGACGATTGTCAGCTCATTTTACCTCTGAATTCTGATGAAATCGAGGGCCACCCCTTTCGGTGTGTCGTAAAGTCTTGGTATTGAATAGCAAGTAGCCTTCGTCGCATAGGTCCATGCGGCAGAAACACGTCCTAAAACCACCACTTGAAAGCAGTAGCGCCAGCGACAGCGGGTCATGTAGGGCGACGGGCGTTGTAGGATTGGGGGCGGCATAAAGATGTTCATCCTTAACGCTCAAAAATGGTAGTGAAACAGGAGCATAAGTTCGCTTCTTCAACAGACAAGTCAAGATATGATTGAAAAGATTGTAAAACCTACGAGGAATCGTCCTTGACAACGGTCGAAGCTGCACGATGAAACTCCTCTAAGCCATCTTAGAATACTAAAGAATCCGAGCACATAGATAAACGATTTTACGAAAAAATACGCACTCGAGGCAGACGGCATCTTGAGCTGCAAGGTATGTGGCCTATATTCTTCCATGGTCTTCGTAAGACAAGAGCTAAGTCAGATTTTACTTACTTTATCGAATACGTCTGCAATAGACATTGGCACCATTGCTATAATATGCGCATGAGCAGAGGTATTGATGGCATCTTCCACTGTTTTTTCTTTGAATGGTCGAAGTACCGTCTCGGAGACATCGAGGACAATAATGAAGGATAGAGCGCGGGTCAGGCGACTAGATAGATTTCAATCTATGAAAATGACCGATATGGCTCTATGATATCCCCATCACCGTTTCATCTTTGTTAGACTCACAGAATGTTGCTATAAATATAACCAGTAGAGGTCACGAGCATTCCATGGATCTAAAAATATTTCAAGCATCAAGTTGACTAATTCTTGTGGACCCCATGAGATATCCTGGATTGGGCGATCTGACGGCAAACTTAAGCAGGGAGAAAGTTGGAGCGGTTGTCCCTTTCCCCTGCTCTTGTGACCTTCCTATCTTGCCGTTTTCACTGATGTGCGACTTCTTGCATAAATAAAATATGAATCTCTATAGGTGGAGGTGTTTATACAATGACTACGGGGGAACTATTAACCTTTCCGTTTTCCCACTAGCTGTCATTTCGCTATCATGGTGGGATGTTCGAGAAGGGCACTGCCTCTCTGAAACGATACATTGAGAACTTGCGATGGATGATAAATCTCTGAGAAATGTCGAAGGTGCTTTCGACCCAGGAGGAAAGGAGAAAGATAACCTACTTTGGACAAGGAAATGGGTAGGTAACATTTGAATGAAGGGCGATGACTGTCTGCAGGAGATGGTCAAGTATTAACGATGAGACGCGGTCTGTTTCGCCGCGGTGTGACAGATTTTGCGTCGTCAGTATGTTGCCCTGTCGACCATTGCAAGACCTCGACCCTCTGGCAATCGCCTAGGCTAATTGAAAGCAGTCAAGAACAAAACAAATAACGACTGCGGAGATGAAGGTCGCAGGAAGTCATTGGAAAGAAGCAGACCACGGGGTGATGTGCCTCTATCTCGAGACAAGCAAGTTTCTGCGCCGGGAAAGGGAAAGCCCCAGTGTCTGGATGACAAACATGCACATAGCCCTCCCACTCCCAAGAGGCAGAGAATATTTTGTTCCAAAATCCGAGTACGGAATACGACCGACGCTAATAAAGTGTTGCAACTATGCTTGTCAAAGCACATATTGTTGATCTGTACCGCGACTGTCAAGAGATGTTGTCTACAACAACAGTGATTTTCCGGAAATGTTGGCTCCGTTCTAAAATGAGACACAGCATGGTAAAAGTTAAACACAGGACATCTCGCATCAGAATAGCCGGGAAGGAAACGGGCCAAGATTAGAACGGCAAACTTAGCATGGTTCGGTGTGATGCGGAGAGTCGTCGGCGAGATCTAGATTGAAGTGTGGGAAATCGTCGAGGATCATGTCTGGTACCAATCTATAATCCATATTGTGTGAGAGACTAAGCATCGCTGTCAAGAAAATGAACATATGTAGATGCTCATTAGACATGAAGCCGTCTGTAGCATTCTTGTGGTTGAGCAGTAGAATTGTACTTGGAAAAGCATACAGTGATTGTAAAGGATATACAAGGTAGTAGGAGTCACACAGCAGGCCAGCGGCTTAATCGGCAAGCCGCCCATAGACAGTATCCCCAAGGATAATAAACAGCCTGCACACATATAGTATTGAATCTGACTGACGGTAGTAAGCATAAACGTAACATCTAATCAAACCGTATCGAAAGCGATTCCAAAGTAGGCTGTTGAAGCGGACAAAGTTCTACTGCTTCACATCATTACCGCTAATGAATGTCTCTGGAAGCCGGTGATACTGCTCGATACTGCTCCAATTACTCCGCTTGAACAACAGGTCTTCCAGCACGACCTCAACTGCCCCTACGAAGCCAGGTAATAAAGGGGTAGACCTTTTTCGGTGAGAAATGGCGGCATCAGCAGGGAGTCGCATATGCCAGACTCCGGTTCACTATCAGTGATAGCAGGTTGTAAGATGGTCTCGCTAGAATTATCCATGGAAGAAGAGAGTTTCTCGACTTCCTCGGCATGGTGTGTTGCTAGGTCCTGGGCTTATCTTGCCTGCCGGTGTATCACTGATTGTAAAGGGACACCATTACTTTGGTTCGAGCAAATTTTTCACAGAGATGATAAGAATTGTTAGCGTAGTCTGAACCTTTCGGGTTATGCTTTCCGGGAGAGTTCGTCTGATCCGCGATACCATTTCATGAAAGACATGGATGTGAGTATTACTTTAGTACGGAACCAATGAACGCTTACAACAATCTTTCGGAAGCTACTTCGCCTCTTGTCATAAAGCCAAGGTTGAGCAAGGCATCCCAGTCATGCCAGGCTTCGGCTTCGTTGAGGCATTGTCCTCCCAGCTTGATCGAATACGTGCTCAATGAACCCCACAAAAAGTAAGAAAAAGATTAGGAGAGGATGTTCCAATCGTCCGGAGAAAGCGTAAAAGTGCTCTCGGAGGAGTCGTCATAGAAAGTTATCCTTAGACTAGAAATTCGTTCATGGACAGAGAGAACCTGTCCTTGCATATGACAAAATGAGTGAACGACTCGAGATAGAGTTATATGTAACTGACAGCATTGGTAATGGGTAGTTTCAAATATCTTGTCACGTCCTTTAGAAAGTAAGGCTGCCATTCTTTCTTTGACAAGTTCAGAATCGAGACCAGGGGCGTTCTGAGAGTACTTAATGTTGGCGAGGCTGGCAATTCTACAATCATGAGAATAGCTGGAGAAAGAAAGTGTAGCTTCAGGATCCACACCCAGAAGGGATTTGGCACTCGACCTAAGCCTACTAAGTAGGTATCAACAACGACTTCAATTCGTGATAATTAAGAGCTGCAAACGCCAAGCATGACAGTTAATCTGCAGTCTCTGTCCCCAGGAGGAGTTGTCCTTCTTTTCTCTGGAAAGAGGCAAGAAAAGGGACAGGAGAAAACTGCCATGGAAAACCCATACCTTCTACGCTACTGTAAGGACTCAAAATCCGATTCGGGAGACGTCTTAGCAGAGGATGCTGGTGGACCGTTCTTAGAAGTTGCTGGCTTGATTTCCGGACGTCGAGCTTGCTCTGGAAAAGTAATCCCACAGAGCCAGTCCATAAACAAAGAGCGTGCGTGATCGCCCTTCGCTGGTTCAGACCTGGTCCTCGATAAGGCTCGCGTCGTGCGTCATTCACGCTCCATCATTATGGCCGTAGAAAAAAGAAGAAGAGTGCCAACCATCCTTCAACCACATTGAGCCAACTCGGGATCCTGTTTCACATTGTTCTTCGGGGCCGGTGTGTTGTCATCGATGGTATCTGAGTTTCACAGAAGTCGCTTGAATACCAACTGGTTGCTTTGCGCAACGACTGCCTAAATGTGTGTTTGGAAGCTTATGACAAACTAAGAGAACTTGAGTGCACTGGCTGGGTCGGTAAGATCGTAGACACTAATAAAAGGGTCTATACGCGTCCCATCTGTATATGCAAAGCGAACTACGGGCTATTCAAAATAAAATTACCTGCCAATGTCGCTATGAGTCAGGATCAGCCTACGCACCAGAAAATCAGGACTTGCTTGTTCAGACCAACTCAGCGCCACGCAGCCCATGCAACCCATTCTTGAAGGATGATTTCGATATCGGCGATCTCCCATCTACAGTGCTGGTAAAGCGAGCTGCTCCATCAGATCAAAGATATCTTTCTCCTCAGTAACACAAAAGAATGGAAGAGCAACGGAGCACGGATGCAGCAAGTGATACCTCCGTATGCTCGCAGCTGGTATCACTGTCGGATGAAGACTCATGATCGTACGAAGTCTGTGAGACATGTTCTTCATACCCCAACCCCGCCTCCTGGCGAAATTTCGTCATATTAGATGTTTGCGTTAGAGCACTGCCCTCTATGCTTCGTCCCAGCAGATGAATATCTTAAAAAGTACGAGAGATCAAGAGTGACGCATGCTCGTCCATAATGCTACAATAACTGTGGCCTAACAAATAGGTCCTCTTCCCTGCAAAGGTTGTCATATAATGCATAAGCTCTTCACATTCACATCACATACGATTTATTGTAACAAGCATTCGCAAGTGACCTTATCAGTAGAGACCACAACGGTATAGTCGGCGGCACGACGTCATGTTTCGATATATGCCTGGGAGCCCGGAGCGTACTATCACTGATCAGTCGAAAGCACCAAGTCAAAAACGTCCAGGACTTCCGAATGAGAATTAGATGCAGAATTTTGTTCCTGAGAGCACTCACATAACGTTTCTAGTTATTGAATCAGAGAATGCTCGAGAAGAGACAGTGAGCCATGACCGGGAACCAATAGCAAGTTGTGAAAGAATTAGTAGTCAGCCATCGCAATCCAACAGGCCGCTCTACAGCACTCAAAATCAATAAATCCAGTGGGAAGATCCCGGCATCGGAAGGTGAAATGAGGCAGAGAAAAAAGAAATTGGCGGTAGGCCCAGTGGCAAGATAGGACAAAATCGAACTAGCGGTTCCGGCCAGTGAACCGTGCAAATACATCACGTGTGCGTCAAGCTTTCTGATTCGCCTAATCATTGGTGGAATGTGTATCAGTATATGTAAAAAGCAAATATAATTTGTGAACCTATTCTTAAGCACTGGAACATATTTACCAAACATGGAGCTATGCATTATCCATACAATAATACAACAAAACTAAGCGAGAACGGTGGATATCAATCAAATATCAATGGTATCTGGAAATGTGGGAGTCTATAGTAGCTACAAGTTCAGTAAGTACATCATAAAGTGGTCATCATCATGTCGTATAGCTTGAAATGTCATTTGCCGAACAGGCGATTCTTCAGTCCTTTCCCAAATTTTTTGACCTGTGACCGAACGCCCAAACGCGGTTTGGGGCTCATATCTTTGAATTTGAAGGAGCCTGCATCATCTCCACTCGCGAGCGCCATCCTCAACTCCGCTTCTCCGCTCATTGAGAAGCCCATATTGTTGAGCTTGTCGACAGGTGGAATGTATCCGAACTCCCCTGGGGAATATCCCGTCGACGCGGATGGGAAAGTACTAGAGTAGTCTAGATCAGGTGGCGTGGGGAGGTCGAAGTCGTGGCCCACACTAGAGGTCCGTCCTGAGAAAGCCATGCCGTGGCCAGGGGACGAGGGTCGTAATGACATTGGAGACGTTGGCCGGCTTTCGCTGGGCTTGTATTCGGGTTGGGGAGAGGTAGGACGGGACAGGTCTTTGCGAATGACTGAAGAGTAATATGGCCGGTGAGGGTGGCCCAAGCGGGGTATATTGTAGGACTGCGAATTGGAACGGCGAAGGCCATGCAGTTTTGTGATGGGTATAGACAACGAAATGCTGGATGTAATAGAGTCGTGAGACGATTGGGGGGGTTGTGATACTGGTCTTCGCGACGTTCGTCCATCGACAGAAACTGGACGGGTTGGAGCTGGGGAGGCTGGCGCCGAAACACGAAGTTTCTCCATTGGCTGCTTCCTCCGAAGAACTCTCTGTTCTGCCGAGAATTTTTTAACAAGGACATCGTGATAGGAATGACCAGACTGGGGGGCGGTGGAAGGGCGTAAAGATTTCGCAGATGATTTGGCGTTCATGACGACTTTATCAGTGTTCCGGTGATCAACGCCCTTGACGAACGATGCACGTTTCAAGTCCAGTGGAGTTGATGTCCCCTGCTCGACACTCAACCGCCTGGAGGTGCGGCCGGTTAATTTGGCAAGCGTCTCGTCCCTCACCTTCTTGTGGTAAGACTGGTTGGGTTGTCAGTTCAAAGCGGACTAGGCCATATATATAATTTGCTCACCAAAGTCGTCACTGTGGCAACCTGAGGACATTCACTAGCAACGGTCTCATTGCATACCGTACTGGGGTTGACGAGAGCAGGTAGCTGATCAGATGGCAGATTCAAAGTGGGTAACGGAGACAGATTTATATCTGTTACCGCGGGATCGTCTTCCTCGACGCAGGGAAGTAAAGGCCGTTTGTTGTCCGGTACAACAGGGGCAGGAGAAGATAGCAACCCGGTCCACTGATCGACGGTGATGTTGCCTGCCTGGGACCATGAGTGACGCAGTTTGTGTGGCGATGCGGGTGGCGGTGTTGAGGGCAGGAGATGGGGCACATGTAATCTTTGATGCACAGATGCACGCAACCCCCCTGCTGGCTCACATAAATTGACGTATTCTCCCGTGGAAGCCGTGAACGTCCATCTGCGGTGCGGAATGCGTCCAGTCGCGCGTTCCGATCCCTTGTCCGAGTGTCCGTACATGCAAGGGGGGGATGTCGTACTCGAAAAACCACACTTGTTACAAGTGAAGAATGGTCGGTCAGTTGGAACCAGGCGAAGGACGGGGAGGGATGTTGATTTTTTCAAGTTCTGGAAAGCATTAGCCTATATGTAGGAAGGAATGAATCGCATGTTACTCACCTTGTTTAATTTATGCAAATATCGTCGGGTTAAATTCCGGCGAAGGCGAGCCTCTGATGGGGACCAAGATGAATATGGCATGAGCGGGTATCGTAGTCAAGATATTCAGTCGTGATAAGTCGTAAAGGTCGTAAGTGAGAAAGAGGCAAAGCGGCGAGCGCCTCGTCACTAAGCCTTATAAGAGGCTCAATCGAGAAGAAGAGGTCGAAGGCGAAGTTTATCGATCAGGGTCAGTTCTCCAAAGCGGGCCGATAAAGAACGCATTGGATAGCCTGCAATGCGGATAAGAATGGTATAAGAAGCTCACCATACGGGTATTATGAAACTTGCTGTTTCCTCACCAAAAAAGCATGATCATGAGCCGACATGAGGCGATTCACCAGACATCTACTGTGCGGATGTGATCGTCTTTTTCCTATCTTATCCATCCCGTCTACACGGTGATTAAGCCGATTGTCCCTTACAAATGTTCTTGTATAATTTCAATACTTAGCCTGAGATGAACAAGTTGAAACATAAACGGGGTGAAAGAACGGGCAACCTGATCCGGACGATTGGGAGCATGTGCTGTACGGCACATACGTTGATGGGCGAGTTGCTCACTGCATACCCACGCAAACAGCTCGCAAATTCACAGCCTCGCAATCGTTGGCAGCTGCATTTTTAAATAAGGGAAAGCGCTGAAAACACCACATCGCGAAGGATTCCATTTTTGACGGCCAGTCCAAATTTGCGACAGGCTCTGACAGGAGGCAGAGAGAATCAAATCATGTGCCCGCATTTAAGTACAACGAGGCAACTTGCAAGGACAGACAAATATACTGCGCCCCAAAGTTCAAAGATCCCCACAGTAAATGGCCACCAAAAAGAGGTACACAGATTGGTTAACAATAATACGCACGGAGGCGCAATACGGTTCCCATTCTTTCATAAATCTTCGCATCGATGGCGGAGGACGCCACTGTTCTGGTTTTCAATTGAAAGGGCTGTCAAGTCTTTATGCGTACTAGCACAGGATGAGAGCGGAGATTAGGCGCAAAAATTGTAAGGCCGGCAACTGCAGAAAGAGAATAGGCCGGAAACGAGCAAACGACCTAAATAAATGTGGGGAATGCATTGCTTCATCATTATCTGGAGACGTTGAGGGTCCTGGATACGTACATGTTGATGGGGTCGAGGCCATAGTCCGGTGCTGCTGCTTCTGCGAAACCGGAATGAGAAGACATGAATCAACGGGCAGGAAAGACATACCGAGGACTCATTGCTGTGAGTGTCCGTTAAGGTCATATGAAAATACTCCTCATCAGATCAAGGAGATGTCGAATTGAGGACAGCGGGTGCGTTTCAATATGCGTTTAGCGAAGGGCATAATTGGACCGCACTGACAGCGTCCTGCGACTAAGATTTTGCCTAATCCAGGGGTATTGCAGGCCATGAAGAAAGAAAGGATAACCAGAACTGATGAAAGTGGGAAGACATGCGAAGCTACCAACTGAAAGATGGGTAATGAGAGCATCCTGCAGACGTAAGCTAAAATGCCAGAGCCGGAAGGTTTGGCGCACAACTTTGGAAGGATAGAAGCAAATATACGACGTCGACATCGTGGTTGGAGCAAAAAGTCAGAAACGAACTCTTGACATCACGTGGGTCAGAGTCTCGGTTCTCGGCCCGATGAGAACAACACACAACTGCAAAACCTGCAGCTTGGCGGGATCAAGTGCGATTCTATCTCTGTCTAGTGATATCTACTGGGATACGACCCTTCTCTAGATGTTACTGTGGGTACTTACGGAGTCGCTACCAACCCAGGGCCTAGGAACGTTCAGGTAAGGCGGAGACAATGAGATGTTTGCTTTGCCGGCCTCCCTCAATCCTGGTCCTCCGATACCTTTACAGTTTGTCACCGCTTTTCGGGCTATCTCCCTTATTTTATACCTGAAAACGACTTTTGTGGGCTTACCGGCAATGTCACGGACGCCGAATCTCTGGTCTTGACCGGATGTCGTGGAAGTCGTGGAAATAACCGTGCTTTTCATCCGTTTACGCTCCACGTCTGAAGGTGCCCTTTACGTGATCATTTGTGCTTGCTTTCTACGGCAACTCTCGCCATCCCGCCATGCACGCTTGCTCTCTCTGTCCGAGGGACACTTTCCTTGGCAATAGAGTCATTTCAGTGAAGCTATCTCATTCCTCGTCCATATTTATCCGTGGAGGGGGCCACTATGAAGTACTGCAATATGCTTTCTTGTTCTCTCGTCGTGTGATTAAAACGTGACCATCAGTTTCTACTGTACGCTTCTAAAATGACCGAGTGTTCGCGGTGGAGTCTTCTCGGAGAGACTGAGGATGCAGAGTCTTCAGGTGATACACTGACGCATTTCGAACAACAAAATCACCTGAAAACAGAGGCTTCCATATGCGCGACGTCGCAGTCATGTTTCTGATACATCCCATTCGTTGGCTACAAGAAGTTTGTCCCCCTTCCATGCCTCAGTGCATCCGCAGAGGAAGACATGGTCTCTCTCTTTCGTAGCCCTAATGAGTTTGGATCATGAAAGTGAGATATGTAGGTCACAGACTCTGAGCTGATCAGATGATGTGTACCAGAATAATAGACATCACTTATCTACGAGGTATACATTAACAATGGCGATGCGTACGATGCTCCTCAACTGAAGCTTGAGGCTTGTGGCCTTACTTAACTGGCTTTTCCGACCAGCTTACAACCTTCAATTATAATACTGTCGCGCTTATATTTTTCCAGCTCTCAAGTCTCAGCTCATAATAATAATTGAGAGCAATGCAACTGTCTGACACTCACTCATTCTCCCAGTATGTAGGATACACCAGGTACTAACTAAGGACAATGAGAACGGTATGCTGTTAGGCAGCTTGTTCTTTGCAGCCCGACACCCTAGAGTGTAAGGAAGGTTCACCATTTCTATTCGGCAAAATGTAACCAGAAAAAGATATCAATTTTTCAGTGACAATACTCTGTATGCTTTCGATATTTTGGCTGCTTCGCTATCACGTCCTCATGTTTGACTTTATCAGAATCGCTGTCACTAAAACAGTCGGAATGTTCGAAATACTATCTTCTACTACACGCAAATCTCGCATCTCTTCGGGTCTGAGTTGAGGAAAATGTGCTCTAGTCGAATGTGAGGACGAAGCACTGCAGAGATTTAGAAGACGTTGTGACATTGAGTAAAATCGCGGACACCTCTCTCGGTACCGCACCGACTCTATAATTGGTAGAGGCTTGCTGAGACGATGCTGCCGCCGAGTTGCCGGAGAAGAGCTATGACGTCCCACATCGCTCAATGTACCATGACTGAATGAGAAATATCAACATATTTTCATTGCTCTCAATTGCATCCTATGTATGTAACCACGGAAACGGGTGCTGATTTGAGTATAGCTAACGGGATCTTGTTTCAGTTGTCCATCCTCATTTCAAGGTCGAACCTGATGCTCTTAGGAAGCGTCAGCTTGCTTATTGAGCGCCTTACTTGCGCATATCTTGATTTCGGACCGTGCCTTCAACTTTATTTTCTTCTCTTCGTTCTTGAACTTCCGCTGTAACGGAATAAACACAAGTCTAATAATCCCTCAAAGGCCTCACTCACATAAGCTGTCATGCTCCTCTGGCCAGGCTGCGTAGGCTTAGCGGCGATTACTCTGCCTTTATTTTCGCCGTAAAGATATTCAAACATCGTGCATCCCCGAAATGTGTCAAACCTATGAGATATCTAAATGAGTGGTAACATGTTATGATTGTGTAGATCTCACTGACTTCCTGTCCGTTACCGCTGCCTTCATCAATGCTACCATCGTTGCATCCGTTGCCTGCTCCACAAGCTTGTTGAACAGGGCGCTGCCCATGGTAACCTTGAGCCTCACGAACAACGGGCCGATGTATTCGTACTGTTGTGTTTGTCCTGTAGCAGGAGCGTCATTATCCGTGGCGACTTCCGTGGTCGAACCCGAGTCGGATCCTCCAGGACTCTGCATTTCAGTTGGACTTTCTGTATTTTCTGGGCTTTGAACAACTGTATCATCGGCGCTGGGGGTCGTATTCCCGCTTGTGTCTATGCTGCCGGGGCTCCCAGATTTGACGGGACTATTTTCCCATCTCATGAGTAGGCCAGGCATTCGATAAAGTTTAGGACCTACCTGGCTTTACACGACCACGAAACGAGATATAGAGAGAAGAGGATGACGAGAAACTTATGGTGGGCTGTCATATGCAATTAGGAGAGAACCAGCTCTATCTTCGCATGCCCAAGAGCAGTCGCGCATTTAAGTAACTCGAACAATTACGAGTATGTCATATAACCCGTCGAACTTGACGACCGCGGCGGTGTACACCGATTACATGCTATATTTTTCAGCAACTTAGGAACATCTGCCGTCAAGAGCAACCACACCAGACAACATCATAGTGGAGCGAAATCGTGGTGATACCTTGAAGCTGTATGATGGTGGTCAACAAAGAGTAGGTAATGAGGCTCGCTCTGAGGTGTTCGGGATCATCCGTCCAGCTCTTCTATGAGATTATTCGGCCACGAATATAGTCGATGAGCTGTTGAAAACCGAGGGTAAAACCTTGTTGTAACTTGCTGCGACCTTGTATTTGTCTGGTAACGTCTTCCCAAGTTTTGTTTTGATATTGTAGCCTTTCCAATCTCTGGTGCTGTGTTATAAGGATACTGAGAGGATGGAATACGCTTGTAGAGTCGCACCTGTTGGTGAAATGACTCCAGTAATATAGCAAGGTTACAACTGGCGAGAGCCCTCTTTCTTTGAACAGACACAATAAAGCAATAGCAATTACATATTCAGGCATACAGCACGAGAAGGAGCACAGATCAGGTAAGTAATGATAGCAGTGCTTTCAACGACAGGAGCGGAGAAAAGAAAGATTGAAACTCCGAAACAGGCCGCCACCGACGCGATCGACAGCCCCTAATCGCGTCACTGTCGTGACATTCCGGCTGAATTGAGTATGCTTCTGCGGCCAGTTTAATCATACTCTTACCTCCTGCATCCATCATTGATAAAATGAATACGATGAGCTGTCCCGGAGGCTCCTTTGGAAGGAAGTTAGTTGTACCACCTTAGCACGAGATCACGCTCCTTAGCCAATGGTAGCGATCTCAGATGCCGGGTCAACGTTCGATTGATTACATTTCCTAGGCGTTCCACTAGATATCCCAAAGATCCTTCATAACATTGACCTCCGTGTTTTTCTCCGCTCTACTTCCCGGTTCAACATCGCACTCCAGGTGCGCTTGGCTATACTGTTGTAACGTTTCTCCCGTGCGCGCCAAGGAAAGGGTAAACCTGGGTATAGAGCTATGGACTAATTACGTTCACGAATAGACAGAGAGTCAGTCCTTTGTCTAGCCGTACCTCTGTAGCATTTCTTAACGGCAATTAAGAATATCTGGACGAATCAAAAAGTGATAAAAGAAGTTGATTTTACTGTCGACCGCCACGTCTCCACACCCAGAGAATAAGCCTGTCTCAGATCATCCTAGATTCGAATAAGTACCATATATCCAACTGACTTGCAGGGTGCATACTATTTGTCTCCTCTGCATCGACTCGTTTCCAACCCAGGTCTCTTCACACAGAGAGACTGTCATTGATAATCGATAATGGATACAAGATGAGCAAAAAAGCTCGACCTCACAGAGTATCATTATCTAAGTACTATCATGTCGCAGCAGAACGAAAGATATGACCGACGGATACCACAAGTTTCTCTCTACAGCTTCCTCGACGTTTAGGAGCTCTCCGGGAGAGTTTCATCCAACGTCCCGTTCTCACGCCTCGGCAACAAAACCTTGTGATGAGATTTCCTTCTGCCTTGGGAGCATTCACGTACCAATAATCCAAGTCAGGGGCACCACAAACCCACAACGCCTCTTGTTCTCGGGATTCTCGTCTTCCCTCGCGGAGTGCCTTTCCCAGCTTGCTCCTGTCTTTGGCGCCTCTCCATCTGTGCTTCTCTATTCCGGCATCAGGAGTAGAGTTCATCGTATAAGCTCTGTCCTCGGTCCTTCCTATTTTCGGGGCCTTGATTCATGTCGATATTTTTCAGTGAGCAAAAAAGTCCGTTTTGTGAATGCCTAGCAGCTACCAAGGCCCCCCTACCAGTTCGATTTCTGTAGAAGCATTCACAATGTAATAATTTCTTTCCTTTCTAGTCATTTTGTTCTTGTCCATTGTCATCTACGCAATCCATCGTATCAGTATATTTCCAAGTAACAACAAATACATCCATCAGTAAAAGTACAAGCCAGATTCTGTTTCGCTTCATTCAACAATCATTTAGAAGAAATTGTATGTCCTCGCAAGGGGCAGTTTCTCAGCGGGTGCGACATCTGCTAGCTCTCCATTCGCGCGCACCTCATACGTCTCTGGATCCACCGACATCTTGGGGATGAGATCGTTCCATTTCATATCCTTCTTGGTGATATTCCTGCACCCAATGACACCGACCGCATTTTTTTTGAGATGATATGAACCTATCATGCCTGATAAGATGGAGACTTTCGATACGAATGCGACAGAGTTCAAAGCCGCAGAGCCAGGTTTAGCACCCCACATAGGTTTGGAGTAGAATGGCTGTACGGAGGGTATGGATGCGTTCGCATCGCCCATCTGTTGAAATCAGTCATAACTAAAGAATGAAAGACAGGCAAGAAACATACCTGAGACCAGGCGATTACGCCGGATTTGAGGACCATTTCAGGTTTAGCACCAAAGTTTTCGGGTTTCCAGAGCACTAAATCTGCGAGGGTTCCAACAGCAACATGGCCCACAGCATGACTAATTCCATGAGTTATCGCTCTAGCCAGACAAAGACAATGAGATCTTCTTGACAACAAAGAATCGGAGAAGGACACACGGGTTGATGGTGTACTTTGCGATATATCTCTTCACACGAGCGTTATCAACACCCTCATAGTCGCCCGACGACGTCAAGGGTCCTCGGAACTCCCGCATCTTGCTTGCAGTCCTCCAAGTCCTGCTAACAACCTCGCCCACACGTCCCATAGCCTGCGAGTCAGAGCTAATCATAGCGATTGCCCCGATATCATGGAGGACGTCCTCAGCGGCTACAGTTTCTGCGCGGATACGCGACTCTGCGAAAGCAAGATCTTCAGGAATGGATTTGTCCAAGTGATGGCAGACCATGAGCATCTACCGTAGGTACGTAAGACAGGTGTACATGGAATGAGTTGGGAGGAATACTTACATCAAGGTGCTCGTCCAAAGTGTTGTTAGTGTATGGACGCGTCGGGTTTGTAGAAGAAGGCAAGACGTTTTCTTGACCACAAACAACTATGATATCCGGCGCATGACCGCCACCTAATGAAGCCTATATAAGGTCACGCTCGGCTACATGAAATATGGACGAACCTGCCCCTTCACTGTGATACGTGTGAATGGTTCGGTTGCCAAAGGCCTCAATGGTGCCTTCGAACAATGAGGTCGGTTATATAGAGCAACGAAAGAACTGCTCACTTTCTACAAATCCACTTTCATTTAACGTGTCAGTGTGGATGTTAACCTAAAGCAAACGGTTTTACTGCCAGAGTTAATCATAAGGGACAGGATACGGACCTGAACATCATACTTATCACCAACGTCCAGGCAGTTCGTGATAGTGGCAGGCGTAGACCCCCAATCCTCGTGCAGTTTCAGGCCTGCCGCTCCGGCTTGCACGATTTCTTCCAAAGCCGTAGGCCCAGCATCGTTTCCCTTGCCTGTAAACGCAAAGTTCATGGCCAAACCGTCTGTAGCCTGCAACATGTGTCGAATATAGAAGGGACTCGACGTGCACGTTGTTGCATTCGTGCCCGCACTTGGCCCTGTACCACCGCCGATCATAGTCGTAGTTCCTGCAGCCAGTGCTTCCTCGACCTGCTGTGGACAGATATAATGCACGTGCGCATCGACAGCTCCAGCCGTAATTATGAGTTTTTCCCCAGCGATAACTTCGGTGGAAGAACCGATGGTGAGAGTGGGATGAACATTCGCCATAACGTCCGGATTGCCGGCCTTGCCAATACCACAAATGCGACCATCCTTGACACCAATGTCTGCCTTGTAGATTCCCGACCAGTCAACAATAAGCGCATTGGTGATGACGAGGTCAAGAGTTTCTTTGCTGGATCGATTAGTAGCCTGTCCCATCCCTTCCCTGATACTCTTGCCTCCACCGAACTTGACTTCGTCGCCATACACGGTCTTGTCATGCTCAACCTCGATCCACAGAGCTGTGTCACCGAGTCTAACCCTATCACCAGTTGTCGGTCCGAACATGGAGATATAAGCTGCGCGACTGATATCTGTGTCCGCTGTCACTTCCAACGCGCCTGGCTCGGGGACGTGAGCGAACCCTTTTTGCACCAAAGCGCTGATGATCTCATCTGATCTGCCAAGGTCGACAACCCCAGAAGCGAGGCGGTTTCCGCCCGAAATAATTTGTCCTCCAGCGATAGCACATAGGGTCACAGTCTTGACGTCACCCGGCTCAAAACGCACAGCGGTACCTGCAGGTATGTCGAGTCGCATGCCGTACGCTTTGCCTCGGTCGAATGAAAGAGCAGGGTTGGTCTCGATAAAATGGTAGTGCGAGCCAATCTAGAAAGATAGTAAGTGCCATATCCAACGCATAATCTCACATACCTGACCTGGATAGGACGGTCGCCATTATTCGTAACACGAAGCTGTATTCTTGCTCTACCCTTGTTAATGATTATAGGTTCCTTCTTGGCAATTATGGCACCCGGAGCCTTCTCATGAGAATATTCTGAGACGTCTGCGACTGGGAACGCGTTATCAGCTGGGATAGGGAGGAAGGAACCATAGAGCGCGTTCTCCAGGTTTCCACTTTCTGTGCAAATAGGATCGTGAACCGTTACAAGAAAAACGCTATGTAATCAGTGTAAGTAACGAGGAAAGAAATGTTAGAACTGTTCCCCACCCATCTGTAAAGGTCCCTTCAACCTGGATCTCATGCAACAGACCAGGAACATTCGGAAGGACATGACGTCGACCAAGCATATTCTTTCCATGCTGCATAAGCTCGGCGACAGAATGCTTGCCATCCCGGATTCGTTCTTGCAGCTGAGAGGCAATCAGTGCTATCGCCTCGCTCTGGTTGAGCTGCAACCCCCTAGCGAGACGCTTTTGGGCCAGAAACCCAGCCTTTATTTATTTGAGATCATCTTAAATAAAACAGCCATTTCGAATGTTCATACCTGGTGCAAGAGGAGTTTTGCCTCTTCCCGGGGAAGTAAATGCATGGTGCCGGTCCAAGTCGGCAGAACCGGAAACCGGGCCGCAATATTATCCTGTGACAAACAAGGCCAAAGGCTGAGTTAAGAGCCACTCGTCCACTACGACACTGCCACGCCTGGTTTCTTTCGTACTTCGACCACTATACCTTGGCTCCCATCCCAAGGCACCTTGGTACCTCTAGCGACAGTCTACCATGTCTGGATTTGCGGCACTTATGGCTCTTAGTGCTACACAGACTCGGGAATCTCAGAAGAGCGTAGAGACCGCCCTTGCTGAGCGCCAGCGTCGAGAGCGGGAACGGCGACAGAAACAGGATGAGGCTGACCGGAAACAAAGGGAACTGGAGGAGAAACTGCGCCTAAAGCACTTCGAGGACGAGAAGCGGGAGAAGGAGCGGCAACGGCTGAAGGAGGAGAAGACCAAAGCTTTGGAGGCCGCCCGTCTGCGCCGCGAAGAGGAGGAGCGAGAACATCTGCGGTATGGCTCCAAGAAGCCTGGGAAGTCGGAGACGAAGTGGCCTTCGTCATCATCACAGACTCAAACGCAGGAAAGAGTCCGCAAGAGGAGGCTCCCTTCGGATGATGATGACGAAGCGTCAGGGGCTAGTGTTCTCACTCGAGAGGAGAAGCGCAGGCGCAGAGAGCAAGCTCAGTATCGCAGCGGGTTCCGGTCTCCCAGACGTACTCCAGCGAAAGGCTACTCGAAAGCAGGCCGTCAGCTACCCGGTGGCGCCATAGATGTGACGACGACGACTCCTGGTCTTCCCACGGCGTCCTCGTCTGCCGGAATGACAACGAAGGAGCGCTTGATTGCCATGCCCATGCATCTGATTAAGCTTAACACAAATAAGCGTGATACTCGGACCATCGAAGAGATTGTAAACGACATGCAACAGGAAAAAAAGAAGAAAACTTTGAACGGAGAGGACGCCAAAGCATTCAGCGACTGGTTCACAGATAAGAAGAAGACAACCGTCTCTGTGACTCCCAAAGCTACTGCCTCTGCCTCTTCTTCCCGTGAGTCCAATACATATCTCGTAATGCTATCATTTCGATCTTCTTTCAGAGAATGCCAGTCAGCGGAACACCCCTATATCAAGCATACCCAGTGCTCCGAAGAAAGCGACACCAGTACCGCCTCCTAGAGCACCATCTTCATCGTCTTCTAAGCTTGTCACGAAGACCGTCGCTTCCCTTCCGTCGAAGCGACCTGGATCTACCGACGCACCCAGATTGGCCTCGTCAAAGCCTGCTGCAAAACCTGCCGTTCAAAATCGTCCTGTTATGAAGAAGCGTCCTCGTTCTCCGAGTAGCTCTGTATCTCCGTCTCCGTCTAAGAGACGCACAGGGGGCTTGGACGATGATATGCGAAGCCAGATCTGGGCTGCGCTCGGCAAGAACCGCAATGCTTATGTTGGGCTCGATGACTTCAGCGACGATGAAGATATGGAGGCGGATGCGTCCGCTCTGGAGCGAGAGGAGCTATATAGGTTTGTTCCCTTCCGGCCGCTCTGGTTTACTGCTACTGACGCCTTTCTAGCTCTAAGATTGCTAAACGTGAGGAAGAGGAGGCCTTGGCTGCTGAGCGTCGACATGAAGAGGAGAAAAGAAAGAGACGGCTGACGAAAGAGAGGCGTGGTGATTAGGTGCGTCGCTCTGGTTAGTCTGTTTTCACTCTTTTGGTCGGCTGGAGGACTTTTTTTACATATCTACCTTTTGCTTGACAAGTTACACTAAACTATTCTCCCACACATCCATTTTTATCAACATACACATCATTATATCCCTAGCACATGTATTCTAGTTTTGTTTCCTCTCACTATAAGGGTTACTTCTACAATATCTTCTATCGGAGGTAGACATGGACAATAGGTATTATAGCCTAATGAAAGAGCTACGAGATACCGAGCTTGCCGAACATATCTGCAACTGGCGGCAATCACTCCGTTGAGTGTTCTGTTCTATACTTAGTCATCTGATGAATTTTTGTTTACTAGATACCGCCCTGGCTTTGGTTCTGAAACTTGCAACTATACGGAATCCGACGACTGATCCTCCTCTTTTTGCGACTTTTTTGGCTCCTCGGCATTCTGGACGAACGGACGACTCTGACAATCTCACGGATACCGAAACTCTATTTATCTGTTACGTTGTGAATATCGTAACTCTGTTCGAACCTCTGTAGATCTGTAGTTCATATGTTGATCTGTAAAGAGATGAATAATAAATGTGTTTCAGTTTTGTCTTGGAAACCAAGACCTAACGCAAACGATAACATTCTGAACCATAGACCTCAAGCCGGGAAAGGAGAAACCTTGCAACTGCGCGCACCCGTATTCCGGGCCGGGGAGGGCGCTTATATACTAAAAGTGGAAATCCTCCTTCTTTATCAGGATAGATTGTAAACAGCCTGGACCAAATATCGTCGGCGTGGCGTCTAACTCTAAACTTACACACTGACCACGATTTTGGGTGACTCACGCCGTAGCATTCTGCGGTCTGTATTTATCCAGACGGCCTGTATAGGGTCCCGCACCTTGACGTATCCGTAGTACTGCATGTAAGCACTTTGGTCGTGATCTACTTTATAAAAATTTATCAACTCGCAGTCTTGTCTGAACCGCAACGTTCAGACCATTCTGTGTATGATTAATGTCGGCCACCAATGCTGAAAGAGGCGGGCAACGCGAGGTGAGCATTTAAGTATTCATTTAACTGGCTATTGATAGAGCTACAAAGGTTAAACTTGAGACTTCGCCACCAGAGCCAAAGATAGGTAATAAGCGACAGAGAGAAGATGATGGCTCTGCAGAAGGCGGACCAAAGCTACGACAAGCTGTTATACCAACGGGTCAGAATGACGCGCTGCTAATTAGCGACTTGCAATGGGTACGTTTTTCAACTGAAGTCCTTATGTCGGTGGCGCTGATAGTTTTGATTTAGTGGACTACAGATGAGGACCTCCGTCAGGTGGCGCAGAGCGTCGGAGTAAACCTTGAACATAAGAGCGTCACCTTTTCGGAACATAAAATTAATGGGAAGAGTAAAGGGTACGTATAGATTCATCGGGGAGTGTATTGAATGATCAGCTCTATTCTAGACAGGCGTATGTAGAGTGCGGGTCATACGAAAACGCGGTCATTCTTAGGAATTGGTTTTCTACCAAGTAGGAGGTGCCATTTCTTCGATGAATGAAGAGTGTGGCTGATAGCCGTTACAGTGAATTCCAGAATCGCTGGGTCACGACCGAGTTCGCATCGAGTAGTCATGGTAATCCGTACCGTACATTACCCAAGGGTAGATCTTTTTACTCCGTTTCAATTCATTCAGTGGTACTAAAGCCACACGTTTTCAGAACCAGTTGCGCGTGTGGCTCAGAATAGCAACATTGGGAGGGGTGGTGGGCCCAATTTCCGTGGAAGGGGAAGAGGCATGATGCCCAACACGGGGATGGGCATGAACATGGGGATGCCAAACATGGGGATGGGCATGCCCAATGTGGGTATGGGCGGGGGATACATGATGGGAGGCGGGACGGGAGGTGGCTTTCAAGGACAAGGGGGCATGATGAACCGAGGGGGTATGATGAATGACCGCAGTATGGGTACGGATTTCTAGTTCTGCTCTTGTTGCTGTATTGGTCCGTGCTGTGCTTACTCCGTGTCCTTGTGTTTCCGTTCGTTATGTTAGGTATGAGAATGATGAACCCCGTTCAACATGGAGGCATGCCTCAGGGTCAAGGACATGTCAATCCTGTTTTCATGCAAGGCGGTGGCGGAATACCGGATGGGCCACGGAAAAGGCCACGATTGGATGAATGAGAGTAGGGACTACCTTTTTTAAAAATTGCTCTGATTGTTTGCTGTCTTGCACTTGCTTCCTCGCTCACTGCTATCTAGTACTAGTCGTATTGTCGGCTCTCACGTTATAAATAATAATGGAAGGATTTCTACTCACTTGAATAATCCAGGCTCTTTAAATTTGTGGACTAATTCGGTATCTTCAGTAAATTTATCAGCACGCTGGGACAAGTAATGCACCACTATGGCTCCGGGTCCATGGCCCGAACTTGCCGGAGTGTTTGTACACTGCTCCTTGTCTTGGCACCACCACCTTTCCTTCAGAGGGGGCTATATTATATATACTCCCCTATCTCATCGAAAAGAAATTCAAACACCCAAGTAAGCGATCCCCCCATTCCAAGTCTTGTATATCTAAAATGTTCAACAAATCTGTCGAACCACTTTCGCGGAAATTCGAACAGGATAACAGGAAACGACCACCGCGTCGACAGGAGCTATGCCCAGAGCCAATCTCATTCTGGAGGACCTAACCGATGATGACAGCGAAGTCGACTTGGGCTCAATAAGGACGGCATCAGCATTCGACACCGGCCGTTCTCAATCTTCTTTATCTCTTTCCTTTGACCTACCACCTTCATCTCCTGCGTTATCCTTAAAATCTGCCTTTGGCTCGCCCTCGTCTCCTGAATTGATTAAAGTTTTACGGCCCAATACCCTTTCGCGTTCCCAAACACTACCGCACGCTCCTCAAACAGAGGTCAAATCGAGGCGAAGAATATCTGGTATAGAAGAACTTGAGATAGACGATGATGTATTAGCGAAGATCAGACGGTGGGTTTTGGGTATAGCCATAGGTGTGTGTTGCCAGAGTATACAAAGGCCTCTTGGCTGATAGTCCTTAGTCGACTTCGATATCGACTCGGGTCCTGTGGTCAACGGCATATTTCCACCCTTATTTCTTTTGCCAGAGGAGTCAGAAAATATGTCAGTATGGCTCCATTCCGCTTTATCATAGTCTCAACAGTATCCAGCGCATTTTTAGCGTTCCCCGACTCATTGCAATTTGATCAAGGCTCGCAAAACCATTCTTTCCGTATTCGCGAGCATAAGTTTTCTGTATCAAGCGAAAAACGACCGGCTCCTATTGATGGATATATATACGGTTTTTCTCACTTTAGTCAAAGGCGAGATCCTGCGTCGAAGCGAGGCTATGTGCAAGTGCGTTTTCCGTCTCAATTCACGTATCTGTACCCATATTGCTTCAGCGTTCCCTGGTATTCCTTACTCATCACCCCTATCCGGCACTTTTCTCGTCGCTGTCCTCGATATTCGGTCCGTTGTTCTCAGTGCATGGGCTACCGATGCTGGAGACTGCATGTCATAATATCGCCACATGGTACCTCTTACCGTTTTCTTTCAGAATAAATACTAATGTAATCCTCGAAGAAAAGGTCGGACCCTACGCCCGGAGCAACTGTCGAACTGGGATTCCTAGGTTCGGTGCTCCATGTGGAGCTACCACACTATATCGACGAGCAACAACTTACAGAATGTGATCCCAAGTTTCATGTAAACACCGTCTTTTTGTTGGTGGGGTACCGCTAACGTTTCTCTGCTAGATCCTAGCATTGTCATCCCCGTTCTTGCCCCCACCTGTGCTTCTCTTTGAAGCATCTCTCTCACATCTTTGGTCAATATGGGAATGTCTGGTTCTTTATGAACCCATATTCATATTCGGCTCGTCTCCATCTCAGACAAGCCAGGCAATATGGTGGCTCCGGGACCTCTTACGCCCTATCCCTACTGCTGGAGACATCCGGCCGTACTTCACTATCCACGATAGAGATTATAGTGCATTGGTCAACAAACTTCCGCCAAAGTCTGGTCTGCTTCTTGGAGTGACGAACCCTTTCTTTGAACGGTCATGTCTGCATTGGCCGCACGTTTTAAGCCTTGGACGGAGAATTCCGTATGTGCATGCCCTCCAAGGCAAGCCAATCGGCGCTGATTTATTTGTAGGCCCAACACAGCGACGAAAAACACCACATCGACTGTTGCTCCCGGACCTTTACCAGGCTGGAAGACCAAATCGCATAAACGGTATATATCAAAAGACCATGCCTTATTGAAACAGCTCGAGTCGGCGTGTCGTGGTACCGAACAAGAACGTACGAGTGTCGACTTCTTCGTTCACCCACACCTCTGATCATCATCACAGGAATGTCCGCTTCATGGGCTTTGCGAAGGCATTTCTATTCACGTTCAAATGAACTTCTGACACCCCTAACAAGATATCTGAATACCCTGATACCTACCCCCTCGGAAGTCGCTGGTCATCAGCGTAACTCGCGTCTGGGTCCTCTTCGACTCAAGCCATTCAACACGTCTGCTTTTTTCGCGTCATTGAAGATTCATGGCAGTACCCTACCGTTTCGCTCAACGAGCAAGCGGAGGGAGTTTTATGACAGGTAAGAGTACATTTGTGTAGTCAAGTCGTCGGTTTTGAATGCTCGTAGATGGTTGAAAACTCCGTCTTTTGGACTTTGGCTCGCTCAACAAGAGCAGATTGTTCAGGGTGTACTGAAGCAGAACCTGAATGTTACAGCGTAGACTGGGCTTTCCCCCCTTATCTAATTGGATTTCCTGTAATCATATACCCTGTACATTTGGAAGAAGAAAGAAATGTTTCATTCAACATGAATAGTTCTTGTATTGGACATACAGACTAACGGACTACATATTTCGACGTAAAGAACTATCGATTCTGGATTCAGGGGAAGGCTTGCAGCCTTCGGCGACCGAGCCATCGCCCGTAGGTTGCTCTCTTGGTGTTACCACTAGACCCATCACCCGATCCAGTGCCAGTCGAGCCTGAACCAGCGCCAGACCCATCGCTTGAACTACCGTCAGATCCGTCACCAGAACCATCGTCAGCTCCATCACTTGAACCACCGTCGGACCCGTCACTTGAACCATCGTCGGCTGAACTGGTCGAGCTTCCAGGATCCATCCCCGTTGAACCTGATCCCCCACCGGGTCCGGATCCACCACTCATATCCACTATGAAGCAGGTCGTGAGCAGCCAACCGAGCTAAAGAGGTGGTTATTATCTCACTTTGCTTCTGACCTCCTCCTCCACCGCAACAGCAGCAGCATCCGTGTCCATGTCCATGTTTGCCACCGAAACCACCGCCAGATCCAGAACCTCCAGTGACAGCAGAGGCTGCCCCACCGGCACCGTCTGAGCCCGGATCCGAATCGCCACCCATACCGTCCGTGGACATTGGTGTAGAGGCCGATGACGAACCGGAAGCGGACGCATCGCCTGTATCCGAGCTAGAGTCCTGACGGCGGGAGATACCGTTAACAGCGCGACGAATTTCGTCGAGAGAGCGGCTGTCGATGGTGCGAAGGGCTTTCACGAGCTCAGCACGCCGTTTCTTTTCAGACGTGGAGACGGCACGCCTCTGTGGGAGACGCATTCCCGCAACCTGACGGGCGTCCAAGTTGTGATCAGCACCACGACGGCCGACAGAGCGTGATTGGGCGCTGTGTACAGAAGAGTTAAGTCAGTGAGAATAAGAGCAGGTAAGAAATAAGTCATACCCGTTCGTGTTGGCGCCTAGAGCCGTGGTGGCGCTGAGAGCCAATGTGGCCACGAGGAAGATGGAGGACTTGTTGAACATGACGAGATAGAAGTGGAAGAAAAAAAAAAGTTTTGTGGTATGCTTGGCTCTAGACTACCTGCGTCTAGAGAAGAGTTGGATGGGTGAGCACAGCTGGGGTATGAAGCTCAGGCATCCATGTCTTTTATACATTTTCGGTGGGAATGTAACTGAGACGAAGGCAAGAAGACTCAATGCCCAAAGTCAAGCAGTGTCTGCAGCCATCACCAAGATACTTACACAGGAATCCAAAGATATAGCATCTCCAGGCTTAGCGACCAGGTGAAGAGTAGAAACAAAGATAGACCTTTCATCAGTTCGGTGACAGCCAGACTAACTTTAGCAAGATTAGCAAGACTGAGGAGCAATGGGCATCAGCACCGCAGTCGTAACCATGAACCAGTTAGCAGGCATATCATTTTGTTTCAGCGTAGTTATCAGAAATCATGAATATGATGGGGGAAAGCGGCAAAGTTTGTCGGGGTTTGTTTGTTGGCTTCTTCAGTTGGGGCCGAACCAGCGGAGTCTCAACTGTTACTTGCCGGCACAACGGCGTTGGAGACCCAAGAAACACGTAATTATTCGCACTCCAGAAATATGCTCGGATTTTTATTGAATTACAAGGTAATGCCCTCAAACGTACCACAGTATACGAATTTTGGATTAAAGTGAACAATACAATGCTATATCGCGTTCTTTTGTTGCGTTACCTTGTGAGAACGCGATGGATTTATGGCCGACGGCGTGACAATGTGTGTCGCGTTCCATTGCTACAATGTCATTTGGAATTCACTACTAAGTCGAGGCGGTGGTGGGATGTCTAGTTGTGGGAGCTCCACAGATCATTTATCAACGGTCGGTTAGATGAATTATAGTTGTGGGAGCCCCTTGATCCAGCCCGACTTACGCTGCAGTTTTTCCTAAGTCCGCAGTCCGCATCCCTATAGAATTTGGTGTAAGATCATTTGTTGTGAAAGGGAGGGCGACAATTTACACCGCATTCCTAAGTATATTTCTTGAAATCGGCATGTACCAAGTGCCGGGTTCGCACTCTTGCCGCTCACGTAGCTCTCTTCTTATGCCTGTCTATATCCTGATTGTGAGACGCCGATGTACAGATCCGTGGCGTCGACGGTAGTGACTCACAATGTTCATGGCAAATAAATGGCATTTGAAGTGCGGCGTCACGTCCCGATTCTCTACTCCCGAGATGCCCTGGCAGCTATCAACGTAAAAAATATTGACGCAAAGATGAATGCAGACAGAGATCAATTCCTTACAGACACGGCCATCAGTAGAACAACCTCAATACTGTGCAAATTGAATTCCAGGACGGGCACTTGAACCCGCTGCCAAAAGAAGTTGTCAATAGCACTAAATCATCTAAGTATATGTTAGTACATTTTCGTCTAATTATCGGCTGATTTGAAGCGTTTTGGAATTTTGAAGGCCAACCAAAGTAAGACCAAGGTCAAAACCAGAATAATAATGTACACCAAGAATCCCCCTGCGATCTGGCTTTCGAGGGAGATTGAGAACATGGAAGAAGCAAAATAAGGCGCCAGGCCCCGAATACCAGAGCCAGCCATCTGTGCAACACCGTTAGTGGAACCAAGAGCAGCCCTGCTTGTTGCGCTTTGGACGACGAGGACATGAACCGCAGCTACACGGTGATAAGTGAAGCAAAGGGCGTAGATAAAAGACTGAACCTACCAAAAGCAACGAAGACCATGAGATTACAGGTCAGTTGGATAAGTATAAGCGTGACAACTCTCCCGTCGACGCGTCCCGCCAGCCTTGCAAAGTAGCTCTCGAAAGAGAAGGCCAAAATGCCTACAAACATGAAGCCGATGGAAACTATGAACATCCTGCGAGCACCGAACACCCTCAGCAGTCTTCCCGTGAAAACAGTTTGCACGATAGCATTTGTCAATCCCCATATCGACAAGATTTGGCCAATCTGGAAAGGGCTAAAGCCGAGACCGCCAACGGGTATGGATGTCGAATACATCAGGGGAATGAGCGCGTCATACGAAGTTTCAACAAAAGAGATGAACGTGTAGTTCATCAAAACGCGTAAGAATTGAGTGCCTAGAACTTCTCGCATGCTAGGAGGCTGGCTTGGGATGGAATCAGACACTGCATCATCTGTTGCGGCAGTGGCGACAGATCCGTAGTCTGCATTTGTGCTACTCGAAATCAGGCTAGTTTCCTGTGTGGGTCGCGAACATTTAGATTTTTTACGCGCGATAGTTGAGGGATGCGTCTAGATTAACAGAGGTGAGTAAAAGCTGACATCGAGAGGGACCAGAGCAGTCACTCGCCTCTTGCAGACCAATAAGGGTTAGCAGACAAATCGCAAAGGAGAACAGTCCAGCTACAGCACAAGGAAGGAAATACGGATGGTCGCGAAATAACGCGATCCTCCCAAAGGTATTTGGCCACGTATCCGCTGGATGGACCAAGAGGCCGCCTATGACAGGACTGCATGAAATAATACCAGAATCAGTACAACCTTTGCTGTTCAAAAAAGGGCCCTTACCCTACGGTAACGCCCAATCCCCATATCAAAGGCATCAAGGCAAATGCCTCTCCAATATTAGTAGAATCCGTGAGCTAGTTGGAGATATTAACGTTATGGATCGAATGACACCATAGCACGACACACCTCCCCCATAACGGTTTTCGAAACACCTATCTCCGGTCTCACCGTGAACTTTCCACAGTCACATGTTCGAGAAGAAGACACATACCGATATTCCCATTGAAGACACCTTGAGCGCACCGGAACAACACCAATGACCAGAAGCTACTCGAAGCCCCGAAGCCGAGCATCGCAAATGTCAACCCAAGAGGACCCAAGAGCAAGACGGGCTTCCGACCGACCCTATCCGACAAACGGCCCCAGTGGAACACGCTCAAACATTCGGCCAGAAAGAACGCGGATTCCTACATCACGCCAGCGCGTCAGGCGAATCCATTAAGTAAAGTGTCAGGGGGAAAACTCACGATAAGCCCTGCGTAGTACCCCGTCTTGGTCTCATCCCCCCCAGTAATCCCCGTCCTACGGATGAACTCAGGAGCAAAAGGGAATATCACCGTCGCCGTTATAGGTTCCGCAAGCTGGATGAGGAACACGATAAGTAGCTGCCATCGGGGAAGCGGGGTTCGCTTGGTTTCGGTGCTTTGGACGCTCTCACCAGCTTCGGTAGCAGTCATAGATGGTGGTAAGAGGACAAGAAAGCTGCCAGTGCCAGTGAAGATTATGTAGTCATATCGATAGCAGCTGACTCATTTTCAGGGATTGGGGAGCTTGGAAATTTACCCCGTCGGCATCTCCACATGGTTTATCGCTGAATGAAATTCCTTAGAATAAAATGCCTACGTCCGAGCGAGCGGTACCTAGATAAAAATTTAATTTACTTTTGCCAAGAAGAAGGCACGGTTGGACAAGATATCGAGGTACTTGGGAGACTAGGGAGATACGAAAAGCGACTTTTACATCGTCTCACGATGATGATCAGGTTTTTGATCGGGGCTCCTGCCGTTTACGAACTTTCCCCTCGGCGAATCTGAGTCAGAGCATTAACACATAGTCGGGTGCCGTATAGATGGACCCGTACCCCTACCGTCAGCGGTTTGGAAATCGTTTCTCACGACCGTATTTGTACAGGTATTGTATGGGTAGGTGAAATTTGCATGGATACTTATTATTTTTGGTATGTAATGAGTCAAATGAATGAAATGTCTCTTCAACCATAAGGCTTACCTGCCCTAGGTCACCATCCTCTGTCTTTCCCCTGTCTACTAGCCTGTACGTATAGGCGTCATGAAGTTTGCAGCAAAATGACTCTCCTCGACTGAGTTCTCTCTAAATACCTCGGCTGCCGCACGACCTCTCTACAAGCTCGAGCAGTGCAGACATGCAAACTTACAATCATCCTCATATACTTGTAATAATCCAATGTTTTATTGAAATCTTTACTTGTGTATCTCAATGCCTATATGCAATGACATGAACTGTACACACGAACAAGTGATAATAAGAGCAAGCTCTCCATATCTATATACCTTCTAGGTAACAATCAAGAGTGATGATAACGATAGCGATGATGACAGGGAAGTACAATCGGCCTAAGCGATTATAAACAATGTGGGGGTATAATGAGCACAAAAATGCGACAAATCGAGTAAATCAGAATGTGTAAGCGTCGTAGTCCATATGACGACGATGAGTGCGACGGAAACGAGAGGAGTGATCAATAACATCGTCACGGCGTGATTCTCGTTTGCACGAGTCTGAAGAAGAGGATGAGGAAGAGGCAGCTGCATGAGTGTGATGGGTATGACTACTACCACTGCTGGTGCTTGACGAAGATGAGGATGTAACAGGAGCTGCAGATGCGACTGATGTCGACGCGGGTACTAGGGACGATGATGCCGATTCTGTGGACGACACTTCCGCGGAGGCTGATGACACTTCCGTAGACGAGGGCGATGACGACGATGTTGTCTGGATGACAACCGCAACGTTATTTGCACTGGTAAAGGTCGAGGAAGCAGAGGAAGCGGTGGATGATCCGCTGGCTGCAACAGTGCTTCCACCTTCTGTGGTTGTAGCGGTTGCAGTGGGAGATGAACCAGTGTATACATAGACAGGTTCCAGGAATCCGGGTACGTCATCATCCTCGTAGATAGTTGCCGCGATGCCTGCTTGTTGTACTGGGTTGTTGCCAGGAAGCTTGGTCAACAAACCGGTTGCTGTAAAAGAGTAAGCAAACGCATTACTCCCATAGAAAAAAAACATATACATACTCTGCTCGTCAACGATGTTTGTAATGTAACATTGCGTACCCGTCTGATAAGTGAAGACGCCATTATCGCCACAGCACGTCGGGTCACCGTACTCATCTGAATGTGCCCTATCATGAACGTAGTGTCCAGTTCAATATTAAGTGCACGTACTGCAATTACAATTGTCAACAGCCTTCTGCAATGCACCGGAATCCCAACCGTTGATGAAGTCGGCGTGATACCCATATCCCGTAGGATCACCGTAAGAGAAACTGATGGTTGATATGTTAGCTGTAAGGACTAGCCACAGTTGGAAAAAAAAAAAAAACGTACACAAATGGCTGTGTCGTGTTCTTCGCTTGGTCACGGTAGTCGTCAAAGTCGGTAGAGGCCCAGTATACCTCCATGAAAATGCGAGGGAGTCGAACGGGGTAATTAGGGTCCTCGCAAGTTCCTGAATCGGGACCACCGCTAAGGAAAGCGACGTGCGACTTGTGGTCCGAGGAGTCAGTGTTCACGCCGTCCCAGCAACTGGGGAAGTTCTGGTATACTTTAGGAACGAGGTTCTTGCGCCATAGGAGAAAGGATTCTCACGATCTGAGCCCGAATTCCACTAACACATTCCTGGGGAGGAATGGTACTGAACTTAGTAGCGGTGCCACTAAAATCGAGACACAAAAAGGTGACCGCCTGTTGAGCGTAGCTGCTGGCGTTGTACGTGCGCAGAGTCGGTGTCCCAGAGATCATTCGGAACTGTCATTAGTACGAAATGAGGAATTTATCGGAAATTCTAGGGAGACAACTACTGACGTCATCGGGGAAGGCAGTAACATTCTCAGCAGCGGCATCGTCGTCGAACAAATAGTCTGCAGAAGATAGGGATGAAACATTGCAAGGTGCGAACCGCGCAAGTTACGTACAACTGCGGAGACGATTAGCATGCACACAGAAGCACAGCAAAATAACGCACATAACGTTGCCAGCAGTAAGGGAGCTGAAGGAACCGTTGGCCCATCTGAAATTCCGACGTTAGCTAATGCTGCGGCACGGAAAACATCATCCGTACTCGAAATACAAGTTCTAGATTGAAGCCGTATTAGCCAGGCCGAGAATATCCAAAAACGGAATACGAACAGGATACCAATAATTGGACTTGTCTTCTGCGATGGGGGTGGTGGTACATTCACTCGAGCGCAAAGAAGCGGTATCCGTAGTCTGCCTAAAGTTGCTTCCGCCGAGCACTACGAAAATAGTCAGAAAAATCTGATACAAGCATGTCCGAACAATCATTAATTGATAAGGGCTGCTCCGTGGCAGAAAAAACATCGGCCTCTTGCGCAATTAGCAGATCATATTTCCCGCCTGAGAATGAACAGCTCTCGAGTACAAGGACAGGCGAATGATATCGAAACAAAGACAATCCGTCGAGGAGTAAAACGCCCGCCTAATCCAAAGACAGCACTGTAACTCCAACGCACAGAATTGTCGAGAAATATCATTCTATTTCGAGAGGGAATCCTGTCCTTGGAATGATAACGGCACATGAACTGAGCTTACCGTAATGAGCATGAGAAGACACTTCGCCAGGAGAGAGAATGGGGTCTATGCGCTGCGGATCCGGTGTCAACGTTCCTAAAAGCAAGTAGTCAGTATCCAAAAGCAACAAGAATTGGGGATAGCAACTCACCGACACTCATAAGCCAGTAGGCATTGACGGTCGACGATAAAGTCGCGAGAAAGAAAAGAGACTTCATAACTGCCCTAGGGAACGTGAATGAAAAACGAATGGACGGCCCTACACAGATGCGAGGGTCTGTTTTTATAAGAGAAGGGGGGGAGAAGGAGGAGGAGCAGATGGAAGAAAGAGACAGAGAAGCGAGTCCATTTCAAGCGGTCGGTTGTATGTCGGTGTTTGTGTAGCACGAAAGCAAGGAAGCCGGTTTCCAGGGTCATTTTCTATTGTCGCTGTGTCCCCGACAGACAGCCATCATGGATCAGGAATCGATTTTCGATTGTTACAACCCTGGTGCCTTGTTAGTGATCCATGCTGTATAGTGCCGTACCAGGCCATACCGTGGCAAGGTAAATGTTGGGTAAGGCTCATCATGGCCTTTTAATCTTCGCCGCGTCTACGTCTTCTCCATGAGTCACATCCAATTCAATCTCTCGATAGGTGTATAGCCGTGCGGAAGACGTTCGACATGCCGATAGCGTTAATTACTGCGGCAATTGCGCTTGGTAGAAGGTAGAATTAACATATGAAATTAAGAATTCCATTTTCATGAAACTATCGTTGTTCTAGCATGAAGATTCAAGGAAAATAGAATAATGCTTAGTACGGATTATCACAGTGATGATTCGGATCCCACGTACGACATCAACAACGCCACCTGAGAGCTCCTTCTCTTCACAGCCGCGGTATATTAAACAAGGGATGGAAAAGCGAGGTATAGCCGCCCTGTGTTAGCAAGATGCTAGCAATGTTGATGCTTACAGTGGCTCGAACGATGTCGAACGATGACGTTTCAGGCATCTCCGCGCGGTACGGACCCTCGAAAGGTAGTAGTCAAGCGGCAAATGACCATGATGTGCAAGCCATGACACCACGACCATGCGACGAGGAAGTCGTGTGTCGGCAAGCAAGGCGTCTTCTAAAGCCTAGGGATTGTAGCCAGAAGGCATCCACAGAACTGACTGAAGACTCAACCTCGGTATCTGAAGTATCTCCATGGAACCCCGGTGACAGGGCGCTGAATAGGTTTCGCCTACCTGTATATAATAAACAACTGTGCGACCATACAAGTCACGCTGTCAGCACCCAGGCCTGGAGATTCTGCTTCAAGCAGTGGATCCTAGTAGGAAAGAGGCGCCATGACCCCACTCTTCATACATTGTTAAGAAGTACCATTTTCCACCAAAAGGGACGTAATCCAAGTCTGGGTTTACACAGAACTCCCAGAGTAGAGGACCTGATTCCGTTGCCAACGAGCTGCCGAAGATCACGCCACGGGTCGGTCCCCTAGTTCTTCTAGTCATCAAGGAGAAAAAAGATCAATATGGTGTTGCATGATTTCCCAGGGCAACTCCAGCGGCGGTTCCGAAATTCCCACAGTTTGAGTGATGAGGTGATTCTGCCATGGGCGCCCCGGACAAATGATGAGAATGCCCATTTAGGCCGAACTAGCAGTGAGGCACATAAATGACTTGCAGTTGAAAATGTAAATGAGCAATATCGTGGTTGAAGCAATGTAAAAACAAGAGGTTGACTCGACACTACTGTGCTGCTTTCGCTGCTGATTTCATCGGCGCTCCGCCGCCCCTTTACAGGGCTAGGCTACAGTGAGCGCAGTCACTGTAATTTGAAAGTTAAGGGGTGACCCAGATATATTTCAGCTGAAGTGAGGATAAACAGAGATAAGGATACTCATCAGCCAGCAAGGCACAATCGTGTATCCACGTAAATTAAAGTAAGGAAAATTGCGGCTTCCTCAAGGCTTCCTTGCGAGGTGCAGTAAAAATGAAGCTTGTTAATGTAAGGAGCGATGAATGACATCACTATCAGCCAATGGCAATATTCCTTTTCTACAATCAAACTGTTTGACGTTATAGCCACGCGATTCCAATTAGAGCCGCCCAAAATAGGTTAGTAAGTGTCGCGACAAAAGGAAAGGAAATTGACGAAAATTGGCAGAGGCTGGATTTTATCCAAACGAAATCGACTAAATTTCCTTCTTGGTGTGAGAATCTTTTGGGCCAAATTTTGGGTTTCATAATGCGGCCTCCCAACCTGTTTTGGGTTGCTATCCAATTATGTGATCCTCGTCTATAATTAACTCCTTATCCCTTATCTCTCCCTCCATGAACGTCCAGTTTATCAACAATTTATCTCCTTCTACAGCACCTGGAGAACTTACCCACTCCCACGAGGGAGCCTCTCACGAGCACAGTCATGGCGGAGAACATGGACACACCCATGAGCATTACAACGATGCCGGTACGTGTTTCACCTCCAATGTTTAGGCCCGTGCTGAAGATAGATAAGGAAAATACTCGGACCGAGAGATGCCTGATTATTTGTCAAGAAATTTTGAAGAGCGCGGTTTTACTGTTGGCATCGGAGGGTTCGTTGTGTTCTATTTATAGATCGTGAGGCTTCTTGTATTGACATTTGGTTCTAGTCCAGTAGGTTCAGGAAAGACGGCTCTGACGTTGGCGCTCTGTCAGAAGCTCAGGAAGGAGTTCAATTTGGGTTGGTATTAATGCTTGGTATCTACAATTGTCTGATAATCTGGAAGGCACGGTCACAAACGACATCTTTACGCGTGAAGATCAGGAATTCCTCATCAAGAACAAGGCGCTTCCAGCTTCACGAATTCTGGCCATCGAAACTGGTGGATGTCCCCATGCAGCCATTCGTGAAGACATAAGCGCGAATATGGGTGCCCTAGAAACTCTGCAAGCCAAATATGGCTGTCAGCTCCTACTCGTGGAGAGCGGTGGTGACAACCTTGCTGCCAACTACTCCAGAGAGCTCGCCGATTATATCATTTACGTCATAGACGTATCTGTAAGCGTTATTCAGTCGTGTTTAGCCCGCTTAATGACTCTACCAAAGGGAGGTGACAAGATCCCACGCAAAGGTGGTCCGGGAATATCCCAATCTGATCTCCTCGTCATCAACAAGGTCCGTACATGTTCCATTACGCCTCTTATGAATCATCTGATGCGCGCTAACAAGACGGACCTGGCACCGTATGTCGGTGCATCCCTGCAAGTCATGCAGCGCGACTCGAAGCTTATGCGAGGTGACGGGCCAACTATATTTACAAGTATCAAAGAAGGATCAGGCGTCGATGATGTCGTGAACCTCATTTTAGCCGCGTGGCGTGCTTCGGGCAGTCCTGGGAAACCTGGCGCAGTAGGAGACGCAGCTTGAAAAAGCAGGTTATGAAAGATGTATTAGTCGCAAGAAGAAATGGAAAAAAGTCGTACGAGCCTTTCTTTATTCCTCGAACCTAAATGCCGCAAGATCTGACCGCTCATGTTCTAGCTGTACGATTGAAACCGAAAGTAAATTAAGAAAGTGTAAATTTTCAACAGACTGGGAACCTGATGTATTCATGCATTCAGTTTCAATCACTCATCCGTTTTGGGCAGACAGATGCCGACCTCACTAACCAAAGACACCTTTCAATCTCGCGAAATATGTCCAAAAATAGGATGTCTAGTAAGGATGCCTTGCATGTAGCTCCCGGCTCGGGCTCTCTTGTACCTGGCCGTCGTAGATTCAACTCTTCACCAGTGTTTGGCGTCCAGCGTTTCCGAACTGTAGTCAAGGGCCTCGCAGCTGCCGCCGCGTATCAATCATACAGAAATCCTTTCAATCACCCTCAGTTTCAGTCACAATCACCCCCGATCAAACAATATACGGAGATTGTGCTGCCCACACGTTGCACAAGCGTCGCTTCCACATCGCACAGGCGTCGCTTCAGCTCTTAAGTCCTTGACTGCCGAGCCCCTCGGAGCCGTCATGACGTCGTTCGCAGTCGAGTCATATCATAGTCCGCACATCGAGCTCTTAGCTTTAAGCTTATTCTACGTTAGTCGCGCAGTACTGCGCAATCCGAGGCTATGCCTGTCTGTCTAGCATCTGAGCTGAAGCTACCGGTGGCGCTCTTCTGATGTCGTTGCCGGGATCCTTCGTTAGCCGACTATTCTTACAACGCGGTGCCCAACTTGCTTCTGGCCAACTGGCCTGTGATTTATCCAATTGTCGAGTAAATCCGCCCTATGGGTCTCGACAGCAAATGCGCCATACTCTTTAATGACCTCGTGAACGAAGAATGAACGACCTCGTGTCGCATTTATTAGTACCGTCGTACTTCTGATATACTCCACGCGCAGCCATGGATTATCCATTATAAATTCCCTGCGGGCGGGGCGCATCTGGGCTGTTTCCCGGATAACGTACTCGAACATAACACATAAGATACTTTCAGCCCATCTTCCGCCAGGGAAATACATTTCTAGAGACCATTGCGACGGGATGGCCTACTCTTGCTATTTATAGAACTCCGCTGGTTGCTGTTAACGTTGGGCCCTAGGTGCGGTGGACACGAAGCGACATTCGTCAGGAGCCGGCAGATCCAGAAACACATACGGAAGGATTTATCACTCTGGAAATATGTGGGATTCCAGGCTGCCTCGGAAAAGAAACAGACTCGATGGTCCGGCCGTTACGCGTTCAAGAGAATATATTCCATTATTTCGTGGAAACATCATCTACATCTCATCACTCATCCTTCTTGAACACTCCTGCTCATTAAATAAGCGCCATAAGTATAAGATCGGAATATACGCACTTCTCGAGAACGTTTGAGACTTACCAGATTTTCTGGCGTGACATTGCGAACATCAGACTGAAGCACCTAATTAGTATTAGTGCGATAGCCCACGGATACAACTTACGTATCTCATAAGAAATAGCGAATGCCGTCCCGGCTGCCATCGATTGCTTTTGAGTATGCAATGGGGAAGCAACAGGGCGTCATAGTTGAATGAGTTTGTGTGACATGACGCGACTTACGATTCGGAGAAGTGATGCATGTACCATTTTATACCAAAGGATAAGTCCCAAATAAACCAAAAAAAAATGGAGGAGGGTCGGACGTACATATTGACTGATTGTATTCGGGATTTTCTTGACCATCAGCAAAACGTAACCGATCGTTCGTCCATCATAAGATAAAGTGGTATGCTTGATTAGTAGCTAGTTCAACTGTGAATGATCCACCAGCAGGTCTGGGGCCTATGTTACTCGGAAGCATTAAGAAGGCGAAGACAAAACGGCCTACATTTCGAGAAAGTCGTCCTTCGAGGGAGATCGCTCGTCGCAAGGCTGTGTTCAGTCAGGATATGACGAGGGACCCGCAAGGAGATCTGATACCCACTGTGGAGTGTTGCATTGTAAAGCAAGAGTATTATGGCCGGCGTGAACAGAAACGTGCACGGACTCCACCATCGATCCTTCGCCAGCATGAAGAGAGGACTGACAGCGTCTGCAGCGTTCTGGTTGTGCCCAGAAACTCCCTGAACGTCTCGTCTCGTTCAGCACTTGGACAAACTGTTCGAACCACACACGTGCATTTTAACAATACATGCCTTGCGTAAAAGCGACGATATAGCCATTACTAACGCCAGTGGCGCACAGCAGCAGAAGGAACACGGAAGTCATTGCGAAGTAAACGATAAGGCGATAGACTAGCGGAACGCTGAGGATGTCCAAAAGTTAGTAGCTTTTATACTAGTCCAGCATGGCTAACGAAGAGATAAGAGAAGTACGCCATTGCATGCAGGCATTTTCAGGCGTTCAAAAATTGGGCCGTTGGTGGCTAAGAGATGTCAGTCAAAGAAGAAATATGACCTTCGAACGAATCCATTTCGCAGACCATCCGTACATTCTCAAGTGGATCATTGAAGGACGAACATGCCAGAGGGCCACTCGTATAGCCTCGAGCTACAGCCAAAGAGTGGGTCTATTAAAATTTCGAAGCGACGATGAAGGCATGGTGTCTCTTGCTTGATTCTTGGAGCGAGCAAACGCGGAACCCTTTGAAGGAGCACTCCAAGTTGGAGTCGCCCGAAGGCCTCGATCCAAGAAGGGGTATCGAACTCATAATCTTGATATCAAGTAGTAAAAAGTCAGATGTGGTACTAAAGAAAGCAGGTAATCGTAGAAGGCCTAGGGAAAGCTGCAAGAAAAGCTCGGGCCGTAGCGGGCCCCCGTGCAGTTAGTCACGGCTACTCCACTGCCAGTGCCACAACAAGGCTATGCAGCTCACGACGACCGTGACGACATCACTACGCCAGGGGCCATCGTCCCATGCAACCTCCAGATACAGAGGAATCCCTTCCTGAAGGCATCCCACTGAGAACGTCTCAGGCGCGCCCAAAACGATCCAAAGTACAGTCATACAACTCATGTCGGAAGCATAAAACACGATGCGAAATTCTGGATTCCAAATGCATCCTTCCACGATGTCATCGTTACAATGTTCTCAAGCTAGACTGCTCTCATGCCAATACGTCGAAAAAATCTGCTACTCCTCCCGAATCATCTCTTAGCTTAGATGCATCGGTGGATGCTATGTATGCTTTAGGAGTGGATACTAGGCAACTTGAGATAACCCCCCGTGCTGGTAAAGTGTCAGATACTGGTAGCGGAGCAACCGATAGCAAGATACCCGTAATCTGGTCTTTCGTTCGTCGGAACCTTGACTGGTCGGCACCCATTCTGGCAATGCAGGAGCTGGCCAGACAACCTTTGCAAGAAGAGTCGTCAATGCCTGTCATAGCAGTGAACGACCAGCTTCTGTCCAATATTCTCACACAATTAGAGATCGAGCATCTCCTTACTTTGTGCGTTCGCTCTATTCTCTCTGGAAGCGTTAACAATCCCCTCACGCAGATTTTCGGTCAATTATTCTCCTTGGCTAAACTTCCATTTAATCCAAGATGGACCTATACCATTTCTAAATCTCGTTTGTTGCACGGTTGCGTCGCGTCACCTCAGCCCCTCCACCCGATCCCTTGTTGCCCCTCGACTCCAAAAGTTGACTGAAGACACTATTGCTAGAGTGGCCTTCAATCCCCAAGAGTTCGAGTCTGAAGAGACCATACAAGGTCTCATCATCCTCTCACTGTGGATGCCTATCTGCGGTTCGGCAAAAGGGGGAGGTAGCGATGGTAGGATGTTGATAGGTATGGCTGTTACTATGGCCATGAACCTTCGATTAAATGAAGCCGTTGCTACTGCAAATAGTCTGAGAAATGAGCTGCAGGGCGAATGTGATCGAGAAGTCTTGGAGAAAGCTCTCAATAGTGCTAGACTGGTAAGTGTGCGATCGAACAGTGAAAGGCATTTCTCATTACAGACCGCAACTACAGTGGATGACACTGTCTACGACAGAATCCATGTTAGTATTTGTCATCCTACTCTAATTTTGGTTTATTAAAAGCGGAGGCGTCTCAGGTTGTGTGTTGGGACTAGCCGTACACCTCTATCCCGTCGGTCCGCCTTCGACTTGACGATATTCCCCGTGATATCGCCATCCAACACGTCCGATGGACGCGATTTGCGGATACGACTGCTCGCAGAAATATTCGATTCAACAGAACGGGGCTTAACAGTGCAGTTCGCAAGTCGTGCAGACATGGACACTTGGTTCACCGGAATAACAAACGCGCTCTCAGACATGGATAAGCTCTCAAGACTGATATCGCCGCTGTCAGGTGAATATCTCTTTTCATTTTCCAATCAGAGGTCATCATAGTACATTTCAGTGGTTTCGAATCACGACCGATTCTACTATCATATGTTTCACCTCCTCCTCCAATGTTGCCGGCTTCTAGTTCCTTACCACGCTATCGTCATAGCGAGGCATGTCGCCAGTTCGACGCAGAGATGGTTTTTAGAGATTCAACCACACGACCTCAACATCATCCCAATCTGGTCAAAGGAATGTATCTCTTTAGGGGAAGCTATCATGGTGTCACTTTTACAATCTAATAAAAATCTTCTTCCAACGGCGCCGGACGTCTTGTTCGCCATGATGGCATTTGCGGGAGGACTGATCGTCGGGGCCAAATTGTTAATGCTGGATAAGCACAGGACAGAGTTCCTCGGATGTGGAGATGCTTTGCTTGAGCAGAGTATACGGGCGCTGGGAGATGCATCGGTTGCCCCAGATCATGCTGCTGGGAGGTGTTCAGCGTTAATGGGTGCCATGTACGCTTCATGGGTGGGGAAGCGGAGGGGAGAGCCCGAGAAGGGGTTTCTGGCGGCGCCTTCTGAGCTTGCTGGGACAGGTCTTTTTCTTGGGACTGAGGCGGAAGGGAGAGGACTTGTCGATCAGAGTACGAATATGGATATCTTTCAGGACCTCGAATTTTGGTCTACTTTCTTTGGTGAGCAGATGGGAACGGAATCAACAGCGTACTTCTCTCAGGATGGTTTTACCGGGATGTATGTTTAGAGGTTGACTTGTATAAATATTATCTATCATCCATCCTCTTGTAGCTGTAGATATAGTTTGAGTTGCCCGCTCACTGTTGAATTTACCATTATCGTCCGAGTCCACGCGTGCAATTAACACATTGCGACGCGTTTTCACCTTAACTCCGTTCATATCTTTCAAAGTCGACGCGCTTATTGAAGTCCACCAATGGTAAAATTCTTCCATTCGGCATTTCGGTGACCGGCGTTGGACAGTTGTCAGTGGCAGACATCTTTTTTGAATATGCGTTACAGGCTGGGTTATATTTAATAAGATAGACGCCGTAGAGAGCTTTTCAAGAAATTTGTTCAGCTATTGAGGACCTGTCACTGCAGTAAGAGATTCAAAGCAAACAAAGGGCTCCGTCACTTGGTTCGGGCCGCTAATTCTGAATTCGCACGAGCGCTTCTCTTCGTTCGGTTCTCTCACTGTCATCGCTAGGTCTAGGCATATCAGAGAGGTCCGTAGCAAGTGTGAGTAGGTAAAAGGCCTCGACGTGCTGCAGTGATTCGTCAAGATTTGCCTTCTGACTAACATCGAAAAGCCTTGTAAATTTTTTTCGGAATCCTTCGTCTATTCAACTCATTGTCATTCAATCTGGAGTGTAGAACCCTTCCATGACATCTCGAGACTACTCCGTCGCCAATGCTCATCGTAGCCGACCTAGCCAGCCTTCAATGTCAAAGCAACCAACTATGAACTCGAAGAAAAAGGCTGTCTCGGAGAGCAAACCGTCCATCTCTCCGTCCTATCTGCCAACCCCCATGAGCACTCCGTCTTCCTCTCGTCCTGGATTTCCTGCGACACCAACTTCTTCTTTCAGAGGCGCGAATATCTTGACAAAGGCAGAGGTGGGTGATGCCTGGGATCAAATATGCCCAACATTTCCGACACCGCCGCGCACCCTCGGGCCAAAGACACAAGGGGCTTTGAGCTATGAATCGTCTTCTGCCAACCTTTTTGGCGTAAACGCGTCGATATTGGAATGGGACGAACCTAAATCAGCCACTGAAACGTCAGCCACTGGCGACGTCAAATATGTAAAACTCCCATCTTTATCCATTCCTCAGGTTCATCCTCCGACAGGTCTGCAGACACCCGTGAGCCCTACACGAAAAAGCAGCAGTCGATTTAGGCATCCGCGGCCGTCACCATCAGCGACTCCTTCTCCTTCTCCTTCCCAACGTAGAGTAACGGCTCCGGCTGCGACACCACCTTCAAATAGGCCTGCACAAGTGAAGAAACCCGAGCCTGAGCCACAATCAGTTCCAATCCCGACTGAGTGGATACCGCGTACCGCGCCATTCCGCCCTGATTGGAGCATAGACCTTAAGCTCCATCAAGAGATATCTCGTCTATGGATGAAAAAGTGCGAGAACAAGTACGGTGGCGGAATCTTGGCCGACGACATGGGGTACGGGTTCAACGTCTTCTCTTCTTTTGACTTGCCAAAAATTTTTGTTTTAGATTCGGAAAGACACTCCAAGTTCTAGTAAGGATCATCGATAACATGATGGATGCCAAAGCGGAATACAAGGGCCCGACACTGTATGTTCTTCTCTCTCTGATGAGGGCTTTAACCTCATCGACAATGTCAGTGTTGTATGCCCTGCATCTGTGATGCTTGTATGGGAACTAGAGTGTCACCGTATAAAGGGTTCTAGAGAGCTAAACTACTATCTTTATCATGGAAGTAATAGAGAGCAAGGTACTGTCGTCCGCCGTCTCAGAGCAAACCCACGTTTGGTGGCTTACTAACAATCAAGATCCCTACAAGCTAAAGACTTACGACGTTGTGATCACTTCGTACGACACCCTGGGATCAGAATATGTGAAATTCTGTAAAGAAGAAGGAGGAAAGGGTCAGAAGAAGTACACCGTCGTTGACAAAGCGACGACCGGACCTTATGCAGTGTATTGGCATAGGCTTGTTCTAGGTGCGTATTCAATGTTCGTTTCGGTTTCCTATATGCTATATCTGACAGTTTTGCATATTAGACGAGGCACAGATGATCCATAACAAAGAAACAAGAAGATATCTCTCATGTTATGAGCTTTCCTGTGGCTATGTCTGGGCAGTAACAGGCACTCCTGTGTAAATCACTTCCTCCCGACCTCCATGGAATGCGCTCAAGGTCTTCTTACAGACAAAACAGGCTGCAGGACATATATTCTCTCCTCAGCCTGTTACCACCATCAAAGACTCAAGCCCCACATCTTCCTCCCGGACTTGCTCGCGGAGTGATTATACCACCAGGTTTTAAAGAGGAACTTCATGTAAGCCTTACAAGATAATGATCTAGCGTAATTTATCATCCTTTCAGGCCTACTTGTACAAAATCATGCTACGGCGGACGAAGAAAGACCCGTACTTGTGGGTCGAGCTTCCCCCCATCGAGATCTTCACCGTCGAGTGCTCGTTCAGCAGTGCCGAACAACAGTTATACAATGCTGTGGAGGAGCGAAAGGGTAATTTCATGGTCTGGGGTAAATACGTACAACCGATCACTTGTCCTTTGACCAAATTGCTCCGGTTACTTCAAGGTATGTCCACCTCGCATTCTGGCCTACTTCTTGTTTGCAGAGTTTGATTTCTGTTACCTCACAGCTTGCACCCACCCCGAAACGCTCTGTAAAGATCATGTAGAAGAGAAGAACGAAGACAACAAATTGGGCGAAGATGGCATTTCTGTTGACGGTGTCCAAGATGATATCAACCCGGTTGATGTGAACCAGCTAGTTGGAAACGACGCGTATGTACGGCGGCTCATATATCATCTCCCAACTCTGATGTCCTTTCTGCGTCAGCTACGAAGCATCCCGTCGAGAAACTCTCCGAAGCCACAAGCGCTCCGAGCCTGAGGTGCTGGACATCCCTCCCATCGAACCGTACCCCATCAAGGTTGTCAAGATGCTCAAGATCCTATGTAAGATACGCCAGCGAAGCAGACAGACGAAAATCAAAGAGAAGACAATCGTGTTCTCGCAATGGACGGGTGTGCTCGATCGGCTCAAGCCTGTTCTTGATAGGCACCGTTTCAAGACCATCATGTGTGAGCGTTGAACACTTCTTTAGTGGGCCCGCGTTCTGATTGAGTTGTAGACGATGGGCGGATGAACAAAGCAGCTAAGGACTTTGCTATTGAAGAGATCACCGCGCCGGAATATGCTGCCGATGTGATGCTGGTATCGCTCAAGGCCGGTGGGACGGGTATGTGCTTCCGTTTCTCTATTCTAGGAATTTTGGTAACGATAATGTCCCAGGTCTGAATTTGGTTGCATGTAACAACGTCATCTTCATGGACCTCTGGTGGAATCCAGCTGTCGAGGTCTGCTAATATCCTGCTTACTCCGCCACCTCCATAATTGACGGGCTCCTAGGAACAAGCTTTCAATCGGGTGCACCGTATGGGCCAGACAAAGTCCGTCCAGGTGTACAAACTCGTCGTTCCTCATACGATCGAGGACGCCGTTATTCGGGTATGCTCCTTCCAATCTGCAGACTTGATGGATATTTCACTTACTGAGTTTTGATAGATGCAAGAAAAGAAGACGGAGCTTGCTAACAATGTTCTTGCGATTGCGGATGAGTTGAATAAGAATCTGCTGCATGGCTTGTGGGGTTTCAATGAGGAAAATTCAGTGTAGCTATATATGTTTCTGTAACTTTCTTGGTTCCGAGTGTCGGTCGTCATGATTCTGTGTAGCATAGTGTATGTTAAAGTTGTAAGACGGTTAAGCTACTAAGTACGTTGTAGCGCTTCGCCCGATATGAAAGGATAAGAAATATTTGTCACGAATACCAGCATGAGGATCCTGAGGATCTGTACCTCCACCGCGTCTTAGTAGTTAGCTTACTTGCTGCGGTTAATCAAGTGCTGAAAACAAAAAAAAAAAAATGAATACCAGCATCTGCCAGGCCTCACGAGAAATTTAGTAACCTGTGGTGTATGGTGTGACCATGTAGTCTTCTTGACCATACATTTATCAAGTCTGCGTGTGATTGAAACAAACTCTGCTACTGTGTGCGCTGATCGACGGCACCGGCGGCCCGAGCGAAGCCAGGTTGAAGTTGAAGTTGCTGTCGATTTACTTTCTGTCCAGCAAAGACCTTCAGTATCTGAGTCTTGGTATCTGCAGCTTTCAGTTTCAGTTTTTAACCTTCCTTGTGCCTTGTGGGTTTCTTCCAAGCTGCCAGCAGGCTTAGGCTGACTGATATTGGCTCTGCAGCGTCACTTGATTCGTCGGCAAACATTGCCGTCCTTTATCTAGCAATTCTGTCCATCAGTAGAGACAGTTATGAACTTATATATACATCTCTCGCACAGCGAAGAGAGGTACTATAGCCAAGTGGTTAAGGCGACAGATTAGAATCTAGGTTCATCTGTTACTCTCTGAGTGCGCAGGTTCAAATCCTGCTGGTGTCGTTACCTTGAGGACGAAGTTATAATTTTACGACTGAGGGCGACGTTTTGACACAGTAATATATATGCACAATCACATGAGTCATATTTTTTCTAGTATCTTTAAATTTTTGTTTGTCTCATGAGCTGCAATGCACCTACAAGTATTGCATATCTATTAATGTACTTTGTAAATAGAAGATATACACAGTAGTTACTGTAGTATTGAATTTATGAATGCTGACCAGCCATAGGATAAATAAGTTAAATTGGTGAAAATCCCTTTCATAAGGGGGGTAAGTTAAAACTCAGTTCAAATGATTGATGAGAATAAGTATATTGAAGAGGACTCAACCAAGGAAACCCTGGAGAATTAATAGTAGTTTCATTTCAGAGTGCAGTATCCCTTCTGATGATACACACATGATATGCACACCAAATGCCCACCTTTCATAAAGGTGAGCATGCACAGGAAAAGATACAGCTGGATCCTAAAGATGGGAAGCAAGATAGCCATAAAAAATGTGTTTTGAGGTGCAGGTTGAGTGAGGTTAATATCCTGCATGTCGAGATTTTCGTTAACCGAAACAAATAGAAAAGTAAGAACAATGGATCATGGCGATTAGTAATTCCAAGTCAAATTGCCTACGGAATTTGATACAGCCATGAACAACAACAAGAAAAGAACCAGAAGAACGCAATTAAACACCACACAGTCATAACATATACACCGAAATTTGTAGAAGAGATCCCATTTCATTGGTGCCGATGATGAACAGCCTTGAACAGACAATGTCATAAAAATTTCTACAGTCTTACCTCTGCTCAACAAATTATGGACGTATCTTGTGTAGCACCGTGATCGTAACAGTATCTGATTCATCATTCAATGTTTGGAGGCGAAATACCAACAAAAGAAGACGTTGCAAATTGCACTGCCAAAAAAGGACGCGCGTGTGTATTGCCACACGACCACGTGCCCTCGACAGGTTCACTTTGATCAACCATTGTCCTTTTCTGGACAGACAAAACTGCACCAAAATGGTTGTCGCTGCATTCTTTCTTGGCGCCATGTCAGTTTCTGACCTTACTGGTGCTCGTTCTACGTCTTTGGCAGACCCCAATCCCCCGCCTAATGTCCCCTTCACGCCCAAGAATGGTGCACCATCCACTTCTGCTAACGACGACGAGACCAAACTGAAAACGACCCCGTACAATTTCGGCGCTGCGAGCCACCGCGCTTTCCATATGAAATACGAGCGCAAGGACTACGACAACTTCATCAGGGAAGATCTTGAATTGCGCGTATTCATTCCCTCCGATGACTTTCTTCATGTCATCCTTCACCTTCCCCAGGATTGGAGACAGGATTCCACCATTTCTGCTCTCATTAACAAGGTGAAAGTAGATGAACAGTGGAAGGCACTGTGGAATGACTATAAGGCTGAATGCAGGATGAAGGACAAAACGAATTTGTATCACCCGCACAACAGTTTATGCAATAGGGTGCTCGCTTTGATCAAGGATGACTCATGCTCAGGGCCTAATATTGGTTTCTACCGACAGGACCCCCAGCCTATCAAATGGAGTAATACTGACCTTAAACCAGATGCAATTACTCTCCTGCTGTCTCTATTCAGCAGCTCCAAGAACAACATCGAAGACATCAAAACTGAGAGCCCAAAGAACAATATTGGGTGGCCACAGCTTTTGCAGTGGCTTGAATTCAAATTAAGCTTTACTACCTTGGATAATGGTCGGTACGCCACTCGAGCCCTCACTGCAGGCAAGTTTTTGCGTTTCTCTGACATATAGAATTTTTCTGATGCGTTACTCATCAGACAAAAAGGATCCGATGGGAAAGCCATATATGCTACCCAGGGATCCGGAGGGTGTCGGCGTGGTGGCGGGACAGAAACGTAAATCCGACGTGGCCCCACGAGACTCGCCATCTGGAAAAATGGTTTCCTGAATGTCGAAGAAGCAAGATGCGGCTGCAAGGAGCCGAATGCAGGAGGAGGCTGAGTCCGAGCGTCTGCGCGAAATATGGAAAGGCAAGGATGATAAGAACAAGGAGGACCCGCAACTACAGTGTGCGTGCTATGCAATGGAGGTGTTGTCTAGTACTGGGTTCAGAACGCACAGCATCGGTGCCTTGATTGGCGGTACTCACCTTCAGATGCTCTACTATGATCGCTCCTCAATCATCGTATCGCAAGAAATCGACATGGATAATGATCCAGATTCTTTCATTGCTATGCTGATCGGATTGCACGGGCTCACACTCGAAAAGAACGGCATCCACAGTTTCATTGTAGATCCGTTCCTTAGCGACTACGCAGAGTACACAAAGGAGCATCAGGATGACACCGCGACGCTGTTCGAAGGGAGGAAGCTGACGCTGAAGAAGTCGGACGGTACTCCCGTGGTCTTGACGCTTGGAAAGATCATCTTCCGACAGCCTGGAGTTATTGGTCGGGATACATGCGTCGTCGAGGCGACGGCTGAAGGTTACGAAGAGTGGAAGGGGATGGAGACGATCGTCAAAATTAGCTGGCAAGCTAAATCGCGTCCCTCGGAGAAGGATTTCATGAACGACGTGAAGAATGCTGTGGAGACGATGTCCAAAGACGGTGCACCACGTCATTGGGTTGCCGACCATCTTCCCAATATTCTATTGTCCCAGGACTTCGAGATGGCGGAAGATTCGCCACAGGCGAGACTCAAGGAGTACTTTGACGCTGTCAGCTATGCAGATGGAGGTTCATTTAATTATGAGGAGCGGGTGTGCCGTATCATGGTGGAGGAGAGGCTTTATTCAATTACGAGTCTCCGCGAGCCTCGCCAGTATGCTCAAGGAATATTTGATATATTACAAGGTCTGTCTTTCCTACCATCTGATATCATCCAGCTTGTTAAATTCGACATGGTTGTAGTCCACAAATGGGTATATGACCACGCGAAAATCATGCACCAGGATATCAGCATGACGAACCTTATGTGGCGGAAGAGAAACGGCGTCATTTGCGGGATCTTGAGCGACTTCGATTTGTCTTCCTACCGCGATCGTGAAAGTGCGTCGGCTCTACGTCGCACAGGAACGGGACCGTACTACGCATGCGATCTCCTTAAGGAAGATCCGCCTGTCCATAGCTATCGACATGACGTTGAGTCTATCTTTAATGGCCTTGTCCTTCTTTGCTGTCGCTATGAGATCCAAGCGACTCCAGCTCCAGAAGGCAAAGACCAGCTTGTGCATGTACCGGCCCTTCCATTTGAAAGCTGGTACGATATGTCATACTCACAGCTTTACATGCAGAAATTTGGTTTCTTCATTATGGCCCAAGACCCTGACAAACTTCTCCCAATTTCTATCAGCTTCTCTGATTTCAAACCCTGGCTCAGTATGTGCTATCATCTGATCAAGCAAGGCTTTTCCGCCAGAAACCGCTACCTCTGGCCTGTGCACAGCAGTCCAAATGATCTGCTTGCTCAATCCAAATCTCCCAGAATATCAGAATCAGCAGCCACGGTCCCCAAAAAGTTCAACAACGCAACCCTAGGAGGTTTTGTTGACTATTCGACATTCTTTACGGTGATGCGCACATTTGCCGCCCAACCTCTAATCATCAAATATGATCCAAATGTGACGCAAGCACAGTCTCAGATTTGACGCTGCGAGGGATCTTGAAGAGAAGATGTAGAATTTTGGTTGCAACAAGCAGCAAGCAGCAAGTGCTAACTAGTACAGTGTTATGTATAATAATGTCTCCCCAGTCAGACCAAGGCAACCAGTAGTAATAATTTGAAAGAATCCCACAACAAAGAAAGAAGTAAAAGCTGCAGATGATAGGAGCTGTTTCGATTACAAACCAATTTCACTGTAGTCACTGATCCGACCTGCTACCCGCCTCTCTTCCAATACGGGTTTGGCCTCACTTATCAGTGGCTTCTTGACTATGCGCTTCAGCACAACCTCATGGAGGTACCAGAAAACCCGGAGAATGACGATCCTGAAGACATCAGAGGGGGACTCATCGTAGACGCCTTAATTTGGTGTAACGCAACATCTCCAATGTGTCTGTCGCCTACCACTCACATTCCTGAATCCTATCTTGCTGGACTACACTGCTACCTGAGGACATGTATGATTTATCATATCTAAACACAATTGCCACATCCACATCTTCATGCATTCACTGGTCAATCTCCCAAATTGACACCGCCCGACCGTCAAATCATGTTGGAAAATACAGTAAAGCACAGTTCGGGGCGAACTTCCAGAAATTGGAATCAATGCACCAGAAACAAGCCCTTGCATGTAAGACAAACTTCAATGACACAAAATGCCACTCCCGAAAGGTATATAAGCCCTTACATGGCCCTTGTCTTTCCTCAGTCTGCCTCCACAATGTCGTCTTCCAAATTCGGCCACAGTCTCAGCTACAACATCAAGTCACTTATTTCAAAACCGCAGCCACTCTCCCCTCAGTATCTCTCACCCGACGTTCCCAAAGTCCGCGTACGATGCATGCACCCCGACTGCGACGCCGTGCTAGACTCTCTCAATGCCACCATTGGCCACTTTGACAGAAACCACTGCGTCCCCATGCCGCCTTTTGTTCGGTGCCCTTACTTTGGATGCGGTGTAGTCACGCGGATGCCTGGCCATCTGAGAGCGCACTTTAAGGAGACGAAGCATCTCCCCGAGACGACGTTCTGATGTAATCGATGTGGGAGGGTTTTTGAAAGACGCGATCAGCTGAACAAGCATGCGCAGGCAATGAAAGGGAAATGCCAAGATGACAAGGACTCGTTCAAGGAGGAAGAGGAGTTTTAGGACTGTAATTATTCTGTTGAACTTTGTAAAATGTTGCTATTTTCTGGTGGGTGTGAAAAACAACATAAAACTAACGCTCGTCTCGTCAAATTGACGCTGTCCAATGGCTGGTCTCTTAGTAAGGAGGGACTTTGTTACGATCGCATGATGGACGTTGAATGTCGAACGAATCTTCAGTCCCTAGTTTAAGATTTAGTAGCCTTTAAGGGCATTCTGATGGAATCAGAGAATTGGATAGCCATACCTTGATTTTGGTACAGAGCTATGGTAGAAACGACTTCTGGAGAGAAGTCGTGGGAGAGCAGTGAACGCGAGTGTTTAACTTGAAAGAGCAAAGAGGGAGATAATTCTATTGGGAAACTCCAAATGAAGTGATGCGGTTTCAATTCTTCTCTGGCGGGGTAGACGATAACTGACAGAGCATGGATAAATAATGAAAGTCCATTAGCATATAATACAAAAACGTACCTGAGACCAGTGTGCGTCGTTATCTGACTCGTAACTCGCAATAGGTTTGCTAATGAGAAAGTGCGAGCTAATACAATACTGCAACAGTCGCTCCTAGGCCAGGATTGCGAGCCTCAAGAACCCTCGGCGCGCCCTGCTAACGCTGAAGACTCGGAGACAGAAGCCAGAACACTCGAATACAAGCACTCAAGATATGAGGCCTGTCCGATACTCCCTATATCATTCATTCTTTTGTCGTTGGTCGGTGTTCGCACGAACAAGTACCTGTTATTATGAAAAACTATGGTTCAAGTGTATTTGAGTATTTGAGCACGAGATTGCGCGGGCCACTACATCCGGGGTGGTCCGATTTCTCAACGGGTTTATTACTGGCTGGCGGGGATACATATCAATGCTCGATTCTTTATCAGCAACACGATAACATTTTGTTCCCCGCTATCACCTACATCACAGTCCATGACAGATAAAATAGTTGAACGGATTCATGGAGCTGAATTATCACTGTCATGACGTATAAATAAATATATACGGAGTCAATGGATGGTATCAATAACCTTGACGACATAATGAAAACCTCCGAAGATGTGGTAGGTCAATTACTTTGATCAAGGTTCGCCCAACATTGATGGAGAAATCGACGTACTCCAGCTGAAGAAAGAAAAAAATACCTTCATCGGCTCGCACCAGATCCAACATGGTTATTCAGCTTTAAAACACCGAATCGTTAGCGGTGAAGCAATGATCACCAGAAACGGGAGATGATCATCCGAGTTGGAATGACGAGTAACGGATCCAACCCCACATATAACACGAGAAAGGTACAGTATACGCGCGATTCGCATGGGGCCGACCGTCGTCCGCCCGAGAAGAAAGATAAAGAACTGTCCAATCAGGCAAACCGTGTAGTAAGATAGAGCTTCTTCGCGAGTTCTATTCATGGCAGCGGTGATATCTTCAGCACTGAACAGAGCTATCACCGCATGAGTATCCCGATTTTGGTAGAACAGCGACCGCATCCAAGTCCTGTAGGTGAACTGAAACATTTTGATTGTATTCCCGAAGTCCTGGATCTGAACGTTAACGTAGACCGCGAACACCGTCAGAGATTCAGATAAGATGATGAAGGCGCTGAATTCTCACTGTCACTATGTAGTCTTTAGAGATACCGAGTCAATGGATGATATCAGTACTCACGAAGCCCCGTCGACATAATGAAAAACCCGGATCAGAATGTGACATTGTAGCAGCTTCTCCCAGGCCAAGGAGGGAAAGAGAACTGTCGAGATGACGAGGTAGCAGATCAAACCTTACACGGACTTGGAACGCGAAAAAGGTACGCAAAGACTTGCACGTTGCCGACCGTCGTCCGCCCGAGAAAAGAAAAGATGGGAACTCCCAAGATAGAATAACAGCGCAAAAGAGTCTTATTCAACAAATCAGCGCTTCATCATTGGTACTGAACGGAGACACGGAGACACATCCGTATTGATATGTAGAGAGCACATTGACCAGCACTTCGATGCGGCTTCCTCCGCCAAGATCATCATCCCGATTGCACTCGCGAGTTCGCAACGCTAACTATCTGATCCCCTAGCCACGAATTATATGTAAGCCGGAGATGACTCGGACGGGAATTCTCAGCTCTGATATCATGATTAAGCAGCTTGAACGACGGATCAGCAAACGATGATGATGTGGATATGAGATTCCGAGTCGAAGACTAGACACATGCTCCTCTAATCTAGTCAGACCGTTACCAGTACAGAAAGGCGAACCTTAACGGAGGGCTGATCCTATCAAAAAGGCGGCGGCGCATCCCAAGATTAAGGAACAAAGAGATGAAGAACGTTCGTTCTCCCCAGTTTCCCAGATAAAGCATTTCCAAGATTCATGCGGGTTAGGCATGTATGCAACGAGGTCAAGATCCGACAAAGAGCGCAGCATGGGGTGAGGTACGTCCAACTATCTACAATGCTGGATGGAGCAAGGCAGGTGAAAGGCAAGCTTGATACGACCTCAAAGTCATGCTTGCCTGTTTCGGTTTCGGTTTGAGTTGCCGAACTGAGAATTTTGATTCACAATCCCGCCGGCTTAGGTTGCCAGCAAGACACACGTCGGCGGAGTCGGATACGAGCCTTTAAATTGACATGGTAACCGCTCAAGGGGCTGGTGAAATAATCTTTTTTTTTTCCCGGCAAAAGAGAGGAGGCGGAATTGGAGGCGGAAAATGGGCGGTCCGCCGTGGAGCGGAAGGCGGATAAAAAGTTCACATGGGACACGCCCGCCTGCACATGAAAAGGCGCATGGTCTTTACGGCGACACGGGGTCGATGGGAGCGACAACGGATTTGATAGTTACGAGATATTCATATTATGATTCTATAGATAGCCAAGAGCGCCCGGTTCGTTTCAATACGAGTCATCAGCATCTTGATACTGATTTCGTTCAACTGAATGAAGGAAATACCGCTTAATACCCAAACGGATATGTATTACAATAGTTTGGTAGTTAGAAGGATATATGTGCAGGTAACATTACAGAAGTGAGAAAACAATGGCAACATAGATAGATAGATAGATACCCGAAAATGTGATGCATGTAGAAATACAGATGAATATTCCAAGAAGCCCCATAACCCAGATAATGCGCGACGAAGAGAGAGAAAGGAAAATCGAATGCTTGGCAGCGGATGTAGCGTGGAGGATGAAGGCTAGGCTACGCGCCGCAGTGAATCATCTCCCAGTCGTCGCCTCTCGACACATTGACCCACGGTTCGGCCATCGAGTCACCCATGATAACATCATCGTCTGCAGCCCGTTTCTCAAACGAGTCCATCCCCCCCTCGGTCACAATTCGCTCAAGCTCGCGCGTGGCATTGGCAATGCTCATCGCGATCCGCGGCCCCATGTTCAGCACCTTCTGGCCCTCGGACGTTGACCGCATACATGTCTGTATGGCTATTCGGTGCAGGTCCGGCTCCGCTTTTCCTTTTCGCGGACGAGAAAAGGGTGAGGAGCACGAAGAGGTGCGCGAAGAGGGGGAGAGAGGAGAGGAGACGCGTGGCGCTGAGGAATACGTGGCATGGGAAATGGTGGCGCTAGAGCCTGACGACGTCGACGCGACTGGAGCAGGCGGCGCTGGGCGCGCTTGCCTCTGGCGAGTGTTGTAGGGGTCGGTAATAGGAGCGAGGCTCAGGGCCATCGACGCCTCGAGACAGGCCCGAAAGTCGCCGCCTGCTGGTGGTGGGGCCATGCTGAGTTTCCGTCCTCGACATCTGCCCCGTGTAGGTGGCGTCATGTAAATCGACTGCTGCGGCTGGTTGGGCAGGTCCGTGAGAGAAAGGTAAGAATGGGTTCTCCTTAGGCCGGACATGTTTCGCTGCTTCTTGTGAGGTGGCTCGCCTTCAAAGATGGTGGTGGTGGTAGTGGAAGACGAAGGATAAAGGCGCTTGGTAGAGGTGGGAAGCTCGGCAGTGGTGGTGGTGGTGGCGGTGGAAGTGAAAGAGTACAAGGGCGTGGACATCAAAGTGAAAAGGCCGTCCCGTCCATGACATTTATAGCCGTTTCTAATTTTCCACGCTTGCTGTTATCCCGGATGACATAATCCGGGAACTTCCTTGTATCCAGATCGATCTAAGATGCATCTCCTTTGTTCTCCTCCGTTCTTTTTGTTCCGGTTCTCTATTCGCTTAACGTCAGCGCTTGTTCACCATATGGATACATCTTTGTGAAATGAATGATTCAAGACATCCGCTGGTCCTCATTTCTAGGTACTGCGTGGCACTTGACGATATCGCCACGATGGGGGGGGGGGATATCTATAGAACTATAGAATTCCGGTACCCATGGACTCGGTGAAGTAATACGGACGGACTCTGTGGGAGCGCTCGTCTCTTCAACGCCTCATGCACAGTCCGGACCAACAGGCCCTCCCGCTCTGCATTATACGGTGCTCCGGCTACTCCAACCCGGGACCATATGCTCCGTCTCCATGATATCGGAAAATGATTCCTGGCTCTACTGCATGATCATCGCTGCGATGCTGTTGTCGACGAAACGGAACTTATACACAGCAAGCACCGCCACCATCTAGACGCTACTTGGATTAGTCCGAGCTCAAGTCCCAACAATCACCCTCTATCCTCTTGATCAGGACCTTGGCTCTCGCCGTTCTATCTACTCTGGCCTCTTTCCGCCTGTTCTGTCCCAGGTACGTTCAACAGGAACTGGCATCAACAGGAACTGGCATCAACAAACTGGTCTCGTTGAAACACGCTAATAATGACCCTCCCCCAAGTTCCACCCGTTCCTGTATTTGACTTCTCGCCGCGGTATCTACTTTGACCTCCGGCACTTCACCCCAAGGAAATAGAATAGGATATCAATCAACTGTTATCGACGAAACGTGTTCATTGCAAGTTGCAAGATATGACTCCTTGATTATCGTAATGATCAAGCACACAATGGAAACGCTTCATCATCAGTATGGACATGTTTTCCTTTCAGTGCTGATAATCACGCGCATCTCGCTTAGCTATGTTTCGTTAGCTGCACGCACTTGCTGCCATGGAAACTACTAGAACATCCTAGAAATGTATCGACTGCCTTCGATAATGGCTATGAGACACTTGCTTGCAATCTCTTCAGGCTACCAGCCAAGCACACCAACTCAGGAACGTAGAATAGGAAGTGTTATCCAGAGTACGCCAATCCTCGACGCGATTATCGGAATGATCTGCGCGAACCATGGAAAACTCTGGTGTCGATCATTTCTACTTGTTTTCGCCCGATAATCAATGCACACTCGCCCCGTTAGGCTTGGTTGGAAAATTTTGCCCGGCAACCATGGAAACGTGTTTACTTCGTGGTCTTGCTAGAGACGCCCCACCGAGCCATTTAGGACACGCGGAAGACCATTACACTTTAGCTGAACAACAGATTTTAGGTCCCTGACGGCTTGACTCCAGAACCAGGCGCTGTGTTCGCCATATGCGGCTTTGTTCGTTCCTACAACCTCGACCTTCATCTGTTGTCTCAATAATCATGAGCAGCTTTCTCTTATTGACGTCTGGTACCTAATAGCCCCCCTTCATTTCCTTCAGTGACCGGGGCCGGGAACGATGCTACTGTTCTCATGCTCAGCAGCCTCCTCTACATTTTCCTAATTCAGGTTAGTAATTGTTTCCCTTTCTCATGTACTTCCCCCGGGCTAAGCACCTTCCTGATACGATCGATTCTTTCGAGTAGTTTCCCAGACTTTTGCTGTCCCTGATTAGTGGCCTGCCTGCCTTCCTACGACGGGGCCGGCTCGTTGGGATTCGGGAAGACAAGGAAAGACACCCGCGGTCCCGTATATTTTCCTGATCCGGCTGTGTTGGTTCGGGTGTTTCCCCACACCGTACCTCATTGCACGAGTTTGGTCTTGCGGGTCCGCGTGTTTTCCTGTCAATGTCATGGTTCTAGAACACCGCCCCGGGAATCACTCCCAAGTCCTCGAGACGGTGACAATAAATTACCTCTTTTCAAATCTTCCTGGCTGGAACATGTCAGGACGCAGGCAAATTACCCTCTAGTCCTCGAGACGGCCCGACTTTCTTCCTCTGTTACTGTGCTGGAACATGTCGTTGTCAGACCACATTAGCATTTTGCTCTCGGACGTACGTCCATTTCATGGTAGACGCGTTTCATCGAGGAACGAAGGTCCTGGAACAATCGAGGAACAATTGGACAGTTCATATCCGTTAGCCTTTCTCTCGTGCTACCTGATCCGAGTCTACCTCATTCGGCGGTGTCTTGATTATTCTTGTGGGCGTACTGTACCTTGTTGCCGAGTCTGCATTCCCCACCTTCAAGCCACGACGTCGATTTCCTCATCTGGCCCTGTTAGTGCTTTCCCTTTCCTCTGCATTGTTACGACACCAGTTGAGTCTTGTTCGCATATCACTCCGGATATTATTTGACTTCGTTCTAGAATACCGTGTCAAATTTGGATTCGGAACTCGAAGACAACTCAAACTTCGCTTTTCTGGTTTCAGTAAATTCATTCCGTGGCTGGATTCCATATCGCGCCACGAATACTTGTCCTCTTTTGTTGAAGAATCATCATCGTACCTGACTTTAGGGTCCGGATTGCAATTAAATCATAGCGCATCTGCCCGTATGTCCAGTCCTTCGGACGGTTCCGCGTCTAATTTATCCTCTTAAAAAAAAACACGATCGCGAGCCTTCTCTCCATACACATGACCATTTCCCGAGAAAAACCTTGGTTAATCGGAACGTTTAGGCCAGGGTGGCCCCAACGTTCGACAGTTCGCTCCAAGGGCTCGACACTAGCGTCGCACTTTCCCGAATTTCCTCGGTCCTCCGAGAATATCCGACCTTCATTTTGTTCCTTTCACCCCTGGACGAAATAAAACCTAGGAGGCGTTCAACGGAATTCACCGAGCTGCAGAAACAACACGAACCCTTCATGACGCTCCGTGCGTATTGATGCGCCACCGTTTCTCTTACCCCACTCATCCCCATCCCTGATCTTCGATTCACGCCGACTCCTACTTCTTTTCTTGATCCGGAAAGACAATAAGTCGCATGGACGCTGAGGAAGAAAAACTTCACCTTCTTAATTTTCCTTCAGCGTGGTTCGAAGATGCTTGGACGTCCACCTGCTTGGTGTTTCCTGGATTGCGTGATGCAACCCTGGCAACAAGCCTTGGCTTGACGTCCGATACGGTCGACTATCAGGCTTATTCCCTGCGACGAACAGCATCGTTAACGAACAATTTTCCAGTCGTTACTACATTTATCAGATCACGATCCTCTCGATGTCATGGTGACGAAGGGGTCAGGGAGGGGTCAGCTAAAGGGTCGTTGTTGGATGCTTCACCCTTTGAGTCTATCAGATGACACCCGAAATTACGGACTAGTCTGCCGTTCGACGTCTCCGCAGCCACTTTTTCATGATGCTTCATCCGATTCTGAACTTCTATTAATTGTAGGTCAGAAATGCCATCTTTCTTTTTTATTCCTCTTTAAAGCTCCTAAATTAGCATTGATCGCGACGCCGTCGTTAATATCCCTGCGTCTTGTGTTCACCTCCACCTGTCTTATCCTTATATAAATTACTACGAAGCCTACTCGGCAATTCCCATCCCCCTTTGACATACATCTCAATAACGACATGATTTACTTGCGCGCTTATCGCGTCTCCACTTATCTTTGCGACTCTCATAATCAGCGCTGTCACTCGGTTGCTGATATTAATCTGCCGTACAGTGAATCTCAACCTTTTGATATCCATCTGTCGCTGCGCCTTGAATTAATAAGTCGGGTAACGCAACGACGAACCTCCGGATTCTCTGAGCACCTCGTGGCAGTTCAACACATGCGTAGCCCATGATGTATGATGCATGAGCGCATGAGCGCACGAAGTTCTGAACACTGATTTCAAACACCGCATCTGAAATTATGACGCATAGTAAACTTCGAAAAAGACATCAGTGGCTGTGTCTCACTTCTTTGTTTCTTCTCAAATTTCCTCATGCGAACATTGAAGTCTTCGACATTAATGATCTCAACATTGAGAAGCCTGAAAAGTCGGACCAGACTCGTAATGGGCATACGCCACTGCTGCTTGCTTTTGTCTGTCGCTCTCTTGTCCTTCCTTTTTTGCTGCTTCTCATCTGTTATCCTTTTTGTGAGAGCCATCTGAAGCTAGTATCTGTTCCGTATGCGACTCGGTTATATACTATGCTCTCGCGTATGCAGAACAAGGCGCCACAGGAGAGAAATCTCCTTATCGATCACTCCGAGCCCCAATAAAGGCCTTCTTGTACTTCCTTGAGATGTCGGTGCCATACTTCCCAAGAACACCACAAGATAAATGTAACGATAGCTTTTACGTCTATCCTGGAACGAAAAACGTTCGCCGCTACCTACCTACGTGGCCTTGGACTTGCCAACGAAATCCGCTGATAAGGAGATATCGAGACTAGGCCAGAGTCACCTGTCCTCCAGATGTCAATCACAAAATAATACAATACTATGTGGCTGGCATCAGCGAAGTCCTGAAGGACTACCGCTTCTATCTTCTGTGGAATAATCGCGCGCGTATTACCAATACTGGTACTCAATTGTCGTCTCATCATGGTCACTTGTTGACCCGACGACTCGGAACTGCTTGAAGTTGATGGTACTCAGAGCACCCATTCCAGTCAGCACAGGCTTATCTATGGTTCCGAGCAATCAGTTCTAGCACTAGCTGGAACTTCGCTTACAGGCTGATGGTCTTACGACTAACAATCGCCAACTTCAAGTTAGCCCTAATGCTTTCCTCCTCACATTTTCTAGAATGTGCGCCGCTTCCGATGGGACGTCCATGTCATTTCCTTCTGACTGTATTACACTACGCTCGTTCGTGGTGCCTTTTCGCATGGAACTGCGAATCTGCCAATGTGGTTATAGGGTGCGGTGATATCTCCGGCCTGTACTGGAGATATCAAACACTGATTTGGCGAATAGAAGTCTTACGCCGCTAGAGAAGTCTGGCCCTGCTATGTGTCCTGTGTGATTGGCTAGCTTTATTCTCGTAACTAAATAACCCTTGGCACATGCCAGCCTTGAAGGACCTGCATGCAAGACCGTATGGTGTTGATCCTTTACAACCCTTCATCATCTTGTCTCTGGTGATCATCGCTCGTTCTGGTGTTTTCGAAAGTCCTGGTCGTATACACATGTACATTTTGCGCCTTCCATGGTCCGTAATCCGGTGAGCTGGGTCAACTTCTGAATCTCGGAGGAGCTCATCACCCCTCTGCATCGTCGTCCGGGGGACGGGGGAGAGGGGACTAATCGTGCCGTTAATCTTTCATGAGGATCAGCATAGCATCACTTACCAACTTCATGTATCCTCATGGATTTAATCCCAAGGTAATATCGATGTTACATACGATGGGAATGGGTCTATCTCTCGTTGTATTCCAGGACCATCATCAGCCAACCTAGGTACAGCAAACTTGAGTGATCATGATACATCTTTGATAGATGATATCGGCAAGGATTACTCACGCATGACTTGAAAGCGGTATCGAACGTTGATATGTGCTCACATCAATAGTCAGCTATCTATTCTGACGATGAACGGAACGGGTCTTTTCGACTCGTTGAGCTGAGCGTACCCTAATCATTCAGGAGGTAGCAAAAAAGGATCTCGTAAGTATGTCGTTGGTCGTGATGCGAAGCTCGTCAGGGCATTTACCTGGGGAATTCTGCGAGCAGTGCAACAAAAGTGTAAGAGCGGGTGATTGAAAAGATCAGGTTTTAGGAAGATAGGCACATTGCGTCCATGGAAACGTTAGCTCGGTTATGCCGATTCAATGATCTCTCACAGAGTGAATACAACACAAGAGTTGCTGTTTTATAATCTCAATGGGGAACAACGCCATCAGAAAACGTAGAGCGACTGATATTTTTCAGCATTATATAAACCGAAGCTGCCCGAGCCGAGCCAAGATAGAGCCTCCTTCAAGGAAATTCCGAGGAACAAAGGCAAAGTCTCTTCAATGTTCCGTCAATATAAAGTAAAGCTTCTGCCAGAGGCCCGGAGAAGAAGAAAGCACCCAAAAAGCACCATCTCCCAGATCCGACAACTGTAACCCTAAGCAGTTCGTTTTCTATATGCGAGTTAGCGTCGTTTACTCTCCAAGCTCGGAAAGATAGACAAATGACGGCGAAAAGTCTGAAAACTAGATATTAGTTCCCTTTCTAAAGAGGTGGTTCATATCCAATACTGTCCACGACAGAAAAGGATCCCGGGATTGAGTTAGGGTATTTGAAGAGGCTTTGCACGACGGTGCTGCAATAAAAGCCAACAAGAAGCACCAGCTCGCTATCATTTATAGAGAAGTTGAGTTGACCGCGTCCTAGAATTTAGCAATACTTTCTCTGCTGGCAGACGTAAAGAGGCTGACATCAATACTGTCGATCTAACCGCGTGCGACCGAGGACGGCAATTGCCGAGACCTCTCTACTATACACCTCTTGGCTCTGCAACCTGCCCAATTTTTATTGCTAAATTGCTGCATTCTCCTAGGTATAGAACTCTCAGTTTGAGTATTTATGTCGCAACATACTGAGGTACGATTTATAGAATGCATTCGTGCACGCACTGTGGAAATATTTGTCCATCCATTTACCCCTATACCGACGCCCAAGACGCAGAAATCTTCAATCGTTTAAGACGCAATACATTTCCCTCGCCAACCGATGCTGCTCGTCTGAAATCCGAGATCACTTTCCTGGAAGGAGAAATAAAAGATTTGAGCTCACTTCTCGATACACTTGAGCACGAAAAGCAGCAGCGGGAGAGAGCGAAAGAGATTCGACAATCCCTGCTCTCACCGATACGTCGCATTCCTCTCGAAATATGGGCTGAGATCTTCCTCTATGCCATCCCAGAACCGCTTCCTTTTCTTGATTTTAAAGGAAACCTGATTTCTGAGGTAGACTCAGACATCACGACGATGGATTCGCCGTGGCTCCTCACACACGTGTCCAGCTACTGGCGGAAACTTGCAATTTCTATCCCAGCTTTATGGGCAACTGTATCGCTTACACCAGACCTAATTCCTCCGCAGGAGTCGCTTATGCGACTTCAGCTTGATCGTTCGCAGGACTTCCCCTTACACCTTCAACTCCGAATTGAAGAGTACGATTCCGAGGACATTTCACGGCTTCGGACACTCCTCTTTCCACTTTTCCACCGCTGTTCTACACTCGAATTAGCCACACCCAGTGCGGCGATCATTGAGAACTTATGCTGCCACCCTGCAGGTTTACCATCGTTACGTACGTTAACGATTCGCCGTGTATCTGGGGTTCAGCCTGACAACTCAAAGACGCATGATGAAAATGTCAGCGTGTTCATGAAATCCCTCCACCTTCGCGCTGTGAATGCAGACTTCTCCCTCGTCGAACTCTCCCTTCCTCTAACGACACTCAGGTCGCTCGTCCGAGTCCCACTGGCGACGTTCGAACAAATACAGGGTATCGTAAACGCAGCACCGGAGTTGGAACATCTCGATTTTTCGTTCGTCGAGATGGGCTCGGGCCTCAGCATACCACGGTGTGAAGGTTTGCCGATGATTACGCACAACAAGTTGCGCCGGCTGCGTTTGTCAACAACGCCATCCGAAATTCTATCGTGCCTAAAGCTTCCCGCCCTTCGGCATCTGGCGCTTGAGGAGGGCGGATTCATGAACGGTCGGATGGAGACGTTATTTGACTTTCTCCGAAGGTCGGGGTGTGTGCTGGACGATCTCACCATCATGCATACGCAGGATATATTTCCTCTTCTGCGCGCCGTACTCGAATATTCGTCGCACTCATTGACACGGTTGGCAATCATTGTGCCGTGGGTCACGGCTCAGGATATATATCGTCTCCTCACAATGACCCCTGAATCGGAACTCGTGCCTAATCTACAGAAACTGTCCATACAAGACTGGCCTGACCATGTCCCCACCGGCATGACGACTTTTTTTGGACCGGGACCGAACTCTCTTTCGTTTTACGAGATGGTCTGGTCACGGAGGTCAAGGCTAAATTTCGTTTCCCTGTTTTCACGGGAAATACACGTTCTGACTCCTGATCTGGAGGCACACGTATCTCGTCTTCAGGACAGTGGCATCACCGTCGAGCTTTTTGGTTTTAGTTTCTTCACACGTCGTCGTATCTTTCCATAATGAATCGATGCGGGTCCCTTGTTATTTCTTTCCGCCATAAGTCCTCCTTTATGTATCTCATGTCCAATATGGTTGTATATTAATTTCATAATTCCCGGGCCTGTGTCATCTGTCCAGTCAATTGAACGTGAACGTTGAGGTATAAGCTTGCGAATGCCTCATAAGGTACTGACTAAGATCAGAGGACTTGTCCGTCGTCGTATCGTCGTTGTTGTCTCACATTTCTTGTCTGTTCCACGACCGGCAAAATTTTTCTTGTTACAGTCTTAAAGTACGAGAGAAAACGTGTTTAAGAGTTGATGATGCAGAGATGAGAGAGCCAGGCTAGAGGAGGTACGACGACATATTAGCCGGTCATTCAGACACTTGGAATAATTTTACTGTTGCGATTGACCGTCGAGAATACAAACGCCTAAATAATTCAAATGGATGTCCAACCCTCGAACCCTCGCCTCAGAAATGATGGCACCAAAAGAATAAAAATCCACCATCTTTCGAACGGCTTTCACCCCCGCATTACTAATTTCCAGACAGAGATAACGGAGGCGGGAGTCAGGCTCCTTCACCCATCTCGATCGAATCATCGCGAATATTTCGTTGTGGATCTCCATGAAGACAGAGAATGTTTGGGAGGACTGGTACTGTTCAGTCATTTCCAGTCGCATCAACATGGGCAGAAAATCGGAGGCTGTGAGGGCAATGAACATTACCCTGGCATTTGCCAGGTTAACAGTAATCTGAAGCTCGGTCAGCGATGATTGGGGCCAGAGGATATGAATGAGCGTCGAAGCAGGAAAAACAGCTCTCAGAGCGAACTTGTGAAGTTTGCACATCGAACGCTCGACCAAAGCGGATAATTCGTGGACACTAGCGCCGGCAAACTGGAAATCTGTGCAAGGCTGGAAAATCTCCAATTCTTCCAGGGATGGGAAACTGAATGTCTCCATCCATGCGAACTCTGCCTGTAGAACTACGAGCTGGCGGAGATTGTTGTGAATGAGGGGTTGCGCGAGTGGATCTGAAGCCGGATCGTGAAAGGATACTTCTAGTGTATCGAGGTGGCGCGCTTTAGATAAGAACTGGTGCAGTTCCTCAGCGGTGTAAAAGTCGCCATGAAATTCACGTAGCTGTGAAGCAGGGAGGGAGATGTTTGCCACCGTGTACAGGCCGAACAGACTAACACCTGTAAGTTTTGGTGCACTGTGAAAAATGCTGAACGTGTCTTCCTCTTCAAAATCGTCTTCATCATCCGATGAGGGAACGAAAATATCTAAAAACCGTAGTTCGGGAAGGTTCTGCGCGAGATCTAGCAGCTCCCAGATTCCTTTTTGCGGAATAAGGATGCTAAGGCCTGCACAGCGGGGAAAGTGGGGAAAGAGTACACGAAAAACGCTCCGGATGGCTTTTCCGGAGGCCTTTTCGTCGAACGTAAGGTCAATTTTGAAGAGAGACTGATCTGATCGACGGAGGAAATGTTTGAGAACACAAAGGACTCTCCGATCGTAGCTGTGCACAGACAGAATAACCATGGACCACAGCCATTTGACAGATTTTATTATGTCTCTCCACGACCTGCAGACATGACCGAGAACCCAAGGTGCTTGGTTGATATCGGCGTGGTTGTCTGCACTCCATGACAGCCAGATAAAAATCTCGAGGAGGATATCGCGAGGAAATAGGGATAGGTCAGACGGTATGGCTTCTGGTACGGCACCATCAATAACTGGGATGTTTGTGCTGCAATGATAGCTTTGAACGTTGGTTTCCATCTGTACGGCTGTCATGACAAGTGGCTGCAGTGGTGGCTGTGCGTCTTGTCGTATCTCGTCGGCATAGTCGGCCGACGCACTGCACTTGAAACTTGAAACTTGGATGCCGCCTTTTTTGCACTTTGACTAGAATTCAATGCCTTCATAGCTCGAAGCCCGAAGAGTTGGGTTTGCTTGGAGCGTCGACTTTAAATAATTGAAAATTTATTTTCACTAAGTATATATATCTGTCAGTAATAGGAAGCCGACGAGCAATTCAATCCGTGCCCTTCATTGAACCTTTCCGAACAGCAATAAATAGCAAAGACAATCTGCCCAGCTCGACTGATGTAAGCAATGATCGTACTGTCGTCCGACTTGCGATTGACTGATTGTAATCGACAGCCATCTCTCAGCAACTCGTGGTGTCTCGAAGACATTTCCACCGCTCCTAACCTGTTCACTGTATCTGGTGATATATTACAGGCAGCTTGAAGGTGCGTTAACGTGGTTTGTTTGTGGTCCAACTCCAACTCTACCGCAGATTCTACTACCGTGCCATGGACCAACCGTATACCGACAGACACGAATCCCAAATCTACGCCTATCTACGATCCGATTTCATACCCACAGATGGCGAAATGGCCCAGATCCTTTCCGACGTGTCTTTCTTAACAAAGGAGCTGGAAAGCACCAACTGCAATGAGCGAGTGAAGAAGCAGAAAGCCCTAAACATTAGACGATCAATCCTTGCACCCATCCGTCGACTCCCTGTCGAAATTTTGCTCGAAATATTCTCTCTTCTTCCTCCGGAGCGTCCTCCAAGCAATCGCCATCAATTTTATGCTCTACCCTCACGTCCATCCAACACCCGAGACATGCCATGGGTACTGAGTCACGTATCGGCTTTCTGGCATGCCACGTCTCTTGCTTCTCCCCCATTATGGACGCATATCTACATCGCGTCAAAGTATGCGAAAATGGAGCAGTTTCTCATACAAACCACCCTTGCACGCTCCCAGGATTGTCCGCTAGATCTTTGCATTTGCATGGATTTGGAGGATCCAGAGTGTGAAGAGATTGTCATAAAATCCCTTACACTCGCAGCGCCGCGCTGCGTATCGCTGAGGCTCGACATTCCCGCTCCAACGTTGATGGCACTTTCACTTTCATGCTCATTCCCGCGCCTTCAGCATCTGGAATTGCATGTCGATATTCACCCCGCTGATCTTACTACGAGTGTCGATGTGTTCATGAAATCGGTGCAATTACATAGCGTGCGCTTCATGGAAGTACGCGTACCAGAACAGATCCAGCTCCCGCTTACGGAACTGCATGTCCTGTCCCAGGTGTTTGTAGACTCTTATGATCAGCTCGCGGTCATACTGAAGGAGGCGAAGGGTTTAGTTTCGTTGGATGCTTGGCCTTCGGGAGCCTATGCCTCCTCTCTTGTTGGGTCCGCGGCTGAGAAGATCACCCACAGCAATTTGCGCTGCCTTGATACAGGCTACTCGGCGCTAGAACACCTCTCACTTCCTGCACTGGATCATCTGACGTTGGATGAAGACGATATGCAGCACGAGACGGAGGAGAAGATGCAGGTGCTTCCAGACTTCTTGCAGCGATCTAAGTGCCACCTCCGTCGTCTGCGTCTGATGCACTATGGTCGTGTGGCGAAGATTCTACCATTGATCCTCGGTTCGCCTTCGTTCATAACGCTTACGCGACTGGACATATATGTGGAATCTGTAGAAGTCTACGCCCTCCTAGGGGACATTAGATTGATGCCGCAGCTACGCCATTTGTCAATCTGCGACGGATTTGAGAATGAGAATGAGACGTCATTCTTCGGTGTATGCGCGGAACCGTTCCATGCGATAATTGAGGCGCGGAGGAACCAATTAAGAGGGCTGACACTTACTTCGCTCGAGGTAGAGAGGATGACTCCAGAGCTGCTGGAACATATAAGGGAAATTGCAGAGGATGGTATTGAGGTGGAATTTATAGGACGTGGTTTAGACCAGCTCTATCCTCCATAAACAATAGATCCCTTCAAGAGTTTTGAATATAATTTTACAACTTCTTTACAAAAGTATGACAGGACTAAGGATTTCACATGAATGTTCAATGAAATTGCATTACAAGGACAACCTCATGAAATGACCACCGCAGGACTCGAACCTGCAACCTTTTGGTACCATTTAGCAATCGAAGCCAAACGCGCTACCATTGCGCCAGGAAGCCATGTCATAAAATTTGATGGGATTATAATGATAGTGTCAAAGAGAGAGAGAGAGAGAGAGCACACACACAGAGAATTAGAAAGCATTCTAGCATATATACAACCAAGATCTAAGTATGCGCGTACAATAGGACCAGTATATAAAAAAGTGTTTTTGTCCAAAGCATCAGAAAAACATTTTCAGCCTCCTCTTCAACGGGGAAGATTCGCGTTTGGTTGTTGAAGGTGCGGATTCAGGTATCACGGACAACAGCCGTGAGGGAGATGTCGTTCCCCCTTGCTTGAAAAAACCGAACGAAAAGGGTCGGCGAATGTGCTTATTAAAAACGTCTGGCGAGACGACAGGCTCGCCTATTGACAGACGAGATCTTGCTAACCGCCGAGGAACGGGTAAGGGGATGTTGTCTGAGTCTGAGAGAGACTTTACGGAATGACGAGGAGCAGGAGTAGGTGAAGGAGGAGGCTCGAGTATTGGTTCTGTGGAGGAATGGCGGGTTTTGATTGGCTGATGAGTTGTGCATGGGGAAGGTTCAGAGCCGATGGATGATTCAATCATGGGAGGAAGCGGCTTTGATAGTGGACGAGGGGTAGATGGTGCGATGTACGAGGATGAGGATGTTGCTGAAAAGGGATCCACAATAGTGGAGGAAGTCGTCGAAAGAACTTCCCATTCTGAAAATGCCAGTGACGGCCGTGGCGCAGTGTCCCTTGACCGTCGGCTATCTCTGGACATTCGCATTGCTTGATCTCTCGATAGCTTCAAAGTGGGCGTTCTTTGCTCCTCAAAATCTCCAAGGAGGTCAACAGCATACACAGGGAGTGCCACCGGAGGAAGGTCGGCCAATATGTCGGCGGTAGTGCGTGTTTTAACAGCAACTGGCGTGTGGATAGTCGCTGTGCCACATGCCTCCCTGACAGTGGATTTGAGTTTGCGTGATAGCGGTGAAACCGATGAGGAGTGGCGAGGTGTCACTGGGGCAGCTGTCGAAAAGGAATGAATTTCGTTCGACATATCGCAGTCTTCGTCTTCAGTCAGCATGTCTAACGACGGAGAATCTGCTGTTGAGACGAGGTTCTTCAACACTTTCGGATTGAAATTCAACGGCGAAGTTGAGCGGTCGCGGGGCTTCTGATCCATGGACAGGGATCGAGCGTGCCTCGACCCGATGGACATACGGAGGCGCGCCGGCGAAGCTTCGCCAAGCGTGATCCGTCGGGCAGCACGTTCCCCAACAGTGGTGGCCTCGGTATGTATTGGATGGATGGGTCGTCTGGTATTCGAAGATTGGAGGTAACGGAGAAGGTTTGCTTGGTGTCTCGATGAACCGACATGGCTCTCGTAGACAGCGTTATTGCCTTTGGTCAAAGAGGCGAGTTGCACGTGTATAGCCCGAGATTCCTCCTCCGCCAAAGCCTTCCGGTGTTCTTCCATCCACCGTTCCCGCTTGAGTGATTCGAATGTTGCAGGATCTGTCTCCCGGTCATTCAGCAGCGAACGAAGTTTGGCTGAGCGCTCCTGTGCGTCCTCCAAGCGGGAATTGAGCAGAGAAGCAGCTTGTTCGAGAGTACGGATCTGCAACTCCGTTTGGGAAGTTTCCTGAAGCGTCAGCTGGGCAGTGAGGGCGAGAGCCTCTTCTGCCTGAGAATACCGGCGTTGACGGGCTATCTCGGCTCGCGTTCGGCGCAGAGGGGTCGTCAATGGTGGAGTAGGGGGGGCTACTTTAACAGTCGTCGGGTTCGGTACGCCAAATGTGTAGCTGGTGTCTGGGTCGGGAGTGCTGAACGACAGTTAGCAAGTTTAGTAGAAGAATATGGGCGACTCACTAGATGAAAGACGAACTTGAAGCAGAGGTCCAGCTGCTCGAATTCGTGCTCTCCTTCATTGGTGAAGTCAGGCTTTCTATTACCTTGGATTGGATACCATACTCACCTCTAGCACCTGAGATCCTCCCCATTTCGCCTGAGATACATTTATCGTCAATGGAGTCATTTTTTCCTGTAGACACCGTCGTTTCGGAGGCTTTTCTGCTCGTTGCAAGTCAGATGTCGGGTCCATCATCCACGTGAATATCGCAAATCAGATGGATGAAAAAGAAGAAGTATAACCGTCAAGGCATGAATCGTTTCCACGAATGAGAATGTCAGGTTAGCTATGTGTCGCTTTGACCGTCGCTGCGAAAGGTTGGAGTACATCAAAAAGGCAATTCGACGGTTGCCGGGGTTGCCGTAATACGGTGCTAAGCGACGTAAAAATCATGTGATCGCGGATATTGCGCGTTCCTTCCACCTTCTGTTTTGAGAACTATACGCTATTGTTCGACCCTCGCGGTATTTCGTATATAAGGTCAACCGACGATGTTGATGATGCTGTTCTTTCCTTTCGTTTGCCCTGGTGGCCTGTTTTTTACGATATTCTACATTATTAATGACGCTCTTCAAGTTTTTTTCAGTCATTGCTACATTATGCAGCGCAGGGCAATTCGCAGCAGGCCATGCAGGTCAGTTTTGTGCTTAATATGTGGCGCTGGACTGACATCCGCTTTAGCTTTATTTCATCCGAGCATGTAGTATGTCCATCCACATATCAAGCAATATCCTCTCTAATTTCTATCCCAGCGGCTTTAATGTGACAGGCGATACGTTCCCTTATGACAACCGACCCGTCGCTCCTCTAATGAACATGACTTTTGACCAGTGGTGGTTCCATGGCCACCTCGACTATCCCCCCAACAACGGAGATATGTTCGACCTCTCAGCAGGTCAGACTGCAACCGCTGAGATAGCGTGTAACAAGGGCGCCACTAGTTACTTCGCCTCGTCCGACGGAGGCGATATACGGGAACCAGACAACCCGAACAACGTGTGTCCGGGATCCGGCATGGAAGAGTATCACACTACGGGTATTGACGACCTGAAGGGATGCGCACTGGCTATCGCATACAAGAACGATGCCCGATCGGTTACTCCGGAGGACTTTACGGTTTTCAGTGTGAACCAAACTTGTGTGTGGACGCGGTTCACGGATTTTCAAGTGCCGGCGCGAATGCCACCTTGTCCCGATGGTGGATGTGTATGTGCTTTCTTTTGGATTCATTCGGTACGTTCTCTTCTTGCTTTTGCGTTATAGATGGGACCTCATCGTTGCGACCTTCCTATTTCTTAGCCCGATAGCGGAGGCGAGCAGAGTAAGCATGCTTCATTAGGCCCTTTGATTCCACAGTTGACTTCCCCGATGCATAGACTATATGAACGGTTTCAAGTGCAACATCACGGATTCGACATCGACGGTTGCCCTCGCCAAGCCACAGATTCCTAGGCGCTGTGGTTCGGATCCCGTCAACAACAAGCAGTTCGCATTCCTCGCGAATTGTACTCATGGGGCCAAGCAACCGTTTTACTGGTTTAATCAGGAACAGAATAACGTCGGTCCTTATCTTCATTTTCCCTCAAATGCTTATCCAAGTGGCTTCAGATGTTCGAGGGCACCTATTCGCCACCCGTTTACACCGATCTGTATAACTTTTTGGATGGTTCCCAGGACGATATCTTTGAAGACTCTTATGATTCTCTTCCGACGCCCTCGCCAACCGCACTGATGCCAGTCCTCAGAGTTGTCGACAATTCGGGTTCCACATCCAAACGTTCTTGGTTCGTGGAGTCCCTTTGTTCAGGTCTAAGCTTCCCGCTAATAATAGATTTCCGCTCTCAGGCGACATAGGAGATCACAGCCTCGGCGGCTTCTGCACAATGAACATTATTGACCCTCATGCCACCTGTATTTTATGTCTAATGTAATATCAATTTCCTCCGAAAAATCAAGCTTCAGTGCATCAACAGCCATCGAACAATGGATTTAACTTTCGCGCTTTGCTTCAAAGCGCGGCTCTTGGAATTGTCTTGTCTGAAGACCCAACAAAGACATGTAATTCATATATGCATGGTTACCACCTTTTGCTCTCGCTATTTAAAAGCCGTCTCATTCTTGCTTCACTAACATTATTAACCACCATAGCTAGCTCTCAGAAAATTTACTCTCCTTCCAACCACCCGGCCAGTCTAAACATGGTTCAGGGATCCCCCAAACCCGACGTAGGTATCCTGTTGGCGTGTACCCGCAGTCCAAGTCACTGACCTGGTGCATTTTATCTAGGTGTCTTTAAAGGACAAAGCGGCTTCCGGATTACTGGCTCCATGTGTAACCCAGGAGAACGTTTACGATTATTGTGTCGCCCACGGGCTCGTGAAGAAAGACAAACCCAAGGTATCAGATACCTAAGTAATTCAAGCAATCCGCGAATTAACATAACCCTTGTTTTAAGAAGATCACAGGATTGCAAGATCTCATTGAAGAAGAAGAGGTATTATTCAATCACCCATGCCCAACAGAATGGCCATTAAACTATTTTGTACATGTAGCTATACTTGAGAACCCACATCCGGCGCAATACCTTTGGTCTCTGGTCGTACTGCCCCCCTTCTCCGACCATTTTGGAAGTCTCTTCCAATAACGAGTTTGACGACTCGGATAACAGAGTACGATTCGACAACACCTCAATGTGGACTTCTCGACTGACCGATCTCTTATTCTTTCTTAAGGATATACCTCGCGACCTTTATAGCAGCCAGCACCCATTTTCGAGGTCACCGTCGCCAGACGACGACCCCTTCGCACCGGAAGCGGCGTTGGAGACTTGGCGCCAACAGCTGCAGCAGTCGGTAAGAACTATGTCTTGGAGATTATTGGCCCTCTGAGCTGATATCGTTGTAGTTTGATGGCAATGAGACCACCAATCTGCCTAACCATCGGTCTCTTTCCAGTGATGCAAGTGCCCTAGAGAGTGACAACGGTCCCCCTTCCTACGGAGATTACAGTTCTATTGAGTGTACCGGGTTTCATAACTCCACCGACCGTGCTACTCGTTCCCCTGGCCCTGTTGACGCATCCTCCTTGGCCGTACCGGAAGCCTTTTATATATGGACTCCACGGGATCGGGAGAAATTCCTTGGTATAAAAGCTCCCAAGGCTCCAGACGGAAGATATATGTGCTGTGGCCAGAACTTCGAGTTCAAGGACTTTGTCGAGCATAGACGGTCTTCGGACGAGCATGGAAATTTTGGACAGGGTTCAAGGAGAAGGTCATAAGAGAATTCCCTCCCTCTTACTGGTCCGAGCCGACATTCTTCCATAGTATTGCATAGTTTTCATACATGTCATGACCACGATGGGTCCACTATAAATACTTTTGTACTTTCACGCATACCAAACCACGCATTCACTTCTGCAGTTCTGGCAATCCCGCGGCTTTCAGATCCGTATTGATTTCGTCAAGATGGTTCATGAACCTCGCCTGCAGCCCATCCCACATCTTAACGTCGTGCTCTACACAAGGGTATCAACTCGAATTCTTTTTTTAAAAAAAACAGTAACAACAGATAGCACTTACCATGAATTTTACCAGACCGGTTCATGGCATAATCCGTGAGTGTCAGCGTCATTGCGGTTTCGAACATGACAGCTTCGCGAAAGATTAGTACGTCAAGCGGATACAAGTTCCTCCCGACGCACCCATAGTCCCTTCATGAATTTTGACCGGCTTGAGTTCGTCTTCGCTTGCTGCCTTTTGTGTCTCGTAAGATACTAATCGTCATCAAATTGATCGTGTCGTCTCTATTTCGAAACGTTCCGACTCACCTCCATGCGGACAAAACACCGTCTCGTGGCTCAAACTTCCTGGCATGAACTGATCGCTCCGTCCTTCATAACTACCATAAATCAGACCCATGACCTCCGAAGCATTGTTACGGTGGTAGAACTATGCCAACCCTAGTCAATAATGGAAGAAGAAGAAATCTAAAAGCTCGTACTGGTGGCCGGAAGGTGTCTGAAGCGACGTCCCACCGTTCATAGAAGAGCAGCACATCTGTAAGCGGAACTCCGGGGCACTTGGACTTGGCGGTGAGTATGATGAATATGGAGGGGTCGATGTGATCTTTGGAAATACTCCCGACGAAGATGAATTTCTCCATGTTGTATTTATATGGCACGTAACTGGGGAAGGTGATGGGAATGAAGTATAATATAAATACTGGATGAAATACGCACTTTCCATGCCACGTGACAACATCGAATGGGGTGTGCTGCTGGGAGCAAGAAAACAGTTTACCGCCGACCCTGTGTATATCTCTTGATTAGAATGATGATACCGAAGAAAATTCATTGGCGGACTTGTAAGTGACTGCAGCGAGAACGCCAAACGAATCAGCAAGGATCGAAAAGGAGAAACTGGGACAGGCATACTTTTCCACGGGGACTGGTCGAGATCGAAACTTGCTACTGGGAATTCGAAGTCGCGAGGATTGGCCAGACCGTGGCCTCCAACTGGACCCAGGTCGGGGAGCTCGTAGTGAGAACCATAAATTTCCTCAATGTCTATATATATGCATCATTCACGATTGCCTGGATACAACCGTTGTTTACTTACATCCGCGTGAGGGCCCATCAGGTAGTAACACCTTGAACTTAATTCCCCGTTGAATAACCACAAGCTCGCCGGGCCTCACCATCAGCCTGGTAGAAGCATTAATAAAGGTCAGATGTCTAAGAGATATAAGAGCAACCTACTTTCCAAACTCGGTTTGTATATCCAACCGCCCTTGTTGGGGCATCATCAGCATGTCACCATCATTATTACAGAATGCCCTTTTCTGCATGGATGCGTTTGCAACATAGATATGGACAGCGAGGCCTTCGTGCAATGTAGGGTCACCGTTTCCCGCCATGGTCTTTATACCGTCGATGAAATCCACCTCGGTGGAGTTGGGAGGGATGTCGAGCGGGCGCCATGCGAGCTGGGTAGGGCTTAGGTGCACGCGGGGATTGATTGGGAGGAAGGTGGATTCGAGCTAGCGAGGTTGTTCGTGAGATGATGGTCAGGAGGATGGAGGCCTAGGCTCACATCAGGGTTGGAAGACAGCGGGGTGAACCCTTGGTGTGCAACAGATGGGCGAATGCGGTAGAGAAATCTACATATAGATTGTTAATATAACTGATGATACCTGGGGACCAGACACTTACGCATTGAGAATGTTTGGTCGAGTGCCAACGAAGGGATTGCCGGTTATCTATTCATACTTAGATCATAAAGCTGCGCATGAGTCGCGATCAACGCACGCCTTCATTGTACAGCTCATATTTGCATTTCTGCGGGTGGTTCTGAGCATGCGGGAGGGTACCTGGACTAGCGGGAGAGTGTAAAGTGAAATGCACCGTAGCGTATCATTAACTTAGACACCTACATAGCTTCACTGGCAAAGTTATTGCCGAAGCCGACTTGGTATTTGTACGGGTCCGCTTGGCTGGGGGCCGTAGAGAAGGTTGCTGAGGCAGTGGCCATAGAGGAGTAGGTGGTGGGTGATAGAGAATCCTTGAGCACTAGTACACTTATATATGTGTACGAGATGCGGACCAGTTATGACACTTGGTCCAGTGACGAGCAATTGTCGTGAGAATATCATTCTCCTTCAAGCTGTGGAATGGCCGTTCGAAGGGGGCCGCCCAACTAATACAACTACAAAAGTTAACTGTAGAGAACTAGAGCCTTATCAGATGACGGGGAGACACACCGGCGACCGAATAGGGCAGTATTGTAGCACACCGGTATATTGGAATTAAGGAATTTTTGATAGGGAGTCTCTTTGTGGTACCAAAAGGCGCACAAGAGGCGCCATTATTGGCGTATCATTCGTACATCAAGTAACGTTTTCTGTTTTTTTCAGACAAAGCTAAATGCCGATGTAGCGCACGAAGTGCCAACGTACGGCTGAACGGACAGCCCTAAATTTCAGATGAGCAATCAAGAGACAGAAGCTCACGGGTCATTATATATTATACCTTGCGTGGACGTTTTGTCGCACAACTCGTTCTAGTCTAGATTTGCTCAACCTGAAAATGGAAGTCATCCCCGACTGTCTGCTGGATGATAGATTATGCGGTTTTAACGGTTTCCGAGTTTCGTAGATATAGTCCCGACTCGCCGTGATTATATTAGGTCGACGAAATTCTTCCCAAGGTAAAGCGAAAGGATTGTATATTTCGGGGCCCTAAAGAGCAAAGCCCATTTCCCAGACATCGAAGAGGCAGATCTTTGTTAAGAAGTGGTCTTCGAGAGTCGCTAACGTTGGTCCTTACACCGTGGCTGCTCGACCTGGTCTAGTGCCAGCGAGTCGGTCCCACCTTCAGCAAGGTATTGATAAAAGGAAAACTGAAAAGGTATAGTGGTCATGATGACGAGAGATAAAGTCAGGTTGAAAAGATGATATCAAGACTTAAAACGCCATCAATGGAGGCCTGAGCCAACCTTTCTAACTCCAGGGCGTGGCAGGGCCGGAGATTCCCATATTCGGTCGGAGCATCAATCGGTATTTAAAAACAGGTGACCGCAAATTTTTTTTTTACTGTACCTCCCTTCAAAATCGTTGTTGGTGGATTCCACGGTAAGCCACACTTTCCTTTTCTTTGGTACTACTCTGGTACACGTGACGATTCAAACCGAATGCAATTAGGAAGTGCCGTCTGAATCTCTCCTACTGGGAGCAGGATTTGTCGAGTCCCGGTTCTCTGATACTACTTTTTTACTTCTCCCCTTCTCCATTGTTGCTCTCAAACACTTTTCTGACAAAATTCATTGTAGGTCATTGTATAAATATCTGCCAGAGAAGTGTGCTCAATCAAAAGCTTCAAGTTCGAGTCCCTGTCTATTGCGGTTCAATTTTTGGGTACCAGGCCTGTTTCGCTGCAGGCTACTCGGTACCGTGGTCCGTTATGTTAGTTATCTCAATGAATTCTCTATGCGAACAAATACCGCGATCATTAAACCATCGTCAATGACCATTCAAGAAATCACTTCTCTCGAATGCGCCTAATTTTGTACTTCTCATTACACGGCACGGATGAAGGCGGTCCGGCATTATCATGAATACATTTCGTGCGGTTAAAAGGGCCCCGCCATTTCCAATCTGATCCATCCCACTCTTTTCCTTCCTCACCACCACTATCATCATGGCCTCCTCTTTTCCTATTGACCTCACCAAATTCAACAGGTAGTAGTTCAGTATCCGCCTTGACTTGCGTGGTCGCTAAGTCTTCTTCACAGAATCGCTTTGGACCCGTCCAAGCCCCAGCTTTCTGAAGATGAGAAGGCGGCGTTGAAGTCTAACATTCAATTGCTACGCGATGCTATCGTACTCTTTACGGCCACTGGTGCAGCTCGTGGCGTTAGCGGACACACAGGTGCGTAAAGGCCATTCATTGAACACCTGTCCTCAACATAATGAACAGGTGGCGCCTACGATACCGTCCCGGAGGTCTGCATTCTCCTCGCGTTATTCAACCGTTCGGACACCTATGTCCCTATAGTATTCGACGAGGCGGGTGTGTATACTGGTGCTCAAAACTTGCTGTAACTGATCTTCTACGATAAGGCCACCGTGTTGCTACTCAATACATTCTCTCAGTCTTGGAGGGTGCATTGCCAGCTGAGCAGCTTCTACATTACCGAGAAGCCAACTCCAAGCTCCCCGGTCACCCTGAGCTCGGCCTCACTCCGGGAGTAAAGTTCTCTTCAGGACGTCTGGGCCACATGTGGTGAGTAACGGTACTTCATGCTTCGCTATGCAACGTCTTCGTCCGTAACGAGGCGTTTTGTGGGTCACCAATATAGACCTTCATCATGCTTCGCGATCATTTCTGACGAACGTTCTTCAAGGCCTCTCGTCAACGGTGTTGCTCTCGCGAACAAGGACAAGACCGTTTTCTGTTTGGGTTCTGATGGTTCGCAGCAAGAAGGCAACGACGCAGAGGCTGCCCGACTTGCCGTTGCTCAAGGCTTGAATGTCAAGCTGCTCATTGATGACAACGACGTCACTATCGCCGGTCACCCCTCCGATTATCTTAAAGGCTACGACGTTACCAAGGTGCTCGAGGGGCACGGTCTCAAGGTAATTACTGTTCAAGGGGAAGACATTGATTCTTTGTGGAGCGCGATCAGCTCCATCGTCACCACTCCTGGACCCGCCGCTGTCATCTCTAAGCGCGTCATGGCTCCAGGTATTGCCGACATCGAAGGCAGCAGCCATGGACACGACGTCATTCCCGTCAAAAGTGCTATCAAGTACCTCGAGTCCAGGGGATACACCACCTTTGGTGACATCCTACTCAACATCAAGGGTGTTCCTCAGCCATTTTCTTACATTGGGTCGACGAAGGAGACTGGTGCCAACCGAGCCATTTTTGGTGACGCTGTCAATCTTGTTCTCGATGGTCTTAGCAAGGAGGAGGCAGCGAAGAAAGTCATGGTCATTGACAGTATGTTTCGTTGAGTTCTCATGGATTTCTGTCTCATCGTTCTGCAGGCGACTTGGAGGGATCAACTGGCTTGAAGGTTATCCACCAGAAGCACCCCGAGGTCTTCATCCCATCCGGTATCATGGAACGCGGGAACTTCTCTGCTGCTGCCGGGTTTGGATTCGACCATGATAAATTTGGCGTCTTTTCGACCTTCTCAGCGTTCCTCGAGATGCTGGTCTCTGAAATTACCATGGCTCGGCTGAACCACTGCAATGTTCTGTGTCATTTCTCCCACTCTGGTGTCGATGAAATGGTAAATTTCTGCTTTCAGAGTATTCTATTTGCTCACTTAAATTAAAGGCTGACAACACGTGCCACTTTGGAATTAACTCCCTCTTCGCTGACAACGGCTTATCAGATGTCGAATCCTTCCTTTACTTCCCCGCAGACCCGGCACAGATGATCGCTGTCGTGAAGCGCGTCTTCTTCGAGCGCGGTCTTCGATTCATCTTCTCCACTCGGTCCAAAGTTCCGTATATCCTCAAAGAGGATGGCAAGACCAAGTACTTCGGCGACAGCTACGAATTCGTCCCGGGAAAGGACGAAGTCATCATCGAAGGTAAAGCCGGATACGTCGTCTCGTTTGGTGAGATGCTCTACCGATCCTACGACGCCGTGCTGCGCTGCCGGCAGCGGGGTATTGATGTAGGTTTGATCAATAAACCCACTCTTAGCTCAGTGGATGAAGAAGTGAGTAAGAGAAGATAGTTGCTCGATGTTTGTTTACAACGCTACGCAGGTCATCAAGAAGGTTGGATCGAGTCCGTTCGTACTCGTTGTAGAATCCTTCAACCAGAAAACTGGGGTGAGATTAATTTTGACTCGGGTTTTAATATCCGTGACTGACTCGGAAATAGCTTGGGTCCAAGTTTGGAACGTGGCTTCTCGAACGTGGGCTGGCGCCCAAGTATGCCTACCTGGGAACGACCAAAGAGGGTGAGTTTCGATTTTACAATGAATGTTCTGCGGTTGACGATTGCCTAGGTTGCGGTGGTCTTTGGGAGCAAATTCCCTACCAGGGTCTTGATTCGGAGTGTACGTGACTCGAGATTTTCGATCACCGCTCAAAGACTGACCTCGAACATTAGCGATTGCCGCAAAGATTGCGCTCTTAGTCCAATAGACGGCGTCGTAGATAACGAGTGTGTAAGATTTGAGAAATAGAGAGCTGAACAGGATGCATGTATGGACAGCCAAAATAGACCTTTTCATCCTGCTTTTCTGTGTGTTTTCCTCACTGAACCATATTCTAGGTAACGAGAAAACGGAGGTCTCGTACATCTTCGTTTTACTGATGAGGTCGTAGTAACTGGTGAATGACAATCTGCGCATTAGTCCAACTTTCGATCATCGCACCGTACGACCATGAAAATACAGGTGCTTGCTGCACTTCTTTCCCACAAAGCCGGTCCCAAGACTCAATTTGATGACAAAGAATAGACGGCGAGGTGAGTTTACACATCATGCTGACGAGGTTGAATTGACGAAAGTGTGTATTTATTCCCACTGGAATAGTCTCAAGACAGTCTGATTACAAAGGACAGAAGATATAGGTACTGCTGACCAGCGCTCTGTGACAAAAATCCGGCGTATAATCGAGTGATGAAGTGAATAAAAAGCCTGGCAGTACCAGCGCCGTTCTCATCCTCAAATGCAGTCCCACACATACAGCGCACCGGCAAGCTACGTATCTTCGCCGTCCGGAGACCCGTACAAATATCAGGTAGGGTTTGGAAACCGTTTCGCTAGCGAAGCTATGTGAGTATTTGTTGTATGACTTTCAGCTGGAAATGATGACGATGACGATGAACCAACAGCCCTGGTACCCTTCCCCAAGGGCAGAATCACCCGCAGAAGAATAAGTATGGTTTGTACATGGAAGGGGTATGTGTGACTGAGAAGAAGATTGGGTGCTTGCGTTCACGTCGCGTCGTAGATGACGGGCTCCCCGTTCATCGCACCCCGGCATCAAAATCTTCATGCGTGCGTGCGCCGTACGTTCTCTGCTACCGTGTTGATACTAACATCAGCGTGCACAGGTTCATGTATCGGATCCGGCCATCTCTGGACCACAAGAAGTTTGTTAGGCTCCCTGATAACCCAGATGTCCGTGCGAGCCGTAGTACTAGGCTGAAAACTGATGACCGTATTTAAGATGGAATCCAACTTCCTTCCCATCAATCCGAAGGTGCGCATCAGTCCCACGCAGCTAAATTGGGCTCCTCCTGTCCTCCCCTCGTCGTCGGATGAAGTGGACTTCATCGCAGGTTTGAAGACGATTGGGGGGAACGGCGAGCCGACGTCCAGGGAGGGCCTAGCACTGCATTTCTACTCGGCGAATGCGGACATGAAGAATAAAGCGTTTTGCAACAGCGATGGGGATATGCTGGTGGTGCCACAGCAGGGGAGGTTGGATGTACAGACCGAGTTTGGGAGGTGAGTGCTCTCGTCTGCCGGTGTTACTTGTTTTAAATTTCCTTGGTAGAATGATGGTGCGACCCGGGGAGTTGATGGTTATCCAGAAGGGTATGAAATTCAAGGTGTCGTTACCCGATGGACCGTCCAGAGGATGTGAGCCATGCATAATTGGTAAAATTTATCTTTACTGAAACTCGTCGACACAGATGTACAGGAAATCTTTGGTTCGCACTTCGAGCTTCCAGATCTCGGACCCATTGGTGGACACGGAATGGCTAATCCGAGGGATTTCGAGGTGCCTTTGGCGAGTTTTGAGGTTGACGAAACGTCCTGGGAGAGTGAGTGATGACGTAGCTCTGCAGATTGATTGTACTAACGTCTTTCAAGTCGTCTACAAGTGAGTCTTTCGATGTCAGAGGTCCATCCATGACCGACAAACTGCTAGGATCGGAGGACAACTTTTCTCTGCTGCGCAAGACCATACCCCTTTTGACGTCGTGGCGTGGCAGGGAAAGTGAGTAACATTTTTCTGGTCTCTGCTACTAATATTTGAATGTACCTATAGCTATGTCCCGTATAAGTACCCGTTGGAGAAGTTCATTTTTGTGGGGAGCTTGTTCAAGGACCATATGGACCCTTCGGTTTTCACGGTGTTGACTTCCAAGTCCAAGGCCGCCGGGATTCCACTCGTCGAGGTTCTCGTCGTCTCTGAGAGGTGGGATGTCGCGACTGACAGTTTCCGACCACCTGTACGTACCGGCGGCGTCCATCTGAGCCCTTGTTCACTGATGTCCCGTAGTATTATCATCGGAACAACGCCACTGAGATTTTGGCTCCAGTATTTGGTAAACCTGGTGATCGATTCGTACCTGGGGGCATCACCTTACAAACCGTGTTCTGTCCTCATGGACGTGAGTTGATCATTTGCTTTGTAGAGGAGCGGTTTCGAATGTTTTTCTAGCACCTCCTGACGTGCACAAGGCTGCGAGTATAGCAGAACTCAAACCAGAGCGAATAAGCAAAGACAGGATGGGTGAGTGCACACGTAGACGTTATTTAAAACGATTGCATTGCTCACAAGCAATAGCTATTGCGTTTGAGACTCCGATGGTGTTGTCGATGACTGATTATGCCATGAATCGGGCTGGAACGGTTACTGGTACATGCTTGCGCTTCATGGCTATTCAGAACGTGGCACTCATTTTTATGATCTCAGAATCCGAACCATTGTCTTTCCCACCAGACTTTATTGCTCATCTCGATGAAATCAATGCCGACCTCAAGGCTGCTGGATACGATGAATTGAAGAAGAAATCTGGTTGAAGAGATGGATAATAATGTGTTTCGTCATTATGGGACTATTCTTTATCGACGACAACTGCCTACATCAACATCCTTAACCAAACTATTGGAATCTGTTTTCTCTCTTCATTTCTCCTTTTCGTTCAGAGATCGAGAACTATGTTAATGCATATGCTATGCAAGTCCCAATGTTGATTCCATTCCTTCTCCGTGGCTGGATGCATCACTCACTGGTCAAAAAGGCATTATTTATGCTGGCCAATGTCTTGGGGGAGGAAATAGCATGCACACACTCGACTGATCACTTTCCGAGATTAATATCTTCCAAGGCCAAGTCTTTGTTAACCGAACAAACGTCAGAAAAGGAAGAACAATGGGCCGCAGTAATTAGTAATTCCAAGTCGAATTGTCTATGGAATTTGATACAACCGTGAACAACAAGAAAAGAACCAGAAGAACGCAATTCAACGCCACACAGTCATATTGGAGGATGTGCCGATGATGAACAGCGTTGAAAACACAATGCCAGAAAATTTTCTACAGTCTTACCTCTGCTCAACAAATTATGGTCGTATCTTGCAGCGCTGTGATCGTAACAAGTATCTGATTCATCGTTCAATGTTTGGGGGCGAAATACCAACGGAAGAAGACATTGCAAACTGCACCGCCAAAAGAGGACGCGGGCGTGTGTTGCCACACGACCACGTGCCTTCGACAGGTTCACTTTGATCGACCATTGTCCTTTTCTGCACAGATAAATACTGCGCCAAAATGGTTGTCGCTGCATTCTTTCTCGGTGCTATGTCAGTTTCTGACCTTACTGGTGCTCGTTCTCCGTCTCTGGATGACCCTAACCCCTCGTCTAATGTCCCCTTCACGCCCAAGAATGGTGCACCATCCACTTCTGCTAACGACGACGAGACCAATCCGAAGACGACCCCGTACAATTTCGGCGCTGCGAGCCACCGCGCTTTCCATATGAAGTACGAGCGAAAGGACTACGACAACTTCATCAGGGAGGACCTTGAATCACGCGTATTCATTCCCTCCGATGACTTTCTTCGTGTCATCCTTCACCTTCCCCGGGATTGGAGACAGGATTCCACCATTTCTGCTCTCATTAAAAAGGTGAAAGCAGATGAACAGTGGAAGGCACTGTGGGACGACTACAAGGCCGAATGCAAGACCACGGACGAAACGAATTTATATCACCCGCACAACAGTTTGTGCAATAGGGCGCTCGCTTTGATCAAGGACGGCACACGCTCGGGGCCTGATATTGGTTTCTACCGACAGGACCCTCAGCCTGTCAAAGGGAGCAACGTCGACCTTAAACCGGATGCGATTACTCTCCTGCTGTCTCTATTCAACAGCTCCCAGAACAACATCGAAGACATCAAAACCGGAGGCCCGAAGAACAATATCGGGTGGCCGCAGCTTTTGCAGTGGCTTGAATTCAAATTAAGCTTTACTACCCTGGATAATGGTCGATACGCCACTCGAGTCCTCACAGCAGGTAAGTTTTTGTGCTCTTTGATGTATATAATTTTGCTGACGCGTTACTTATCAGACAAGAAGGATCCGATGGGAAAGCCTTCTCGTCAGAAGCCATATATGCTCCCTGGAGATCCGGAGGGTGTCGGTGTGGTGGCGGGACAGAAACGTAAATCCGACGTAGCCCCGCGAGACTCGCGATCTGGAAAAAAGGTTTCCCGGGCATCGAAGAAGCAAGATGCTGCTGCAAGGAGCCGAATGCAGGAGGAGGCTGAGTCTGAGCGTCTGCGCGAAATATGGAAAGGCAAGGACGATAAGAACAAGGAGGATCCCCGACTACAGTGTGCGCGCTACGCGATGGAGGTGTTGTCTAGTGCTGGGTTCAGGACGCACAGCATCGGTGCCTTGATTGGCGGTACTCACCTTCAGATGCTCTACTATGATCGCTCCTCAATCATCGTATCGCAAGAAATCGACATGGATAATGATCCAGATTCTTTCATTGCTATGCTGATCGGATTGCACGGTCTCACGCTCGAGAAGCACGGCATCCACAGTATCATTGAAGACCCGTTCCTTAGTGACTATGGAGAATACACAAAGGAGCATCAGGACGACACCGCGACGCTGTTCGAAGGGAGGAAGCTGACGCTAAAGAAGTCAGACGGTACTCCCGTGGTCTTGACGCTTGGAAAGATCATCTTCCGACAGCCTGGGATTATTGGTCGGGATACGTGCGTCGTCGAGGCGACGGCTGAGGGTTACGAAGAGTGGAAGGGGATGGAGACGATCGTCAAAATTAGCTGGCAAGCTAAATCGCGTCCCTCGGAGAAGGATTTCATGAACGACGTGAAGACCGCGGTGGACAAGATGTCCAAGGACGGTGCATCACATCATTGGGTCGCGGACCATCTTCCCAATATTCTACTGTCACAGGACTTCGAGATGGCGGAAGATTCGCCACAGGCGAGACTCAAGGAGTACTTTGACGCTGTCAGCTATGCAGATGGAGGTTCATTTAATTATGAGGAGCGGGTGTGCCGTGTCATGGTGCAGGAGAGGCTTTATTCAATTACGAGTCTCCGCGAGCCTCGCCAGTATGCTCAAGGAATATTTGATATATTACAAGGTCTGTCTTTCCTACCATCTGATATCATCCAGCTTGTTAAATTCGATATGGTTGTAGTCCACAAATGGGTATATGACCACGCAAAAATCATCCACCGGGATATCAGCATGACGAACCTTATGTGGCGGAAGAGGAACGGCGTCATTTGTGGGGTGTTGAACGACTTCGATTTGTCTTCCTACCGTGATCGTGAAAGTGCGTCGGCTCTACGTCGCACAGGAACGGGACCGTACTACGCGTGCGATCTCCTTAAGGAGGATCCGCCTGTCCATATCTATCGACATGACGTTGAGTCTATCTTTAACGTCCTTGTCCTTCTTTGCTGTCGCTATGAGATCCAAGCGACTCCCGCTCCAGAAGGCAAAGACCAGCTTGTGCATGTACCGGCCCTTCCATTCGAAAGTTGGTACGATATGTCATACTTACAGCTTCACGACAAGAAGTTTAAATTCTTCATCATGGCCCAAGACCCCGACAAACTTCTCCCAGCTTCTATCAGCTTCTCCGATTTCAAACCATGGCTCATGTTCTGCTACAGTCTGATTAGTGAAGGCCTTTTCGCTGCAATCAGATACGAACGTAACCAATCAAATGGTCCGATTGCTCGAACATTGTTCTCTTCCATAACGTCAAACTCAGAGCCCGCGTTCTCTGAAAAGTTCGACGACGCGACACTAGGAGGTTTTGTAGACTATCCGAGGTTCTTTAAGGTCATGTGCAAGTTTGCTGGCCAAGATCTAACCGTCAAATATAATCCAAATGAGAACCCATATGGTCCGTTTTGAATTCACAATGGCGAGGGCGGGTGGCTATCAGCGAGGATGTATTTTGGTCGTGACGGACAGGATGTGGCAGGTGCTAACTAGTACAGTGATATATGTATCTGAGAAGATATTGTCTCTAGAGAATTCCATAAAGGTCAACATGATTAAAAGACCTTTGAAAATCACACGCCTGATGATAAGGAAGTCCGGGCTTCATTCTGACTCTTGCATGACGCAGGCATGTCTATCTGCATCATCGGAATAGAGAATTTGTCGTGGCGATTTCTTCCAAAGTCTTGTCTTTGGTCTTATAGATGGTTGAGGGAGGTTGGTGTCCGTCGATAGGTCCAGGCTCGAGGGTCTTGCTCGGATAATTAAATAAATGCACCAACTGCTGCCACGAAGGTTGTAACGACAAAGTGTCTAACATGTCGTTGAGATCGACTGTGTGTGGATTGTGAGAAGCTCTTACAATACAAGTTTGCTCCAATGCTTGTGAAAGCCTGCGAATCCGACATCAAGGTAAAAAGAACCAACGCTCGGGGCTGCCCCAGTAATAGAAACACTACAGGTATATTGAAATGCCGATGCCAGTGCCATACTATCGGTCGATGGAAAGTCATAAATCAATGAGACACTGGAGCAAGCGGACGAACACACATCTTATTGCGCAAATGAACAGGGAGAACCACGGTGCTGTACACCTATATTGTGCTGTTCACAATGAAGTCTTACGCAATTCGTCCGAGTAGAGACACAAAAGCTGCATAGGCTCTGATACTCTTGACACAAAGGGCCCTCCATGTCGCCAGACTATACCCTTTATTTTCGACACATAAAGAGCATGTAGGCGGAAGCGCAGAAGGAGAATTTAATGGGTTCACGCATTAACGCTGACAGCAATAGATTTCTATGTTTAGTAGCATCGTGAAGACTGCAATCAGAAGACCGCTACAGAATCTCCGCCGCTTGCGAGCTTGTTAATGGGTGGTCGACCAGACGTAGTACCACGTTAGCGGCGATGGTGCGATGTCGAGGCACGAAAGGTGCCATTGAATCGATATGTATTTACTTGAAGGGAAATGTGACGGCACCCGGTTCAGTATGGCCAGCCGACAGCTGAGTTACTCTAAAAGAGACCATCGCTATCTTTGACATACGAAGCTATATCAAGCCTTTATGGATGAATGAGCGAGGGTTTACAGGATGTAGGCAGGCTGGTTACGCAGAAAGACTGCCATGTGTGCCCTTCCATGGCTCTTCCAGTCCCTATATACGGGCTTTGCTTGGTATTCCAAGCACTCGGATGTCTTGAACGCGTAGAGAACGGGACATTTCGAGCAATAATATGCTCCTCTGGCTGTCGATGTGTTCAACTATAATGAGGAAACCCATTTCCGCAGTTTACAGTAGCGACTGTTTGTCCCATTCAGGAGACATAGTGTCGGAGAGAAGAGAGAAAACGTGACGCAGGCGTTCCATGATCCATAAATTTTCGTTTTTATCGATATCAGGAAGATCGATGGAAAGACGGACGACGTGTCTCCATTCAAGAGAATGACAATGTCTGAGCGCGATGACAAGTCTCGTTCCATTTCTGTCATCCTGAGTTATCACACAATCACTAGTTTGCATATGAGTGAGATATGAAGGCGAAACAAACGAAAACGAATGCCTTTGTATTACAAGCGCTTAGCAGCTAATGACAATTATACGCGACGAGATGCTACCTTCAAGCTGTCACGTTGAGCAACGTATTGAGATTCATCGTCGTTGGGCGATCCTTGTAAATCTCCCACTTTAGGACCTGTTGTATGGAATTTAAATAAAGAAAATCTGGTCTGTATCTTCTTCTGTAATATTCTTTGTTCCGACGGAGTGTCCTCTTTCATGACTCGATGTAGTATAGCATAAGATAAAGGTACACGATAATTAAATTACTATACTGTAGCTTTCCGTCCGATATAAAGGTACATAAGGGATATCTGTCGTGAATGTCATGGTTTCGCGTGTATGATGAAGTAGCATAAGAGATGGGGGTATCAGCGTGTATGCATGCATGTAGACACCCATCAAATGTCCCTGAGATGTAGGAATAAATCAAGGGTATGAGAATCCAAAGTCAGTTCTTCGGTATCTTGCTCCCTTCCGACGCGTTGAACGTGCTGTCGACGTTCTCCACGAAGCGGCCTCTCTCTCCAGCCGCAGGTGCCTTCCGCTTCATCCAAGACTTGAAGCTCCTTCTTCCGGTGCTCATAGCACTAACCGTAGTATCGTTCCCTGACGATCCGGCGCTCGGAAGACCTGGGGACTCCCCACCAGCCTTACCGGGGTCCAGAGCCAATGGAGTGGTGCTCCCACCTGTGGTTATCGCCTCCCCGTCAGCCCTGCCTGCGCCAGGCTTGACCTGTGCAGAATCAGACTTCTTGACCTCCTTCTTCAGCGTGACTGAGCCTTCTTTGGCTGCTGCTTGAGCCTCCGCCTGCATCTTCAAGAACTCGTCTCCCCGGACGCGCAGGAACTCTTCCAAGAGAGCCGCGTTTCGTGAATTGGCTTTCCACATGGCGACAACGACATCGCCGACGATAGGAACGAAACCGACGGCGGCACTGACGGCGTTATTCATCAGCATGCGTCGCAGCAACCAACCGGGTATTTCTGCTTGGCGCGCTTTCCGTACGACGAGGAGATAGTTCAGAGCTACGTTGGCCGCGTCACCAGCACCTGGAATAATTCCGATGAAAAAAGTCCACCCAAACCTGAAACCGCAGATAGAGAAGCCCTTGTCGAGGTAATGCGCACGGTGCTTTACGGATCGTAGAATCTTCATGTCGCGTTTTGATAGGCCTAGGGGTAGCTCGCGCTAGAAATCCAGCTCAGCATCACTTCGTCTTCAAAAAAACGTAAATCCGCACCTTTTTCCTGCGCTGCTTGCCCTGGCCGTCCGTGTAATGTTCGTACAGGGGGTCCACAGGCGCGTACTGCTCCAGGTGCTTCGCAAACAGGTTCTTGCCAGTTTTCTCGAATAATTTGGTCGTCATCGTGGATGGTGGGAACGGTGCGGGGTGGTCAGGGGAGTGGAAGTGATAGAAGAAAATAAATAAAAGATGTCATGACCATCAAACCGCATCAGGGCTTAGCACCGCTTTGCGAATCATATCTCCACATGTCAGTTGGATTAATAGAAAGTCATTAAGTGAAATCACTAATAATGTCCCTAATAAATATAGTACACCTCACACCGGAAATATAAAATATTAGAAATAGATAGTACCTGTACATAAAATTATAGTATAGTATAAAATAAAATTTTATCTGTATCTGCTCTGTAAACAGTAGACCAGCACACCTGAACTAACAAATATAGGTAAAATCTTAATTTATACCGAAATTTTGTGTACAAGTACTACACCTAAATGTTTACGTTCCCGGTGTGCCTGAAAAAATAATCTCAAAACAAACATATTGTTAATCACGTACCCCACCCTCTGTTCGCGCACACATTCCGCCGATTCGTTCTTCCGTAGCAATCAACCTTTCCGCAATCTCTGCAAGCATTCAAACAGAAAGACCTTCCGCCCTTGCCTTTACAATCCGCCGAACCGCATTTTGAACAATGTCTCGGGTTCCGTTTCCGTGGGCTATCACCGGAACCTGACTCTTCGTCCAAGAAAGGATACGCTCGCTTGGCCGGGGGATTTGGCGGTTCATTCCCCAACGGCGGCGGCGATATAGGGTTCGGATTACTGGGGCCAGTAGTAGTGACAGAGTTCGCAACCGCGGAGGATGAAGATTGACCTACTTTCGCGCTGGGTGCGAAATATGGTACGCGGAAAGCAGAGGAGAAATGTCCTCCTTGGGGCTGTGGCTGAGGCTGTGGTTGAGGATACATGTAGGCTGGCCCTGGACCTGCGGATGAACCTGCTACTGAAGGCGTATCGGGTTCTGCAGAAGCAGAGTGCCCCGCATGAGCTTTCCAAGCCTCAGCATATTCAGCAGGGGTCTAGCGTCCCATCATCATCTCTAAGATTGGCATGAAAACGAGGGTAAGGCACTCACCCCCTGTGCCATCGGCGGGTGCTGCACAGTGTCCTCAATCATTTGGTTTTGCTCTTGGGGCTCCTCTTCCTCTTCTTCTTCTGCTACAAGAGTTGTTGGCTCCGGAACGCTATGCTGAATGGAAGAGATAATCTGTAGAATAACTTCTTTCCTGACACCGGATCGTAAAGATCCCTGGACCATATTCCAGAGTGCCTTGGAAACGCCTACGGCTTGCCAATTCCACACCTCGGGACCGCTTCCCAGATCACGATCGAACTGTCGCAGCCGAGCTGGGAACTCTTCGGCCAGGGTATTGGGAAGAGAACGAAAAATGACAGGATCGGTGCTGGCGAATTTGCGGCCCTCGGGGCAAGCCGAGATGCAAGACGGACTGCTACAGACGTACTCGCACCCGATGATGAAGAACGGTCGTTCCAAGTCGTATATCTTGACTGGACCGGAAGTGATACGTCCCTTATTGATGAGAGGAGTCGAACAGCTGGGGCAGGATATACCGTTGAATACGAGGGGCTGGGGATCCCAGTACAAGAACCTGAATTCCAGCAGGGGACGACTGGCATTAGCACCAGTCAAGCAAAAGTACGTGGGGGACGTGGGGAGCCAGAAGGTCCTCAGTAGCGAATACAAGGATGGCAAGCTCTGGTTCTGGTTCCTTGGAGACACAAGGGAACCCAGGTGAGTCTTGAAGGCATCCTCTACGGTACCGGCAGGCGAGACGGGGTTCGGCTCTGCGAGAAAACCAATAAGAGTGTCGATGAAGACGCCGGGCTTGGTGCGCGAAAGCTCCATCCAATCCTCGCCGTCAAAGTTAGGGTCTTGAAGATTTGGGAACATGGGTCGTTTTACATCCTGGCCAGGAAAATAAGCACTCTACAGAAGGGAGTCAAGGTCCGTGCACAAAAAGGAGGAGCACCGCACGCACCCCGCTGGCAATCAGTGCCAGTACCGCAGGATCGTTCTGGGGAGGCTTGCGAGACGGTCGCGGTGGATTCACAGAGCCCGCCGGAAAGCCATCTTTACGAGGCCGTCCTACAGGGCGCTTGATCTTTGGAGGAGCGCCGTCCGGGTACTTCTTCCCACTACCCTTTGGGCGTCCGGGCCTACGCTTCTCCTGCACAGGCGCCGACGAGGAGCCCTGGTTTTGGTTTTCTGCCGCTGCGGTTATGTTCTCGTTCTGGAAGATGACCTGCTGGTGACCAGAAGTGCCTGCCACCGAATCCATCGACTACTGCCTGCAATGTCATGGTGAACATCCGTGGAAACGAAGACACAGAGATAGGAAAGAATATATTCGGGAGGTAAATCGAAAGTAAATCAATAAGATATCCTCAAGAACAGCCGAGGAAAATTGGGAAATAGGAGGTAAAATTGTTTGAAAAACTGCTGGAAACTGATGGCTTACTTATTTGTCTCGAAGGGCACCAATAACGACGATAAAATGTAGATAAATGAAGCTTGTTCTCAGCCGTCCGTCAAATGGACACAGAGAATCTGCCGGGAAATTGGGAGGGATTGTTTGAGGGTAGTCGTCGAGGGTGTGATTATGTGGGATTTATGGCGTGAGAATCTAGTCCTTCCATCTTAGGACGCAATAACTCCATAATAAGACAAAATAATTTATATTAACGCCTCGTGGCCATTCTCATCATTCAAAAATCGTTGTTTCTATTATTAGTTGTAAGCAAAAGTTCGCGGAGCTGAATATTGGATTCTTAAGTGCACGACATGATGAATTTTCAGAAGCTACTGCTTGGAGCGAAATGCACATGTTCTTTTATGCAACAATGCTTTAATTTCCGATGGCATGACACGAGGTTTGAGAAAAGTCTGACGACCCAGATTCTACAAAAAACAGCCGGTCTTCATGGGTGCATTATAACTGAAGAAATGCGCAAACGCAATCATGCGTGCACGGTGATGTAACGCAGGCTTGTGGCCATCAGGCCCGTTGGTGAGCATCGGAGATAGTCCCAACATCATAGGATCAATGAAGCCGGAAGCAAAGGCCTGCCAGTTGGGAAACACGAGTTCCAAGCGCTGCCAGCCTTCCGGGGGCATCATCGGCGCAAGCAGGAGATAAAGGGACTCGGCGAACGATGAACACGCACCTGAAGGACGGTGCCAAGGAAAAATAATCAGCATGCTCCGGGATCCATAAAGGCTTGACATGGCTTCGTATGTCAAAGATAGCGATGGTCTCTTTTAGAGTAACTCAGCTGTCGGCTGGCCATACTGAACCGGGTGCCGTCACATTTCCCTTCAAGTAAATACATATCGATTCAATGGCACCTTTCGTGCCTCGACATCGCACCATCGCCGCTAACGTGGCACTACGTCTGGTCGACCACCCATTAACAAGCTCGCAAGCGGCGGAGATTCTGTAGCGGTCTTCTGATTGCAGTCTTCACGATGCTACTAAACATAGAAATCTATTGCTGTCAGCGTTAATGCGTGAACCCATTAAATTCTCCTTCTGCGCTTCCGCCTACATGCTCTTTATGTGTCGAAAATAAAGGGTATAGTCTGACGACATGGAGGGCCCTTTGTGTCAAGAGTATCAGAGCCTATGTAACTACTATTGTGAGCAAATATTTCGATTTTCATAGATTGTCCTAACTCAGTTTCGGATCGACAGATTGCGAGGCTGACTTGGACCCCAAAAGCCGACACCGGGGATGAAGGCTCTTAGCTGAAATGACTGGCATTAGTCCCAGATATATGTACCTATATTGGCTGACGCAGGTTCTATAGGACAACGGAGCCTGATTGAGGTCTAAAGTGCAATGCTGCGATGGGAGTTATCGACTGACCGCTTATCTTCTCATTGTTCGCAGTGCAAATTATGGTTGCACTTTCTGGAATCAATATTAATATTAGTGGGTTTGCCGGAGGCTTCTTCCTTGTGTCAGTGTTTCTAGGCGATAATACGAAATTTGAGACTACTATCAACTGATGCTCCATACAGTACGGGGAGACCCGTAAGCTTTTAACGGTCGTATATGGATACGGATGCGGTGCGGATCCCTACCAGTTGGGTATGAATGGCCAAACGGTACTCGCCGTTAGCGGGCGTCTTTGGGACTGTGGGTCTCATCGCAAATTTACCTTCTGTTAGCAGTAACTAGTAACATTTCGTCTGTTCTGCAATCAATCATTCTAATTTATTTATAGTTGTATCTTTTGGATAGATTTGGCCGCGTCAAGCTTCTGAAGTTGGGCCTGGCCGTATTGTGCATGGGCCTGGCCTATTGTGCTTTGATGATCCGCTATTTCTCTAGCTCAGATAACAACATCGGCAAGGGAATGACGGTCTTTGGGCTGTATATGTATGTCATCTTTCGTCAGTCTCTCCCCTACCGTTTGTGTCTCTACTCGGACGAATTGCGTAAGACTTCATTGTGAACAGCACAATATGGGTGTACAGCACCGTGGTTCTCCCTGTTCATTTGCGCAATAAGATGTGTGTTCGTCCGCTTACTCTAGTGTCTCATTGATTATGACTTTCCATCGACCGATAGTATGGCACTGGCATCGGCATTTCAATATACCTATAGTGTTTCTATTACTGGGGCAGCCCCGAGCGTTGGTTCTTTTTACCTTGATGTCGGATTCGCAGGCTTTCACAAGCATCGGAGCAAACTTGTATTGTAAGAGCTTCTCACAATCCACACTTCGTCGTTACGACCTTCGTGGCAGCAGTTGGTGCATTTATTTAATTACCCGAGCAAGACCCTCGAGCCTGGACCTATCGACAGACACTAACCTCCCTCAACCATCTATAAGACCAAAGACAAGACTTTGGAAGAAATCGCCACGACAAAGTCTCTATTCCGATGATGCTGTAGATAGACATGACTGCGTCATGCAAGAGTCAGATTGAAACCCGGACTTCCTTATCATCAGGCGTGTGATTTTCAAAGGTCTTTTAATCATGTTGACCTTTATGGAATTCTCTAGAGACAATATCTTCTCAGATACATATATCACTGTACTAGTTAGCACCTGCTACATCCTGTCCGTCACGACCAGAATACATCCTCGCTGATAGCCACCCGCCCTCGCCATTGTGAATTCAAAGCGGACTATATGGGTTCCCATTTGGATTATATTTGACGGTTAGATCTTAGCCAGCAAACTTGCACATGACCTTAAAGAACCTTTGATAGTCTACAAAACCTCCTAGTGTCGCGTCGTCGAACTTTTCGGAGAACGCGGCCTCTGAGTTTGACGTTACGGAAGGGAACAATGTTCGAGCAATCGGACCATTTGATTGGTTCCGTTCGTATCTGATTGCAGCGAAAAGGCCTTCACTAATCAGACTGTAGCAGACCATGCGCCAGGGTTTGAAATCAGAGAAGCTGATAGAAACTGGGAGAAGTTTGTCGAGGTTTTTCGGCGGCGCATTGAAACCTCTCCTTGTAAAGTTGTGAGTACGACATATCGTACTAGCTCTTGAATGAAAAGATGTGTACATGCCAAGCTGGCCTTTGCCTTCTGGAGCTGGAGTCTCCTGAAACTTTTGTTGGGTTGAATTCCAATCTTGAAGAGTGTTACATTCCATTTCTGGGATTCATGCAGCTCTGGGAACATTTCGTTTAGCATGAGGTCACTGAGAGGTAGAGACGGTGTAAAGAAACTGTTGGGAATAGATGTCAGCAGGCATAAAGAACGTGGTGGGTATAGCTGAACAAACATATATTCGTGAACTGATACATAGGTGGTGGTGGTACAAAGCCAAAAAGCAGTAACGATCGATACAAAAATTTAAATAATGTGAAACAAACGACGGAGTAGCCGTCGGCCCAGTGGCTGTGAAACCACCATCCTCAACAGAAACCAGATGTTCCAGTCATGAGTCCAACTGAGAATGTGTCTCAGATTTAGCAACAAGGTAGACAGTCATTCACAATCCAATTCTCTAGCTGCTGAAACAAGGACTCATTCAGGTGACACCTAGAAATTGAAGACAACTTTGTAGACAATAATAGGAATAATTGCGGTGAGAGCCTTGATGTGGCTGTACATCGCCCTTTTCGCTCGATATTAATACGATTTTTCCCATTACGAAGTGGGCTCTTGCAGCGATATTGGATACCAAACAAAGGACCTCAAGCAAACGAGCGGTGAGATGGAGCAAGAAAATCTGATGGCTGCGGTACGTCGACTTTTTCTTTCAAATGCGTTGACCTTACCAAGTCCGTGAAATAGTGAGCGATTTCATTTTGGATGCTGGATGTCTCTGATGCCTCAACTTTCTAGCTATGAGGGATATCCACAGAACTTGAGCTAGAGGAGAAACAGCAGTCTCAACCATCTGACTCTTATCGGCCAATAGCTATCTTAGCAAAGTCGCCGGAAAAATGCACGATTATGGGTACAAATGCCAAGATACCTCTGGAGAATCCATTGAGGAAGCCGCAGACAGGTGTGAGTCAGATATCGGCTGAATAACTGCCCCTAATCTACTTCTTCCTTTAAATGGCTGTAAGAGGATAGGGCTTGCTTCTTGTCCCTGCGACGCCCTTCGCCATTTTCTGTAATGGCCGACACTCAGACGACCGAGGTCCATCCCTATGAATCATCCTTGATCACTTCAGATCAGACCCCCATACGCAACACAACGAGCTCGTCTATGTCCTCCGACGAGAAAAAGCTTCATGCTGCTAAAGATCCTGAGGTTGCCATGTCCAAGGAGAAGGAGGAAGATGAGACTACCACTCTCTATCAGAGGTTCCGCCCATCCATCCTAGGAGCGGTTGCAATTGTCATCTTGGGGTGGTGGATAAGTGCTACGGTGTTGGAAGCCACACGCCATCGCTGGTAAGTGCTTCCCCTCTTTAATATCCAGTTTCTTTAGAGACCGGGCTTAGGATTGTCCAAACACTCTTTGCTTGGTTCTTTCTCTTCGTCATCGCTTTCCGGTTTATTCCCAACCGTGTTGTATCGAAGCCTGTCGGCGCAATATGGATGCCATTCATCCAAGAACCATGGTACGGGTTGAACCGCGGTTTACGACTGACAATCGGTTGGTTGTGTCTCCTCGGCATTGTCTTCGGTTCTGCTTTTGGTTTCAAACTCGAGAATGTGAGATTAAGCCGGCCTTCAGTATATTGGTCATTGACGAAAAATCCAGGGTTCCAACTATGGCGATCGTGCAATTTCTGTCCTCGGATTGTTCATCTTCCAATGCGGCTTTGTGCTTTCGTCAAAGTCGCGTTCCACAATTCCCTGGTAGGTGCTGGGTCATTATATATATCTTTTACTTACATTACTGTGCAGGCCTACCGTTATCGTTGGTTTGTTCATGCAACAGGCTATCGCTCTCTTTGTGCTCAAGAGTGGAGCCGGATTCTCGATCTTCAACTGGATCGCGACTCTGGCTGCTGATTTTCTCAGCCAATCCAAAGCTGGTGCAACCTTCTTCTTTGATGCTGACACTGTAGCGAAAAGTTGGTTCTTCGTGAACACCGTACGACCAAGTTGTCCAAGTTCACGTTGTTTTTGACTCATCTAACGTTCAGCTCGCCGCGATTATCTTTTTCGTTGCATTTGTGCAAATGATGTACTACCTTGGGGTAATGCAATGGATACTTAAAAACTTGTATGTATCGTGTCTTTGTCTTTACTTTCAGTCAATCTAACTACTCCACTTCTCTACTCAGCGCCTGGTTCTTCTTCAAATTATTGGACGTGTCCGGTGCTGAGGCAGTTGTGGCCGCTTCATCTCCATGGATTGGTCAGGGGGAGTCTGCTTGTTTGGTTAGACCATACGTTGACCGTACGTGATTAATTGCAGATCGTCTGGTCTGTCTAACGTATTTTCGTATATCTATCTAGTCATGACGGATTCGGAGCTGCGTGAGTCCTTTACTTTCTCCTTCTTTCCCCGCGTTGATCCTATGCTGAAACAGACTTGACAATGACTTCTGGATTCGCAACGATTGCTGGGTCTGTTATGTCCGCTTACATCTTCTTGGGGGTCCCACCGGAGAATTTAGTGACGTCTTCTGTGATGAGTATCCCAGCATCCATTGCCATAAGTAAGATTCGAATGCCGGAGCACGAGGAGCCCGTTACTCGCGGTAACATTGTCATTGATCGCGGCGAAAGCCAGGAGAATGCGCCGGTATGTATTATGACATCTGCTTGGTTTGTGCTCATCGTGTCACAGAGCAACGCCCTTCATGCATTTAGTCAGGGCGCTGTTTTCGGTCTCATAGTCGCCGGCCAGATTCTGTGAGCTTCTTCATCTAGATCTTCTTATCGAGAAAGACATATCCTGACGGCTTTCTCCAAGGACTAACGTTCTTACCGTCCTATCTCTGGTATCTGCGTACGTCTACAATCTACATTATATATATGGCGTCCTAAACATGTCCACTCTTGTAGTATCAACGGCCTTCTCACGTGGATCGGTCACGGATTTGGAATCGACCAATTGACTCTCCAACTCATTATTGGTTACATATTCTACCCTGTCACATTCTTCTTGGGTGTTCCCCGCGACGAGATCCTTCAAGTTTCCCAGTTGCTTGCGACAAAATTGGTCGCAAATGAGTTCTCTGCATACGAGAAGCTCCAAACATTGATGGCTAGTGATAATGCACTTTCGCAGCGAGGATATACAATTGCTTCGTACGCGCTTTGTGGGTTTGCCAATCTTGGCTCTCTCGGTATCCAGATTGGTGTGCTCGGCGCACTGGCACCTTCTAAGAACAAGGTTATTGCTCGCATTGCAGTCTCAGCGATGATTTGTGGATTTTTCTCTACACTCCAGACAGCTAGTATTGCGTATGTGCTGTCCACTGTCCATATGGTTCGAGTACTGATGGTCACTCTAGCGGAATGCTTGTATGAGAGGGATTTTGTTAGATTACCAAGCAGGAGCTCCGTCGTATCCCGCCGGCCGAGCTCAATACCCTTTTATGTCGGGGTGGACATTATATATTGAATACGAACTATCGAGCACCCTCACCACGTTTCCACTTATTGATACGCTGTGTGAGGGTGAGTATTTGCCTATGCTACTACGTTTACCTTACTGATTGATACCTATAGTCTACGAGATAGCTAACTGTGTATACTATTAGGTCCTATGAATTTGCATCACTTTCTTAGAGGATTTCTGTCCCAATTTTTTTTAAAAAACAGAGGGTATGTATTCGATTTGTAGTTTACGTCGACATGATAAGTAGATGATGTTAATGAATAACTAGTCTTGTAAACCAGACCCAATGATCCACATGAAGAGAGGTCATTAGAATTAACTCTTTTACATAGTGTCAACTGCTTTGTGTAATGGATGACATACTCGAGCAACCTAGTTCTGAAGCTCCTCCACCAAAGCTCGATGATAATCCCCATGAACAGTCATCTGAAGACGAGGATGAAGGCCTCGACTGGACCAAGTTGAAGTCCATCATCTTCATTCTCAGTAACACAGTGTCTGTGCTGAACGGCATCCAAGGACAGGAATTTCTCGCCCCGTCATCCCCGAGCGCGGTGAAAAAGAACATGAACCTGCTGCCGGTGGTGAGAGTGGGTTACAGCAACATATTTTGCAATGGTCACGAAATGCGATGTTTGATGCGTTGAGCGACCCGGACGATCTCCAGGTGAGTCACACATTTTTCTGTCCATCTCCTTGGCTGACCATTCTCACAGTAAGCTATAGGATTTGGCATCCATCCCTGGCACGTGTCTCCGTACATGTTGCCCGAGGAACCCACTTTTCAAGTATGGGTCATTCTGCGTCACGTCCGGTGGATGGCAAAGAAAGGCCTACAAAAACGTATGGAGTTACTCTCAGAAGAGGCTATTTATCTGATTGAGCGGGTTCCCTTTTCTGCTGGAAGGAGATTGACATTGACCTGTCTGGAATGGAAGACGTTTCTGGAGCCCTAATGAGTGTCCATTAGGCATACGCTGAAATGATTGGGACAGAGGATGTTACCCTGGAGAAATATCAGGTCCATAAACTGATTCTGCCCTATTGTCTGATCTGATCTATCGTAGGTTTACTCCTACCTCAGGCAACTGGGATACGTTGTCACTAGGACCGTACCACCTACGTCAGAATATCCGGCGGCAGCACCTTTTGTGAAGATGGGCCAACTTGGACAGCCAAGATCTTCTATTTTTGAGCAAATCCGGTCAACTCTCTCCAGCTGGATACTCAAACTCTTCACATCTACCTTCAACTGGTGGAAACCTCTGGTATAAGCCGTTGGCTCTATCATGATAAAAATTATGGTTTGTTTTTTTTTCAGCCTCTCCTCAGCATGGATGATAACCCGAATTGCCTATACCTTTGCCAAAAAGGTCACCTCCATCTCGTCCAGCACCTACCCCTCTCCTGGTGGCGAGCAGTTCTGCCCTTCCTACATCACAACCTGGGACCACCTGCGCGCCGACTAAATCTCTTTGTCACGCTTAGGGCAGGGAAGAAAACCGTAGTCGTCGCTGCAGTGGATTCAGGAAACATAAGTTTCTTTTGATTCATGCAGGGCGCATTTATGGACTGGCCAATGGCGTAGCATGACACTCGGTTAAAGGATGTATTGCGTATCTTGTAGAGCACTAACTAACATGAATGCGAGACTGACTTTATGAAGACGATTGTGCGCCCGCTATTTGAGCCAGAAACGTCTTCAAAATGCTTTTGCGAAGCTCGTAATGATACCTAGTGTCTGTTTCCTCTCTTTTAGGCGTAAACATTGTCATTAACTTTCGTTCCAATGGCTCCTGCTCTGATGCAAATCTGTTCCCCTGCTCCCTCATCACTTGCCAGAGATGGCCGACCCGCATGCATGGAGATACAGGATGAAAACCGGCTCATTCTAGGATCTTCAGGCAGGAGTGGAGGCGCTGACGATAGGCCATTGGACAGCTTCACTTTGACGAAACAAGTGTCAGTTTCATGTTGTTTTTCACACCCACCGGAGAATAGCAACATTTTACAAAGTTCAACGGTCCATGGCAGAATAATCACAGTCTTAAAACTCCTCTTCCTCCTTGAACGAGCCTTTGTCATCTCTACTACATTTCCCTTTCATCGCATGCTTGTTCAACTAATCGCGTCTCCCCCACACTGATTACACTGGAATGTCATCTCAGGGAGATGCTCTGTCTCCTTAAAGTGCATTCTCAGATAGTCAGGCATCTGCGTGACTACATCGCATCCAAAGCAAGGGCACCAAACAAAAGGCGGCATGGGGACGCAGTGGTTTCTGGGTAGCATTGAGAGAGTCTAGCTCGGCGTCGCAGTCGGGGTGCATGCATCGTATGCGGACTTTGGGAACGTCGGGTGAGAGATACTGAGGGAAGAACGGTTGACTCCAATTTCTGGAAGATCGCTCCGAACTGTGCTTTGCTGTATTTTCCAACATGATTTGACTGGCGGGCGGTGTCAATTTGGGAGATTGACCAGTGAATGCGTGAAGATGTGGATGTGGCAATCGTGTTTAGATACGATAAATCATACATGTCCTCAGGTAGCAGTGTAGTCCAGCAGGATAGGATTCAGGAATGTGAGTGGTAGGCGACAGACACGTTGGAAATATTGCATTACACCAATTAAGGCGTATATAATGAGTCCCCCTCTGATGTCTTGAGGATCTTCATTCTCCCGGTTTTCTGGTACCTCCACGAGGTTGTGCTGAAGCGCATAGTCGAGGAGCCGCTGATAAGTGGGGCCAAACCCGTATTGGAAGAGAGGCGGGTAGCAGGTCAGATCAGTGACTACGTATTTACTTGGAAGTGTTTTTAAAGCATTCGTCTTCTTCCCAGAACCAGTCCATCTCTATGGATGCATTAGAGATGAGTGTAAATGGACAAAATGCATTCGTACTCTTGGCCGCTCAAGCACTTCTTTCGCTTTAAAGGATGGTTCAACAGGAGTAGCAGGATCTCTAAGTGGCATCATGGCCTAACGAGGTGAAGTTGGTTGGCAATCGAAACAGCTCCTATCATCTGCAGCTTTTACTTCTTCCTTTGGTGTGGGATTCTTTCAAATTGTTACTACTGGTTGCCCTGGTCTGACTGGGGAGACATTATTATACATAACACTGTACTAGTTAGCACTTGCCACTTGCTGCTCGTCGCGACCAAAATCCTACATCTTCTCTTCAAGATCCCTCGCAGCGTCAAATCTGAGACTCTGCTTTCGTCACATTTGGATCATATTTGATGATTAGAGGTTGGGCCGCAAATGTGCGCATCACCGTAAAGAATGTCGAATAGTCAACAAAACCTCCTAGGGTTGCGTCGTCGAACTTTTTGGGGACCGTGGCTGCTGATTCTGATATTCTGGGAGATTTGAATTGAGCAAACAGATCATTTGGACTGCTGTACCCAGGCGAGAGGTAATGGTTTCTGTCGGAAAAGCCTTGCTTGATCAGATGATAGCACATACTGAGCCAGGGTTTGAAATCAGAGAAGCTGATAGAAACTGGGAGAAGCTTGTCGAGGTTTTTCGTCGGCGCATTGAAGAATTGAAACTTCTCCTTGTAAAGTTGTGAGTACGACATATCATACCAGCTCTCGAACGGAAGGACGTGTACATGCACAAGCTGGTCTTTGCCTTCTAGAGCTGGAGTCTCCTGAATCTTGTAACGGCAGAAAAGAAGGACAAGGACGTTGAACATAGATTCAACGTCGTGGCGATAAATATGAACGGGAGGATTGTCTTCGAGGAGATCGCATGCATAGTACGGTCCCGTTCCCGTACGACGTAGAGCCGACGCACTTTCACGATCACGGTAGGAAGACAAATCGAAGTCGTTCAACACCCCGCAAATGACGCCGTTCCTCTTCCGCCACATAAGGTTCGTCATGCTGATATCCCGGTGGATGATTTTCGCGTGGTCATATACCCATTTGTGGACTACAAGCATGTCGAGTTTAACGAGCTGGATGATATCAGATGGTAGGAAAGACAGACCTTGTAATATATCAAATATTCCTTGAGCATACTGGCGAGGCTCGCGGAGACTCGTAATTGAATAAAGCCTCTCCTGCACCATGATACGGCACACCCGCTCCTCATAATTAAATGAACCTCCATCTGCATAGCTGACAGCGTCAAAGTACTCCTTGAGTCTCGCCTGTGGCGAATCTTCCGCCATCTCGAAGTCCTGGGACAATAGAATATTGGGAAGATGGTTGGCGACCCAATGATGTGGTGCACCGTCTTTGGACATCTTGTCCACCGCGTTCTTCACGTCGTTCATGAAATCCTTCTCCGAGGGACGCGATTTAGCTTGCCAGCTAATTTTGACGATCGTCTCCATCCCCTTCCACTCTTCGTAACCCTCAGCCGTCGCCTCGACGACGCACGTATCCCGGCCAATAATCCCAGGCTGTCGGAAGATGATCTTTCCAAGCGTCAAGACCACGGGAGTACCGTCTGACTTCTTTAGCGTCAGCTTCCTCCCTTCGAACAGCGTCGCGGTGTCGTCCTGATGCTCCTTTGTGTATTCTGCGTAGTCGCTAAGGAACGGGTCTTCAATGATACTGTGGATGCCGTTCTTTTCGAGTGTGAGCCCGTGCAATCCGATCAGCATAGCAATGAAAGAATCTGGATCATTATCCATGTCGATTTCTTGCGATACGATGATTGAGGAGCGATCATAGTAGAGCATCTGAAGGTGAGTACCGCCAATCAAGGCACCGATGCTGTGCGTCCTGAACCCAGCACTAGACAACACCTCCATCGCGTAGCGCGCACACTGTAGTCGGGGGTCCTCCTTGTTCTTATCGTCCTTGCCTTTCCATATTTCGCGCAGACGCTCAGACTCGGTCTCCTCCTGCATTCGGCTCCTTGCAGCAGCATCTTGCTTCTTCGATGCCCGGGAAACCTTTTTTCCAGATCGCGAGTCTCGCGGGGCTACGTCGGATTTACGTTTCTGTCCCGCCACCACACCGACACCCTCCGGATCTCCAGGGAGCATATATGGCTTCTGACGAGAAGGCTTTCCCATCGGATCCTTCTTGTCTGATAAGTAACGCGTCAGCAAAATTATATACATCAAAGAGCACAAAAACTTACCTGCTGTGAGGACTCGAGTGGCGTATCGACCATTATCCAGGGTAGTAAAGCTTAATTTGAATTCAAGCCACTGCAAAAGCTGCGGCCACCCGATATTGTTCTTCGGGCCTCCGGTTTTGATGTCTTCGATGTTGTTCTGGGAGCTGTTGAATAGAGACAGCAGGAGAGTAATCGCATCCGGTTTAAGGTCGGCGTTGCTCCCTTTGACAGGCTGAGGGTCCTGTCGGTAGAAACCAATATCAGGGCCCGAGCGTGTGCTGTCCTTGATCAAAGCGAGCGCCCTATTGCACAAACTGTTGTGCGGGTGATACAAATTCGTTTCGTCCTTGGTCCTGCATTCGGCCTTGTAGTCATTCCACAGTGCCTTCCACTGTTCATCTGCTTTCACCTTATTAATGAGAGCAGAAATGGTGGAATCCTGTCTCCAATCCCGGGGAAGGTGAAGGATGACACGAAGAAAGTCATCGGAGGGAATGAATACGCGGGATTCAAGGTCCTCCCTGATGAAGTTGTCGTAGTCCTTTCGCTCGTACTTCATATGGAAAGCGCGGTGGCTCCCAGCGCCGAAATTGTACGGGGTCGTCTTTGGTTTGGTTTCGTGGTCGTTAGCAGAAGTGGATGGTGCACCATTCTTGGGCGTGAAGGGGACATTAGACGAGGGGTTAGGGTCATCCAGAGACGGAGAACGAGCACCAGTAAGGTCAGAAACTGACATAGCACCGAGAAAGAATGCAGCGACAACCATTTTGACGCAGTATTTATCTGTGCAGAAAAGGACAATGGTCGATCAAAGTGAACCTGTCGAAGGCACGTGGTCGTGTGGCAACACACGCCCGCGTCCTTCTTTGGCGGTGCAATTTGCAATGTCTTCTTCCGTTGGTATTTCGCCTCCAAACATTGAACGATGAATCAGATACTTGTTACGATCACAGTGCTGCCCAAGATACGTCCATAATTTGTTGAGCAGAGGTAAGACTGTAGAAAATTTTCTGGCCTTGTCTTTTCAACGCTGTTCATCATCGGCACATCGACCAATGAAATGAGATCTCTTCTACAAATTTCGGTGTATATGTTATGACCGTGTGGCGTTGAATTGCGTTCTTCTGGTTCTTTTTTTGTTGTTCACGGCTGTATCAAATTCCATAGGCAATTCGACTTGGAATTACTGAGTACCGCGGCCCATTGTTCTTCCTTTTCTGACGTTTGTTCGGTTAACGAAGACTTGTCCTTGGAAGATATTGATCTCATTATATGCACGATCCGTACCCCGAAACACGTTTTTTGTGGACATCTTGCTTCCCATCTGTACCTTCTAGTTGTCTCTTTTCCCATGTGCATTAGCCTGTATGCACGGTGGACCTCTGGCGCGTATCATTGACTAACATGCGTGTATCATTGGAGGGAACGCTGCGCTGTGTAGTGAAGTGCGCTCTGAAATGAAACCGCTATCACTTCTCGAGGGTTCCCCTGTTTAAGTCCTCTTCAATACGCTTATTCTCGGCAATGACTTGAATCAGGTTTACCTTGAATAATGCCTAATGCTGCAGTTACCGAGACTGCGGGGCTATCGTCTGAAGGTGCATGTTTTCTTGGGTTCAGAACCGGGATTCATTTTTTTATCACCCGAGGAGTCGATTGGCCATATTATTGATATCCTGCACTCTGGCCGTGCTCCCTCGCCTGCATCTCGGTCCATCTTGGAGCCAGGGTCCCTAGCACCGATGCCCTTCCCGTTTATTTGCGCAATAAGGTCAATGATTGTCCAGTTGCTGCTATCACTGAGACAGGCCCGAACATTGGTTCTTTCACTCTGACACCGATTTTCCTTCGTTCTGAATTTCCTTGCAGGCTTAGGCAAATTTCAGAGCAAACTTATATCATATATGTTGATTTGAACAATATCCTTTGTCTCTATGACTGTAAGTGTCGACTAACTCGCAGCGTCAGGACCAAAAGCAAGACACAAAGTTGGTGATGGATGTCAGTATTCACGTTGTCGTGTCGGTTGCCAGCAATCTTAAAAACATTATATGAAACATAAGCAGACGGATTTGACAAAAGACATCATCTAGTAATCACATCTACAATGCTAAGTACTTTCATAGGATAACATAATGAAAGAACCAGTGTTGCGAAGAGCGTTCGAGATCATCGATTAAGGACGACTATGATTGGTAAAACAAAAAGAAGGAAGCTTCCATATTTGCTAATCACTGAAACATTAACTGTGACCTATGAGTTGGCCTACAGTTTTCAGTTCATGAAGGCTCGGAATCTTCAATCCGGATTTCAGACAATTTAAGCTGGAAAAAGAAAGTTAACATATCGCATTCAACGACACCAGCAGGATTTGAACCTGCGCACTCAGAGAGTAACAGATGAATGTAAATTCTAATCTGTCGCCTTAACCACTTGGCTATAGTGCCGTTGATGTCACTTAATTTATTATCATGTTATTCCTCATCATCAGTTATCTATTTTGCACTTCTTTCGATGTATGCCAAGCCTTTATCCTCCTCCTCGACCAACCGATCCCGATTTCACCCCAAGTCGATATCAGTATGGATTTGGCTCAGCTACCATCTATGCATGCCGTCATCATCTTTCCAAGAGCGAAGACCCCAAAGACGTTCAAGCGTCGTTGTGTGGTCCCAGTCCGACGCGTCTAAGGTATTATGAAAATCAAGTTTACGTGTCGTGAGGAGCTTGAGGATAACGAACATGCTGAGGTTGTGGAGTTACTCAGTAAGAGCTTGAGAGTCTCATATGGTCCCAGGTTGCTGGTGAGTGTATTACTGTAGTTATCGAGAGATACTTCTCATCGGTATCCGTTAGGATCAGTCAATCTAAATGCCTCCGCCGTTGCATGTCTTTCCAGCTCTCGTTCCACTGCCTCGCGTTATGTAGATACCTCGTCTTCAACTCTCGTCAGATAACCACAACACTCAATTTCATCGAGACGAAGAATATATCGCCGAAGAAAGAATATACAGACATGCGTTCAATCTGTATGTTCGGGACTGGTATCGCATCAGGGAGGCCTTTTAGAAGACAGAAGAGATCCTTATCCGGTAATTGAACACAGAACCATTTTCGCGAGCTATCTATCCTTAGCTTTGATATGCTGGTGCCTTGGTAGTACTGCTCCCAAATAATTGGCTATAGAAACGCCGTTCCTCGGTGCGGTCTCTAGCTCGCTGTTTGGAACATCATTGTCAGTGATCCTTTTTCATGTCTCTCAGGCTTGGATCACTACGGACGCTGCAATCTTCATCGGAAGATGACGGATCTGCATTTCCACTTCGTTGAGAGAACCTATTTTCACTCTATGGAAGGAGCAGCTCAAAACGAGGTACATACTCAATTCTCTACAGAGAGCTTCTCTATATCTTACACATTCTTGCTCTCTTTTCTTTAGAATTAGTTGATAAATCCGGTGGTTCGCCAGTGTGCCACCCATTTTGCCACAAGCTCTCTATCAACGACCGGTGCCTGTTTCAAAGTAGGTGTGATTTTGGTCGTTATCTCTGTCAAGAACACCATCGGCGCTCTATGGGATGGTCCATATCTCATTCGGAAGAAAGGCTGCCGCACAATTTGTGAGCAACCAACCTGTCACCACTCACCAACAACGGTACTCACCAACAGCTTGATAACCGGATTCTTCTTCCCATCCGCATCAGACTTGGCTAGCCTCTCCACCCACTCGTTCTTATCCACACGCTCGAAGCTCACACCAGAAGCTTCCAGTCCAGCGAGAATATCCTTCCAATGAGCCGACGTGTTGGGATTCACGATGTGGTACACAGCCGTGGCAGGCTTCGTCGTACTCAATACGACCTCTGCTATACTTTTCCCTGCGAAATCTACAGGGAGCCACGAAGGGTGTTCGTCAACCACAGGAAGCGCGCCCACAGTATTCGCACTCTTGAACATCAATGGCCATGCCTCCGTTTCGTTCCACACGCCACTTAAAAAGGAAGAAATCAACATATGCTCTTCTCTCAAGGACGAGACCACCTACTGCACAGAATCCCCGACCATCTGGCCTATCCGCAGAACCGACACGGGCACCCTACTCTTCTCCGTTGCGCGCTCACACAGCTTCTCCACGACCCACTTGCTCTGCGCGTAACCCGTTCCTGCAGCCGTCGACGGTGCAGGAGAAAAGCCCTCCGAACATGTCTCGTCCTGGGACCCTTGCCTACAGCTGACGGACGAGCTGAACGCGAACGAGGCAGGCTCGGAGAAGGGAGACTCAAGGCACAAGTTGATGAGATTCACCGCGCCTCCGATATGCGTGTCATAGGACTCGATGTTGAGCACGAAATTCACAGGCCAGGCGTTCTGTTTTCAGTCCACGGTAAATACCACGACACGGAAGGAGGATGAGGTTGTAACGTACGTGGATAACGTCCGTCACCTCATCTCGTAGTGCGCCGTACTCTTCTGCTGTCAACCCGAGGAGAGGTTCGTTGGCGTTTGCTCCGTACGACGTGACCTTGGTTTCGTCGACGGAAACTTTCCGGGCAGCGACCGACGCTCTGACACGCTCCAGAGATTCCGCGTGAGACTTGGCGCGAGACAGACAGACGACCTTTCCAACGGAAAAGGATGCTGTTAACTGAGAAAGAATGTGTGCACCGAGGGATCCCGTTGCGCCGGTGAGGAGCTATGCGTGAGTAGAGTGAGTCTTTATTTTGAGGTGCAAGGAATCTGGGCTTACGATTACACGTCTGTCGGTAGGCTTTGGTGGAGCATTAGCTCTGGCCGTATGTGTGCCAACCTTGGCACCCCATTTATCGAGCAGTGCTAGCATCACGGCTTCGCACCCATTGTCTACTTGAGTAACACCGCTTTGTAGTCGCAGGATGTAATCCGCAAGTCTGGAAAAGCATCGAGGTCAGTCCCACAGTTCAAGGATGAAAAATGGACGCACTTCTCCACCGACGGATGCTCATACACCACTAACGAAGCAGTTGAGAGTCTTTCATTCGTCTGGAAGCAGAATGGCCTCTCTTACCTGTTTGTCTAAGGTTATGAGTCTCCAATTCCAGCTCCTTCTGAAAGCTATTCCGAATCCTCGTCGCCTGTAACGAGTCTACTCCAAATGCGAAGAGATCTACTTTTCTATCAAGCTTCGCTGACCGATTGGGGCCAAGAGCTTTGGCAATGGTATCAAAGATGTATGCCTCCAGCTCCTCTCGTGGTAGTGTCTTCTTCTCCACCTCGAAGTCAGTTTGGTCGAACCGAGCGTAGATGTTTTCTGAAAACCAGTAAATCCATGACGCATGGGCCGGTATCGAAGCGAGGGCCATACCTATGAGGTCCTTGAACTTCGAATAACACGCCGATCGGAGTATACTCATCTTGGTGGCTACCGGGATAGCTGTATCATACCTGTGTTCTTTCCATCAGTTTTCGTCTCGAACACGGTATATGGACGTACGGCAAGAACTCAACCATCTCGGGTAGCAACCGCGAATGGGTTGGTGCTTCAGCGTTGGCTTGTTCGATGACGGGCCAGACTTTGGACATGAGCTCATCCTGGGAGAGGCCTTCTTCATTAGCGAGGTCGGAAGGGAGGATCAGGCACCCCGTTTGGGGTTTCCCGGCCCCGAAGACGATGGCTGGGAAGACATTAATAGATAAAACGCTATGAGGGATATTGGTACTACCTTCTGCGACGTATGGGCTGTTTCCTCGGATACAGAGTTCCATGGGGACTGTCGCTCGTCAGCTGGAGTAGAACGCCTAGGAGGATGCTTACCGGGGTTGGTCTTCTCCCCGAGGATATGTACAAGCGTGTCGTCGAGACGTCCGATGTACTTATACAAGTCTTTGCGCTCAGGATGTCGGAGGAAGAGATCCTTGGTCGCGTAGGATCCGTCGGGGCGGTTAGTCTCGATCTAAGAAGGCCTGAGATTGCACACCCAAATATTTGGGGAATGGACTGACATACCTTTGGAGGATACCCGTCCTTGACGATAACTTCAAAGGTATCGCCGCCTTGTGGTTCCCAAACGAGATAGTTGGCTGAACCGAGGAGAGGGCGAGTCCAGTTCCAGAGTTTGTCCGTCGAGAAGTCACGGTTAGAATTCATCAGAGATCCGGTCTGCATTAGGTGAGTCAGGTTTATCAATGGGAGGAACGTTGAACACTATTCTTTACCTCTGTTGTTCCGTAGATGCTGAGTAAGTTCACTCCTGCTTGGACGAGTCTGTCACCAAGATCATCCTGGTTGTAAAGATGATAACGAAAGGGAAGCAGAAGGGACAAATGATGATCTTACGGGCAGAGGGGCACCTGCATATCCGACAATATCGAAACTGGCTAGGGCGTTGACGCCTTCAGGTGTTTCCGCGAGAAGCTACAAAGATTTCCATGAGTGCAAGCCCTACAGGAACGTGAATGGAAAAGAAAGCACCTTGATAACGTATGGTACCGCATAACATTGTCGGATAGGCGGTGATGCAGCGAGTACGGCACATATGTTGCTGGATGTTAGGGGTAGATGAGGCGGGAAGAGCGTCAGCGGTTGACCAGGGTAGATGCATCGGAATCTAGGCATCGGCAAGTCAGCTTTTTTCTCCGATGGAACAAAAAGTAAGAAACCGACACAGCAAAATGACCGTATCCATGGAATACTGGCAATGTACTGAATCCTGGCTTGTTCTGGTTCAACGCGACATTCGCGATGAGACCGTAGTGGGTGATGCGAACTGGTTTTGGGAATCCAGTCTGCAAATAAGGGGTCAAGTCGGGCAAACGATAGGAGAGGACTCACTGAGCCAGAAGAGTGAAGGATGACGGCAGGTCGTTTGGTTTCCTGTTCTGGTGTCAGAACGGCTGGGAACGGTTTGATCTTGGTGCTCTCAACGCCCTCGGAACCCCATAAAGGGAAGCGCTTATCTTCGACGAGCTCTACAGAGTATCCTTGGTTACGAAGGAGTCTCTGCGCGTCGTGCGCTTCTTGGATGAATTTCGTGCCATAGATGAGGTGAGTGGCGTTGGTGAGCTTGGTGAGATGCGCTACTGCCGGAACAGAGTTGTTCACTGAAAGAAGAAGGGCGGTCAGACCAAGCTTTGCGAGGGCCATCTCTAGGAGGGATTCGTCGATCGCTGTACTTGTCAAGACTGCAATGGTCTGCGCGGGAGGTACTTCGCCTGGGGCTGTCTTTGACGCGAGGCCGACGGTGTAGTAATGCCATGCAAGACGGTCGACGGCGGACTGGATTTGGGAAAAGCTACACGAGAGTTAGCGCGATTCAACGGAGAAAGAAATTCAAAAGGTACGTGAGCGAGCGCAGTACTACGGCGAAACCATCCTCAGGTGACCCCGTATAGATAGCAGGATCATTCGGCTGGTCTCGCGCACGGATTGCGACAAGTTCTGTGATGGATTTGGCTTTGAAGGTTACTGCAGGCATAATGGTAACAAGGGAGATGGATACCACAGCCTGAGTAGAAGGCTGCTTCAAATACTGACGAGGGTTCTACGCAAGGGAATCCGGCCAGTAGCGGTCCGCGTTCGGATCGTTTACCGTCTCACTTGTCCTCTCATTTGGAGTCGGAGTAAGGATGGCCATGATCCAAATATAAAACACGGTAGGAGAGATGATCGCATGATGACAAGCACAGCCACATAGCGATCTAGTCTTCCCCAGCTTCCCCACATTGTTCTTGGTCATATGCCCACCTATGCTCCACATTTCGGGCCGGGTTGCTTCAGCACCGTTCAGAAGCAAAAAGGAAAAAGGAGATACATGCGAAACGACGTATAAATAGTCTCTTCGAAGTCCTTGTCTTCCTAGGTTCGCTTCACCTTTTTGTGACGTCCCGCGGCTACCTTATCTTAGCGCCATGACCATCACAACAGTACATACCATTCCCAACGAGCATGGGAGCACTCCATTGGATGACGAGAAGCAGTATATCCAGGAGATCGAAGGGGCGAAGTATGATTTCTCGTGGGCAGAACAGGCCCAAGTCGACGAGGATGTATCGCCTGGATTTTTTGGTCGTTTCCTCAAGAAGAATCCTTCAGCAGCGTTCATTGCCGACGTTGCGAGGATGAACACCATGGAACTTGATCCCAAGGTCATCAGACGCTTGGAACGCAAGATCGATTTGCTTATTATCCCTGCTCTGGCTACGTGTTATATGGTAAGTTTCTGGCTATCGGTTGTTTCGGATCTGCTCATCTTCTCTTTTCCAGTTCTATTACATGTGAGCAGGCAAATCTGTCCCTCTTCACATGTTCTCATTCCTCTACTCATTTAGCGACAAAACGACTCTTTCGTATGCGGCTATTTTCGGAAGTAAGTGTCTAATAGTTTTCTATATATAAAGCTGCTAATTTATCTCTCCAACAGTCCGCACTGACTTATATCTGGCCAAATCAGAATACGTAGGTTTGTTTTGCTTGATGACGCCGAAACCTCCTTTATCCTACTCTACAGAGCTGGCTCTCCAGTATTTTCTACTGTGTGTAGGTATATTTATGCATTTTCGCTGCTCTTCACATTCCACGCCGCAGTTGGATGGCTTGCCTGGGCCCTACCGGCCAATTTGTTGATGCAAAAGTTTCCTCTCAACAAGTACCTCGCAGCCAATGTAAGGATCTGTTCCTGCTCGACGCCAGTTCCTTTTATCTTAAGAACTGCCTCGCAGATATTCATGTGGGGTGTTCTTCTTATGGCTCAAGCGGCTAGTCGGAACTTCACAGACCTGGCGGTGCTACGGATTTTGTCCGGTGCATTCGAAGCCACTGCCGACCCGTCGTTCGTCCTTATCACCGCGACTTGGTATACCCGGAAACAGCAGCCGACTCGCATCGGTTACTGGTATCTGTACGCAGCCGTTTGCGCCTCTGACACCCCTCTTGGTCTCTGACTTTTCTGCAGGGCCAACGGTCTAGGTATTGCCTTGGGTGGTCTCTTTGGGTATGGCATCGGCCAGGTACGAAATTATGACTCTTCACGAAAATTGACCCTAACGTTGAATCTCTCCAGATCAAAGGTGGGGGCACCTGACTCAGGTGCTCGATACTTAGGAGCTAATCATCTGATATATTCGCAACAGGGTCTCTACCTTCTTGGAAGTTTGAATTCATTATTATTGGCGCAATCTGTTCGTTGTGGGCTATAGTTTTGTGGATATTTGTCCCTGACTCGCCATACCACTCACATTGGTTTACCCGCATGGAGCGTCTGATGATAGTCAGTCGTAAACGTGACGACCAGAATTTGACTGATAATCGACAGTAAGTCCCGCTTAGCCGTTCATCCTCTACCCGAAGATGTTCTCCGTAACTGCGCGTCAGATGGAAGCCCAATCAGGTGTTGGAGGCCATCATCGACCCGAAAATTTATCTTTTCTTTTTGTTTGGATTTACGGCGAATGTTCCTAACGTGTGTAGATTACCACGAAGCTGATTCTCCGACCTGACGTATAATTTTAGGGAGGTACATCTAATTTTGGCACTTTGATTGTCGAAGGGTACGCGTTTCTCGGTTGACAAACGCATTCAAGTTGTAATATTTCCCTCCTAGATTTGGGTTCGACACTCTTCAAACAACACTCATGCAGATTCCTTATGGCATTATCATAGCCTCGATGTATGTCGCGCCTTCTTTTTCTCACTCTTATCATTTACACCGGTCTTTTTTTTTTAGCATACTTATCGCGATATTCATAAACTCCAAGCTGCCTAAAGGAAACAGAACATGGCTTATGGCCGCAACTAACGTTCCGACAGTTGTTGGGTTCGCGATGATTGCCTGGTGCAAAGGCAAAGCACCACGACTCATCGGATACTGTAGGCTTTCTTCTTTAGAGCGTGCCTTCCTCATTGACACGCATTAATAGGGATGACCGGCGCTTCGAATGCTACCTTTGTCCTTGGCCTATCTCTTCTTTCTGGAAACGTCGGTGGCCAGACTAAACGTTCAATCGCCAGCGCTGCTATATTTTTAGGCGTCGCCTCTGGGTACGTTACAGTAAAGCCCGGGCTACTGGACTTCTGGAAGTAACATGACAAATGGTTTAGGAACATTGTTGGTCCGTTTCTATTTAAGGACTCAGAAGCACCTGGATATCTGACGGGTGTTGTTGGCTGTATGGTTTCTCGGGCACTTGAGGTGAGTCAGCGATGACCGATCTTCTTGTTCTGTTTTGCACATGCTCATTGTGCAGATTGTCATCATCCTCATCCTCCGGGCGATATTCGTAATTTCTAACCGACGACGGGACCGTGCTGCAGCAGAGGGACGAGTCGAATACGATTCCAATCTCACCAGTTTGGAGGATATCACTGACTGGAAGAACCCGGCCTTCCGATACGTCGCTGTAAGTTTTCCTTTTCTCTTCTGATTACACCATTAAAAGGGGAGGCGACGCTCGCAGTGAACTTTACCGCTGTACGATAGAAAGTTGATACGTGAGATGTGCACCATCTCGTTCAATAAAAATTCGCTTTGACTTCGATACAGAAAGGGACCGCCCTGTGATATCACCTTCTCTCGATACAAATGACGGACATCAATAAGGAGACAGGCGATCTGTATCAAAGGGGTTTGAGAATTTGTAGGATTCAGGCGAGGCCTCTGGTAGCTTTCTAACCAGCGAGTCCAAATGCCGGGCCAAAATCAAACCACGAAGTCGTGCTAGCGCATCCCACTGAGTAGAACATCGAGTTTTCTCTTCGATGAAACAAAGACTTATCAGAGAAGTGATGTTCTAACTCGGGTTTTGGAGCCTGTTTGAGATTCGGGACAAACTAGAAGGCGTGTCATCTTGTAGCAGAAATATTGAACCCCAGACAACCATAGATACAACTGACCACTTGGACAATGAACAATGAAACATTGAAGCCGTAGGCCAGCGAGAGGTGCTGCGACCTGTCAGTGTAAATTTCCATGCAAGCTCCGAGCTGGAGGACATGGAGAACAGCATTACTCTACAGTACAGAGATGAAGCCACTGTGAGCGCATACAAGGTCATTAGACAGCTGATCATAAACGGGAACGACTTGACTGATACAGAGCAGTGACCACAGGAATTCGTTGACCATTGCCAGCCGTGTGAATTGTGGTAGGTAGTTGCCGGACCACTTCCACGTGGTCTTCCAACTCACCGTTGTGTTCAAGGCCGAACCAGAAATGTTCAGTTGCTTGGACCAGCTCATCCCTCTCGCTGAAACTCTTTCTGGATTCGGTTTAGTCTTCCCTGAGCCTATTGTTCAAAATCACTACGCCCACCGTCGAAACAGTGGTTGAGAAACCAATAATTATATAGTGTAAATCCCTATTTCTGGTGGCCGTAACGCGTTGCATGACACAACATCACTGCAGGAATCATTATGAACTATTCTGAGTCACAAGAAGTGGTCCAACATGAATAACTCTCCTCTGCATCTTTTGTCCTTGCTCACCTTCGCTTCTGCGCCATCGCAAAGGGAGAGGAATCCCATATTCTGACATGCACCCAGTAGTGAATATAATGCTGCCCGGTATCCAGTACCTTTGCGTCAATTGTGATTACAGAGTACAGGCAAGATACGTGGTATGTAGAAAGTATTCTATTTAATGGTCCATTGCTGATATAGCAGCTAGGTATACCTTAAAGAGTGGTAGGGTAATGAATGGAACGATAAATCCCAAGGAGTGATAAAAAAAACTCATCCATAACGCATTATGCCTTTCTAGCCTTTTGGCAAACTGGTCTGTCCTCGGCGAACCTGCCCTTGCACCTGCCTTTATATCTGTCCTGGTGTCTCCTGACGGGATCTGGTCGCTGGAACAACCTTCTACAGTCTCCACACCTAAACCTCGGTGTCTTCTGATGCTTACGCGATATCAAGTGCCTTCGCATATTCCCCGTGTTCTCCGCAAGCTTGTCGCAGTCAAAAAACACACATCGAGTAGGAACGGACTTCTTTTTTTTACGGGTCTGTGCCTTCTTCTTGTTGCGGGGGTGGGCCTTCTTCTTCTTCTTCTTCTCCTCCTCGTTGGTGGGATGGGCGAAATACATGTGGTCAATGGCGGCATTGACACAGTCAAATTCCTTCGGGCACCCTGGCTTCATACAGCGCACATGCTGTGGGTCGTCGTGGAATACATAGCGCTCAAAGGAGTTTTTGAAGTCTCCCCTTCGGCTACGGGTTTGCAAAACATCGGTGCGGTATATGGTGATCTTCACCAACTCGCAGGCTCGCCCACGTTTGCGTCTTCCTGACAAGGACTCGAGCTCCTCGTACTCGGAGTCATCGTACTGAGGCTCTTCGGAATCAGAGTCTTCGTCATCGGTGTCGGGAAGGGATGTCAATGGTGAAGGTGGCGCTGGACTGTAACATCGAGCGAAGGGGAGAGGATCCTTCGCGGAGTCGTTGATGAAATCAGGATCGAGGTCATAATCGGCGTCCTCGTCGTTGGGATCAGTCGGTTGGACATCGGGTCCAAAAGAAGGGGTTGACATTACGGGCGCTACGTCCGTCGGAGTCGTGGCTGGCCTCTGAAAAAGGAATTGGGGTGGAAATGCATCGTGGATTGGTGTCGGGTCAGGCGCGTAGACGAAGTCGGACTGGTAGTTGACCATCGACAGGAACCCGTTCTGATCTAACCCAAGTACCGGCTCAGGGAGAAAGATGTCAAGAGATTCGGAGCTGCTGAAGGGAAAGGAAACTAGCTCATAGAGTGAGTTGTAGTCCTCCGTAGAAGACAGGACATGCTGGGGTTCGGATGCGAAGAGAGCCATTGGGTAGGTCGTATCAAACGAATGTGGCAGGCAAACGGGGAGAGGTGTCTTGGAATACTGAGGCATCCAGTCGCGGGATTAAATAGTCCCTCAGCCCTTTCTTTGTCCTGGTTGATGTCGAAGCTCGACTAAAATTTGACTTTTCCATCGATGTAAACTTGCACCCTGATTTTCGGCGTCATCGAAGCTAGCTAACGTAGCACCGAGTTGGATGATGGCAACCGCGCTCAATAGTGAAATTCCTGGAAATGTCAGTCACACATTGTCTGGAATTTTTCTAGCGATTCACGGGAAGTGCCAGTGTGGTGGCGAATTTTCAATACCCGATGTTGATTCTTCCCTTTCTTGGCCTAGCAAGTATTGATAAGTACTGCGGATCCAACGTTGAATAGAAAATTCATGGTGAGAGATTTCTTTGTTTTTCCAAGACCATCAAACAAGACTAATGAAACGCATATGATCTTGATATGGTGCAGAAGAAAGATAGGACGGTGGCGTCTTGACCGGTTTCGGGTTACGTGCCATTGCCGGCAACCAAAGATCATAATTCACGTGGCCTCAACGCGGTTATTGCGCGATCACGTCTGACAAATTGAGTACTTATCTGACGCGCCCAAGATATTCTTTCTCAAGTTCGCGTTCCCGACCCTCTGCTCCATCATGATCGAGATTTACTTTATTTTTATTTGCTGCTATCTTTGGAACTAAATGTTACTTTGCTGTTTGACTAAGTTTATGTGAGTGCCGATCCAGAATGAGCCACTATCACCTTTTCAGGAAGGTTTCCAACAGCGATTATATGTACTATTCTTGGATGTGAAACTCAACACAAAGGAGCCATTATGACCCAGATCCCATTATTATCTTAATTTAGCTCCAGACTCAGGCTCAATGGTGACTGCAATAATGGATGCACATTATGCACTGCATATCCTGGTCAAATAATCTTTCACTCCTTGAGTTCTTACTGATCTAGAACCTGGACTCTCTGAAAGCCTGAAGCACCTACTTGTACTCTCCTTTGAAGTTCACATAAATTTAAATGGATACAGAGATTTGGATATCTGGATTTTACTATTGAACATAAAGTAAACATACTCTGTTTGAGTCAGAGAACTGCTTTTCAACTATCCTCAAATACAGCATCTTTTTCAGCAGCTAATTCATACCCATGAGCTCTGAGGGGGAAATGTTGCAGGGCTGATGACAGAGACTCTGTTGATCATCAAAGTACAGCTGGTCAGTATTTTCAGCCATTTTTCTGTTCTTGTGTCATCTATAGTGCATGCTCACATCATACTGTTGACATGATGATTCAATGGAAAATATGAACTCTGCCAGCCATAAGAAGATCCATAACATGATATTACAGACACTGAAGCTGGCCCTTATAAACTGAAAAGTCCCTGGCTCTGTTATTAACTGATAGAAAAGATATGTTCAAAATACTGGACGTGGCGCTGCAGGAAGATCGATTAAATACCTATGAAACCATGTACACTTTCTGATGCCCAATCTGATTAGACCATTTTCTGCATAGGCAATAGTATCTTCAATTTCTTGAGTTGATCAACGAAGCAGTAGTACACGGGCGTAAGTCTAAATCCAGTCGTAATATGGAATCACGTTTAAAATTTTCCTCTCAACGTTCCCAGAACAAGATGCCGAACAACATACATCAGTACCACCGCGAGCATGATGGCGCTACCTATTTTTCGGCCATCAGCAAAAGACCATAAACAATCAGTCGGGCAGGGGAAAACTCTTGCCTGCATAATACCCCACGGCCTCGAACCCACCCGTAGCTGTATTGATCGCCCCGGAGATCGGCGGACCCGCAAGTGCGCCGATGGCGGCTATCGACATCGCCATCCCTGTCCGTCGCCCAAGATCACCGATCTCGCCTAGCTCGAAGATGGGAGTCAGGAACGAAGAAACGTATGCTCCGCTAGAGAATCTGGGATCGTACATCCTTATAAGCAAAAGCCTTGTTTGAAAAAATGAGGAGGGTACCCATAAATTATGGCTACGACGATCATAGAAGCCAAGCTCCGCGCGAATGGCCAGGCATACGTGAGGGCGGCGGCTATGATTGTCATGGGTCCGAAGTAGTTCACGGCGCCTATGGGCGAAAGCGTCAGATGCAATTCTGGACACGAATGAAAAATGAGGAACCTATTCGATCGATGCAAATGCCTGCCACAATCCGTCCGATTCCCGAGCTGGCATTAGCAATAGAGACCATATAGAACGAAATATCGGCCGATACACCGTAGGCTGCGGCGCTAACGCTGATATAGGTCAAGACTAGTGGATCACGAGAACGAGAATAAGAAAAGGCGGACAAAAAATCGGGATTCCTCACCTGTATACAGCCCCAGGAAAGCGATGAAATTAGCAAGACACCAAATCGTATACGGCGCGCTCTTGAACGCCTTCAGGTTGAGTACACCCCCGGATACATTCACAGGCGGAAGCCGGCGTTTCAACGTCAAGTTGGCGATACCCAGAGTAAACATCAGGATAAATGCGATGATCCGCATCGTCCATGGGAACCTGCAGAGAGACCCTTTACTAAGAAACAGCCAAGTTACGGGGAAGGATGAACACTTACCCTACGGCGATTATGAGCTTACGAGCAGTTATTGGGATGACGGTACCACCGATCGACGAGCCAGTAGCCATTATACCGAGAGCGAGCCCCCGTCGGAGTCGAAACCAGTGTCCGATGATACCCATGGCTGGACCAAATACCGTCCCACATGCTAGCTATATGTAGAAGAGTACATTTAGGAAGTTGTCAGGACCATTCGGAGAGAATGCGGACGAACCCCAATGGCGAAACCTTGGCAGAGCAGGAAATGCCAGTATTGGGTGCATTGGGCGACCAGAAATGTTGCAACGATGAGGAGGATGGTTGCTAGAAGGAATGGCAGTCTGAAGTAACCGATGTCGAACATCCGACCAGTTACTAGACCCGGCATGAAGACGAGGGCATACTACTCGACGGGATCGGCGTCAGCGCACAACGAATAGAGTGAAATGGTACCTGAACAGAGCCAATCCATGCACTGAGTGGATGAGCAACAAATACCAACAACCAGGAAAAGACTCACATCTTCGAAGAGTCCGAGTCCTTTAACAAAGTCTCTTCGTAGTAGGCTTGGAACACCTGTAGTAAGAAAACATTCATTATTGTCTCTATAACGACTGGGAACGAATAAACTCACCCCCCATGCGTTGACATACCCAAACCTGAGGCCATCAGTCCATCATGGCAGTAGAAAGAGTTACAACTAGCGCTCACGTCGAAAACGTAGTACACATCGTCTAGGCAACCCACAAGTGGCCATGGTCAGTTCTGCATTCAGTTCAAAAAAATGAAGAAAAACTCGACTCACTCCCCCGACAACCAACCAAGCTCTCAATCCGCCATCGGGAAACTCTCCCTCGAAGCCTGTGGGCGGCTTCACAAGGTCATTAACCTCCTTTGTCTTGTCTTTGCGTGCAAGAGGCTCATCGATAGTCTTTTCGTCGATCGATCGTGTTCGAGTGCGGGGAATCTGTTGGGCCATGGTTGCAAAAATTTTACGCTAGAGCACGGTTCCTATATAACCTTCTGTTATTAATAATGCACGCAAGAAACTTGAGCCGATACGTCACTTGTGAATGTTTGCGATTTTGAAGAGTCAGACAGCCAGATTGTCTTCAAACCTAGATGGTGGATCTTTCATTGGACGAAAAACGAAAATCGTGTCCTTTCTGTGGAAAAGGTGGGGAAAGAAGGGGACCCCACGGCAGTGGGTACCGGCAGGAACTTGCTTTATCCCGGTATTTGCAAATGGCGCACGAAGGCCCGACGCAATGGGAGGGCCAGAGAGCATCTGGATTATGTGTAGCGTGCTAGAGTGTCCTATTGCCCACGCAGCTGGGATTTCAGTAGATGTAGGACCTCAGTAACACCGAGTGATTGTCGTCGTTTGCAGGTTTCAGAGTTCCTTTCCACTGCGCTCTAATAGTATGTGTCATCGGGCTTTTGTCATAGACGGATAAGAAGATATAGCATGTTCACAAGCTGAAGGTAAGAGTGGCTTTGCTTTGGAGACTGTTGTATGTCAACCCATCGATACAAGACATCAGATTCGGCGGCTATTCGGACCGATAGCCGAGCAAACGATGATGGGGCGACCTCAGATTTCCACGCCACCCTCCGTCTTCCTCCGCCAGACTGTACACCCCCTCAACGCGTGCACCTCACTCTCGGCATCATGACCCTCACTCCCGAGTCCCTCCCAGCTGCTCTCGACCTTCTCTTCATCCTGCAGCAGGCTGGCGTGCTCGGATGCTTCGGTATGCAGGAGAGCAACTGCACTGAGCTCCAGATGACCGTTGCAATGGGCTCGTACGACGCGCTGAGAGTCCATCTCTGGTAGATGGGAAGCTGGGATACGGACGACGCATATATTAGCTGTGGGAGCGCACCATTATCGGTGGATCCTTAATTGTTCGTCCCCCTCTATCCTTTATGGGACCCTTTGATTACCCTGTAATTAGAACCCGAGCGATCTCTCTCACCTTGCAATATTGGTTCAGCGTTGCCCAAGACCCAGACATAGCTAGATCAAACACAACGACGAGGATCAGTAGAGGACCTTCAAAGCTTGGCATGTGATAGCCTGGGATACACACACGCAATGCCAGCAAATGCAAATGCTGATAGTGGAGCCGTTTCTCCTTGTCGGGATCGTTCCTCTCAACAGCATTCGACCTTCTGCACCCTTTCATCACACCATCGCCAAAACAGCAATGGCTCACATTTATCTCGGAAATACCGGCCGCGCGTCGTACACCCGCTGGAGATCTTTCACCATCTATCAAAGTATGTTAGCCCCGCACCATTCCGGAAATCAAGGTCCTCAATAACATAAACTCCCTGACAGAACTGCTGCGGCTCCGTCATCCAGATCCTTCTCGCACGTCAACCTTGGAAGTAACAGACCCAGGCTCGCATATGCGCGGTTCATGGAAACGCCTCCACACAAAGGCGGGGAGTGGCATTGTGCCTCGTAGTAACTTTGCCAGCTCTATCTGGAAAGGTAGTCTTTTCTTCGACTTAATATCATGATGTGTTTCTGACTTGGATAAACGTAGGAAAACTGTACGTAGCTGGAGGCTTTCAAGGCATCACGATAGGGCTTTATTACCGTGACATTTGCTGTTTGGACTTCGCTTCCCGCGACGGCTAGAAAGAACTTACCAAGTATCCGGTCATCGAGCCCGAACACCGATGCATCATGCGAACCTGGACGATGAAGGTATACAAGGACAATGCATACTTGTTCACTGGTAAAAAGCAAGTCAATTACTTTGGCCTGGAGAAAGGCCTGTGGGGATCCATTAACACGACGTACGAGCGCACCATGGCGGACAAACGCGTCGGAATTGGCTATATCCCCACACCATGCTAAATGACGCTTGCATGGAAATCGCTAACGGTAAACTCTACGTATCCGGTGGGACGCACAACGACAACAAAGTTGGATGCAATCTTTTAGTGAAACTCGACCTCGAGATGAAAAAGTGGCGTCGTCTCAGCGGACACCTCCATCCCAAGGCAGATCCTCTGGCTCCAGATCCACGCAAGACGGCAATGAGCTGGGTCAACAAAGAGCAGGATCGGATGTGCGTTTTGGGGGGGTGAGGCCAATCGCCCAGCGGCGACGCGAGGGGACCCAGTACACGTCAATGACAGCTTCATTTTTGAGAACATGTAGCGTTGGCACATACCCACCGAGAAGTGGCGTAGGGAGCATATGTCAGGCGACTCGCCCTCCGCACGATCTGAGGTTGCTCATGCTTTCGTAAGTGTCTCTTTACATTCTTTGATTTCTCTTACATTTTTGCCTCAAGAACCCGGTGCTGAACAAATTATCGCTCTTTGGAGGGTATTCGACTGACCAGGATACGATTGTTATGTCAGATGAACCTGAAGGCGGAGGCGCGAGCTTCAAGTTCACTTATTTGCCGACACTTTTATGTATGATCCGTCTCCGGTGACTGGTAATCCGGACGCAACACCAACAATGAAGGTGCCTAAGTGGAAACACGTCCTCACAAGGGGATTCCCGACATGCAGGTACTTCGACCCTGTTTGTCTATGCTTCTAATGCTGATCAGCAAATTCCCTTAGGTGCCAAGCGAACCTCATTGTTGATCCCGACGATGGCAGGACATACATGTTCGGAGGATACACCAACACGCAGCTTGTGCCGATGTGCAAGCAGAACCTGGCACCGTACGTCAAAGCCTTTAACGACCTGTGGCAATTGCAACACGATACTCCCGGGGGTGATTTCGCGGATGTGGACGTTGAGGAGGAGGCGTTGAGCGTGAGAGCTGGACCGTGGCGGAGGTGCTTTAACTGTGCATCGACAGGATACATACATAAATGCGGAGGTATGTTCTTCCAGATTTTTTTCTAGAGGAGGTTTTGAAGGCATGTTGCAGGATCTTGTGGTGGGCGCGCGTACTTTTGTGGAAAGGAGTATCTGAGAGAAAGCTGGAAGGCTCATAAAGAGCGACATCACTGTCGGAAAGCATAAGCGTGTCTAAGCATTTTGGAAGCATTGACATCATTACGCCCGTATATTACATTATCTTTGAAACCTTTGATATTTCTCTGTTGCTATACTTCATAGCACCTAAGTTAATTGTCATCGAATATGGCATTGTGTTCGAGGTTGGCGATAAAGACCAGAGTGCTCCTGGCCGTCTTCAACTGGTTCATATCAAAGTGGCCCATGATCCCATGCGTGCAGTATTACTTTCCTGAATGTTACAGGACAAAAAACATATATATATAACGTAATCCTTCAAAACTTGTACCATCAACGCTATTTACGGTCAGCACCCGGCTGTCGTAAAACGTTCTCTAAAACATGTTTCTGTCTCAGAAGCTGATTGCGCCTCAATCTGTACGCAAACGCCCGGCCTGCATCAAACACTTCGGTGATATCGACGGAATCCTTGGGATCTGGATCAAATGTTTCATTGAGCAGAAGCTCAATGTGCTCAACATCCGCGTTGATATGGCAGAGTCTATGAGAAATGTTCACTGGCTCTTGAGCTGCCACTGGAATGAAAAGGCGGCATTTAGGACAGATGCGTTGTTCGACAATGGATGCTCTGAAGCTTTGATTGAAGAGCGTAATTAAAGGGACGCTCTGGTGTGCCACTATGAGGATTTGGTTGGTAGTTAGGACAAAGAAACAAGGTTTGAACCGCTCAACTTATCAGAATGAGAGGCGAGACGAGATGATCGAAGAATATGAACCTAAGTAAGATGGGTCGAAGTAAGATAGGGGGTTCATGTCAGCCTGGAGTATTCGAGAACAAAGACCCTCAGGCCACAGCGATTGCTACCTGATGCTGGGAAAGGAGCAAGAGGATATTGTTCACTAGATTTGGTTGCGCTCCCGAGGCCCAAACTACCCTTCCTCGTGGCCCGGGCTTGGACCCGACAAAGCATAGCTAGAGTGCTGCCAACCCTGCCGCCACTGCTGAAGAACTTGAAAACAGTCCAGTTTTCTCATCGCTTGCTCAATCATTCCGCAAACTAGATGCGTTGGACAGCCAGGACCATAAGCTGTGTGAACATGAACTTCGTGTGGTCCGTGGATGATAGTACCAGACGGACCGTGACCGTGCTCCGTGTCATTGGCACCACCGGCCTGGGTCACGGCAGTCATCACGTTTGAATTGTCAGTTCCATTTGTCGCATCGTAACTACTGTACACAGGCGTGAAAGATGTTCTAACTGATAATAGGAGGATCTGGTAGGTCATCTTCTACGAACAGGCGGATGTCGATCCACTCGTGAATCCTGCGCTCCCTCGCCCAGTCTCGAAGCTTGTCAAAGTTGCGACATGAATGCGCCTGCGAGCTGTATCCCACGACAGCAGAGAGTTCTTGGCTCCATTGCCAGACATTCACGGAAATGTCTGCATTACACCTGTGGAATGATATCAGCCAAAGGGTTGAATTTAAGATCAGGGCTCGCTCACATCAAAGACTGGCGGATCGCGTCGATGCAATGGGAGACATGTTCAGGATCTGCGTGTGGATCATCGAACTGATCGCTATAAAGAGCATGGCGGACGACATGCTATCCGAAAGTTTGAGTTACCGTACCAAAAGGTATCCTCCTACTCACCAAGCAATGGAGCTGATGGAATACGTCCAAACCAGCAAGGTAGTATCCACCTTCACCGTAGATAGGGTAAGTCTTATTTGGAAGAAGAGCGGCCTCGTTTCTGGAGATTTTCAAGAGCGTGTCTGTAGTGAAACTATGAGATCGTAAAGAAGAACGCCATTGACATAGATCACTGACGGTTGTAAAGATCGCCCCAAGCTCTATCTGCTTCGTTGTCGAAACCTTGATATATCGTCTTTTCTTCTCTTCCGACGGTGAACACTTTCACCTCGTTCTCCAAAGCCTCTTGAGCAGGCGCTAACCAAGAGACGATTAAGAAGGCTAATAGTTTCCACTGATGTGATATTTACAATATAACAATGGGCGGTCCACATAGATAGGCTGGCAGTTGGCTCCACGCAAGTTGATGAACAGCAAGAACACCAGCACGCAAGCTTGTAATAAGATGATCCCAATGTGAATCTTCTCGCGCCATTTCGAACGAATCCCGCGAATCTTTCGTGTGGAGTACGGGTCATCGTCAGGAGACACTAGCGGGACATAGTCCAGCGACTCGCTGCCCATCATGAAGAAAACGGATTTTGCGGGGTACTGGGAAAGGTCCTGCTGTGTAATGTATCCCAGCATCCAAATATTGTTCTAGAGCATTAGTGAAAGCATGTACTTGATAGTCCAAGAGAAGAAGCTGACCTGAGGTAAAACAAAGTCCGTGCTTGATTAGAACTGTCCAGTGATTTGACAGATTCGCCACTTCACGTATCCCCAAGTCTTATACCACCCTTTTGCAGGGTAAACAATGCCATTGGTCGAGGTGACTCGACCATTCATTCAGCACGTAAGTTACATCTTCCCGTGCCCATAGAAGCTGTCAGTGTAAATCTAGCAATGTGCCGACTCTGCATCTAGTTCCTTGCTAATGAATTATGCACATGCCTTCATGACCATGGTGTGAATACTTTTTTGCGCGTAGACAAGCGTTCTAGAAGAAATAAGGCGTCCTAAGACTGCATACGCTGGGCGACTCATCTTGGATTTCGAGGATTCGAGGTCGGAATGAAAAGAGCCCGGCCCGGAATAACCTGTTGCTGAGTGTATCTCGGTAAATTCCGGCAGCTCTTCAACTTTCATTATTCAAGTTGCTTATTATTCTGTAAGTACCCTAGTATTCCTTCAAGCCTCAAGACCCGCAAAGAGTGAGGAAAAATTAAAGTTGTTTTTTTCTGCTAAACCTTGTTTACTCAGCTCCTGTCATGTGGATGGTGTGCAAGAGTGTCGTGCCTCATTCGTGGTCTCTTGACTGCTGTGTGGACAACACCTTGCGGCGAGGCCACTCATATCCGCGGTTGTTCTCTTTGGAACCGGAGATTTTGTAATCTAATATCCATACCAAACTCAGGAATAGTCCAACTGACAGATCGGTAGCACTATCTTTGACACAACTCGTCTCTATCCTTTATTTTGGGGTGCGTCTTGCGAGATCCATATCACCTTTGGCATTGAGCAACCCAACAACCTCGACCGTATGACACCATCTCCGGGAAATTGCAGCACCTTGTCCCCGTGCTCGATTCAGAAGCTCTAGCAATCACTATATAATAGGCCTCAAGCAACGATGAATCCACGCCATTCGATTCATCTTGTTTGGAATCATGAAGTTCTCTGCTTTTGTGTCTCTTGCTTTCCTTGCCTTTGGGACGGCCAATGCTGGGATCATTATCGTATGCGAACATCTTCCGTGCCAATGGTCTGGACTACGCTTACAATATTCATTTAGCGTCCTCGTACCGAAGCTGACTCTGGCAGAGGGTGAATTCTGAATGTTTCTCTCCATTTGCAGTCGTCTAACAACATCGCAAGATTTGACAATGGTCTGAAAGCCTACCAGGTTTGTTCTGTCAACTGGTAAGCTCCACGATACTCGTCCACTTTTTTGGTAATGACATTCCATGATAGTTGCAACGAAGCATACGATCTCACCAATACCAAACATAGGCTCGTCAGGAAGACATTGACTCCGTAGCCCCGTGAGTTCTCTCTGAGCCCAACAGGTGCAGTAGATGACTAATACCTGCATCTGCCAGTTACGATAATGGACCAAGCACGTATTGGGTCCGTGGTGTCGAAGTGCGTCTCTCTCCTGACTCCTGCGTGTTATGGTTCCTCAAGGTTTTCTTAATTTGGCTCACCAGGAATCTAGCCCGTAAGGATACCTGTACGAAGGCATCTGTCAAACAGCTGACCATATGAAATAAACAGCTATGATAATGGACCTGATACTTATTGGGTGCGCGATATTAAGGTGAATAATCTCTCCTACCCCGATCTATTTGTAAAGTAATCTTCAATCTCATAGGCCCGTGAGGAAGGTGTCGACTCTGCTGTCCCGTGAGTAATCTGTTTCAAGTGGTTATTGTGGATTGATGTGTCTTGAAAAGTTATGCGAGCGGGCCTGAATCTTATTGGGTACGAGATGTCAAGGTACGGAAGCCTCTGTCTCCACCACTGTCTGTTTCCAGGAAGTTTACGCGCTCTATCCCGCAGGCTCGTCAGCCAGAGATTGCTTCTGTTAGTCCGTAAGTGGCCTTCTGGTTATCGTCTGCACCCTACATCAACATCACTTTCTCCGAAGGTACGACAACGGTCCTGATTCCTATTGGGTTCGTGACTTGAAAGTTGAGGTGGGGCACTCGCTTTTCAGAGTAGTCTTGCCGATGTTCATAATACGATCTATAGGCTCGCGAGAGTGAAATAGACACTGCTGTCCCGTAAGTCGTCCCCTTTGACCCGCCCCTGAGGTTCATGAGTGGATCTTTGTTTCAGGTATGGTGGTGGGCCGGACACTTATTGAGCACGCAATTAAGAGGCAAGGAACGTCTATTTGATTCCTAATACAACAATGCTAATGGATCACCATAGGATGAGTAGTTTTGGTTAACTTGCAGTCCTGCGCTCCATTTGGGTTGGGAGATTGACCATAATTCTAGGATGTAAAGAGTTGTTCAAGTTGTCTATCAAGTATCTTTCATGGATTTATGCAATGCTATTGGTATGATGTCGTCAGCGTGAACATGTTCCCCGTTCATTGTAACGTTTTAAGACCAGACAAATGTCCTGGGAAGTACTATAGATATACTTAAGTACTGACAAATATAATACAGGGTATTTCTTCCAAATTCGTCCTCAATTTTGCACGATGTAGATCCCTTCAACATGCCCCCAGCATGAAAGACTTTGTCGCCGAATGATACCGCAATCTCCTCCAGCGTCTTGCCCTTGGATTTAAGCAGACGTTTCAATGACCATCGACAAAACATCGTGAAAGACTTACTCAGAGAAGTACGCAAATATCCCGATCACAGACACCAAGGTCATTGCGACGAAGTTGAACATCTGGATAAAGTAATCGAAACTATCTTAGCGGGAAAGAAAATGAACGGTCTCACAGGAGAAGTTTGTTCCGATGTTTGCGAGGGTCTGCGGCACCTTAAACGTATGGACAGCACTGACGCCAGAGATAACAAACCCACGCTCGACCCTGATGGAAGCCTGAAAATTTGAAGACTGCGATGCCTCCAAGTCAATGATGCACATTTAGGAATCTCGCCACAGTGCCTCTGTGTAGCTCCATTATTCTAGCAGAGAGAGAGAGCAGATTAATTGTCTATTGTCATGGTGGTGGTGGTCGATGTCCAAGGAGTTTGCTTTGTTGCTTTTGATCAACCTTCATCGGTGGCTGCTTTACAATTAAGCTCTATTACTATGGAATGACCTATGAATAACTATATATTACCACAATCAGACTGATATATGCAGGCATTGTTCACAAGGACCTTCCAGGTGCTAACCAGATTTCACAGACACTGATGAGATGTAGTGTATGTGGTATTCCATTGTATCATGTTGTATCAGCAAGAAACAACAGATCAAGATGATCACTGAACAAAAGCTGGGAAGAGCAATACTCATTTTACAACTATGGATGGTGATGGCCAGAGTTGCTGTACACCCCTACTTAAATAATTTGTGGTAGACTTATCTCAGGGCTTGGTGGCAACAGGAGATTAGAATACATGATTGGCTCTAATCTCTGTGCCATGTCCAACCAGAGCCTGGACCAGTAAAGTCATCCTTAATATCTATTGTTGCTTGCAGTAGATAGAATGGTGTCATCCAGAATGTGCAGAGAAGACTGAGGATACTTGTACACTAGGGTATCAGGTCCTTGCTACTTGCATCAAATACTGTCATAACAGAAAATATACATTATGAGAAGTGGATGGTAAGAACTATAAGTGAAGTGATAGCAGCATAAACAGCAGAATGACAGTGTGAGCATAGGAATGGAGGAAACCAGAATACAAAGAAGTAGCAGAGTGATAGATGGAAGTCCTCAGAAAAAACAATGAGAATTGAGGCAGCAAATCAGCAATTTCCAACTGTGCTTGTCTGTGAAGAGTGCAAATGACCCATATGCAGATCCCATTTGTAGTTGTCAAATTCCTTCTGCATCCTCACAAGTTCTCACTGAGCCTCCAGCCTCACCTTTCTCTCCTCTACTTTGCCTGTCTTTCTCTTTTGACAATTCTCAATGGCCTCTCCTTCTTCTACAATCCAAGAATCAGTATATGTGAAATTCTTGAGAGACCATGATGAATTGAAAAAGCACACCTTTTTCATAACCTCAATATCCTCCAACCACTTTTCCCATTTTGTGCAGTACATCTAGATCAAATTTTTGAGGTAGCAGCTCTGGACATGAAGATATTCAATATGGCATTATTGATTGCCCTCATGCTCCTGTGCTTTCCCATACATTTATCATTCTTGTGTGGTGTCTTTGTGTATTTCCCCACCTGCATCTCAATGATGGTGTTGAAAATGATCTGAGCATACCAGTAACACTGGTGAGTGAGGGGCATGTATTCATCAGTGGCATTGCTAGTGACTATGGCAATCACTGTGGCCTCCTCAGCTGAGAAAGTGGAATCAGAGTGGGACACCAGAGTGGAGAGCATATTGGCATCCCAGGCTGAGGCAACTGGCATGCAGTAGACAGAAAAGATGTCAAGAGCTGGACTGCAGAGTAAAGAGGGGGAAATGTGTGAGCTTGCATGAGAAATGGATTCAGAAGAAAGAAAACATCTCTTCTTTATAGGGGGTTCTAGTGAGGGCATTGAGGTGTCAGACTTCAGAGGTTCTGGTGAAGGCTGATTGGGATTGTCATTGCTCTACCCAAATAACAGCTTTCTGGCCAGGGATATTATGGCAGTCCTTAATGTAGAAGAGGAGAAACTCATGATTTGGGGCCCATATGGACTTCATGAACTTGATCTTCTTGATAATTGCCTCTCCTGCTCTATGAGGACAGTTCAGAAGTATGAAACTGAGGTAAGTGCAAGTGTCCTGAGATCTTCTAGCTTTTCAACAACTGACATCCTTGTCAAAAATGTAAGTATTCTCAGAAGGGATAGTAGCAAAGTCATATGGATAGTAGTAAGTCATGACAGAATAGAAGAGAAATTGCAAGGTTCTCCAGGTTTTTGGGAGCATAGTTGGTTGACTGCACTTCTATTGAGATTTGGACTGTATCCAGAGTACATGCTTGTAAGACCTTTAGTCTTTGAGTTACAAACTCCTGAGGAATTGCTCCATTGACTTCTCATATTTATACTAGACTACACCTTTTCTAGTAATTTCTATCTAATTCCTTCAATTTCTCTCAGATTCTTTTCTTACTCAGCATGCCAGGATGCTAGATTGCTTAAATTCTCTCACAGATTCCAACAACTTCAGATATATGAATGATGGTAGTTGTAAGCCACACTCTTCAGAGTGTGAATGAGGGAACAAGGAGAAACTTGGAGGCATGCCAAACACATGGCCATCCTGCTGTTTCTGATCAGTGATCATGTCATGCATCAACCCTCCAGTGACATTTTGGGTCCCTTCAACAGTTGCTGCAACTAGTCCTGATTCATATCATCTGCTGGAAATACCCAGCCAGTAGGCCAATATCTGTTGCACAACTGGGGAGTAACTTATCAAGAAGGAGCACAAAACATTGACTTGACATTGGATGAGCTGCCCATTCCAAACTGCTTCAGATTTGTCATGGTACTTTTCAATCATACTAGGCTATTGTGGTCCTGATCGCATCATCTATGAGACCTTTTCCTATCCATAATGCTAGGTGTGCTCTATGTCCTACTCTCAAAGTTGGAAAAGTGCTAATGTTCTTTCCAGGGCAGGCTTGGATTTGTGGCTTGATTGCAGTTGATGGCATCTAAATTTAATGATTTCTTAAGCTCTGAATCAATGGAGCTGAACAAGTTTACCATGTGAAAACCTCCTTACAACCTGGAGGTTGAGATTTATCTATCTATTACTGGTAATTTTTTTTTCTCTACTAGCCATCAGTATATGATAGTATCCAGGTCCTTCATGCTACCAGCCCATGAGGTCAGTAAGTAGTGATATTCAGTTGCATATGGTCAACTCACAGTAATGGTACTGCTCATGCTTGACACTTACTGCTAGGTAAGGTTTTTCTATGCAGTCTATCCCATCCAGTTCTTTGGTGCTTATATTCTGATGGCAGGAACCAGCAAAAGCACTCCTGAAATGCACAGAAGTGACTTGACTCGAAATTACTATTCAGGCACATCCAGTGCTTGTTTCCTTGTGCAGATGTTACTCCACTATGTTCTCCTGTCTGGGTCAAGTCAATTCTATATGATCCTTTTTTCTTGGTCTCTCCATGTTTTTGCAATCAGAAGTCAGTTCATTTATTGAAAATAATACATCTCGGCATATTTTCCAACACAGGCCAAGGTCCCCTTTTTTTCAGGAGAATATGGGTTGAATATGGGTGCTCTATGTCGATATCAATAACCCGAAGGCATTTAGCTGCCTGTCATCTATGCCCATAATCATGTTGCACAAGTGAGGAGACCAGCACTGATTGACATCGCTAGATTCTATCACTAGCCCCAGGTGAGTATCCGGTCGACTATTCCAACATCGGAAGAGGCATGGCGTATGTTTTGTCATAGGCAAGTGGCAGGTGAATTTAACTGGATGTATCCCGCCAGTGGAAGGAGCATCCTTTGATTATTCTTCTCGAGGAAGGAGTAATCTTGTCAACTAATGTCTTCTCAGTTGCTATCTGTACCACGGTAGGTACATATCTCCCCACAGGTCCCTGCGTAGACTTGAGCACCCAAGCAGTGCTGACGCGACCGAAGCTGTGACGTACTATGATGCACATAGTGTGGTGGAGTACCAAGTTAGAAGTGCCAGGACTGGATATATGTGATCTGACAAGTATGTTAGAATGAATCAAAGCAGTTGGAATGTTCAGTAACACACACCCGTAACACCGACGAGTAGCAAACGAAAAATTCAACGCCACGTAAGGATTGTGAAACTGCAGCCAGAGAATCCGAGTCCTGATCACCCGGCATGCCTGAAGGTCCTGTGCCGTGTAATTATGAGATGAGATACAAGGAAATACCAGGTTACCTTTTGAAAGGCTTCATAAGAAGTAGAATAATTACAATATATCGAAGCATTAGATCCTGAGATTAGCCGCTAAAAATTTTCGCGCTCTCGGGGCGTAGAACTGTAGCTTTCCTTAGCTTTGTCAGTCAACCATAGTAGGAAAGTCCTTTAAAATTGCGGAAGCCAAAAGAAATATGAGGCGTATGAGATACGAAGACTGATGGATAAGGAGAGACTTCCGAGCCACGAAAGTCGAAGTTGAAAAGAGTAGCGTGCGTTAGGTATCGTATATCGGCAATCTTTTGGCCAGACAGGCCGCATGATGCCTTTCGTCACAAAATTACATATAAGTTACAGTATAATAACCTATACGGTAGTTTCCAACCTTTCATCATCTCCCCCTTTGTGGATCGAAGCTCCCTCAGCATGAACAAGATCGTCTCCAAAGGCCGCAGCAATTTCCTCAAGCGTTTTGCCTTTGGTTCTACAGACACGATCAAGATATATCGTAGAGGAAGATTGGGGAAACTTACTCGGGAAAGTACAAGAATATCGCGATTGCAGATAGGAAGGTTGTCCCAACGAAGACGTCTGCCAAAATGTTGAGATCATTCTTCGTCACTAAGTTGAGGAGAGGACTTACAATAAAAGTTTGCACCGATGTTTGCAAAGGCCTGTCAAAGAAGCAATTCAGATAAATACGAAGCCGGTGTTCCAAAAAATTGACTAACGCTGGGACCTGCCTCTGTGAGGGCAACATTCCATACGAAGTGCGACAATGATGACACTCCCACACTGAGATATAATGTTAATTCAACGGACGGAGCCTCAAAAAGTACGTGTACGCACACTCTACTCCGCAAAGAGACCGGGAGAACCTCGACACCATACAACCAAGTAGTACTATTCAAACCAAGGTCTTTGACAGCAGATTCAGAGAGGTGACACAGAGGAATAAAAACAAAAGGACTCACAATAGATGGTCGTAAACAGATAGATTCCGAGTAATGCAAATCCTTTGCCCACGCTGTTGGTGGATCCGGCGAAGTAGCGTGTCATCACAGCACAGTAGATAAGATCCACGCATAAGCCAGTCATGCCCCAACTCAAGAGCTTTACGCGACCGAATCTGTCTAAGAAGTATATCTGTTTGCGGATTCAAACCTTTGTATGGACTGAAGCATGAGCAGGACTTACCGAGAATATATTCATGATGATACCCACGCTTCCGTAGATGCCGACCATCAGAAATGCAGTATGATCGGTGATGCCCAACTTCGTGTAAAGCGTCGTTTGGTAGTAGCCTCAAATTACGGTTCATAAATCCTACATTGTAATATATCAAAGTAAAATTTACCAATGACATTGACTCCAGTTAAGGAGGTCATGGTCTGTACGGCGACCGAGATGAGAACACGTTTCTTGTACTTCGCCCAGGCTTCTGACAAAGATTTTACTTCTGTCGCCTGAATCAAGTGATAAGGTTGGATTGTTAGGAAATAGCCGCAGAACATACTTTTTCATAAAGAATTTGTTCTCGCATGCCGTCGAATTCTTTATCCAAGTCCGTCTAGGAATATTGTCTCAGCAGAGCGAAGGATTGAAAGTGGATACCGCTCACGCCAGAAAGATCACCGCGAATTTGAGCGAACACTTCACGAGCTTCATTGTCGCGGCTAGAAGTAATAAGCCATCTTGGGGACTCTGGTAGGAAGAATTGCAGGCCGAAGAAGAGTATGATTCCGGGTGGGATTTGAAGTGCTAGCGGAAATCGCCACTGAAATGATGTCGTAGCTGGTGCGTATCCGCAGGCAAAGCTGATAGAGCGTGACGACACCATGAGAATACAAAAAATCCAGATGCTTACCCGACCCAGTTAGCTAAAAAGTGGAGTAAGAATGGCCAGCAACCTCTTGTGAGCTAAGAGGTCCTTACCGATGAAACCACCTACTCCTATCATATATCCCGAAAGCCCACCAATCAATCCACGGTTCGCTGGAGGCCTAGCAAGAAATATGAAGACCGACATATCAGACAGACATGAGGCACAGCCGGACGTACGAAATCTCAGAGTTGTATATAGGCACGGTGCCAATAAGACCTCCTCTTCAGATGTATGCATCAGCAGGTACCAATTTCAGTGAATCTGTAACGACATACACAGCAACTCCAGTTAATATTCGCCCTACAAGAAACATCGGGTAATTCTGAGCTGCTGTTTGAATAACTGTTCCAATGGTGGCCTGTACCAGGGTGTTAACGCAGGAATGACGAATGTACTCAACGTACGACGTACCACTATGCACATGAGCTGCATAAATCGTTTCCGGCCTAGGGTATCCCCGAAAAGACTCTGAGATATCGCTCCGATAGCTTCACCGGCGATATACGTAGACACTATAGCCCCAGTAGCCGCGGCGTTCGGCTTTCCCATGTCTATAAACAAGTCAATCAAGGTGACGAAAGGACAAGAGGAGAGCCTACAGGTTTTGAAGGACTGATGGGCGGTGCTCGTGGTGATGATTCCCGTATCATATCTACCATGCCAGTTAGAAGCATCCCACTTGCTGAGAGGATAAGTCCACAAACCCGAAAAGAAACGACCCTGTGCAACGTAAATAAGACCTTGAAGGAAAAGAAGTTGAAAATAGTCATACCTAAGCCTGCGAAAACCGCAAGAATGATAACGTAGCCCTGCATCCCGAATTATGGAGAAGGGTAAAAGAATAGTCAACGCTCTGTTGCTTTATATCTCCCGTCATCAAATGAAATCAAAGATATGTTCTGTGGGGTAAAGAACCCTCATGCCCCATGGCACGGCAATTAGGAGCAAGTACGTCGCGTGCCAATGCCTAATGAGTATGCCGCTTGAGGAGGTCCTGAAGGGTCCTGAAAAAGCGAATGGTGCGATCACTCAGTGGTTTAAACAATGTTCCGGGTTCCAAACTAAGATATAATTGTCAATACACTCAAAGCTGCTCAGTATTGTGCCGCACGTATCCAAAGTAACCCGTATGGAGGAGAAACCATTTACCATCCAGTAAAAAATGGATGAACTTGCAGGAGACTCCGAAAAGATACCAGGATACAAGTCGACAGGTTCTCTGCCAATGATGATTATCGCCTAGTTTGAGAACTAGTGGCAAAGGGTAGCATCTACGGAATGAATTCACGACACCAGTTGATCTGCAGAACCTGGGAGATAGGGATTGATCAAGGAACGATCGGGGATTAACTCTTCATGACCTGGTCGGCCCGTTGACGGACCGCTTGCCACGGCCACTAATAGGGGAGATCAAAGCGAACGCATCCTAGAACGCATTCCCGAACACCGGTCATAATACTGTCATATTTGAGTCTTTTACTTCGTTCCGGCTCTGTCCTACGTTTAACCATCCAAATTCCTGAATAACTATGCGCAGCATATTAATGAAAGTTTCCAACAAATATTATAATTTCAGTTATTGAGGTAAAACAAACTTATCGCGAAAGGCCGACGTGACGTTATATAAGCGACGTAGTTCCTTCAACTGTCACTTTTGAGCTCCCCTAATAGTGGGTCATGAGCAAAAGAAAACTCGAACATTAAGTACTTTTATAGTTGGACAGTATAGAAGGGGATAGAGGATATAGGTTTGGACCCCTCAGTTAAGGCACGCGCATTTAGCGTTCAGCCGGTCTACTAAGGAATTGTATAGGAATGGACAAGGAATGGAAGTACGACAGGCTCCACAGCAGTCCCAACCTCAATTATGATCCGAGTTGCGGCAAATGGATCTCGTCCACCCTGAGCAAAATGCAGGTCGACGTCCCTACAGCTGACGCCAACCCATCATCTTTGTTTCTACGTTGTCCACTTCGCCCAACATGACAATCTACGAGTCCGCCTGCGTGTCAGATCAAGATGAGCGGACTGTTCCGCCGATCGTGTAAAACCGTCATTTACGAAGTAATCACGATTTGATTTATTTAAACAGAATTTTACATGGATTGGAAATGAAGATAAATGATGGGACACATACATGGATCATTCGTCCCTCGCTGCCAGCTTGACCTTCAAACGCAGCTGAGAACCTTTCTCAATTTGGCCTTCAATCGTTGGGGTCATAACAAATGTCGACTCTCTCCTAATCTCCTCATTATCGTCAAGCGAAAACTCAAACGTTCCCAAAAGCTCAATCATGAATGCGTGTAATTCCATAACGCTAAATAGAACATGAGTATACGTTCCATAATTTTTTTAAAAAAAAACAGCCAACGTACGCGAATCTCCACCCAATGCACGATCTGGAGCCACCAGCAAATGTAAACCTTCGCAGTGTTAGATATATAAACACAACAACGGTCGGATAGTATGCTTACAGGCTCGCATAAACGCCCAAAGCTGATTTCGTGTTAGGAATAGTATTGCGCAACCACCGATCAGGATTGAAGACATCGGCGTCGTCGCCGAAGATTTCCTTATTCCTATTCAGGTGCTTCATTAATACATGATCTAGAAATATGCAAATAGGTGAGATCAACCTGTTGTACGCTGCAACAGAAGCGATGATCTGAGTGCCTTTGGGGATCGGTAGCTCGTGCAAGACTTTCCCCGAAGTGGTAGTGACGGGTGTGCTTAACGGAAGCACGTCATCTTGGGCGGCATACCTGAAAATGTTATACAACACAGGATGATAGCGGAACGTCTCCTTCAAGCTGTTTGTTAGCAAGGCTAATCTAAATCGTACATACTCAAAAACTAACCTTGACCATCGCCGATAGGTAGAGCATCGACTCGAAATCAGACGGCAAGAAGCTGCTATCACCACGTTGGCGGACGACCCGCTCCGCAGCGCGAATTTCTCTACGAAGTCTCTCTTGGATCTCGGGCTTTCTGCATACCTCCAGAAGCGCAAAGGATATGGAGTTGGCTGTCGTTTCGTGGCCCGCGAGGATAATCGTACTGGTGCATCAAACCTATTGAATAACCACTCCACTGTATAATCAGGACCACCCACTTCATCTGAGCCAGTAACTCCCTTTGTTCCAATCGTTTTTTGGGGTTCTCGGAAGCATTCGCCTTGACCAGCATGCTCATGATATCCCTGCGGCTGTTTCCCTCGAGCAGGGCTTTGGATTTCTCCGTGACAAGGTCTTTAGCTAGTACGGTGGACAGCTTGTTCGTCTTCTGTGCGTGAGCAAGACGCGCGGATCGGGAGTTTTCCATAATAAATCCCGCGAGGTTGTATGGGAGGTTGTCCATGATAGAGAGGGACAGGATCGCGCGTTTCGTTGGTAGACCGAAGGTGTCAAACCTGAAATACATTAAGGATACAGGAAGGAAAAGAGAAAAGGACTTAGGTTACATCAAATTGGTGTAGGCCTTCGCAATGGGGTGATCCACGCTATCCAGGGCTCCGAACTGGTAGTCAAATGCGGCTGCGAGTGCGATAAGGAAATATAATGCGACGATACAGTCAGGTCCTCTTCATTTACCTTCACCGATAGCTTCCAAAGTCGCGCGAGAAACCCAAGGCGTCACGTTGACGACAATTGATTGGCTACCGCTCAGTTCCATGGTTTCCTTCCACTTTTGAGTCATCTAGAAAGAAACCGTGAGGATCTACAATAAAAGGGACAGGTAGACACGAATTAACCTTCTCAGCACACGCAAAGAATATCGGGAAGAACGATTTTGATTCTGGACCACCGAATCCAGGGAGCATGACTTTTCGGTGACGTTTATGGTCTTCGCCTAATTTTCCAAAGAAGCGGTCAAACGATATGTATGCTTGTGTATTGACAAGACCTACCATCCACAACCGTGAGTCCAGGACCAACAAATAGACGCGATAGATGACGTCGCCCAATTACTTTGGGGAATTTATAACTCGCAGTGTGATAGATATATTGAAGAGCTTTGGGATCTGAAATGAAGAGGCGATCTTCCTGAGATAAACGGTTTCAGATAGTTGCATGGCACGGTGAGTATCAGTTCTTACTCCCAAAGGCGCACGAACGCGGAGGACATCTCCGTACATCGCTTGCCATTTGAAGTCGACCTTCGAACATTAGGTGCGGGAGGACAGGAATTACAATCGGAACTTACCTCGCCGGCTTGTGCTTGTAGAAGTTCTGGTAGGTTTCCTGGCCCGACGACTTTTGAGTTTACCGCGCAAAAAGGAGGATGGAATGCTACGGCTTACCATATAAGAATGAATTAGATGAAGGTCCGGGAACTTGGGAAATAGAAAAGTGCGACCATCGTTTATATGTGAAGTAGACAGTTATGAAGACGACGACGAGAAAGATTTCTGTGAACATGATTATGAGGAACTGGCGGTTCAGCTCCTTGAAGCTGCAGTTCCTTAAAAAGACTTTTAAGCAGCCGTTCCATCACGGAGAGAAACCTGTTTAAATAGAAAAGCGGCTAATGTAGATGACGTCGACAGGATATCGTCCGCGTTGATAGCACGGAGGACGAACTTCGTCACACAAGACAGTAAAGTAGCTGCATGTCAACCCCACGTAGAGCAGTCATTTGACTGCTCCACACGCAGAGCTCCCACCCAATTGGCAGTATCCAGACTCCAGTGGCGTCAGAGAGGTGTCAGCAATTGAGGTCAGCAATTGAGAAGGATCCCGTTTTTCCTAGGGAAAACGGAATCCGGTTAAATAGAGTCTCCCCATGCGAACAGGAATGGTGAAGGGATGTACTCACGATGGTCATCGGTTGTGATATCATAAGACTTGGGCGTCTTCCTGGGAGGCGGGGATAGAAAGGCTTTCAAGAGGAGTCTGGGAAAAAGTAGGAACATAGGCCACGGTCGTTAAGGAGAGTAGGCAGTTGCATGGGACCAGTCACTGCCCACCGGAGCGAGGCTGAGTGCTTAAGCCAGTAAATACTAAGCATTTCGCCGAGTGTACGATGTCGACAGAACGCAGCGCTAGTAAATCAAATATTCAAACCTCGATATATACGTGAAGCAAATGAAGAGCGTGTAAGAACGCCCAATTGGTCAACGAGCGTCCGACCGATCGTTCAGGTTTACCGAAAAAAGTGCCCCTTTCGGGGCACATGTCGTGTTGGGAACTAAGTGCCGCGTATGGGAGCGCCGGATGGGATACAAACCGTACCGTAGAAAGCAGCTGTAGCCCGGGTGGTCTGTAAGTTCGTACAGGAGTCCATGCTAGTCCATCTACCTCCAGCTCGATGTAAGATAGAAACATTGCAGTACTGTCCAGGGTGGGTGCGAGAAAACACGCGGAAAGCTCTGTTGGACCAGCGAGAGAGAACGGTAAGCTAAGTGAACACTAAGAAGAGAAAGAGGTGGCAGTTTAGCGAGAGCGATAAGCGTCCTTGCTTAGACTGCCAGGTAGATATAGTCTGGCGAAAAGAGAGACACGGGGAGGAAGCCATAAGTCCGTGAGTCCCAAGAGAAACACGGGGAGGAAGCTGAAAGCCCGTGCGTCCCATGCTAGGACTTTGAATTGTGTTGCGAACTCACTGATGAGACGGTTGAGACTCCCGGAGGCGGAAACCGCAGATGATCGATATGGGACACTACGCGCTGTGGAACGGCCAACGCTTGCAGGAGAGCGTGAGAGGAGATGTGACGAAATCTCTCACCAATTAGACTTGTGCAAATATTTTTCTTTTTAACCCGATTAAATACAAACAAACGGGTCTTGAAAAATAATATCCTGCAATAGTGGTAAACTGCAACCATTATTTAACATGCAAAAGGATCGTGTCAAATAATTTACATACCTGGTATATTCGGTGCTTAAAACTGTCCGTGGTTGACTGGCGCTATATTTATAGCCTGCAGTTTGTTAGCGGGTTGAAAGAGGAAGCTGAATAGGTTACCTGGGTAGAGTAAGCTCACTACCTTCAAACTTTGGTGGTGTAATATGACGATGTAACTCTGTCGGTACAAGTTGAGGAGTGAATATTATATAGAATAGAGTGGAAGTAAAAAGAAGGACCTTAATATTATAAAGCTTACCTGTCTTCTTCGTCTTCCAGATGATATCCATTTGAAATGTCAAGCTGCGCCAAACGCGTCAGCCTTTAGAACGAGCGTGCAAACGGTTTTCACACTTGCCTGAATCCGCTGGGGCGTCATTGTTAGTAGCCTTGATGTGTAGCCTGTTTGCGACGTATTAGCGAATCGAAAGGAGGAAGAGTATGACAAACGCACTTGTGCCCTAAACCTGCTACCCTCTACTTCCAAGCATATTGAGCTGAGGAAATTTTTCATTAGCAAGTAAGCGGGTAGCTAACAAAGAGGTTGCTCGGTGAGAAAGATTGAGGGAACCAAAAAGCACGTTAGGATTTTAAAAAAGCTTACCTTTATGTACATAATCGATCCAGTCGATAGCCGGTAAACAAAGAAAGATTGCACAGCCACAAGGTGTCTCGATTTGCATATCACTCATTTTCCGTGTTTACTGCTTGGCGAAAAGGAAAAATGAATGCTTGACACCATGTATCGACAATATTTACACACAGGTCCTATTGTACTGGCAGTGGCACTAGTTCATTGTTCTGTCTTTTGTGCCACCTGAACATGGCCCAAGCATTTTGCCTTAGTTTGTATAAAAACCTTGGAATCTTCCAATGCTGCCGCTCTGTACCCTGACCTAGCACATGCCTTCTCATCGAACCTCTCCAACCAACTTGAATGTACATCGCTTCCATAAACTCATCAGTAGAGAACCATCTCACTCTTCAATAGGATGCCGCCAGCCGTGGATCAATCAATGCGATTGAATCTATCCCAGCAGCACTCGTTTATCCAACATACGCTCCAATCCTTGCCACCCACCTCTCCAGCGATAAAATACCCACTGAACTACCAGAAAACTCCTCTTATTCGGCATCTTGGCAAACTGTGATGGTCGCCTTGGAATGCTTCCTTGCTTTGGATCGGGGTCTACAAGTGATTGCCACCACAGGCCAAGAGGGACTGATATCATCCATCATAGTACCGCTCTGGCCGGACATCCACGCGTGGGCTCTATATCTATTACGATGCATCCAGTCCTTGGACGAGGAGGACCGCCAGAGTTTCCTTCCATGCGGATGCTGCTGCCACCAAACTAATATCCTCACCGGCGTCCTCTCTCTCCTCATCAACCTGTCCGAGCTTCCTGAATCCCGGCCCTTCGTTACGTCTTCTCGCGCACTTTACCTTCTTGCTCTAGAGCTATGGCCCTCCACAGCTGGCAGAGCGCCCTATTGGAGAGACTTTTCTTGTATATCCGACTTTCTCTGTATGTTTCTGTACGGACAAAGCGACATCGACACACCGGGCGTCTTTCCATACGTTACTGTCATACAGGAGCTTGAAAATCACGCTATGGACACTGCGCGAATGCATCTCACGTGTCTTCTCCTCGAGGCACATCGATCCGAGCTGACCATTGTCAATCTTGATGCGCAGTACACATTGATGACCTGTCTTGCTGCCGTTTCGCCGACGTTATGTGAAGCGTACCTAGACCACAACGCCATTCGCTGGACGGAGTTCGTTCTATCTCGTCTCACATCCAAAGAGCCTGTCTACACTTCCCGCGCGCTGATTCACGTCCAGAGATGTTTAATGGAGGGTGCCTCATTTCTCATTGAGCATGTCTGGGACGACCCGCCCCACATGACATCCGCCGTAATACGATCTGTGCTCAGAGGCGAAAAACTCCTTTCGAGGATGCATGATATCCGAGGATACGCAAGCCATGCTAGAGTGTATTTTTCTCAGCTTCTGGATGGGATAGCCAAGTATACTGTCTTTCGGTCGGTGTTGCAACGTGTCGAGAAAGGGATCAGGTCTGCGGAGAGGAAGAAACTCGATGTCGGCCTTGTTCAGGGTAGTGTATTGACGGCGTGGAATCGTCTGAAGGATACTGTGGAGGAGAGGACTGCGTTGGAGAGAGAGCATGTCCAGGAAGGTAAACGATGCTCCAACATTCCGGTTTGTCCTTTTCCTCCTCCCTTCGGTTGACTACCGCTCTGACCGCACATCTTCCTTGCCAGTGTACATCAACTATTCACGGGTCCCTATATCAAGTCTGCTCAGGATGTAAGCGTACGGTATACTGCTGTGTGGAATGCCAGAAGGAAGACTGGCAGCAACACAAGCTAGCGTGTGGTTTCCCAGCGCCTTCCACGGCCAACGAGCAGTTCATCTCATTCCTTGCGAGACGGGCGGTCAAGAACCTCCAGGGTGGTATACACGCCAAGATCGACTACCGGACCGTACCGGCAACTTGCACCGTGCTGGGCGTCAGTAACGAATTACGAACATGGAAGGGTGTGGAGGATATTTGTAAGAGAGTTCCGGATAAGGTGGTTAATGTCCTTCATGTTTTGGCTCCGGGTCAGGATGATGCGGATGTAGGACGGATTCTGGCTGATGTTCCTTCCTTGGGGGTTGGGGTAACGCTGTACCAGTAGTTGGTATGCAGGTTCGCTGTCTGTGTGAATATACAAATGATACTGTACAGAACCAGGAGAGCTGAATAAGTCCTTTTGAACGAGCTAGAAATGTTGATCATTCCAAGTTGACCACGGTAAGTTGTTCCTAGTCTGGCGTGCACATGGCGCGGTCCGATCTCTCCGGCCGCACCGAGGAGGGCAAGATCAGAGACTACCTTGTTCCGTGGAAGAATTCAGTTCCGTAATTAAATTGTCCAAGAACCGATGCTCGGAGATTTTCGAAAGCTCGAGACTCGCAGTCGCGACGCGTCAGGAAACGATCACGTGGTATGTGTGACAATCCCGAAACCGGTCCGGCTTCCGACCTTTGTTAAGATAGACGCTTTTTGCTTCTGATTAGTTACTTTCAGGTTTCTCCGTAGATTGTTTCACAAAGTAGAAAATATCCCTGAAACCTACACGCGATATATGACGGTAAGACAAATCAACTGATATTGAGTACTATTCATGGAAAGTTCGAGAACGTTCTGCCGCCTACGAGGTCGAGGTTTATATTGGTCACCTGCAGCGGAAAGTTCGAGTAGTTGGGGGACCTATAAAAGAGCCTCGTATCACTGGTCCCACATTCACCCAAACATTGAAGCGGCGATGTCTGTATACTATTACGAACCCTTCTACCACTTTGACCGTCTCCTCGACGCGTTCGGCAGTCGCCCTATCGGGCAACAACTGACAACGACGGACGGGCCTACGACGGCAGTCTTCAGGCCAAAGTAAGTTGTATCTTCCAAGTTTATTCATTGTATCTTATGGATGTATTCCTGCAGAATGGACCTGCACGAAGACTCGGCCAAGAACACCGTAACCGCCTCCTTTGAGCTTCCCGGCCTCAAGAAAGAGGACGTGGACATCGACGTGCATGATGGCCGCCTCACCATCTCTGGTGAGGTCAAGGTCTCGTCGGAGCAAGAAGAGGAAGGCTATGCTGTTCGTGAGCGCAAGTACGGCAAATTCTCGAGGATGTTGAGGCTTCCTCAGGGAGTCAGGGTAAGTTGGTTTTATTATTATTATTCGAGAATGGGTCGTTGACGGAGAGTTTGCAGGAGGAGGAAATCAGAGCCTCCTTTGAAAATGGCTTGTTGACGGTGACGTTCCCCAAGGCGGCAGCTGAGACTGTGCCCAAGAAGATTACGATCTCTTGAGTAAAACGTTGATTTGAATGTCGGACATTGTATCAGTAGTATCAACCGAAATTTGTACGTTTTCTAGTCAATCATACTGGATGTGCCACCTTGTACTTGAGCCAGAGTTATCACGGCGGCCGTGTTAGAATTCGGACACATGATGACGATCATGATGACGAAATCATAGTCCTGGGAAGTTTCATCAGTGATGACCTGCACCAAGTGTTTTCTTCAACAATATTGATGGCTGACTAAGACACGTAGAAGCGATGGTGGAGAAACGCAAGTCTGGCCAATCTTCTCTGTACGCGGCGACTTGCTGCAAGCTTTCTCTACGAACATAAGAGACAAGGCGGGCTGGAAATACTCACCATGGGTAGCCCGACATCCCCGGAGCGCCCAGGATTGCGCCTGCCAGCCTTGATCGCATACGGCCAAATCCGATTGTGGGCGCACGTTGTCCGGACGCAAGTCTTGTCTCCTTTCTTCCATGGATGCAAAATTCTGGTACGTGGCGACCTTGACCATTTCTTCCTTCATCTCACCTTTTTTCCAGGAAAGGCGCATGGTGAGGGTCGCTTGCAATGCTCATTCAGCCAGATTCATCATGTAAACAGGATGCGGCTCACTTCGTTATCGTTTCCTCCAATACCACCAGATGCAAGGTCGGCGCTCACGACGAGGACATTCCTGACGACGCTTCTCCCATCCTTTCTTTCCTATTATCTCGCAGCGCGTCTTGCGATAAACAGCAGAGCCCTTTCTACTCGAATTGCATTCCTTCCCATAGCACTCTATACTACATATAAATGCGCCACAACGCTTGACCTCGCCCCAGGAGAAGAAAACGCGAGAAATCGGTACTTTAATGATGTTCTCGTCGTACGTCTACCCAGCGCCACATTTGAAAGCTAACCCTTATTTCTTATAGCTCTCCATGACCTTGTGCTCCTCGCGCATCATTGTTTGGACCTTCTCGCCTACGCCGCCTCGTCGGTTGGACCCATCTTTACCTTCGTCAGCTCTCCAACTCTGCCTCAGCCTCCGAGGATACGGCTGGAACTGGGGCCCGCCGCAAAGCCGTGCTCCACAAGAATGGCGCCCAACGAGCTCCGTCATGCGTTTCGTTACCGCCACCGTCCTATCTGTTATCTTCCACACCATCTTGTACGACCTCGTACTCATACAGATCGAATGTATTGCCCCAGGAACATGGCAATCTCCCTGGGGCACACCCATCCTCCCTCCCTCCGGCTATCCAAACCTCCAGACCACCGCTATCTCGTTCCTCTCGTTCTTCCTCATATATGCTTCCGTCCAGATCATCTACGACGTCTCCACCCTAGTCGGTGTCGGCCTCTTCCAGCAACCACCCAGCAAATGGCCGCCTCTATACGATAACGTCCTCCTCTCAACGTCCCTAGCCCAGTTTTGGGGCCACAGATACCACCAGCTCTTTCGGCAGACTTTTGCTGGGCCCTTCTCCCTGTTACCGCTGCCCGTGATTGTGCAGCTGTTTGGAGCGTTTGTGATATCGGGTTTATTCCATTGCTTTGGGACGTGGGCAATTGGTAATGGGGCAGATTGGTGGCCGATGGGAGGGTTCTTTGTGGTCAATGCGCTGGGTATTGGGTTGGAGAGGGTGTGGTCGTACCTCTTTGGGAGGAAAGTCGGCGGGTTGGCTGGAAAGGTATGGACAGTGCTGTGGTTGGCGGGTTGGGGGAATTGGTTATTCGATGAGTATTCGAGGAAGGGTATGGTATACCAGAGGATACTGTTGAAATTCTGATGTACTTTAGATAGTATTGGGTTGGGCAGTATAACGTACTATCTGTAATGTGCTCCTAATGCAAGTATGGCTTCCTGGCGCAATGGTAGCGCGTTTGGCTTCGATTGCTCAACGGTACCAAAAGGTTGCAGGTTCGAGTCCTGCGGTGGTCATTATGTTTGAGGTTCGTCTCTTTTTAATTATTCAGGAATCAGGGAAACAGAGAATCAGATTATCAGTGCCACTACGACATTAGTGGACTATAACAATGATAGTACTGCTGTTATGAGTTCTTAACTTTTGATTCAGTAAATTACTTGATATAATAATGATAGATTGTATGTTACGTGCAACATATTTTAAAGTAGCCGGCAGGTTCTAGCCTTCACAACTTGACTGATATTCCAAACTAAAACACTCCTTGATCACTCCTGGCACCGTGCTGTCATGCGCAATCATTGAATTAAAACTGGATGCCCATCGAGCTTGGTCAACTTGGAGAAGTGTCTCATCCGTCTTGGTACACTGACCAAGATGGAATACGCAACATCGGCGGGGCGAAGAAGAGCTTGAGATGCGAAAGTCTTTGAATGATATATCTGGGAACCGGAAAATAGGCTTGGTAGGGATGTTCTCCAGTGTGTTGGCACCTAGCACAATGAACGTGGTTGACGTTACACGTGCGAGGGTAGAGACGTGTCCCGTGTGAAGATTTATTACTCAGATCCGGTTCGAGGAGGAATACCCAACTCCAGGCCCTGGGGTGTCGAGGATGTAGAAACGTCCTTCGCCGAGAGTTATTTAAAGCTGGATGTGCCTGTAAGAAGGGCAGGTAGTTCAGTCGCTTTTCGTCCGCCGAGAATTTCCGCATATGGAAACGTACGCAACTTAGGATTCGGTAGCGTTGGGGTAAAGTTCTGAGATTCGAACCAACGAGCTCGGTGGTCCGAGGGAATTTTGGACATGTCACCTGCGTTTTCATGAATGATGAGCTTGAGCGAGAATGCCATTAGCGCAGGGGGGGAAGGAACTTGACGAAATATTCGGTCAGCGGGGAGTAATAAGAGTAAGGGTCTAAAGTCTCACCATCTCCACAATATGACGGCTTTAATGCTTCGCAGATCTCCACCGACCTTCGTGAGCTTCAATAGGACCGTCTGTAGATACTTCCATCGCCCATACAGTAAACCCGCGATATGTCCATACACAGCACGAGACAATCTCTCGCAACCCTTGCGTAATCCGAGGCCGTACACAACCCCTCCCTTAGTCGGATGCTCAATGAGAAACGCGTAAATACGGCCTATAAAAAACTCATGACCCTCAACGACTGCGGTAAAGAGAAGAGAAGCAAGAAGACGTTTCATCTGTCCGACATTGAGCGCTTTTACAACGACTGTGGATGTCGAGGGTAGACATTAGGACAGCTGTATGTCCATCCTATAAATGAGAGTTAGAGTCATGAGGTTCGTCAGAGGGTTGTCGCTGGGGAGAGCTTTCGTCATTTGAGCTCCAAGACTGTGAGAAGATGCGGGAGAATAAGTATCTGAGTTTGTTTGTCGCCGGTTTTGGGTCAACAGAAACATGAATCATCGCGGTCAGGTGTAATGGCAGCGCTATTTAGCGTCCACCACATATCGCCGAGGCTTAGAATCCGGAGAGCATCACGACACAGAACCTTCATTCAAGGCAGAGAAGAGCACCCGGTGCAGCCTCGGTGACAATCTGGGATGCAGTATAAGATGTGATGGCGGGTCTAGATGAGTCGCAGTCCTGCACATGTGCCATTGACGTAGAAGTCGATAAGATACTTTCAATCAACAGTTCGGCCCGGTCAAACCAAAAAAGAAAATATGGAGTCCAGCCGCGCGAACGCTTTTCATGATCAACGATAGCGATAAGGTGAGTCCGCATGTTTTTCGGTCCTATTACAGATGAGCCTTTGCCAGAGTAAGCTTTTGACCCTTGACTGAAGACGTGCATGGCCGTAAAGGTCGGGAATCTAGATCAGTATCAGATGATTGCGAAAAGAAGTAAAACGTAAAACCAGACTCCAACTGGAGGTGTCCACCAGGGAAATGGATTACGACTTTTGACCTCTGTGATTCGAACAGTACGTTTGGTAGTCAGGGCGAACTCTAAAGGACCGTTCCGGTTGTCGCCCAGTGAGCAGCTGAGTACCAGGGGAGTTCCGCGCACATTCCGGTGACAGCACCACCGGTATGTCCTTCAAGAATTCATTATCTATCTATTACTGAATCCGTTTCGTCCCAGAGTAGGTGTTCATTGGAAAAAACCAAATCCCGGACAGAAGGGTGGCCAACAATCAAGGAGAAAACAATGAAAAACGTAAGGCGTTCATGCTGATATGAAGAGCTTCAGATGGAAACGTATGGAAACTACGAAGAAGTGACACTAGCGCAGAGTTAAGACACATGACATTGATCGAGGGTTTTTGGCTGGTATTTATATCGGCCGGAAGTTGCAAATTTCTTTCAACCCCAATGGATCTCTGCCAACCTACCGAAGAGACTGGCCTCCTCACTCCTACCTCTACCTCTTCTCTGTCTACCCAAAAGCGACGCTCACGACCTCCCACGCCTCTACCGCACCTGCAGATATGGATCGTCCTGGTGCTGCAGATATGCGAACCGATAACAAGCCAGAGTATCTACCCTTATATCAACCAGGTGCGTCACTTCAGGCCACCGTTAACCGCTGGTGACTGACTTGCTCTGTAGCTGGTGAGCGAGCTGGATATCACTGGAGGGGACGATAGGCGGGTCGGATATTATGCTGGTTTGATTGTATGTCTCGCTTTTGTGTTCGCATTCATCTACCAACGGGAGACACCTGTAGGAATCCCTCTTCTTCGCAACCGAGGCCATAACAGTGCTTCATTGGAGCCGGTTCTCCGATACCGTAGGGCGAAAGCCCGTCCTGATGATTGGACTGGTGGGGTCAGCCATCTCAATGCTATCATTCGGTCTATCAAGAACTTTCTGGGCACTAGTGATTAGCCGTTGTGTCACTGGATTACTGAATGGGAACATCGGTATGTCTATTTTCTGTTCTTAACGCTGAACACGAATGAGACTTTCCTGGGCAGGCGTGATGAAAAGTGTCATGGGGGACTTGACTGACCCATCCAACCGCGCGGAAGGATTCGCACTTATGCCAGTCGTATGGTCCTTTGGGGCAACGATGGGGTACGTACACCATCCTATTTGATCAACAACATTTTACTAAATGTACCGCAGCCCTCTTATCGGCGGAACGTTCGCGCGTCCCCACGAACGATTTCCGGGCATCTTCTCAGGCGCCTTTTGGGAGCGATATCCCTACTTTCTCCCGTGTCTCGTCTCCTCATTCTTTGTCTTTCTCGCCTTCCTGATAACACTGGTCCTTTTTAAAGAGGTCAGGAAGCTTAGTTTCCACCTTTATCATGACTGACTCATTCCGTACCAGACTGTGCCAAAACGCCGCCGTCGCTCCCTATCATACGATTCCATAGAAATTCAAACCTCCAAAAAGCATGACAAGCCTGTTCCTCTCCGTGGTTTACTCATCTTTCCCGTCCTAATATCCGTGGCGAATTATGTCACACTTGCCTTCCTCAATATTGCTTTCAATGCACTATTTCCTCTCTTTCTCGCTATGCCACCTTCCATAGGCGGGCTGGGTATGCCTCCCTCAACTATTGGCTATATCATGGGCGTCTACGGCGCCTCTACCGGTATCTTCCAATTTTTTTTCTTCGCCAAAATAGTCAGAGGGCTAGGCGAACGCAGGGTGTTCATCAACGGCATGCTCGCTATGCCCTTTATGTTTGCGCTCTTCCCTATCATCAGCTTCTGCGGGGGTACACCCTGGATATGGGTAGGGATAGCGAGCCTGGTTGTGTTGTCCATCATCATGGACATGTCGTATGGCGCGATATTCATGTTCATCACTGCTTCTGCGCCCAGTAAAGCGTCGTTGGGCGCCACGAATGGGCTTTCACAGACTACTGTTTCGATTGCGAGGGCTATAGGGCCTGCGCTCGCCACGTCTTTGTTTTCACTTTCGGTGGAGAGGAACGTGCTTGGGGGCTATGGAGCGTATGCTTTGTTCGTGGTGTTATCCGTCGCTGCGTTGGGCTTGGCAGTGAAGCTGCCGATGGAGATTTGGGATGAAGACGATGAATGAATAGACGACACGACGAGATGTTATGATCCTGAAAAGTTGGTGATAGCGCTTGGGCCTTATCTACCCGCATATGACTCGGACAGCACTAACGGTGGTTTACGAGGGATTTCACGATTCTTTTGCAATTGGCCATTGTGACATTATAGACGAGCTATTTTTGCTGTATTTTTCTGTCATTGCTGAATATACTTATTCCCTGTTTTATGCCAGCTCAACTTGAGTCTCTTCTGATGGATGTGCGATAGGCGAATTACGTGCCACTTCTGTTCCATCGAAATCGTTGATCTTTTTCTGTTGGGAGTGAAGCTTCAGCCGGCCTTGGAAACCAGAGATGAACCATGGCACTTCTGCCACTTCGCTACAACTTGATTTGGCTTGGTAGAGAACAAAGGTTTTTGATGCTCAACATTTGTCTTTATTCTCTCAGATTTGAAATCATCGATCAATGATTTCAAGATGGTGCTCGTTTTCCTTTAAATTGAAGCTACATTATGGACAACCTCACAACTAGTTCCCTGTTCCCTGATTTATCACCGGTGTCTTTTACATTTACATGGGGAGTCATGATGTTTCCCAATCGCTGCTACACCAAAGATCTCCGAGTCCTGATAAAGGTAGTCGTTCCTTGAAAGCACGCAGAATCCGACTGAATGAGCGCCACCAGGTATTTGGAAGCCTGATTCTGAAGTGCCACCATTAAGAAACCCATGGCCGCCATGCGACGATCTCGAGAGTCTATCTTCCTGCTACTCCGCTTCAAGCCCAAGTTCCGTCTCTGACGAGCGCCTCCAGGATACTTCTTGTCTCATATCTCTCGCAAATGATATCAAGCGCGAAATGGCCAATTTGAATGACATGTTGCTGTGAGCAGGCCCTCTGTGATTCAACCTCCGAGTCCCACTGAATGGATCGTTCAGAAAATTCAAAGCCGTAGCGGACACGCATTTCGAAGACCAGGACTCGGAGGACGAGTGTGAACCGGACAGCTCCGAGTACGAGGACGATGTATTGCCTATGAACAAATTCTGGGATCTCATAAACGACATCCGGGATAAGAACCGCCACGCACCGGCTGTCATGTCTCCTCTGAACCCTCTACGAGCCAAGGCGCCTCCGGGCTTTTGGTGGGAAAGTGGTGCTCTGTCACCTTTACCAGAGAATCGGAAGTATCGTTGGAACATCGAGCGGATGCATGTGAACGAGACGCTGTAGGATGTCTTTTTCTTTGTGTGCGTGACACTTTGCTGAGGTGCGCGGTCCGTAGAGCTGTTCGCAGTCCTCTGTTCCGTCGGCACACGTTCATTAAACAGTGCAGACACTGCTGGCAGTGCCGGTTCAAGCAGTCTGCTTTGTTGAGGTATATTCAGGGTAGGAATCTCCGTGCTAAGTATCTGAAATGCATAGGACGTGCGGATGAGGAACGAAGAAGATATGGAGTGTCTGTCACTGAGAGCCCGCTCATGCACTTGGCGCAAACGGGCACATAGCAGGGCGGGTATCAGAGGTATTGGTTTTAATCCTTATAGTTAGTTTTGTGTCAAGGAAAGAGATCTCGAGATGTTCACTGTTAAATAAGCAGCGTCCTCAAACCACACAGGACATTCGAGCTCCTTGCATCTCATCGTTCTCCTCGTCCTGGGTGCGGATCGAGTATAGCGCAAATCGCAATCTCATATTCAACCGAAATTTGAGCCAGACTGGCATGGACTTCTTCGGGGGTCGTCGCTCTTGAGATTATATTAGCAGATGAGCCATAGCCGATGAGCCACCGGTAGCCGACGTCGAATCCATCAGGATTGGTGACTTTGTTTTCGATGGGGAGGGCTTCATCCAGCTACGTTCGGATCGGAATATTCTTCCGCTTCAACGTACACGTCGTCATCAACGAGCATGATGACGGCAATAGTTTAGACGAGGTTATATGACTATTTGCCATTTGACTACTAAACTCAAGATGAATATAAAGCAAAACAACATTGCGGCACTATAGCCAAGTGGTTAAGGCGACAGATTAGAATTTGTCTCGGTGACATGTTTCATCTGTTACTCTCTGAGTGCGCAGGTTCAAATCCTGCTGGTGTCGGTGCCATGGGTGATGAAGCTCTTACTATGAAATTTTAATCTGTATACGCAATAGAGCTATATAAAACCTTCAGAGAGTTAAGTTATCTTTTTTACCAACTATGCCCACAGTGGGATGGGGTGGAGTAGGAGGTTTGCTCAGATAAGTTACTATTACTTATCAGTCATATGATAGACTTTTACACAACATGAAGGAATTTGAATGGACCTTGTTCTGTTTTCCATCTGGCTTGTGGGTTAGTACTGCATTGTGACAAATTTTTCACTGTGTTATCATATGATCAGTAAGTTACTTATATAAAAAACCCCCCTTCAGACCAGTGGTAACTTACCAGTAATAAATTCAAGTGTATTGAAACCTAGATTTTATATGCAGCTCTAATGAATGTTGAAGTCATACCACATGAGATTTGACTTGAGGTTATCTTATACAGTGGCTGGATCATACTGTATTATATTCTTCCTTACTCCACTCTTATTATATACTGCATGATCCTTTTCAATCATCACTATTTCACCTCTTATAGTTCATGTGAGATCATATGCTTCCACTCTTTCTTTGACCAATGAGAAAGTATAGCAAAGAGTGCTTAGATTTAATCTGAGGATAACTCTAAGTCAAAAGTCAAATGAAATTTTTAGTACAGAACTTGCTTTTTTAGTTACTTTACAATAATCATCTCTGACCAAAAAAGTTTAACTTCTGGCAGTAAATTTTGAAATGGATTCTATCTGATATTATTTTGATGGAAATGAGATGCTGATATGTTTCTATCACTCTGTGACTTATGCTGAATAAATAAGATTAATCATCTAGACTCAGAGCTATTGCTGAAAAATAGAAATAACCACACTCACTTCAAAGAATCTCAGTAATATGTTTAAAGAGAAAAGGCTTTCTATCTCTCTCTCAGATAACTGCATGCTTCTTCTATCTATCTTATATTCTTCTTACTTCTAACTACCACTGCTATATGAAGTAGAAGTATAGCTCTAAAATGTTTGATTTGTAAAAGTAGCTTATACTAATAGTCTAGAGTGCCTTTTTCTTACTCAATACTGGGTCCAGCTGGAATTCTGAATGGTACAAGTCTAGTGGTAGAGACCTGCAAGCATCTATTGAGATATTGTATGTGTTCTAAGCATACTGAGAAAAAAATTTAAAGAAGCTATATTCTAAGATGATATTTAGAGAGATGTTGACACATACATATTGTAACACACATGCTACAGATATTCATTTCACAAACAATAAGGGTTTTCATGCAATGAAGAAATACTGAGCATTTTCCTTTTCTCTAAGTTTATTATACTCCACAGATCCTTGCAGTATACTAACTACAATTTTATTTTCTTATTTCAAACTATATTTTATTTATTCTTTATTTTCAACTCAGAATTCATAATGATAGTGAAGAGACTACTTCTTGGACTCCATTGGACTCTGATTCAGACTAGCTACTAGCTACTAAGTATATAAGCTGTAGAACATCTTTTACTACCTTAGTTCAAATATCAACTTGAGAGTAAAGTGTCTCAATTATCTTGTTGATGGAAACAGTAGATGTGAATGTACTGTTTTAGAGTTTGATTAGCACATTTTATTTATCTGTCTGCCTTCAAGTGGTAGCCAGAAGTGAAGTGGAGTTCTATATTAAGGGCTTTAGCAAGAGCATGTGTGACTTGGGAGATAAATTCAGAACTGTGATCATAGATTACATAATTAAAGACATCATGCTTGGAGAATACATGGATAACAAATAACTGAGCAAGTTCCTTAGAATTAATAATGTTATGAATGGGTATAAAGATGGCTTATTTGCTTATATAGTCAACTATTATTAGTATAGTAGTGAATCTATTAGAGTCTAGTAGTTATTCAATGAAATCTATAGAAATGAAATCTCATAGTCATTCTAGTATAGGCAATGGTTTGAGTAAGCTGAATAGACAGTGTTAACATGCTTTGTTGCATCTGCAAGTGGTACAAGACTTAATATAGTCACAAACATATTCATGTATCTGTGGCCAGATGTAATTCTGTCAGACTAGTTTGAGTGTCTGATTTTGACTAAAATGATCTACTAAGATATGATTATGATTGTTTTGAAGAACACAAAGATAGATATCCTCAAAGTCTAGAACTTAGATGCAACTGTCAAGGCAAAGTAAACCTGACTCATTCATAGACCACCAAGAAGGGTTGAAAGAGGAGAATGCAAGCTAAAATCCTTCAGCTGCAGTATAGTCCAATAGCTGTGCTTGTTTGATATCAGAATGTAGCTTGTCAACATTTATAATAGCACAGATCCTTCAAGAAAAGTTGCACAGAGTGAAGTAGACTGTTCTTAAGTGAAGACAGCAAAAATTATGAGGATTGACTTGAGAATATTGACTATCTCTCTCTTTGAGGTAGATGTTTCATCATCTAGTGAGTGTATCTGATTTACCACCAAGCTTATCTGGTCAAAACCAGATTACAAGATTGAACTGTAAAAGGAATTCAGATCAGTGCACTTGATATTGAGTAAGGATCTTGGTAGTAGAAAAGACTCAAGATTCTTGTAGTCAGTAACAATATCAATGACATTTGTGAAGCCCTCAGAGTAATGACACTAATACTTGAAGGCTTCAAAGATAGCTAGCTCCTTATTATATGTGTTATAATTGAGTTCAGCTCTGTAAAGACTGCAGGACAGGGAGGAGATTGAATCAATCTCATCATTCTCAAAGTAAATGGATAGGATGACAGCAATAGCATAATCAGAGGCATCAGTTTCCACAATGATTTAATGGTCAGAAATTCAATAGATGAAGATAGGAGCATGAGTGAAAGCCTGTTTCAACTTGTTAAATGCAGCTAAACACTTGTCATTGAATTTCCATAGAATACTCTTGCAAATGAGTTATATTAAAGG